GTCAAGAGTTTGCCAATTGGTCACCAATAATTGAAAACTGGCGACGCAACAAAAAATCAATAGGTGAAAAGGAGTAATTACACCTGTACACATTGGAATTGGAATTTTTGGAAACAGATTTTTTTTCTTCATGCCGGAAGTTGCGTTTGTTAATTGGTGAACTCTACAGTAATCAAGATATTTCCGGATTATTGAATCTATTCAACCGGTGGGTTGAAACGTTATCATAAATTTACGCGTCAATTGATCTGAAAATAACGAAAAATCAACTCCAAGTAATATTGAGATTGTTTTCCGAAACATTTGCAACCTTTACGGTTTCTGAGAAAACACCATTCTGCAAATGAATTCAATTAATTAAACATAGAGTAGAGCGAACGTCTCAAACTCAACTCAACATTTATGGAAAATAACGGCTGTTTTAAAGCCTTTAATATTTTCCAAGAAGCCATTTTTAAATTAATTTTCTGAGAAGATCTGACCAAACAAACTTCTTCGAGCTTATGCATTCAGCATAATTTAAATGAGGTACGTGACAAATATGAAACACATTTTCGTTCACAGGCTAATAAAACAGAGGCAATTCGAGAAGGAATTTAATCAGGATCAGAAACTTAACACGAAAAAAAATTGCAAAATAAACTCTAGTTTTAGAAATGTTTCGAAATAGTCTATCGAGTTTTTTTTTTCAAATTAATTAGACCAAATTTGGAATGAGGATTCGAGTTATTAAAATTTTTCTCGGAATTTCAATTTTTCAACAAATTATTGCTCATAGAACTTACGTTGCTCAACGCTGCACCAAGAGTTATCCAAATTGGGGACATGATAAGGAGTCCTCTGAACAATTAGAATTCAATATAAGTTTAAAGAATTATTAACTGAGAAAAATTTGAAAACCGAAATAAACATAAACGCACAAGATTCAAACACCAATAGTTTTTTCGAAAGAAATGAAAAGTTGTGAATGTTTTCTGAAAAAAGTCTAAAAATGTTTATGTAAAGTTTTGGTTGGTAAATGTGAACAAAGATTACCAATGTCATTTATATAGTTATATTTATAACTATAAAAGTGATTAAACGATATTTAAAGAAAATACGCACAACTTGAATTGCGTAGTACATTGGGATAATCTGATTACGATCATCCCACGGCCACCCTCAAAATTTCTATTTTTTATGATGTTAATAAAAATATCAACTCAACAGAATCGTATAGCTGTCCGGAAGTGTTTTCTTCGTGAAAAAATGTTAGTACTTTTCAAACTCGTTTAGTCGAATATTCTCTTTAAAACGGAAAACCTAACTACTTAAAGTAATGTTCACTTTTTTTTCATACAAGCAAAACTTTTGAATGATTGGTACAAAAACTTTTTGGTGAGGAGTGTTCCAAAGGGAGGCCTTTGAATTCTAAGATCTTGTTGTTTGACGTCCTAAAAATTCAATGCAAAATCACAGCATCATATCCGTTTTTGTAGAGGACAAAGTTTAACGCTTCCTTTTCCACGACAATTACAAACATCTCCAAGAATCTTGATGCAAACACGAACGAGGCTTATAAGGAAGGTTCTCGAGCTTACATTATTTTTTTTTTTTGCAATTTTCTCTCGGTGTAAGAGGAACTCGATTAGATGTTGAATCACGTTCAATTATCTGGTTTTACGTTTACGTTTCGAAACGTTCAATTGGGCTCAAGGGAACAAAGCGCACATGGGCATTCTTTCAGGCACCAAACATCTTGGCCGTCATTTACTTCAAAAAGCGTTATTTTGGAAGAAAACTATGTGTGTTCATGGAAATTGTTGCACAAAACCCGTTTCCGGTTTCGCACTATTCAATTTTTCTTCTTCTTCTTCTTGTTCGGCTCCTCGTCCTATATTCAATCGCACTTTGCAAGTTTAGGGCAATAAAATGCAGCAAAAAAAATGACGATGGTCAGGAGGGATCGCTTCGCTTTGCAACATGAGCATATTTCATATTCAGTGGAGGACGATGGAGTAAATATTATGTGAAATATATGATATATCAAAAAGGGGATGTGAAGATGATGCTGGCTAATTTTCGATAAGATAGCTCAAAGTATGATAAATGAGAAACAGCTGAATAATGTAAAGACATTTCTATGAAATTAGAGCGAGAGGGAGCAGAAAAGGCAACTTCAATTGTGGGAAAAATAATATATATTTAATTGAACATCGCCACAATTTTTATGATTTATGCTTCATCATTATAAATAAATTATGCATAATGTTCAGCTATCATTTTCACAACTAATTATCTCGTGAGATTTTATTCTTGGTTTTCAATTAGTGACGTACTTTAGGCATTTTTTCTATGAATGATGGTTCGATTCCAATTAAATGATCAATACTTCAAAATACTAATAAGAAAGGAGCAGGATTTTTCAAGGAAACAATTTTTTGTGTGTTCAGGTTCATATGAAATGCATTCGCTGAGTATAATATTATTCGCGATTCTCAAATAACATCTGAATAACAAAGAAGTAACGTCCTCGTGCTGAACTTTTCGTGGCTAAATGGGTTCCTATTGGGGAAAAGAAGAAGTGAATAAACAACAGTTAAATATGGAAAATTCAATTTATTGAATTCAGTATCAAATTTTCCATAAAGCAACACACTTTCATAATATTATATGAAATTGTATAGCGATGTTTCGATTATTTATAGATTCATATAAAAGCTGGAAGCTTGCAACAATTTGTGAATTTTAATTGGCATAACTGAAATGAATGAAGCTAATCAAAAGCTTCAGAGAATTCGCCAATATTATTTAAAGTGCTAATTATCGTGGGTGATTTCTCGAAAGTCACAAGAAATCACTTTCACCCTTCGCATTTTCTCCAATGATTCCAATAAGGAATTTCCGATCGTCTTTAAATTTTAAAGCCGGTTTTCCACTTTTCATATTACAGTACACCCATTATTCTTCACTTTCTGATATTTGATCATTTTCGGTTTTATTATCTAACGATTCAATCTCGTTTTGTGTCAAACACAGAGAAAAAAAAAAACAGTTGAAATCGCATCGCTAATGGTATTCGCGGTAAAATTGAAAAGTAAAATGAAGATGCTTGTTGAATATGAGTATAATTAGTACTTCAGCGTTTCATCCATAATAGGGTGACATCGAAAAAATGGATTCCGGTTTAAAATTTTCGACAAAAGTTCTAATTCCGAAATTCAATCTCGCATTGATACTTAGGTTATAAAAATTTTAATGAGCCTTTTCTACCTTATCTCGAAATAATAAAAATTTTAAATGATTTGATTGAAACTGCCATAATGCATATTAAGCATGTTATATCTACACTCATTATTTTTCTATCATTTTTTTCAGTGTTGCAAGTTGCCCAAACCCCCCGCTCTCCAATAGCTAATTAGTACGTCCATCAAGGTAGTCAATCAATTAAAAAATTGTCATTGAAAATTGAGCGGAGATTGGTAGCGAATAAATAATAAAACCATGGTGAAATGGCCCCAGGTTACACGAAGACAGATGGAGACTACCGACAGTATAAAGAGGGCGCCACGACCGTAAATCGTTTTATGTTTCGTCTGCCTATCAACCGCCATACCTCAATTCTACCACCAGGCTGTCGTCAATTCGGAACTTCAATTTCAATGGCAACACCAACTATGTGTGTTGGTATTCCACCACTATTTGCACAACATTTTTGAGTCGACGAGTTGCGGCTCCTTGAAAGAGCACAGCGTATTTGAAAATACTGATAACAAGGCTGTAAATGTGGGGGCACCGCATGGCCTAATCATTCTATTTTATTATACCAACTGGTCATACCATCCGTCACTTGCTAACAGCATTGAAAAACCGGGAGAGGAGGGTCGACGATTTTCAGAAACTGCTATTTTTTTTTTTTCTGCAATGTTATTATTTTTAATCGTCCCTCATTCCATGTTGGCAAGACATTTTTGCACTCACTTCATTTTCCAATATCTTGTCAATTCGCGAATTGAATTCGAAACCCATAAAATGCGTCAAATTGACGTGAAATTATACGTTGCTCATGGCGGGTTATATATATTTTTTGTCTTGTTCGGCTTCAGAAATGGGCTTGTCTTCGTCTTCCCCACCAGCTCCCTTCCCCTCCTCTTCCCATCGCTGACAATCGCCGCCATGAATCATTTTATTGCATATTTTCAAAATAAAAGCGGCCTCATAAATTTTGGCGGAAGAACATGTAGCAACGGCTCATCGAGATTTCCATGTTGAGCTCCTCGATTTTCCCCCCCTCCCTATCCCTTTATCGGTGTCGATGATGTGCCACTTGTATGCCAAATTTTAGACAATCTTGAATGGCCATAGTGTGGGCAACCTTGTTCGTCCATTTCATTCCACTTTCATTGAATATCAACAGGATCCACACGACCGTAAACCTACCGTATCACCAATGAAAATGTTTGCGCAAAAGTGACAAATTGGAGGCCTGATTGTTGAATTGGTTGGTGTTGTGTGCGGATACGGTGGCGGCATTTTCGCGCAATATCAAAGGCGGATGTTACGGTTGCGTATCAGCGGACCATAACCGACAACAACACCCTTGATTTGCCGTCAGATGGGTGCGGTTGAATGTCCGCCAATCGCGTTTGGTGTAGAAAGGGTGGGCGGCAAACTAAATTTTATGGCGGCCGATTGGTGGTGGATTCCGAGCCACCCCCGGCCGCATTGCACTCGCCCCCTTGTTCTCCCTTCGCCTTCCCCTCCATTTCCACCCCGCCCGTTTTTTCATATCTCGCGTTAATCTTTTGATGTTCCGACAAAACCTAACCTACCTGCTGCTGCTGCCAGTTATGATCCTAACCACATGTCACACATCACTTTGTCTTGTCGTTTTCATAACATTGACGTTCGTTTTTTTTTCGGGCGCAGCATACGGTAGTTGTGAAGCGATCGGATTTCATTTGTTTCGCACTCAACCTACATTCGAGCTAATATTTTTATTGAACGATTTGCAGGTGTGGATGTCATCCGAGCCGTCGACATCGACCGAAGCCAAAAGTCTTGAGGAAGAAAGGGCTGTCCTTCTACAGCAAGCACTAAGTCAGGCAGGCGTCAATCGAGCGCAGAAATTGAAAAACGTAAGTATTCTTATTATTTGTAACATTTTCTTGAAATACGTGTTACCCTGATATCCACTCGGCGAATAAAGCCGTCTGATTACTGTAGGTGGGTGGGATTGTTGCGCACATTTTAAAGTCTCAAATTTCAATTCAGGTTTCAGTATTCTTATGACTAATGCAGTAGTTTAAGAAAATATCATGTTTTTACGCAAGGTAAATTTTAAGAATTTGTGCAAAACCAATTAGTCGCCTCAATTTAATACTGGGCTATTTTTTTAAGTTCACTCATCTCGTTTTGTTCCATGATACCGGTTCTACTAAAATTTGCTTCACAATTTCCATGCATTGTTTGAGTTTGAACATTTAATTTTGGTTCTCTTTGTTTCTTCACTTTTTAATGTCCGCAATTACCACGAAATAAAATTGAATATCTATTTACTAGCTTCAATATGACCCAAAAAAAAATAGTGGAGCAATGATCAAATAATTATTTGAATTCGCAGTCTCCTCAAATTTTATAGATACGATAAGAAGTTATTAATATAGTTGGAAACGGCCAATAAAATTTGTTGACACTTGCTTTAGCTATAAATCTCGTTAAATAAAGTGATAATGGGAGTTGGTCTTATCATTGTGATAATTTTAACGAGAGGACACATGACCAAAATAATGCATTTTTCAGGGTGCGAATCAGAAGCGAAAAGCGGATGAGGCTCATGTGGCTGCAATCAAAGAGCATCCTCTATTACCCATTGTTCAAGTAGAATCGAAAATTAATTGCTTAATTCTTTTCTTTGTTTCAGCTTCTCTTTTTGAAATGCGAAATGGCCGAGCAGACCTTCGACAAGAAATATTTCGAGATGGACGATGTTGTGAAGGTCCGTTTATTATTTGGTTCAGTATTCTGGCAAGGTTTCATTGAAGCGAAACAATACGACTATTTGATTGAAATTGGGCGGAGAGGGCATAAGGGGGGAGGGCGGCAGTAATTACAAAATGTACAGAAAATCGTAATATATGTATATCTGTTGAGCAATTATTCTTTAGGGGGGATTTTAGGAAAAACAATTATTTAAGTTAAATCATAACACCAGCAAGATTGCGATGACACTGATGAGAATTGAGTAGACATTATCTGAAACTTGATATTTTATCTTAAAATTAAAATTTTTATGAATCACTTGACGAGTTTTGTGGTTGGTTCATTGACTCGTCGAACTGTGGCGCGTTGCCTGCTGAAAGTTTAACCACTATAGCAAATTTGGGAGATACTATTAATTTTACGAGCGTACCTGAAGTTGAAGACTCATAATGACCGTATTGGGTGTTCATGTCGCCATAAACCGGCGTGAAACCGCTAGGGATCTGAAAATTTAATTAATGAATTTTCGTTTCACGTATAACTCGATTTTGACAACACAACATACAGTATTTCCCTTGCTTTGCGCGTCATTATTGATAAGCTCCTGCTGGCTGGGGAACTGGGCGTTCAATGAAGCTTGGGTTGAGGAAAATCCTTGATCCATTTGTTGTCCTGGATACTGGGTGCTTGGGTAATTGTTCTGTTGTTGCTGCTGCTGTCCTGCCGAACCCAACAGATCTTGCTGGCTGACAAACTGTGGTGTCAATCCGCCCGCTGGTGTGGTACTGATGGTACTGAAGCCACCTTGTTGTTGCTGTTGTTGGTAATTAGTTCCATCTGGCTGCGCTCCGAATTCCTGTTGACCGCGGAACTGTGGTGCCAGAGAGCTTCCAGTATCATCTCTTCCAAGGACAGCAGCTCCGCCTGCAGCTGCAGCAGCGGCTGCCGCAGAAGCGATAGCATTTGCGGATGTTCTTGAGCCAGACATGATGTCTTGCTGACTTGGATAGATGTCAGAAGATGGTTGATCTCCCATCTGAGTTCCTGACTGGAACTGAAAGACACGACACAACAGTAATAAACCAAATTAATTAATCTCAAGTACAAACCTGTCCGGAAGGTGTCGATGACATTGATTGATCGAATTGCTGTCCACTATACTGGGTTTGACCTTGTGGGCTTGTGGCGTAGCCAGGAGTAGTCGATTGGAATCCATTGTTTTGATCTTGCGGATACGGCGAGCCTCCCGGAGTGCTGCTGAAGCCCTGGTTTGTTGTCGGATATGGTGTGCTACTGAATCCTTGGTTCTGATTATCATTGTATCCCTGGCTCGATGGGTTCGGAGTGCTACTGAATCCTTGATTTTGGTTGTTATTGTAGCCCTGACTTGATGGATATGGAGTGCTGCTATATTCTTGATTCTGATTGTCATTAAATCCTTGGCTTGATGGATAAGGTGTACTACTGAATCCCTGATTTTGATTATTACTGAATCCTTGGCTCGTTGTAGATGGCGTGCTGCTAAATCCCTGGCTCGATTGGTATGGCGTCGTTGGGTAGCCTTGGGTACCTTCAAATTGTTGGGATGGATTTACTGTCGAAACGGATTCAGGGAGGCTGGTTTGAGGTCCCGGGGTCGCTTCGGGTAAGGGAGCGTTCGTCGATGATTCAATAACTACCGGTGGGATAACTATGGGTAGGACAGGATTGGAAGTTGCAGTTTCTCCCTCTTCCGTTCTATAATCGTATGGAATCGGATTCTCATCAACACCAGGCTGGGGTTGAATCACATTTTGGTCATTTTGGATTGGTGGCTGAGTATTTGGGGTTTGAGATTCTTGTGGGATTGGGCGAGTTGGAAATTGCGTAGAGGGCTCTGCAAAATTGGAGGGGGTTGGGGTGACATTTTCAGCGTTTTGAAAAATTTCTGGACGTTCTGTTGGGTTATCATTGAATGTTGAACCTTGGTATTGTCCGGCGGGATATGGAGCATTGTTGTCGATCGGCTGCTGGTAAGGCTGCTGCGGTTGGTTTTGATCAAAATTCTGCTGCGGGTTTTGCTGTTGATTCTGATCATATTGCTGCTGCTGCCCATCATACATTCCTTGATTATTCTGATTCGTATCGTACGGCGCTTGCTGGACTTGTTGATTCTGGTATGCTCCACCATTAATGGTCTGTGTCGGGTATGTTTGGGGGACTTGTTGACTTTGGGAGAATCCAGTATTGGCTGAATTGTATGAGCTTGACTGGCCACCAGCGGTTGGGAAGATAACGGTTCCATTAGGGTGATATTGCTGTTGCTGTTGTTGCTGATCACCTTGATATTGCTGAGATGGATATGGTTCATATTGCTGGCTTTGACCCTGCATAATTGGTTGCTGCTGTTGTTGTGCCTGTTGGTATCCTGCAACAACTATTTCTAGCATAATAATTTTTAAATGGTAGTGCCTGGCTGATTGTTGTTGTATTGCACGTTTCCTGCTGGAACGAATGGCTGGTATCCCACTTCTTGCGCTGGCGCAAGAGTTGTAGGATTGATCCCTTGACCAACATTATACCCAGTAGTAGAGTATGGTGCAGCTCCGCTTCCAATATCTTGACCACCTTGCTGATTAACATTGCCTCCGACATCAATTCCACCATTCTGGTTCACATTTCCGCCAACATCAATTCCTTGCGGCTGCTGGCCGTTAACATTACCACCAATAATCGGTCCTTGAGGTTGCTGCATTACTCCTCCATTAAAGTTATTAGGAGGTGCAGTACTAAATGGTGCATAGTTGTTATTAACACGTGGCGGTAATGTTCCAGGGTTCTGGTAGTTGGTGCTTCCCTGTAAAAAAATATCTAATTTTTCATTATCCAAGGTTCCAGGAAGCGTTTTTATATTTATCCGCCCCTCACTATTATTTAACATCCCCCCGCACCTGTGGGTAATCCGATACCATCGCGTTGTTGTTTTGTTGTCCATTGGCAATAATTCCTGCAAAAAAATTTGACAACTAGCGAAATATTCTAATGAGGCCGGTTTGAATTACGTTGTCCGTTATAATACATCACCACCTGACTCGCTTGTGCACCGGCATTATTGGTGAAAGCGCGAGCGGTTTGAATTGTTTGCACATTTGAGGTTGGAGGGCAACACGGTGATCTGCAATTCTAGTTTTTTTTCTGTACTGTTGCACCACTCAATTATTAAACATGTACTATGTATGCTACAAAGTAAAGAGAGAAATCAGGAAGCAAACAATTGGTTTGACAAACAAAACGTGTAGTTCACGTTGGGTACACTTCAAAAAAATCTAGTTTCACACACCGACATAATCAAATCATTATAATAATGATACATGCATAACTACCGATTATTAGTAGAAAACACAGTCGCCTGTGAAGGACCATAATTAGGTGGTAGGTTCACAACGTACTGATAACTTGGAGGAATGCAATTGACGCATTGAGATTGACATCCAGGGCTCACATACTGAAAAAAATGAAGAATTTATTAAAGAAAATTGATGAGAATAACGTTTGGATTCAATTATTTAAAATTTTTAATACATTATGATATTCTTCTTGAAGAAATAGTTTATTTTTTGAATTGCTCGGATCAATTAAACATTAAAATTTTTACACTTTCTTCAAGAATTGAGAATTTTAAAATATCATGTTTCTATACTAGAAAACACTTTATTCAAATGATTGAAAATGAATATGGCTTCAAAAGCTTCAAACTTAGCAGTAACTTTTTTTTAGAAAATTAAAAGAAATATTAATTACCCGGATTGTAAGCAATATTCGACAAAAATAAGTGATGGGCATCCCAACATAAGAGAGTTAAAATTAATAATAAAATTAAGACGAAGATGATAATATGACGACGGCTCCTGAGCCGCTGTGCAAACGAAATCAAGACCGCCCAAGCGTTTTTGCTCGACGGGGCGATTTTTTCCGGGACACAGTCGCTAGCTGCCTAGTGTCATTCGTTCCCGGAGCGATTTCGATCGCCAACCGGTGGGAAAACTGCTTCGCACTGAGCGTGGCAATAATCCGTAGGCTTTTTATAAATCACTCGAATCGTGGGAATCATAACCATCATCATGATCATCATCCCCGTTTCCACTCAAATATTTCGTGTTGCATGCGGTTTCTTTTGTTTAAAACCCAACTGATGGCAAAAATAGAAATGTAAATAAGAAATTTGATACATTACTTGCAACATTTACCTATTCGGTTTTCAATTTGGGTTTTTGTTATCTATAAGTGGAACATAATGGACGCAAAAATTTGATAGTTTGTTTTACGCGACGAGCCAAAAAATGTTTACTGACATTTTTTCGCGCTGTAGATCACAAGTAATTATCAACAGATTATAGGAGAAAATCTCTTAAGAAAAATTCATAATTTTTCTATATTAATTTCGCCTGTTGCAATTCTTCATTTTAACCAGAAAATTCGTCAAACAGAGATTCTCAGGTTCCCAATCATTTAGAGCATTTTTTCTGTGACACTTTTTAATTGGCATCAAGAATTCCAAGTCACAATTAATTGTTTGCTTTATCTTTTGATAACTTACGCGCATTGGATATTAGCATTCGAAATCTAGTCTGGATCAATTTTTTGTTATAATTTGCTACCTCTTGATAGCTAGCATCGAAATCAGAAATTTATGAGCAGCTAGGGTAAAGTAAGAAATTTGTTAAAAAATTATCGAAACATGGTTTTAAATAATTATTTTGAGCATTCCTAAAAAACAACCAATGAACTATTATTTATACCTCAAATTATGGTCCACCAAAATATTTAATCATAAATACCTTGACAAATATTCTTTATTTGCATTTTGAGATCAGCTAGGGATTAACTCTAAAAATTCCATATTGCTAAATCTTACTCAGAAAAGTGGATAATTTTGGTGAAAAAATTATATTTCAACTTTTTTTTCTAAATCAAACCTTATTTTAGTACAATACAATTATTAAAGTAGAAAATACACATATGACTTACCAGTATAGCGAATACAACCGCGAAAATCATGTCTCTAGAATGTCACGTCAAAAATAAGCTCCTCTAATTAACCGTACTTGTGGTGAAGCACAATTGAATGGGTGGTGTGCACAAGAGTCTCTCCAGGCGAAATGTAAAAAATGTCTGCCGTTGGCGGCAAAAATTGTTGGGTAGGCGGGTCAAACAAACACGCGGCAACCGGAACGCGGCAACGACTAAGAGCTCACGTCGAGGTCGCGCCAATACAACTTTATATACTCGAGAGTTGATTGTTGACTCATTCGACGGATTTCAACGCGTTTTTTTTTCTCACAAAGAGTATGAAAATAGCGTGACAGATCAACATCATTTGTTTAGTGACATTAGAAAAATGAAATGATTCATTATTTATATGAAATCAGTGATGTGCAAATTGTGGCGTAAAGATGGCTCACCAAATTCATGAAAAATACGATGAAAGATGAATAGTGTGTAGAATGCAGCATTGAGAATGTTGTATGTTTGAGTTTCTCGATGGTGTGCGATGTAATGCGAAGACCAGTATGATGACTGTCGATTAAAATGTGGTAATAGAAGCTCATAAATCCAACGACCAAGAAGTTTTACTTTTCCTTTTTTCTCGGTGAAATGATGTGTGTGTGTTTTTTTTTTTAACTTCCAGTTTCCGATTTTCAAGCGGTAAACTTTTCACTTTAAGCGAATTGAAGTATGAAAATTGCTTGGAATATGATAACTAACTGAAAATGGTTATAAGGGACTTGAATTTAAGTTGAACGTCTATCTGAAACACTATTCCTTTTATTGTAAATCTTGGAATTCGCATAAGCATGCCGTAGCTGAATATTTAAAATTTATGATCTCATTTAGTAAAAAACTGTTATAGAAATCGAAATTCATTGAGGTCTTCTTAAAAGATTCAAATTTTTCAATTTTTTGAGAGAAGGGCAAAATTTAGTATCGTCTCTCTTTTTTTTAAAGATTAGAAAATACCGCGTTATCGGTTTTTTTTCAGTTTACTTTTAGCGATATTATCATTATTTCTGGTTCTTATTTAAATGTATGCATTATTAGCCGTGTATTTTTCACACATTAAATTAAATGATTCCTCTATATATTCAACTGTCTGAACTTTTCCTTGATATTTCGATTTTTAGTCTATGTTGGCTACAATTTTCATGCGCTAGAATAAACACTCTATGCACACGTTAGCATTCAAATTTGTTCGGGATCAACCTTCTCCCCAGCGGCGGCGTGAACATAACTCGTTCACTGCAACACAATCCAGTTATTTATCAACACCAATATGCTCAAAAGAAGGCACAACAAGTCAAGCTTTTTGGTGCGCGCGGTATTTAACACCACTTGAAAGATCGTTGGCATAAGTGTACTAGGTTGAGAAACGTCATGATGAATGGCGCACCGACTCTCGTGGATACTAAACAAATATTACCCATAGGACAATTTTTGACAGTCAGCAATTAAAAAATAATAATTTAGTGTCAAAATGTTGAGCAAGTAAATAACTGATACGTTAAAAGATATGAGCAACCGAAAGCTGTCTGCATTTTTTTAATTGAACAAACAACAAAATTATTCGCATTTGTTTCCAGCTTTTCCAAGATCTCGGTGAGAAGGGAGTGACGGGAAATACAGATAATGAGCTGCTCGACGATCTCATGCGCAAGGCGATTCTAGCATTAAGAACATGTCTTGTTGAGCTCCAAAGAGTTCATTCCTTATCCGACAAATTCAAAGAGCGGTATTTGGGTGGGTTTCAATCATTAATATTTTAATTAGGCTGTTTATTTTCAGCAGTTTTGCGGCGAACCGTTTGTCATGAAGCCTTAATTGGCAACACCGCAGATAGCGACGATGATATAACCGACAATAACACATCTGATGCAGTAGAGGTTTTAGATCATCACCGTTTAGAAAATTTTAAAATAGATAATTAAGGGATCTACGGTGGCCACAATTCAAACAAATAACGGCACCTTGTCGTTTCCGCTTCAAATCAACCAGCAGTCAATTACAATGGTCCCATCGACTTCCCAATTTGAAGCGAATTTGGAGTTTCTTAGAAAAGTATACGCATTTTTCTATATTTATCTTGAATGCTGAATTTCAGATTGGAATTCAAGCAATGCTTACCCCACAAGTCGTTGCTGACGCCTCAAAGAAAATCGTCGGGTCTCCCGAAAAATCGGAAGAGGAAAAAACAATAGCGTTGTGATATCATCATAGTCGAATTGCCATTAAGAATTTATTGGAATTATATACTTAAATATTGTATGAGGGAAGAAAGACAAAATAAAAATTCTACACAACTGAGCTTGTGACAATTTATGAAGAAACCCGCAGTTAATAAATGAACATTGTCGGGGGGATCTCAGATCAACAGAAATGCCTAACAATTGAAATCTATAGGAAGCTCTATTCATCGTTTTTGTTCGATTGACTAGATATATGAGACACAACGGCTGGGGTGGAGGAGAGGGAAAATAAGTTATAAAGTGAAGGGAGAATGACAGATTCGGATAGCATATAAGAATGATTTAGACATATTTGGCAAAAAACGACATCTCATCTGTAAAAATAGTTTAAATTAACTGTAAAATTACAGTCGCTGAAATAACGAGCATCATGCAGTAAGATTGGTATGATGCACTAATTATCACACCATATTGTCGGCGTAGAGCGACAGCTGTACGAGGGGGGATTTACGTGCACTCGCCTTTCTATGGTCCCGCATCGACTAACTAGTAATTTTTCATTTCGTTTTCAGAGAGATCATTTTGTAAAATTTTAGATTTCAATGATATTAAGTATTCAAGGAGGTGATGAATTCATCAAAAAAAGTAACGAGTTAAGCGGCGTTTACACGTGGCGAGACCATTTCGAAAGACGAACTCATAAAACTTCCCACATACAACAGTCGCCGGACTTCGTCTATGCTCAAATTGGAAGCCAAAAATACAATAGTCTTGTTTTTTTTTTTCAAATTTCATCTACTTTCAGTCATCTCTTACTCACCTACAAAACATTCGCAGGAAACGCGAACATTCAAATTGAACTTTTTCCATATCTGGCATTCTTTCGTGCCGACGTTCCGAAGAACTACAAAGTTCATATGTTTTTGTCGGCATTTTCCATGTGCTATAAGAAAAAAAAAAACTGGTTTGCCGCTGAATTGATATGAAAAAAGAACGACATACGATAGTCATAAAAATACAGACAAGCTTTATCCGTGTCGCAAGTTACTTCGTTGATGAACGGTGGGAAAAATGTGTCAGGTAATCGTCGAATTGCCTGAAACTATTCGGATGAAATTTCGAAGTGATTTTAATTCGCAATACTTGACAGGCTCCGCATAATCGTAAATATCCATCTTCTTCTGCGCCACGCTTGTCGCAGCCGAAAGGAACTACATGTGATTCCCCTAAAACATCTAAATATGTATTGCATGGAGTTAAAATTTAAAAACCAATTAGTTTCTGGCGCATTGTTACTCTCTCATTTTCCACAGTAAGCGGCTGATCATAGTGAAAACTGAAATTCTCATCGGGTACGGTGACGTTAAGTATTCTTAAAAATTCATTGACACTATCCATTCTCTTATGTCTCCTTAATGATGGCGACAGAATTGTGCGCCTTGGTTCTGCGCTGAAAACCAAATTTTCAGTGAATGGAAAAAAAAGGTGGAATAAAGCTTACAAGGTCACATTTTGAAGTTTCTGCCTTAAATCTGAGGATCGAATATCACATGAGACATTCAGCTCTCTCATGAGTTTCTCCAGCGCTGCCACGTTTCTTTCAATTACTTGATCAGTCTTCGGCTTGTTTTTTGAAGCTTCATGCTTCTAAAAAACTGCGTTATGTTAATGAGATAAAATTTTATAAAGGAAAACAAATTTTATTTGCTCAATTCTAGAAAATGCATCTACTTGATAATTTTCGTGAATCGATCTATCCAAAAATCGTATAACTCCGACAGCATCCCATGCCATCAATTCTGGATTATATGTGCCTTTCTGTTTTAACTCTGCTACTAATTCGGGCTGACTCAATCGTTTGCATTCGGTCAGGGAATCATTTATCTAAAATTTTATTTTAATTACTCCTACACAATTGCAAAATTTACATGCTGAAAATGGCCGGATTCAAATTTGGAAGGCAGCTGTGTCCTGGGCTCATCTAAATTTTCACTAGCTGATGGAGCTATTGTCGTGGTCACATTGACTACTTCAATATTTTGTGAGACTTTGATTATTTCTGATGCACTTTTTTTTAATGCACCAATGCGGGACAAAAATCCCGTCGAATCTCTTAAAAGTAAAAATTTCCGTATGCGGGTACTGAATATTTACCTGTTAGGAAGAGAAGCTGAAATTGGTGAAACGTCGCGTTTCTTTCTTGTTATTGCAATTGCCTTTTCAATTTTGCGAAGCTGACTGCTTAAATATTTCTTGATTTCTTCAAGTTCGCCGTCTGCAATATAAAAGTCCTATTAGGTGCACTCTCTTAGAAGCATTAATCACATTATTATTATGCTACAATTAGCCTCCATTTCGCATTGATAACGGACTGGTTCTTGACACAATACTCATTTCTGTCCGCAGATGCAATACAGATATACATATATATATATATATACATATATATATACATATACATATATATACATATACATATATATACATATATATATATACATATATATATATATATATATACATATACATGTATATATATATATATATACATATATATATATATATACATATATATATATATATATATATATATATATATATATATATATATATATATATATATATATATATATATATATATATCCAAACAATGGACAAAAAATAGCTGAGATCGCAAGTGATTACCGACGCCCAAAAAAAAAAACGCGAGACAGGTTGCTTTGCGGCGGCAACGCCGTTGCGCAATTTCGATTTTTAATTTGATTCGTTGTTGCTGACTGATGAGAGAAGGAACCGAACAGATGATTTAAGCAATCGCGTTCGAAGCGATTGAAACGAGAAAATTTTTTGGTGGAGCGATGGCATAAAAAATGGCTTGTCAATCAAGCATCAAACATGTGGGTTTCTATATGTTTTTATTTTTTGAGAAGATAAAACAAAGCTTTCCATTTCCTCAATTATAGAAGTTTTAGTGAAAATTTCAATGCAAATAAACTGAATAGCTTAAATTGAATTTTCCAACTACTTTTGAGATTTAAAAATTTAAGATGATGCCGGTTTTTTTTCAATTGATACTTTTAATAATTTTTTATCATTTATATTTAGATAAATTTTCTTTAATACTCCTCTCTTAAAAAATAGAGCTTCCTTCTCGTGTTCCATTTTTTTCTCAATTTCTCTCGTTCGGCTTAGAAATAATTCAAAAGCAACATAAAAATTGACGGCAAACCTGTTGCGCCGGTAACATCAAAATCTTCGAACTGCTTCGATATTGGTAAGAATAGCAGAAAAACCAGGATTGTCGCAGATGGAATGAGCGACATCAATTCACGGCTGGAATAATTCTTGACTATCTGATTTACAAGAATGCGACGATTTATTTCGGATGTTCTCCAGATGAATGAATAATTTTGCGCAATGTGAAAGTATTCAAGGACCTGATTTCTGAAGACATTGTTAAACGAGGAGGGGGCATTCTACATCGTAAGCCAGAGTGCACTTTGAACAAACTCAAATAGACAAATATGAGGGAACAGTAATTTTGATATTAACTGAAAAGAATATGAAGACGGGCGTATAAGGAAAAGTCAAAAGCTGATCAAGCGCTTTGGATGTGCGGAGGGGGGAAAAGACCCCCATCCCCTCCCCTCTCTCTATGCGTTGCCGAAATTCGCAATCCAGTTTGAGGCACACGCCACAACATCGGCCAATCTCTCTGCCATTGAAACATTTCTGTTTTTATTCGACGTGGCATGCCTTGGGCCCATACCTCTGATCAGCTCCACCTATAATGAAAAGGAAATCAAACGAGTTTTCTGAGATCATAAAAAAGTGAAATTCAGTTTACACTGAACATCAGTGACGAATATGCTAATTTATCACCGTTTCAGGGAAAAAGTTCTAAACCATTTTGAACATGTGCTTTTTGCGACTTTAATAAAAGAAATAAAACAAAAATATATTGGGAACTCGAGTTTTTTGTTTTTGGCTGGTCGTGAGAAATTAATCTTCGAACGTTTATTTGTAATCACATTTTTTTTCTTAAGAAAATCAGTTCTTTATTTTTTCCGTTGAAGAAATTACGAAAAACTCATTATTCTGCAATTTTTTCGGTTTACCAGTCTCAGAATTTTCACACAAAATTTCAGTTTCAAAATTTTTAATTCAATTTTTTGTACACTCAGGTTGATTTCTTAAAGTTGTCGCATGCTACAATTAAGATTTTGATCTCATTATTTTCAAGATATATTATCAAAACAGGTCTACCAGGAAGTGATAAGCCAAGTGTTTTTGGCTAGTTGGAACACTTATTGGCATAATTCGCAAAATTCCAAATGAGACTGGATTTCAGTTTTTTCCAACAAAATAATTCATTTTCATAGCGTAATTTGAAGTTAGAAAGCGCCTTCTTTATCAAATACACTCAATCTCTAATCAGTTTTTGCAAAAACGACGTTTCAAAGAATAAATTAATTATATCATCATGAGTTTCGCTATTGAAACTTTTTCGTCGCCCAAGTGAATTACAGTATGTTAATCTTATGACTTCTGATGACATTTAAACCAAATTCCAAAAATAAAACTACCAGATATTAAACGAAAAAAATCATTCAAATTCATTTTCAGCTGTTTGTTACGTTTACGAAGTGAGCAGGTATAAAACCCGGTCAAGCTTGGTTAAAACTCATTATTTATCAAAGTAAATAATGAACTCAGATCAAGATAATTCAGGTAGGGGTATTTTCTCTATTATTTTTGAATGTTTGATTATTAATGAATGACATTTAGCTGCTGTCTTCAATGGCAAAACTCGTGTATTTTATATCTCAACTGAACGTCTTTTCGAAAGTCACGCGGATATCGCAAAAGGCACTGTTCAAAAGCTCGCCCTCATCGTTTATTATTGTAAAAATCTCACTGCATTTATTGGTAATTTTGTTAGAGAGCGAAAAAAAAATCAATTTTTGTGCCCCTAGGATGTGTATTCTATTGCTTCATGGCAATAGCAATCAAACATCGAAGTCACACTTTGAGAAAAATGGAAATAATGTATTTTCTTATGTCTACGTTTCAAACTCTCACGTTCTTCTCAATCCTGGTGTTGCAAAAGGTAATGCAACAATGAGTAAATCCTCACCAAACATCTTTAGATAAGCTTCAAACACCGTAATATTGAGTATTTTACCTTCGAATCCTCTCACTTTATCAACCCTATTATATTATACCCATTTGATATTATTAACTTGATTCAGTATCAGTTTTTCTGGTTTTTTTTATGCGCTTTAATAGTATTCCGATTAATAGTGTTCATGAGTTCCAAGTGAGAGTCTCATTCACTTAATTTCCTCATTCGAAATTTCAGAAAAAGAACATTATTTATTTTCTACGCTTATCTCGTAGTCGCAACCTGCTTCTTTGCATTAATATTTATCTCTGTCACAGTAAGTCGTCTAATTCATAAATTTCGAATTTATTCTATTGTTCAGGCTTCTCAAGTCGAAATACTAATGCTTATCCTGACTTGTTTTTTGTATTCAATTAGCAAGCGGCATATGGTCGCTCAGCTTTACGTGCAGGGCTTGACGTCAACTGATGTCAAAAACAAAAGCAATGCAAATGCCATGACCGGAATACAGGTTTCGGCAATATTGCAATTAAATCATGTTCCAACTAGATACTCAGATCTTCTTTGGAATTCTCTATCATGGCTTCAGAATCGGAATGCAATTGGTTATAGCGTCTTCTGTGAAAGAGGACGCGAAAAGTGATCGATCGATCACTATAAATCAATTGGTAATTAAAAAAAAAACCCAATGTTCCGTGTTAAACAAAAAGAAAATCATCTTGCAGGTGTTCGAATTATTTGCCAATATCGGAAGCCTGTTCAACTGCGCTCTCTACTATTGGGTTTTGAAGGGATTCTTCACGGTCGAACGGCGTCAGTCGAATGTTATTCCGATCATTGGCTGCAATTCGACGCCATTGAACTCATCGCCAAGCCCGCAAGTCTTCTCCCGTCGTCCATCGACGATTTCGGTGTATTGGCCATGTCACAGTCCAATACCGATGAGTTCACCAGCTGATCCGAACCTATTGCATATTTAATGATGTCGATGTCACACCCGGAAGGCGTGGGATATCATATAAACAATTTCACTAGAATTCTGAATAAGCAGGTGAAATTCAAAATGTCAGTTTTTACGTTCAAAACAGTTTGCACATATTCGAACATTTTTATTTGAAAAGAAATTCGGTTCAAATCGGAGGAATGGTGTAAAGTTCTAACCAAATTTGGAAAACGAATAAGAAAATAAGAAGAACAATTGAGAACTTATTATTAGTATTATTATAAAACGGGCAAGAGAAATCACTATAATTGAATTTGAAACATCGAGAATAAATAATAACGCTCAATTTATACAACAAATGTGAACACCTCGTTGTTTGTGAAGATTTCAATTTTTTTTGGGGAGGGGGGGGGGATTACATTTCATATCGATCACCATAATTGCCGTAATCGGAGAGGAATGGCTGACGAGTCATGCTAAAATATATTGTTTTATTGACTAGTTTGAAAATGCTCGAAAAAAAATTTACTTTCGCAAATTCTCCGCAACTATTTTACTCATCATAAAGTTGCGTTTCATGCTTTAGAAGTTTCAATTACCTGCTATTTGGTCCAGAGGTATTCTGCGCCCATAATGGTGTTATCTGCTCATCAGCAGCAGTTCCTGTAGTTGTATTCGTCGATGGCTCAGTGCGCTCTCTGCGAAACAAATAAATGTGTGATTGTGATGGAAAAGGGTGCGAGACGGAAATAGTTTTAAGAAGGGCATCCATAAAGGAAACACTAAAATCAGTTAAAAAGAATTCAAAGTTTTACCTGGTTCTTGGATTATAGACGTGCGTTCCATAGATGTCAACAGGAATTGTGGAGTCATTGGCACCTCTAGGGAAGAATGGATCATCCTCATCTACTTCCACATACTCATGGGGGCTGTAAGATTCTACTATTATCCGGGAAACAATTCAAATCATTTGAATGGCAACTAAATCTATAAGGTGAGCACTTAATAATCTCGTGCAGGCATGCAATTTTCAACCCATTTTGAAATAATAGGAATTCTAAAATCTACTGGAACTTTGCACAAATACACGCGAAACAGACCTAAATGAGACGCGTTTGCTCATTGAGTGATTTTCCGTGGCTTTAATGGTTTTCGCTTTGTCGTTCATTGGAAGAACGCAATCCGATGTTTTTACGGTCTCATACCGAAATGGGCGAACACGCATCGGATGACTAGTTTTGACTCTGTTGGAAATTGTCAGCGATAGTGAGAAGTTAGTCGGTTGGATTGTGTGTTGAGAAGTGCGGAAGCATACATTTAGTGTTCGTGCTTTTCCGTGGATTTTAGTTGGACGTTTGATTATTAAATACTTACAGTTTGGAGAATAGATGCCACGTCTTCGAGACAATGATAAGAAGAGCGAAGAGCAGAAGACCCAGTGAGAAAATTCCCATAAAGTAAACGATCATTCCAGCTCTGAAAATGACTTATTCGTTTTCATTATTTGATCCAGCTATTCTTACACAGCCTGATCGCAAATTCCGTAATAGAAATTGGCGACGTCATCATGGAACACGTAGCACGACGAAGACGATGACACAGCTCCTGCGAGCTTCAAAAGCTTTGTGACGTCATCGCCAACAACCGCTGACGAATTAGTTATCTGAAAATGAAATGTCAATTTATCCATTCAAATTTGGCTTTTTTCATACAATCGAGCTAGAGTTGAAAGCTAGTTCCATGAGTCGGTCAAGCTTGGACTTGTTCGACGGAATATTATTAAGAAGAGCGATGTGGCTTGAGATGGTAGCAGGCAGATTGTCATGAGTTGTCGATGGCTTACAAGTGTTATAGAATTGGACATTCTCATACATGTTGCCAAGATGATGTTTGGTAACCGAGTCGCCATTTCTGCAGAAATCGGTGAGAGCCTGAAACGGAGCAAAAATTGGAAGAATCAATATTCCCAGAGAAATGCCCATTTGTTCGGCTTTCTTAATTACATTCCCAAATTTCAATATTTGAGGGCATTGAAGTTTAAATTGTCCTTCTTTCAATTTATTACCGTTGTCAGTGGGAACGACACGGCGATCAGCATCCATACAACCAGGAAGATGAAAAAGCCAATTGCGCTGAAGACAACGGCTCCTTTCTTTGATTGCTTGCAGAATGAGATGACACCAGCAAACAAAACGCAGATTGTGATTGAAAGCACAATGACCAAGAACGCCCATCTGCAAATATATAATGTCAATGAAACGATTCCAGTGTTACAATCGGAGGGTTGCATAGAAAAGAACCAATGAAGCGGACAAGTAGTACTTGACGTGCAGTTGGTGTCTCTCCGACAAACATTCGGCGAGCAGCACACACATTTTGTGCTCATCCATCATTTATTAATAATAAAAGATGCTCACCGTTCACTTTCGTATGTTGACATCACACGGCGTAAAGTTTCGAGTTTATCGAGATCTTTGTCATGTTTTGCTTCGAGCAGTTTCCCGTTTTTCGCGATCACTTCCACCTCATCGGTGATATTGGTGAGAATCTTATCAATCTCCTGGACAAGCTGAAATAAAAACATCTGAGCCTAATTCCTATTTTTAAATCAATTGCTACCGTTGTGTTTTTGGCAGTTTTACTGGCATTATGTACACTATCTTCAAGATCCTTCAAGTGAAGTGTTGTTTGAAGCGCAGCGTCTTGAAATTGGTCAATCTAAATATAATAAAGCTCACTTAATTTTCATAATACACGTCTAATGTACCTGAGAAAGCGAGATCTGATACGATCTCTTTGAATTGATAATGGAGTTGATCGAAATCGAAGCTCCCCGATTGGTATGCTCATTGGCGAAAAGGCATACTCCTAGGATGAGGCTGGAAATGCATAAATTGTCAACTTCAATTTGTTTGAAACGTTGCTCTGCGTAAAACGCCTTGAGCAATGAATAACTTACAAGCAGATGACGGATAAGACGAACAAAATTGTCGACAATCGACGAACTCTCCGACGTGTCTTTCCAGTCGCCTCATTCTTACGACAAGATTGGCATATCCATACAATAACGATAGTGATGAGAAGCAAAAGACTAATAGCAGCTCCGAAGCAAGCAAGAAGGGCGAGTCCCTGAAATTCACTATGTCAGATGAAGCATTGAATCGTCTTATTTTCGGTTCGGAGCAACATTAAATCTTCATGTTAATGTATTTTCCCATTTTATTACTTTCTTTTCCCTCGCAACCAGCAATGTTTTTCTTTTTCGACAAAAATGACTTTTAGTCATAAATTATGCATAATGATAAATAATTCACAACAAATAATGATGTTATAGATGCCGCGCGCCATAAACTTTATCGACAGTTTCCCGCGCAATGGGGCTCACCGAGTTTCTGACCTCGGTCATAAATTTTATGTTTTGTGCAAGCAAATTCGCGATAAGATTGCTTGCGTTTGCCGCTTTGATCTCGTCAACGCCGCTCCGAACATCTGCTGACACTGTCGGGAGCAACGAAGATGGATGAATGAGTGATTTCGTCTATTGTTGCCCATATATGTGCGAAAATTTTCTCGCCGCTTCGCGTTTAATTGAGTAACAAATGCTCCGCGAGCCTACAAAGGGAGGCAGCGTGGGGGAAAACCGATTGACTTTCATGGGTTTCGCACGGATATACGATTACACAATTCAATTCTGACTTCCATATTTGTTGATTGTCGCATATTCATACGAAATGAATGAATAAGTGCTCATACCTGGAAATATTCGCTTTTCCAGTTGAAATTAAAAATATCCTTGCTCCATTTGAAGTCGAAATTGAGCCTTGGAATATGAGAGAAGCAGTCAATCCAAAACGATGCAAACGTCATTGTATCCTTATTTGATCTCCTACCTTTTCCTACTTCATATCTTCTGTAAATTACGCTCATCAAAATGTGAAAGAAAAAAGAAGGTTTTGAGATTGGATAGAAGAAAAAAAAAACGTCGACAATCTGAAGGACATGAAAGCCTCTTGAGGCAAATATACTACTTGGGAGGGGAAGACAACGGCCAAAAAATGAAAAGAGATTGGCAAGAATGTTTTGTCAGCGATTTATCATGGTCAACAGATGACTGACACATTGCGGGAATAATGGGGGTCGCGTCGCCAAAAAAAAGTATGGTGTATGCAAATTGTGTATGGATCCTCCAACCAAAAATTATTGAGAACCACAAAGTAAGTATGTGAAAAACAATTGGTAGGCCTAATTATGCATAAGGAATGTGAGAAACCACATAAAATATGTTGTGGACCTCCCAAGCTTCACATACGCACACACGCACTAATTGTCCAATATTTCATTCTCGAAATTGCTCTCGAGACCGACGGTGGATCAAAACCCACGCTAATGAGCAACAGAAGAAGCATCTGAATATGATTGAAAACGGAAGGACGTGAAACAGCACGACGGAATGAATATAAATGCGTAGAACGTATCGGCAAACAGTGTGCAATTAGCGGAGCGCGAGCGAGAGAAAAATAGGCGGACAACAACGATGGTGGACGTCGACGACGACGATGGCGGCGGCGGCGGCGGTGGTGATGGTGGTGGTGGGACTGAGTGCGCGGAGAGAAAGTACGTTGAGTTGGATGGGGCTCATTGTGCGCACGGGCGAGTATTCGGAAACAGACAAAAAAAAAACACGCATTCAGACATGAGGGTAGATTGAATTCACATGAAACAAAAAAGGTTGCTTCACATGTTCTATTTGAAGATTCAATTGAGAAAAGTTGATATTCTCAAGCTGGAGATTAATGGCCAAATCTTGTTGTTTATTGGATTGTTTATTTCCAGAAATAAACGAATCTATGAAAATTAATTGTGGGCAACTTTGAGATCAAGAATAAGGCGCCCCCCCCCCCGTAATACTCTGAACAAATTCTCAAGAAGTTAAATCCGATTTTATTTCTATTTCAGTAAGATGGAAAATTGATATCTGCGTATACTGTTTCTAAATTTAGAGATAATCCGGATGACCGATTTCCGTAAAAAAAATAGAAAACTCGCCTTGAATTTAACAACAAAATTCTGGAAAAAAAAGAAACAAATTGTCATTTCATTTTTAAATTCTCATTGCTCGGCGATTAGATACGAGAAATTGAGCTAATTGGGAAACGCTTGCTCAAAACCAATAATTTGTGAAGCACTTTAGAATATTGGGTTGTTTCGAAGTTTAAAAAATTCAGCCACGTATACAATTTTGAACGCATGTGCAATGCCACAGAAAAAAAAAAGCGCGTTCCAAATTCAATTTCCCGTCAAAAAATGAAATAAAATGAAGCAGAAGGCGCGGCCCCAGAAAAAAGAAGAGGATGAAAATGGTTGGGATGGGGAGAGGAGGAGGAAGAAGCGCTAGGCGCGGACAATTTCAATACTCGTCAAAAAAAGTTGTGTTGAGGCGCAGCGACAAAGAATCACGATGAGCTTGGTGTGAACATGTGTTTGGCGACGGCCAACCACCGATGTGTTTGTTAACATTTTATCTTTGACTATCAACAATGAAACGTGAGACACCCCCCCCCCCCGTCCACCTTTCCCAAATGGCCACCAGCAAGTCAAATTTCATGAAAACACTGATGAAAAGATAAGAAAAGACAGGTTAAACTAGAAATAATTGAACTCGAAAATATTTTCTCATTGGTAATCTTGACAAAATCTAGAAGTCGCATGTGGCTTGCAGATGTCAAGTATCAAGTTTTAGATCAACAATAACAAAAACAATTTATTATTGAAGAAGCTAACAATCTATCAAAAAGATGTATTTTGAAATCGTACTTTGAAAATGTTTTTGTTGATTGGAAAAGAAGTGACAAAGCGCGTTGTGTGTATGTATAAGAAAAGCAAATAAATATTCATATTGGCAATTATTGCGAAAACAAATTCTTTCGTGAATGCCCATTTTTAAACAAAGGCTTTGTTTAAGCAGACATTCGGATTCGAAAATGAGAAATGTCGTTAAAAAATGGCATTGGGATTTGTTTCGATGGAGAAATGGGAATCAACGTTGGAACACATACTTGTCGATGAAAGTAGGACTACAATCGGAACCAAGTGATGAATCATCCATACGTGAATCAATTGGTTTCGCGCCCTTGTTATCGATCGATTGCGCCGGAGAAGAAGGAAAAAAGCGGCATGATGGAGTCGGCCGTAAAAACTTACCTGGTACACGAACACGGCGCGACGGCGTGCGAAACGACGGACGAAAAAGGGACACACAAAAACGATGGCGATTATTGAGAGACACGACCCCGAGATAGGCTCTTTTAGTGGCCATACATAACCGTACCGCCTGTGTAAATACGTGCAAGCTCCCGAAGCCCCGCACTTCTTTTCCCGCTTGTTATTATTATATACAATAAAAATTGATTTCTATCATCTATTTGCGCACGCATGCGAAACACTGCGGATGCCGAAACGTTTTACGATTTGGGAATATGACGAGCGCAGCCGGGTGACCGGCCCGGCCCAATGCGTTGATGCCAGCCGCGATTGTGGTCAATTTAATCTGTCATGGATTAATGAGGATCAGAATGCTATTATATGTGGAGACGGAGGGGAAGATCGATTATAAACAATAACAATACAGATGGTCTAAATGTCGCATTTCGTTTTTTTCTTCATTTATTCTGACTCAGTTAGTTTATTATAAGAAAAATATGAATAATAAAGTGGCAACGCGGTTTTGATAAAGAATCGGTTTTTCGTGAAAATTATTTATTCGCCTCTCTCTCTCTCTCTTTCCTACTAATATCATGTTTTTGAGGATATTTGACACCTTATTAAACATGACAGAATTCATATAATTAACCTAGTCAATTTCTCGGCCGCCCCTAAATACATATATTTGTAATGCCAAAATATGAGCTTGAGGAAAAGTTATAATAATGAAAAGCATGGAATCGCCTAAATTTACCCTCAACATTGTTGTTAGGGATACATGCGGCAAGCACATATACAACAATATTATGACTAGTACGAAATTGCGCACCATGGAACTAATTAAATGGGTTCAACTAATGTGCAAGTTTTTTCCTGTTGCACTTTTTCAAAAAAAAAATGCGAAATTTGAAGTGAGAAATGCGAATAGAAATAGATTGTTACTTATAGACAACAAAATGAAGAAAAAAAGACTCCTAGAAGATTCGCAATTACTTTTTTACCAAATCCTTAAAATCAATATTTAGGACAATCGGTTCTTTACACAAGGTTAAGCCGTTACTCAAGAACTATGTTTCTTGTTTTTAAAATATTATTAGTGGGGGAAAATTGTTAAGCATAACTCGAAGAGAAAAAACCGTTTTGCTTATCATGAGTATCGTTTGAAATGAATTCAATGATTTAACGAAAAATAATGCATAACAAAATTGCTCTAAAAATTGGATGCCAGCAATATTCATATACCATTGCGCATATCTTTTCGTTCAGATGATTCAGCTAACAAAACAAATGAAAATAGCAAGCCAATAGCCCATTCTCATCTACCTACACGTTGAGAATGTCGTAAGCAGCAACGAATCAAATCAAATAAATAACAAGGTGGGAGAGAGTTTTGCAAACCAAGACGCCAACGAAATTGAGGTTGCGATGGCAATAAAATGTGAAAAGGATTTATTGGAAAAGTTAATGATTGCGGTCCGCCTGATCGTCGCTGTGTTCATTTATATGTTTGAGAATCGGCACAAGACAATTAAACGTAGGGTAGAAGAATATTTATTGTTTCGGGACACGTTTGATTTTAATTTATTTGCCATAACCGAATGGTTGATAATACATTTGATTATATGGCTGCAACTGGTAGGGCTGCTGGAAAAGCACATTGCGAAGCCCATGTCGTCGAAAATCGCGGAACTAAAGCTGTCAAATAAGGATTAAAATAATGGGAAAATTGTCGCAAACCGCTTTTCTTTCTTCACTGGACCCGAATGAACTTGAAGAAAGCTTCCATCGGTAAAACTTCTGCTTCCAAGCGTCCGTGGTTATAACCAGCAATGAGAAACATAGTACGAATAGCCAAACTGACCTCATTTTTGTGTTAGCGCTACACACAAATACGTTCTTTTATAAGATGAAATGTAGCCAACCCCAAGTTCGCCATATATGGCGTGTCTTAACAGTTTCACTCACTGAAATCTGGTTTCTAGTCACGTTAATAAATTGCGGATCAAATTGTGATAAAGTCACGAAAGAGGGCTTTTTTGGTCAACACGAGAACTATTTAAACCACGAGATCAATTTTATTGGTCTCAGAGTATGTTTCTACAAATTAAATTGAAATTTATTTCAATCCTGGAGGCCTTTTTTCTTTATAAAAAATAAAAAAAAAACGATTTTTGCATGAGTCCATAATTTTCTCAAAATTATGTATTGTTTAATATATTCTTTTTGAAATTTCATATTTTTCTAAATTTCATTCAATTTCGAACATTTTAGTGAATTGTAACCAATAAATTGAAATTTTAAAAATTTTACCACAATTAATTTGAATAATTTTTCAGATTGGAACATTTGAATCACAAGACACAACTCTGATTCCTAAATCACGTTTAAATTTCTCTATTCGCCGAATAATCAGCTGCATGAAAATTTCAAGTGACGTGATTTTCGCCGAATTCTATACACAACGGCATCCTTTACATTCAATCTAATCAAATCTTTTACAATCATCATTTATTGTAAGTTAGACAGCAACTCAACTCCGTCATCTGTTCGTGCCCAGCATATCTCACAAACTGAGAAACAGTATACGATTGTCTAGAGAGACCCATACATTATAAGGTTGTGCACCAGATAACAATGAGGTCAACCTCTACCCAAAAATAATAATATCGAATGCACCGCCCCAACGTTCATTGCTTCATTCAACACCGCGTTTGTTCCAGCGAGCGGTTGATTATTCCTGACTGGCTTTTCATCAACGAAATATCGGGAACATTTTATATTTCTTTCTAAGCTCTTCTTAAATGTAATCTAATCAAAATTCCCTTTCAATAGTGGTATATGTATATGTATATACATCACGCTCATACCTAATGTTACAGGAAATGCGCCTACCATAGGAAATGCATAAAATTACTAATTCGGAAATGAACTTTAAGGCCTTCCCGATGCTTTTCATATAGTGATCTTAGCTGCTTTATATTATTCTATGACACTTATTTGAATAGGCATTAGGGTAAGTCTGCACATTTTTCAACGGTTTCTCGCTATTATTCAAGGATTAGGACTATTCAAATGCCTATCAAATGGTGATCATTGCTAGAAAAAAATGCTGCTATGACACCAATTTGAATAGACATATGGATATGTCTGAATATTTTTCAATTGGTAAGTGAAACATTTTCTACTTATCAAAGGTTGGCAACAATATGAAAAAAAAATTGAGAGGTTTTGAAGTCATAATTTCAATTTTAAAATTGTTTTGAATTCATATCGGAAAAAAATTCAAATTTAATATACTATAAATGGATTGGTTTTCACAAGTTTGTTATGTTAACCTGTTTATTCCCTAATTTTCAATCGTCTAAAATTATGTAAAAAAGTGTTTTTTTTAGTCTACACAATATAGTATTACTGTTAAAATTTTTCTTTTCCGTGTTGTTTAGTTTAATGATACTTTGTTGTCTCCAAATTTCAATACTAGATATCCGTCTACCATGCATAATGTTTCGTGTTATCACTGGTACGATCAAGGAAAAACGACGCATCAAAAACCATTGAGATAACTGTCCCATAAAATAAAAATCTTGAGGACGCTGATAAGACGATCACGTCGTTTTGCATAGCCGAATGTGGAACTAAATATTTCATGAAAACATGTCAACGTCACAACGCGTAAAATCTGAATCAAGAGGTTTTCAAAAAGGATTATTGCTTCTTTCTATGGATTTTGATTAATCTCGTGTTTTTTTTTCGTCTTAAACAACTCAAAAAAAATATTCTAGAAGGAATTTACCAAAAAATAATCATAACAGTGCGATTTTTCAGTGAAACAATCTCAATTAAAAAATGGATATATCAGAAAAATGTTCAATGTTCAATAAAGAATAATTCAATTTTTTTGCGGAATTGCAACTATTATAAATCAAACATTATCATTATTGACAATCAGTACTGCGCCAAATCGTTTCTCATAAGACATTCAAGCTTATATGTAAATCCAATTTTTTTTTTTCAAATGTCCGAGACATTTTCTTCTTTTTTGTATAATTCTAATTAATATTGACTTCATGTTTTTCTTAATGATTTTCTATGTAAAACCATACACATATATTTCAAGATTGAATAGTTTATTTGAGATTGTTATGAATATGATGCGAGGAATCCTGAGAATAGATGTTAAAAAGCAGATCCTTGATCGTTTTTGATGTTCACCGGCAGTGTAAAACGTGCTATTACGCGATTTAGAACTTCTTGTATCTAGCTCCGGTGGCGTAGGTGTTGGATGGTGGTGGTGGTGGGGCCTCCATGTATCCTCCGCTAGAAGCAGCAGCGCTAGAAGCAGCAGCTGGCTGATAAACTGGTTGAGCTGGAGCAGATTGGTAGGTCTGGACTGGCGCCTGGTATTGTGGAGCCGGAGCCTGGTATTGATGGACTGGTGCTTGGTATTGCTGAACTGGAGCCTGATATTGTGGAGCTGGCGCGTGGTACACCTTAATTCCACAAAATTACTTCAAGTTTACGCTACAGTAATCCTACCTGCTGAGAATAGTACGCTGGTTGCGCTGGAGCATAAGCTTGCTGGGCTCCGTAGTAGGCTGGTTGAGCGGCATGAGCAGCAGCGCATGGATCGCAAGCGCCAGCACCACCACCGAAGAGATTGCCGAGTCCTCCCAATCCCAATCCGTTGAAGAGGAAGGCCTGGGTGGTCGAGACAGCAAGAGCCAAAACAATAAAGGTCTGCATGACTGAGATAGTGAAGAATACAGAAAACGGCAATCGTTTTATACCTTAGCTAAACAAGGCGGGACAATGGTGCAAACGCCCTTGAACAAGAAAAATTATATTTTTGCGAAAGGGGGGATGGGGTTTCCAATACTGCATATCTATGAACTATCTCTCACTGTTGATTACTCTTCTAGCTCATACAAGGTAACATCTCTCGCTAATACAATTCGGATAAACCATTGTAGTTGGGTGTGTTCTATGACATTTGTCTCCACCTCCTTCCGTCTGCTATCAACAAAAACCGAATTCGCGCTAAACTGTATACGGAAAAGAATTTTTGCAATCGCTTTATGACGTAGCCACCGGGTCATCTATCAAGCACTGGTCTTGCCGACTAACTTAGGGGTTTACATCAATTCAAAAATCAAAAAATGTGGACACCTGGCGTCATTTTGAGATCATTATTAGTTGCAAAAAAAGACAATAAAATTACGGTAGAGAATCTATGGTCGAAGGAACTGAAACGTCGACAACTTTTTGTGAGATGAGTTTGTGGTAATTAACTACAATCCAGAAATATTTCTGCCAGTTTCAGGTATGAGAAACTGGCATGGATAATGTTAGTTTGTTCTAGTAAAAAAGCATGATATTTCAGAAGCTTAAATTTTTTGAATCATAACAGGAGAGATTCATTTTTATGTTTGGTGGATTTCACATTACAAAAAAGACATAATTCTATTTTATTTCACCATCCAATTGGTTTACTGTAAGTTCACATTATCAAGAAATCAAGCTGGTCCCATAAAATCCACCGGAAACCTATAATTTCCTGTATTCGTTCATTGTTTCATTGGTCAGCAAAACATTTTTCCCATTTTTGCCTAGACGAAAAAATTGAGTTTCCTTCTTTTATTTATTGCAGATTTAAATTGATTGTGTGACCTGCTAAAAAATGAAAATCTGGGAAAGCAAGAAGGTCTCGGTAAGAAATTTTTTTATTCAAATGACATTAGAGCGAGTATGAGTAGATTTACGACAGACATTGAATGTGTGAAATCATGAAAAGATTTCAAAAGCAACCTGGCGAAAAATGGAGAGAATTTGCATTCTAATACATCCTTATACATCCGACTTTTTCGCTTTTAAGGCTTCGTTATTGGAATTCACACATTTCCAGTCATGTCACTTTTCAGTTTTCCCCGTTTCAGCTGGCAATTCATTGCTAAATTTCAAAAGTGCATTTTGTATATGAATCTCATGTTTAGCAGAATATTGCGACAACAGGATAAATCAATTCATTGCCCGTTTCCGATGCGAATTAAGAACTGCGTTCACGATTCGTTATAAATAATAACGCGGCAAAACAACCACTCATTCGATGATTGAATCAGACTAGAAGCTTATCTACTACAGTAATTCAATCTTCTTAGAAGTCTAGTGTTCATCCATTAAGCTTCTTGCTTCTAGAATTGTACATATATAAATAAGAAGCTCTCGCCATTTACCGTCATATTTCTTTTATTTTCGAATCCGCTTTTGGCGGTGATGCTGATAATCCTCACAAGCTCGAGCCCCTCTCAAACGCGTTTTGGCGAGAAGGGCGTGTCTGTCGGAGCAACAGAGCTCTCTCGCTCTTCTGTTAAATATGCCAATAATTCGGTGCAAGTTTTATTTCATTTCATTTTGTGTCCACCCACTTCGCTAAACTGTAGGGTTTCTGTTCATATCATGTCTAGGTCGATCTCTCGACCCGATATCATAACTAGCTCTTTGATGTCACTTCTCACTTCGTATTGTCGCGGGGCGCTGTTTGCCGAACAACAGCGCCGTTTTTGTGAGAACTAGACGGTGTCGTAACGAAACGGAAACGGTTGCAGGTTGCATCGTCGTCTCGGTGGACGGAAAAAAAATAGGATAGAAAGCAATACAATACCGATGACGATTGGAAAGCAGCAGCGTGGTACCTCGGTTAGAGAACGAGTAGCGGCCATCGAGAAAAATGAACAGGTTCCGGATGCAACATTTCTTGAAAACACCGTTATCCGGGCGCGATATGCTCCGGATGTGCGTGGTGTTAATAGATATCGACATTTTCATATGTGAGTTCTGGCATCAAATAAATTTATACAACGCGGTAATCCTCGTACTCGGCTTACCTCAAGAACATTAATCCCCGTGAAAACAATAGATTCATTAATTTGATTTTCCATAAAAGTAGTCAGACCCACTTTTTTTATTTGAATCATATTTACATATAAAAGAATTAGTGAATATTCAATCGTTTGGCGAAATGTTTTCCATGCGATTCCGCGGGAAATTAGATGAGATGCAGCTATTTCGATATTCATAATTCAATGGCAATGATAAATTTAGGGTGGTATGTTACTAAAAATAAATTCTGACGTATATAATTCATAGAGTGCAAAATGATCTTTTCATTTCGTTTTTCCGGAACGCCACCTCAAGAAATCATAGAATATCATGCGTTTGAGAGAATTTCACGCAAAATTCTTATCTGAATAGTTGCTAATTTCTTCAGAAGAGTATTCTGATTAATCATTCACCAAACTGGATCACATCATCCATGAGCGCACAATTTCATTTCCAGGCCCAACGTTATGAACGACGTGAACAGCAATAACTTCCCAAAGGATAGCAACCATCTTCCATTTTTAATTAGACCCGGCCAGTAAGTTTGCAAATTGTCGGAACTAGTGTTGAAAATTATTTTTTAGAGTCCATTATATTGACCCAAATGATAGGGATGCTGCGAATGGAATGGAAAAAGGTTCGATGTTTTGGGTTGCTTTTTATTGTGCAATAAACTTTTTCGAAACTTTTTGGCCAAACCGGAAGTGAACGTGTAAAAGAAAAGAAACAGTTATGTGAGAATGCTGAGATTGAATTAAAATTGAAATTTTCCATATTTGCACATAGAATTGTTTGAAGTAGGGATCAATTCAATCTTTTGAATATTTCAATTTTTTTTTCTAAAATTAGATTATTTTCAAGACTTCTCATCACTTTTTGTAGCTTTGAGGCTGTTACATTAGTTAGGACAATTCCAAGACACTTGTCGTAACACTTCCCGTAGTCCGTAGAAGTTTTAGTCATATGCATCCCCTTCACATCAAATAAAATAAATTTTTTTAATTCCACCTGACTCACCACTAATCTGAAATTATAATTTTTTCTAATAAGCGCATTTTAGGCATACGAAAAAAGAAGAAGAACGTCACACTTCCGCAATTGTCGCCGACACCAATAAAACCTACGGTGAATAAAAGGGATATTGTTGATCATAGTACGAACTTTTGGAAAATTAAATTGAATGTGATTGTGTAAAATTTTAGTTGAAAATCGAGCAAGAGTTGCGATTAGAACGAATTCTCCGGAGAAGACATCATCAGAGTCGGATAATTCGGTGAAGTCAAACTATTCAGGAGTGAGGTTTAATGATCGTCTGACATCAACAACGCAGGAAAAACCTAAAACAACTGGTAACTATGCGCGATTTTAATTCAAGATTTGCAACAATTTCCATTATTCAGCAGTACGCCGTACATTTGCTTCACTAGGCCAACGACAAAATGGGGTAATTATTAATGGGCCGCAGAAAAATTCATTAGAAGTCGCGCTACCGCCAAGGTGAGCCATAAGCCATTAGTCATGATATTCAACATGCTCGACTCATAAATATGCACATCAGTTTAGATCAAAGTCCGCACAAGACATTGAAGCTCGAATGGAACCCGATTTTGCGCCGCCAGACACCACGTTCTACAATATTATCGCGGCGCCATCACTTCGCGATTTTCGTGATATGGCTACACAAACTGTGAGTAATACGTCATCTAAATGTAAACTTATCACTCTAATCGTCGCGAATTGGCCTGACTCAATTTGTACTTGTTTCGTTGTCGCAATTTTCATCATGCTGAAAGGCTTCCTCTTTTTGCCGGATGAATGATGGAATTACTAGTAGGAAAATGATATATCAGCAATGAGGGGGAGTTTTGTTAATCATATTAGAGATGCGATTTCGGGATAAAAAAAAAATAATCCTTGAAAATTCTTTTTGATCGCATTATGCCAAACAAGAAAAATTTGGTGACTTCACTGAAAAGCCTGATGGATAAAAAAGAAAATGATGACAGGAAATAATATTCAAAGCTTACATAGATGAATTAGCCTTATAGTTACAGTAATCCCTCAAAATTATATCCTGGTGTAAGAGAATCAAACAAAATGGAAAATAGTAGTAAATCTTAAAAAATAATTTTAGTCGGTCTACAATCACAGGAAATAATAAACGAATACTCTGTATACTATGACTAGTAGATTAATATATATAAATATACATGTAATAATATGTATGTTCTAAACTATTCCTATGCAATTATATATATATATATATATATATATATGTTAATAGTATTATGCAATTCATTGGAATAGTATACTCTGAGGTAAATAGACTTATGTTATTAAGGTTATTTAAAAGTGACAACATGTTTCAAGTATTAATTTTCAGAGCAAACACATGACCACATCGAGTGTGGAGTATTTGAATTGCGGTCGCGGTACTCAAACAGAAGCTGTTCCTTTGATAATCGTCCCCCGAAGGAAATCGGAAGCTCCGATTAATATTCGAGACGTTCGTCCTTCAAATTCCTATTTGCCCTCTTGAAACAAGTTCTATTTTAGTTGGAGGAACGTGAAGCGTTGATGGAGGTGATTGAGGACGCATTCAGCGAGACATTTGATCGATATACGAGGGTTCGAACCAATCAAATAATTGCAAACAGTGCGAAAAAACAAGTTTGTGTTTGCATTACAAAATGAGTCAAATTGAATGCATATTCAGGGTCAAATTCTTCGAGACGCCAAGGACTTTTTAGCAAACACGCTGATACCGCAGGCGGTGATACTCGCCAACAAAAGCACATCAAAACCAAAAACCGCCGCCGAGATAGTCGCAAATATTAAAATATTCCCATAATTCGCTCAATAATGCTTTAGAAAATTTTTGTCATACTATATCAATTATGATTATCATTAATATTTGAATATTCTCTATAACATCCTGTTTGCTTGTGAAATATGAATACTTTCATTCTTCTCCGTTCGCGGCGCCATCAAGAATCTTGCAGGGCGACGAAGGACAAAGTGTGTAAGAACCCGCTAAAGACGTTATCGCAAAAATTGAATGAGAAAATGCAGATAAGTGAAACGATGACATGCATTCCTGTGAAATATTTTTTCGAAACATCGGAATTAAATATATCGAACAGATTTTTTAATCGAAATATTGAATTCGTCTTCAGAAAGTTAATATATAATATAAAGTTCATATACGGTCTACAGCATTAAGTAAATATCATACTACTTTTATTATTAAGTAACTCCATCAAAAAGTCGATCAAAGCCTAGAGCTTCCAGCAACGGATATTATCAAGTCAAGCCAGAAATCATTAACTTCAATGATTTTAATTTGTTTATTTGAAAAAGCCAGAAAAAAATATTATATTTATTATTGAACGTTGACTGGCGAGCCCAAATACGTATTTAATATATGGACACGGATCGTGATCACGATCACGGAAAATGTCAGACTAACTTCCGATGTTACTCATGAATTAATAAAAATCGAAAGTTTAATATAATCATAAGATATCTATGAAAGCTGAAATTTCTTTTCCAGAGAACATTAAAATTATGAAAATAATTTATTTTCATTGGTAGCAATATAAGAAGTCGAATAACTAAAATACTACGATGCATCTGGTGACAACTCTATAAAGAGTATAATAGTTTCATGCAGCTTCTCGATAAGTATTATTGCTTGTATGCGTTTTAACAATGATCGATAAGAAACAAGTCCCAATCAATTTTTTGGATCGGCGACTATAGACAATGCAACGATGCTGAGACAATGACTAACGTTGTACCATCGATGTTTCCATAGAATCTGAACAATAGTAGTCCGATTTTTATTTCCCTTTGTCTTTGTCCCACTTTTCTTCATCAAGACGCCATTTATGGATGGGAAAATGTCGGATTGCGTATTTTCCTTTGCTTTGTATCTTCTCAGCGATTTGCGATAAAGAAAAAAATTTATTGATTTACAAAAAAACATAATCAGATGGTTCGGGTAAGCAAACAAAAATATGGGAGTTTCATTTTTGATGTAGAAAAACAATTTACCAGCATCATCATATCGGTAATTTTTGGGGGGAATTTTTCCAAATTGATTTTCAATGATGTAGTGGATAGCATAATTGATGAATCAACCCGCAAATGCGTCGGTTCCAAAAATTTTCGCACCACAGACACACGGCGACTGAAAATCGATGAAACGCAATCATAAAGAGAATTCACTTTTGGAACTTTACATAAGCATTTACAACAAACAAAATAGGAAAAAATATATAAGAAGAAGAAATGAGTGGAATGAGAGCCCAGGGAGTTGCAAAAATAAAAACGTGTGTTAAAACAAAATACAGAGAAATATGAAAAAACTTACAATTATGTATATATATATAGATATCAATAGAAAATACAATAATAAAAAAATAAATTCTCGCCTAGACAAGTTTCACCTATTAAAAATGTGTGGGATATTTTTTTTATTGGGTGGGTGATTTCAATTGGTGTTGGTTCCTCTCCATTAAGTGGTGCGCTAAGAAAAATTGGTGGTGAACAATCGAGGTTACATTCGTTTAATAGTTGGATAAGAGGTATATCTACCATATCAAAACACGTAAATCTTAGAGAGAGAGAGAGAGAGAGAGAGAGAGAGAGAGAGAAAATTTAGAGAGAGACAGCTGAAAAAAACGAGGAAGAAAGAGAGGGAGGATTACGAAACACCACTAAATATACAGTTAGTTCGATTATGAAGAAATACAAGCTGAGGACAAATTATAAGACAATTATAGAACAGAAAAGGAAATTGAAGATGTCACCAGTTTTATCATATCCAGAAGAAATTTTCAAACTAGCTATATCTATATGTGACAAAATTGCAAAATTTGAACCTAGAACAAAACGGATTTGAGGCACATGACGGTTTTCTTACGGGAATTGTTTCGAGATGGTGGCTGATTGATTTTTTTCGATTTTTCATTTTTTTTATTTCCAAGACGTGAATAGACAGTTCTTCCATTTTGATTTGATGAGAGAACTCGTGATTTAAAAAAAAAAAAACAAACCTAAAAAAACATAGCTGAGGAGATGTTCAATATTCTAAAGAAACGAAGTGGTTACCGGAGAACAATTGAACAATAAAATATGAAAGGATATCAAAGGAAAAGAAACACAAAACAAGAATAATGTGTCAAAAATACTTCGAGCGAGTGTGCACCGGGTTGGTCTAGTAGAAACCGTTGTCAGTGGCTCTCATCGGCTTTGGCCTGAAAAGCTAAAAACGTTAATTGAAATACCGCCCTTATGCAAAGGACATGTTCTCCAGATGTCAGAATTGGTCTCATTCGACATCTGCGAGGCAGTCCTGTATATTCACATAAAAAAGGAGGACATTTTTAGAAGCCACTCAACTACAGTTAGTGTTCACATAAAAATTACTTCAAAAAAAAAGAATGGATGAAAAACCTTATGCCTACACTAGTTTTTCTGGGTTATTTCACGCTCACGCACTTACACATAATTCTGTATATTTAACACATTCCCGGACGCCGAAATCTGGAACTAAACCAAAAAATATGGCAACAACAAAAAAAAATGTTCGCAAACCCCCACTGCCTATCTAATTACCAAGTAACTTAGAATTAAGCTTGGACTATTACACCACATTACTAACATTGACATGTTTTCTTTGGTTGTTACTGTTTAATGTAATCTCTTAGCTCAAAATGCCCCCATTGGATAGTTAAAATATCTGTAACGTATTTCTCTGGGCCTGATTTACGCGATGGAGTTAATAGGTACCTATAGGTGTTCCAATCAAACACGTAGTCGTAGCAATATCCCTGTCGATGAAATAAGCTGCGGAACATGTTTCGCAATTCCGAGTAGTTTGGTGTTGCCTCGAAGCCGAGCGCTCGGCAGTAATTGAGGTAGTCTTTGAATTGTTCTACAAGATTTATTGCAAATCCATTTTGTCAGTTGCGATGGCAATTTGTACCTGGATATCCATAGCACAAATCTTCAACCTTCGTCGAGCATTTTCTCTCCGAAATCAACTCATATTTTTGCCGCTTCGTCACCGCCTTGAGCCCTTGCCACGGAAGAGTTCCACGATTGAAATACATAAAAACGTAGCCGAGCGACTCAATATCATCTCTTCTCGATTGCTCTGCAATAAAACGATTTGAAACGAAAAGCGAAATGATGGAATTCGTACCAATTCCACGATGAGTGTTGATGCTGGCATATCTCGCCGTTCCGGTCAAATTCTTATTGTCTCGATAAACGATGTGTTGGTTCTTGTTGTCGCGATACCGCTTAGCTAATCCGAAATCGATTATCTGAAATGTTCGGACTAGAACAACGCTTTCAGAGTGGCATGTTTACGTAGACAAGATTTCCACGTTTCCCGAGTCCCATCAAGAAGTTGTCCGGTTTGATATCACGATGGATATAATCACGATTATGAATAAATTCAACACGCGATAGCTGAAATTTGATTGTTTTAAAGGTCTCGCAATTTGCGATATACCATCTGATCGGCTAGAAGCAGAACGGTTTTCAACGTGAACTTCCGTTGACAGAAGTTGAATAAGTCTTCTAAAGAAGGACCCAACAATTCCATCACCATCACATTGTAATCGCCTTCCAATCCGCACCAGCGAACCTCCGGTATTCCGATTCCGCCATGCATGATCTTGTACAAACGAGACTCGATGTGGAGCTGTGGATGTTTCGATTTGACGCATTCTAGTTTCACAGCAACTTCCTCGTTGGTTTGAATGTTCTGGCCTGTAGCGAAGAAACAAAAAACTGATTAAACGGGAAATGAATGGGATAGCATCATACCAAGATAGATGTCTCCGAATGATCCGCTACCGATCTTGCGTCCGAGGCGAAACTTATTGCCAACGCGAAGTTCCATCTCGGCTGAAAAATGAAAAAAATTAATTATTACTTACATCAATGTTCTATTTTTAAATTTTCCCTCCCCCCCCCCCGTTGGCGGCAACTTTTGGTTAAAAATAACAGATTGTTTATAATTTTGATGACTGAAAGAAAATTTACGATATGTCTTGGCCGACGGCACTCATCAATTTGTTTATTACAAAAAATGTTTAATCATTAAAGTTGGGCCATTCCCAAATAAACAATTTTAAACTAAGAAACGCCGCTGTGGAAGACAATGCGTGACTCATTGCCTAGTTGTCCACTGGAGCGCATTTGCGCGCACATTAGTTAAAAAATTCCTTCAGCCCCAAGTGGCCACCCTCTCTCCTTAATGAGCATTAACAATTTATTAAGATATACATATATATACACGTGGATGTCATTGAACCCCCTGCTTGTCGTATCTTTTGACACCTTGCATTCATACAAGTGGTGTGTTCAAGCCGAAAACTTGTTTTCATGAGGCCGCGTTGAAAAGGAGAGGTGTCCTTTCTCCCAATGTACGCTGAACGCTCTCAATTTTCGTTTTCACTCTCATTGTGCACTTTTGAAACGTTTTGTCGCCCCCCGCCTCCCCGACAAAAACCTATATCTATTCAAAATCAAAATCCGGCATCGGTGGTTTCAAACGTCTGATACGAATCTTGCGCGCGATGAGAATAAATGGAATCGATGGTGGCGGTGTTGGTCGGGTTTCGTTGAACTATCGGCGCGAACGCGGCCGCCGCGTCCTTTGACGATAGATCATCCACTCACTAGACATATTCGCATACACGATCATACAAATACACACACACACATACACAAAAATTTACATGAGTCACCTTTTTTATGAACAAGAGGTTGGGGCATTTGAGGCATCGCCTGCGCCGCCAAAAATTGCGATAGAAGTGTGGGATCCAGGGTTAGAGCAAGCGAAACAAATTGCGCGTGTGAGGTCGCGATTTGAGCCTGCGCTAGCGCCGCCATCGTCGATGGATCAACACTCGGCCAGTTGAACGCTGATGGTGTTGGTTGCGTTGTCGGATCGACGACGAATTGGTTTTGCAATTGCTGCTGATGGAATTGTTGCTGCTGCTGGAGCTGTTGTTGATGGTGCGCCTGTTGGAGCTGTTGCTGCTGCTGCTGTAATTGCTGCTGCTGTTGCAAGTGCTGCTGAAGAGCTTGTTGCGCTTGTTGCGCTTGCTGCAGCTGCTGCTGATGAAGCTGATGGTGCAGCTGAGCATGATGCTCTTGCAAGAACTGCTGCTGTTGAGCAGCTTGCTGTTGCGCCTGTTGTTGCGCTTGCTGTTGCTGCAGAATATGCTGATGATGCTGCTGATGATGAGCATTGATAATTGATGTGATTGGAGGTAGAGCAACCGTTTCACCCTGCACTGGTGTTGACGGGTCCGTATTTGTCGCCGCTTCGGCCCCTGTTCCTTGCCATGCCGATGCTCCAGCAGTGTCTGTGGACATCGTAGCAAGGCACCGCAGCGCGCAATCCGGACAGACGCCCTCCAGCTTAAAATTGATAACCAAATTCAAATTGCGATGTAGACGAACAATAACGAACAGAGTTACAAGTGGAATAAAAATTCTAACTAGAAATAAAGACAATGAGGAATGAAAGATGAGTGGTGAAAAGAAGCTAAAAATTATTGAAAGTTGAGGAGATCTTTCAATCGATACAGAGAAGTTCCAAAAAGGAAAGGCACTGTTTGTTGGATCAAGAGAAGGTGGGTAAATTTTTTCTTTTTTCTCTGTACATGTGTGTAAAAGAAGGGCGCGCGCATTGCATTCGCGAAAGTGCGATTGTGTATCGCTAGTGTTGAGAGACCCAGTCTAATAGACGACAAGCAGCGAAGCGAGTCATCGAATGGGACGGTGGAGGGATCAGAAAAGCACCACGAGTGCAGACGACCGCGGGGCACAACGTCGGCTAGAAGTGTGGAATAGTGGGCGCACGCGCGGATACCGCGAGTGGTGCCGCGTCGTTTGAGACGCAGACAGTCTCTCCGTCGGCGTACACTGCGCGCCTAGTCGCAAGCCGCGCCTCTCACAGCCATAAAAACCGGTGGAGTGCGAGCGCGGACGACGAAGCCGACGAAGCTGCGCGCTGCGCTCCCCTCCCCACACCGACGACGGGCCGGCCCGCCCACCCACTAGACCTCCCCGTCCAAAAAATTTTTTGTTGCCACGACGGCTGAGGCCGGACCGGACCGGTCTCCGGAGAGAGGGGAAAAAACTGTATGCTGCTCCGACGCTGCCCCTACAAATACACACACATATGCGCAGACAAATATATCTCCCCGTGTCGATAACAAAGACTTACACGTCGACGTCACATGATTCCAACAGGAGGATTTCAAAAATTGTATTTGGCGAAAAAAAAGATTTTCAAATAATTCTATTCATACGCATTCGGTCTTATACAGATGAGAGCATGATCTAAATTGTATTACGTGTGGTTGTGAAATATTCGAGACAGTATGAAAATAAAATCCATCCTATTCCCTCCCGCCCGAGAAACTATAAAGTCAAAGGAAGTCTTTGTGTTTGCGTGGCAGCCAAATAAGGAAACAAAAAAGATCAGAAACACAATAAGAATGTTACAAATCGCTTGTTATTTTACACTTCGTGCGTTGATGATGAATAACAATGGAACAATATAGGAGACCTTAATGCTGCGATTGTGTGGTTCACTTGAAACAAGAATGGGACAAAGACGTTTGAACCTACTTGAAACTAAATTTACACTAAAGAAGATGGGGGCAAAAAATGATGGGGGGGAGGAGGAGGAAGAAGAAGATGATGAACGTGACAAAGCGCGCATCGTCTCATTTCAGTTTAATGTGCCCACCGTTCCCCTCAGACGCCAAAATGGGCCAGCTGCGCGTTTCAATCAAGCTGAAAGTAGTCGACGACGCGGCGACGCCGTCGTTTTTTGGGGGACGAACAGATGGAGGCGACGAGCGAGACAGAAACGGACGACAAAAAAAAGTGCAATCACACGTTCGGTTGACGCAACACCCATCCACCCAGACACAGAAAAAAAACCGGAGGATGGGAGGGAGGGGGGGTGCGGCAAAAATCGTGACGAAAGCGACAAAAAAATCGAATCGAAATTGCGAAAAAAATTGAAAGTTTCGCTTTTTAGCCTCCGTTAGCGAAAGCCCTCATGCAAGAAAATCATAATCAAGTTCGCTTTCGAACCTATGCCATCGTAAGGAAAATGACTGACGAAATGGAAGATGGTGGAAAAGAAAAAGATGCTGATGCTGATGGAAAGGGAAAGAAGAAGAAGAAGAAGAAGAAGAAGAAGAAGAAGAAGAAGAAGAAGAAGAAGAAGAAGAAGAAGAAGAAGAAGAAGAAGAAGAAGAAGAAGAAGAAGAAGAAGAAGAAGAAGAAGAAGAAGAAGAAGAAGAAGAAGAAGAAGAAGAAGGCTGCTACTGTTGCTACCAAAAACGAGTTTTACGGTACACTTTTGCCTAATCCGTACACTCTCGCTTCAAAACCACTTTCACTCATCATTTATTTTGCGTTCACCTTTTTTGCAAAAAATTTTTTATGGAGTCTGGCATTAACTAAAAGCAGTAAAGATTTGGCAAAACGCTAGAGCACTTCTCCTCGTCGCCTGTCGATTTTTTTTCGTGGAATGGCCTTGTGTGTCCCCGGCTGGCGCCGTAAATCTCAAGGCCAATTTGAAGGCAACCAAATAGCAGATTTATATCTGAATTCTGCGCCACGAAACCGAATTTGAATTGAACAAAAAAAATGAAAAATGAACTCACACAATCCCTTGCCAGGAACAAACAGCATGTAACTGTAATCGTTCGCCAGTTTGACGCTCGTCGTTGGATAATAAAACGATTCCAGGGTTGGTTGTTGATTTTGAAAATTCAGATAACGAATAGATGGGTGGCAATGGGGAAAAGGCAAAAGAAGGCTGGCGTTTTTCGTTTGTATATGCTGGCTGTTGCGCTTATGACGCAACACACACATACACACCACACACACACTGACGAGAAGTCTTCCTCTCGGGCAGCTTCTTTCTCTACTCTCGCGGGAAAAATGCAGCAATTTTTTTGTGTATGCTTGTTGCTTCTCGCTTCTACCCGCGTACCTGCCGACATGAAAACAGCCCGCCTTTCGCCTCTCATTATTCTCCGTTCTCCTTTCGGCCATTTTCGTTTTGTGTGTGTGTGTGTGTGTGGCCGTTTCTCGTTCTCACTCGTTTTGCCAATCTATTCACTTTCGCTTTTGTTGCGCGCCCGCCAGCGCCTGGGCGCGCGTAAGCTTTTTTTTCGTTCACTTTTACGTTTTCGGAAAGTGAGAGTGTTGTCTGCCGTGCGGGGCGGCGGCAACCAGACCGGACCGTCTGGCAGGAATCGATGCGCGCGCTCGCACCGGCATCAACAGCAGCAACCAACAGAAAGAGCATGAAATGAGCTAGAGACAGCCAGACAAGCCGGCCACATTTTGAATGTTGCACCGTATTTGCACTCACATCCGCGCTCCCGCATTTTATGAGCAGTTTCATACTTCCCATTAAGAATAATGGATGGATCAACACATTCAAAAACGATGTACAATTTGATTAAAATTGAAAAAAAAGATGAATAAATAAGAATAGAGAGAGAGAGAGAACGACGGCGGTTTTTCTCATCTCAAATACGGTTTGATAATATGGATGCGGCGATGAAGACGACGACACCGAACTAGGTCATTTGGGAGGGAGATGAATTGCGAGTGGAGATGATCGCAGATTGCTCGGTTGATCCAATCAGATCAATCAATACGACGTGTCATTGTAGGTGGAGAAGAGCGAGAAAACCAAATCCCTAGAATGTTATGAAAATCTGCGGCAACAAAACGAAATGAGCCGAGGCAACTATTTGCGGAAAGTACAAGAATAAAATGAGCGTTTGGAGTACTGTGTCAATACAAATATTCAAGCAAATAACAGTTAAAATCTATTGATAGAACAAATCTAGTTGGTGAAGCGGCGAAGTTTGGCTGGTTGGTTGACTTAACATCTAAAATGAGCTCCGATGAAATGAAAACTACAGAAAACTATAAAAAATCGCTGAACATGTGGTTCCAATAAGCGATAGCTCAATAAAATATTTGAGGAATTGAGCGCACTTAAAACATTTGTGATATCGTAATCTTTCAAAAAATGTCATTCATGATACCCATGACCATTATATATGAAAATGGACTATGATGCGGTGAAATGTGAGCCACACTTGAATTCACCTGAATACGCTGAAATCAACCAAATTCAGCTGGATTCGATGAAATGATGACTAATCTGAATGAATTCCCGTCCAACCATCATCATTTGCTTGTTTATCAGCCCATTTCTTGAGAACTACGGTACTTCGGTTATACTACAAAATTGTTGACGACAAATAACCAAAAACAATTTTTTTCTTTGCAAAATGCTGATCATGATTCGTTGTTATCAATTGAGAGAAACGCGTTCACACTATCTAATCTGAAATCATGGGACACAAGGTCGACAAGATTTTTTACATATCGCTTCGAAATACGAATCGGATTTGGTTCGAGGCCGAACAACAATAATTTAGTTATATGAATAGAGTGGAGGGTGAACATACGACGCATGCTAATCCGTGAATCAATCCGATTTTAATTTTGGGCACAAGAGGTTGGTCCACGAATCCAATTTCCGTTTTCTTTGGCGACTTTTAATTTCCTGTCGTCACTGCCATCCCACAAGCCAAAAATTCTATTTTTATGTATAATTTTGATTGTTTGTCACGCAAAATCATATGAGTCAAGTATACGCACGTTTGATAAGTTTTCTATGATTATAGCGCAAATATGGTGACTAATGTTTGATGGGACCCTCGGTATAACAGTTTTTTTTTGCCGGACGCACCTCTTAGTAGTCTGTTGGATGTTGAAGTTGAAGGATGGGAAGTTGTTGGCTCGATGAAATGCTCCAAGAATCCTGAAAAAATTTCAATTCCACATCCGTTTTCATTTCAAATTCATTCAAGATAAAAGAGATTCGAAAGATCGGATCTTCAAAGTATCCCTGGGTAAGATCTCCGATCAACGCGAACATGGCGCCAAAAATTCAATTTTAAACGAATTTTCTAGATTTCACTACATTATCAGCGTTCACCGGCACCCAAAATGATGCCTACAGCGATAAGACGTAATTTATACAGGTTCAACAGTTTTTGACGCAATTTCGATCAAACGCAGATTGTAATCTTTTTGAAAGTAAAAGGGAAATGCACTTTTTGAAATTGAAAAAAAGAAATTTCGAGTTCCGCTGTCTGCCGGTGAAGAACAATAATGGGGGGGGGGATTTCACGAAATATGCGAAAATCGATATACGAATATTCAAAACGACACATTTAATTCAATCGTAAAGCAGAAAGAAATATTCCTAACTAAAATTTTTTAATATAAAAAATTACCTTTTTTTCGGTACGCTGCACGTACTTTTAGCAATCCAAATTGTAATTAATGAGACGTTGCTGAAACGAAAAAAAAATTATGATTAATGGAAACGGGTTGTTTGTGCAAATAAGGGCGAAAAACGAGAAGAATGAATGTATAATAATAATAACAACAACAACAAGATGAGCGGCAAAATTGCGGGAGGTAGTAACCTTGAAATCATGGAGGTTAAATGGATGGAAAAGAGGATGGGTGACCTGATATTCAATGTGTCGAGTGACATAAGCAAAGCACAGGCACGACCGCACGCGCGAAACGCTGCGCGCGTCGGGTATAACCATCGGGAACGGTTCACCACGGGCACCTTGAGACATGTCGAATGAGCACGACGCGCGCGGAGAGCCCCCGACAACACAATAGTCGTCGCTGCTTACTGAATTGTTGCGCGGTGTGCCGAGTCGAGCACGTCGGTTTTTTTTTTCGATTAATACTCGATTATGCCGGTGTGCCAATCCGTTCCAATGCAAACAATTATTCGTAGGCTCTCTCTTCCCGCCATCTCCAGTTACCACAACATTCATTTAATGAAATTTAATTCGTTTGGCAGATGTGTCAAAACCCTCTCGTCGCTTCGCACCCACGACGAATCGAAAATGAGACAAGATTGTGAGCAGTTTAAATCTGGCGTTACTCAACAAAAAAAGAATAAATATAGTTATTTTCTTCTCTGATTATAGGTTAACCCAGGTAGTACATACAAGTAAATAATTACTACTTATCCATAAAAAACGTGGTCACATATCAATTTTCAATGCATTCTTTTAATATTATATAATTAAATTAATCTATATTTTACTATTAATGTATAAAACCTAAAATAACGCTGAAAAATATTTTGCAAAAAACTGGAATTTTTCTGGTTTTTTTTTTAAACTTCTTTCCTTTTAGTTACAAAAAATACTTCAAATTTTGTCATCGTCATTTAACTCCATAATTAGTATTTTGAAATTCCTCTAGCAATGGACGCTATTTACGGTTTACGCTAAACCGAGGGCAGTGTCCTCTGCGGAAACTGACAGGGCGGCATATGTCAATTGAGAGACAGGGTGACTTTAATCGATTTTTAACTTTCGAATATAAAAAAATTCGGTTATTTGCGTTATATATTATATATTCGTAAATTGCTGTAAGCTTAACATTCAACAAAGGAAATGTCGGACATCAAAATTGACATTCGGGCATATATGTACGAGAATTGACAAGTACAACTAATAGCTGAATATCCGGATGAGAATTGCGCTCGACGGAGTTCTTTTTTTCTGGCCCACTTGAGATTCAGAAATAAACCATTACGTTGCTTGAATTTTGTCTGAGTGAATGTCTCTAAAGCAATTTGCTTAGAACTACTTCCGGATTGGAGATTCAAGATATTTTCGTCGTAAATGTGTCATATTTCAGAGTTGCAGGGGAAGTGGGGTGTTGAGAACGCGAAGATGACATCTGCGACTCATACGCCATAGTATAAACGAACAGAGAAAAACTAAACAAATTTTGCGAAATCCTATTTAATAAACTATTGCATTTATCACAAAAACGTGAGTCAATAAGCGAGAAAAAATAATTTTTCTATACGAGATTAGCGAACATTTAAAAATTGTCTTTTTTTTTATATAATGAAAACTCGCAAAATTTTAATCGTCTTAAAATAGTTAATTGATTCATTATTAAATTTAAAAAGCAGTTTAGTTTTCTTGGCCTGACTTCGTTGCAACGATTTTCTGAAGAAAGTAATCAATAAAGTGACATCTGAAGGGATTAAGCGAAAATAGCCACAAATGTTTGGAAAGTGAAAAGAACAAAATGCATAGTTCTAAGTCATTTTTGAAGTTGGAAAAGGAATGAGAAAAACGTTGAAAAGTTATAGATGGCAGAACGTGATACTGAAGAACGAAGGAAGAAGCAGAAAATTATCAGATCTATTTGCCGAGGGGCATTGAGCTGTGATGAATAATGGGCCTGCAGTAATATCATAATTTTATGCATAATAGTTGTGTGTGCCATTGGTCATTGTTGCAGAAAAAATTTTGGCATTTCAAAAGCATTTCGAAACCTTTTAAAAAGGCTTAAGATAAATACATTGAAATAGCAAATCTTTTTTTTAATATTTATTTAAAATGTTATTATTGGTTATAACAAAACGTTTTCTTTTGAAAACTAACACATTAAAAAGAAATAAAATTATTCTATGACTAATTGTGACGAATAATAAATACTATACTGATATTCTCGCACTAAGGCATTAAAATCGCGACAACAACACTTAAATACCCCACGCAAATCCATTTCACATCAATCAATGCCATTTGAAATAAATATTCCAAATTTTTCCAGAAACGTGACGCAATTGTGTTGTTCACTGCTCAAAATAATTTTTATTAAGTCCATACACCCTGCTTATTCATCCACAAGACGATGAGACTAGTAATTTGGTCAAGTCAATTCGTTTGTATTTATTAATATGAAGACCGCGTGCGTGTTATTGCTGATAATAATGTAAACATCATGTGATCGAAGTACTGATAACTCGATGAGGTGACCAGCCCAACTTTTATATGTTATATAGATTTAGAAAAAAAATTTTATTGGATTAATATTTTATACAGAAATCATTTTTAATCCCATGCTCAATACTCCGAATAGGATTTGCGTTGTTTGTGGTAATGTCTTCCTCTTGAATGATGTAAATTCTCGGCGGTCAATTTCGGCACACCTCCGACAACGCCCGATTCGATTCCGCATTCATCGACACCTCGAAGGATGCGAAAGAAGCCGTCCTCTCCCCAATCAGTGTTCCATGAGTTGGCACAAATCCAATATGGGATGCCATTGTCGATTCCCCAGCCGATAAGCTTTACCGCGTGTCCGCCGCCAAGCTTTCCAGCTGTATGCACGTAGACGCCCCCGTCATAATTGAGGAAATCCTCATAAACCTCGAATGCAACTTCGAGTGGTCCACGGGTCATTAACTCCTTTTGAATAGCTTCGACGTCATCCTTGACACCATAAGCCGAAGCTCCTGACGAAATAGTTATAAGGAAGTTGTGGGAATTAACAATGAATTACCATAGAACTTGTCTTTTTGGTAAGTTTTGTCGGTGTAATCGGCAACGCATTTTTTCTCGCATTTTGGAGTTGGATACAAATCATGAGTGCACGGTTTGAAATGGGTCTTGTGAGAATGATGCTCGCATGGTGGGAATGGATATGGCTGAAACAGATTCAAAATATAAACTAGCCATTTGGAATTTGAATAAAATAGCATAATTTTCATTAAATTTCTATTAGTTCACCTTACATCCCGTGTTGGCGGTGAAGTTTGAGCCAGTCACAATTCCTTCTTTCACCCAATACTTCCACGCGTGAAGTGGATCACCTCCGTTGCATCCGAAACCGCATGACTTGCAGCAACTGAGGAGATCGTCAGCAGATAGGGACACTTGAACTTCTCCCTTGGTGGCAATACAAATTCTGTCGGACATTGCTTCGACGGCACCAAAGGCCCAGCATGATCCGCAGCTTGATTGATCACGAATATTTTGAATCGATTGACACTCTGGCCAATTTTCACGGGCATCGAAAGATTCTGGAATCGCGATGTCGAGATCCTTGGTCGGAGAGAGATGCTTCTTGGCCTGAAAATAATAAGTTATAGTGAAATTTGATTGACCACTTTCATACCTTCACTGAGAGGCGAACATGATTGACACCCATGAGCCCCCAAACAGTTCTGTCTGGCATATTCTTGAATCTTCTTTGCTTGCGAGCTGTCCAGTAATCCTGTTGCTCATTAACATAGTCGATAAGATCATCTCCAGTCAATTCCTCAGCCTCTTTGCTGATTTCGCGATTGGCAAGCTCCTCTGAATATATAAAATACAATTAATGACACCCATGTCTTCCAAATACCAAGAAGACTTGTTCTTTGTTGAGAGCAGACAACGCCCAATACAAAAGTGCACAGAACGATACAAAACTTCTAAAAAATGAGAGAATTTTAAAGCCAAAAATTTAAAGACCAAATGCTTACCATTGCGAAGTTTTGGAGTAACGAATGTCTCGAAGCAAACAGTCGTTATCAAAATGCTTTTATACATAATATTTTTGGCTATTATCAGACGGCGATAAGAGCTATGTCCATCAACAGTGTCATGCAAAGCAAGGCACAATTGCCCCCTTGAGGTCACTACCACGATGATTGTTTGATTTAACGGCACTTTTACACGACATTCTACCGATAAGTGACCATAATGTGAACGTGAATATCTGCACTATAAGCAGTTTTCATTAGTGCATCAAAGTTAACAGAGTTGGAAGTATCATTTAATGTGGTTTAATGGTTTACCGCCTAAAAATATGTGGCTGTCAATCGAGATTTGATAAGAAAATCGCGTAAAACCAAATTCTCAAAATTGAATTTGATTAGAATCTTGAATTCATAATTTTATGGATATTTTTTGAAAATTGAAGAAAATCTTAAAGTACATTGGTGATCGTTAACCCAAACAGAGAAGAAGAGAAGATGAAAAATTTTGAGGATGCAAAAATGTAAAATGACATTCTGAAAACATACAAAAAATGAATATTGTCTCTAGGAATATAAAAATTATCGTATTTTCTACGTTTTTCAATATCGCGGCCAATGAGTAATTTTATTGTATAGCAAGTGTAATACATATAAGCTATTTGTTATTATACTTGTCCTGTGCATCATAATACCTTATCATCTTATATATATATATATTGTATGAACCCTACTTCCGCATTATTGCGTATAATCGTCTTTATACCAGACTAGAGGTCCATCATTTCTCGAAATGTGAATAAATATTACGAAACTGGTCATGTTGACTATTCTGATCGCGAAGCGTGATGGGCTTGGAAAAAAAGATGAAGATTGACTCTATTTGTGTACGTGAGATAGTATGATACACATAGTATACTCAAAGTAAGGCGTGAACAATCAAATGCATGATTCACTGTAAACATCCAGTTCGAATAAATGCTGAGAAATCAGTCATTCAGCTCGTTTGATGGTCATTGAATGTATCAAAATGAAATATTTTTAATATACATTTATAGTTATGAAATAATTTTTTTTGCTTCATATTGCGTTCCACGCTTGCTATATAATGTACATTTGCACTTTTTTTTAGCTAGTTCATATGCATTCTCATCACGAAAAAGCGCCGTTTGTCTGTGCTGCTCTATTGATTGTGATCACCATTCTAACAGGAATTGGTACCTTCACAGATTGTAGGTTTTACAGAGACCATATAAATTTATGCGCTGAATTTTCAGATTGGGGTACAATGACTACCGGTGGCACCACATTCGCCCACACCGGATTGTATCATTGGGGAAAATCTGATGGGAACAACGTCTTCCAAAAACAGCCGTCCTGGTGGAAATGTGTCGTTGTGTGCCAGTTGATGGCATTTTCATTCGAGCTTTTGTTCCTTATTTTAGTGATTCCTGCAATGTAACTCGAGATTCTAGGATAAAAGAAAATAATATTCAATGTTTTCAGGATTTTCCGTAAACACATGCCAGTTCATGCTGTTTGCTCATTCCTTTCATTTGTGATTTTCATTCTCCTCACAATTTCCGTGATTGTTTTTGGTGTCAATGTTGACGATTATCAAAAATTTGGAGTGAAGCTTCGGGTAACAACCATTTTTTCTTTCAAATCTCAATATTTTATTATCACTCATTAAGGTTGGATGGTCTTGGGGAATTTCGCTTGCCGCTGACATTTTGGCATTCTTCTTGCTTTTGGTGAATGGAACCTCTACAGGATTCTCGGCATATCAAACCTATCGATAAATTTTTGAACACAATATTTTATTTTAACACTAAATAATATATTAATATTGAATTTCGTGTTTTTTTTTTCGAGCCGTTCTGAGTCATCTTGGAATTTCCAAAATTGTTGTGGTAAAGTAAACAATAATATTTGGAAAAAAAAACACAAGAGTTATGATATTTTTATTACATGAATAAATATTTGTGACGAATGAAATTTGGTAAACAAAATGAAAAAAATCCAGAAAATCTTTCACTTTCGCTGATCGCGTTTCGAAAGTAAAACAATCAGAGATTTTCTTATTATTTGTTTTTTTTTTTTCATTTTTTTGCGTATTAAATTTTAAATTTCTTTGTTACCCATTAAAAAACTCTCTTTTCCCGTTTTGTGCTTATTCGCCCCTAAACAGCCGTACGAAAATAAATTTAAAAAAAAATCATTTTTTTTGTAATTTAATAATCAAATTAGGCTAATCGAATTAAATAAAAAAAAACCAAGGAAATGTATTAAAAGGCATCGCGGGCAAAATATGGAACACATTCATTCATTCTTCGACGATTCGGAAGGTTCGTTTTCTGTTGTTCTGCTACTTATAAAAATTTCAGAATGATTCTCTTTTCACTACTTCTCGTTATCATCTCCGGTACGCCGCAATGTACAGTACTAATGGAAGCCAACGATTTTCAATTGCAAACGAACTTTTCTGTATACAACTCTCCAAAAGAAGTTGACAGGAAGCATAAAGCAAGAAACACGAAGCATGAGCCCATGAGACGAGGTGATCCAGATCCGGATCCAGAACAGCCAGATATTCCTGATGACCCTTGGTCTTAATTTCCCATTTTTAATAAAAGCATTTCAACCAAGATATTTGACATTCACAAAACAATAAGATCGCCTAAAATTATTTTTCGTCCGGTGTTTCTATTTGCACAACAGTTTGTCGCTTCTCTAAGTCTCTCCATTCCGCATAGTAAAACCTGCGTGGAATGTGTCCCGCTTTTTTGTCCGCACATGATTTCGCACATAGAGCGTCGTCTCGCCTACCTCGTCGGTTTTAACCCAGTTACTCAAGGTAATTTGGAGTTCCGACCTTTCAATAGAAAGTGTCGAAAACATAATTTTTGGACAGCTTCTTCGGGGTATCCGTTGAGGCGATAAAACCATATGAATTTCAAAATGAGCAACAGAGTTTTGTGTAAAAATGAAAACGGAATAATACAAAAATTTTTTCCGAAGAATTCCACATAACTATACAGCTTCTATTTATTAGTCTTGCAGTATGATAATTGTTGAATCGAAGTGAAAACTAAAAAATCTGACAAGACGTGGAAACGAAAAAATTGTCAAAATATCATATATTATTTTTCTTTTTTTACTTATCAATGTTTTCGACAGTATTTGAAAAAGGATCGAATTTATTATGCAAAACAAATATCAAAACATTAAGATTGAAAATAATTAGCTGATTGAGAGTAATTATAGATCTGACTTCACTGCTCATTGACTCCTTGCTTTTCTTCGTTTCCCTCTACTTTCGGCTCATTCTTTTGTTGCTCCTCCACTTTGTTTTGCTTTAATTGAGCATTGCCATCTTCTTGGAACTTTATTGTTTCCGGAATGTTTCTGAGTAATTCGTAAGCTGAAATAATTAAAAAATTAGCTAATTTTAATGAGTTCAATCTTACGGTCTTCTCGAAATGACTCGAACAACTCCAGGCGCTCCTTCTGTTTTTCCGGATTCATCGCAACTAGTGCCCGCTTTTCTTCGATTTCTTCACGGTTATCTTTCAAAAACTGCTCCGTTTTTATCAAGAGCTCCTCATACAGGGTGCGGCAAAATTACGGGTGCATAACTTTGGCGCAAGCTCATAGTGCACTGTCGTATTTTTTGTGCAGTTTTATGTTTTTATTTTATTTTCTATGACGTTTTAATCATTTTCTGAAAGTTTCATGAAAATCCGTTTCGTATTACAAAAATGACAGCTGATTCTATTCATCGTGCGGCCATCATCGACTTGAAAAAAAAGGGAACATCGTTCAAAATTATTTCTAAAAACCTTGGAGTTCACCACAACACCGTACAAACAACTTGGAAACGTTTTGATGAGGTAGGAGGACTCTCTAGCTGTCTTAGAAAAGGAAGAAAATATTCTTTAATAACACCGGAGCGAGTCAGTCTCACCAGGGAACGAGTTCGTCGAAATCCAGATCGTAGCATCAGAAAGATGGCGTCAGAAGTCCATGTGAGTCCGAGATGGTGGGAAGAATAGTCAAAGATGAGCTGAACCTGATACCTTATCGTGTCAGAAAGGCCGCCATTCTAACCCAAAAAAATAAAGCAGGTCGAATGAAAAAGTGCAAATCGCTCCTAGCAGGCACGCGGCAAGGAAAGCACCCAACGACTTTCGTCATGGATGAGAAGCTGTTTACGGTAGAAGCTGCTTTCAATCTCCAAAACCACAGAGTGATCGCCAGAAGGTCTGAGGAAGCTATGAACAAAGGCAGAACCATTCATCGTGTTTCCCATACTCAGCAGATCATGGTATTCGGTGGGATCTGCGCTGACGGCAAGACACCACTGATTTCGTTGATCCCGGAGTGAAGATTGATCAAAATGACTATCATAATGAGATTCTGAAGAAGAATGTCCTTTCTTGGTCCCAATCTCACTTTGGAAATAGATCTTGGACTTTTCAACAAGACTTAGCGCCTGCACAACGAGGCAATATCGTTCAAGACGGGTGCGGCAGCCATTTTCCATCATTTATCAAGTCAACGGATTGGCCCGCTTCGTCGCCCGACCTGAACCCCATGGACTATTCTGTCTGGGGGGTCTTGCAAGAGAAGGTGTCAGCTTTCCCACACCCAAATACGAACTCATGGAAAGCTGCCCTTCTGAAGGAATGGGACAAATTGGACCCCAAATACCTGCGTGCCACCGTCGACGCCTATCCGAAGCGTCTGAAGGAATTTATCAAGAATCGTGGTGGAAGAATCGAACAACGATAATTAATTTGTGATTGTTATGTGTTGAATAAATTTTGGTATTAATTTGAAAGAGTTTTGTTGATTTTTAAAAAAGTTATTTCGTTTTATTGATGCACCCGTAATTTTGCCGCACCCTGTACAAGCATGGCTGCTTGATCTTCGGGCAGTTGAGCAATTTGCGCAAGCCATAGTAGTGTCTGTCCAAATCGAGTTGCAGAAATGCGCAATAGTCGCTGAGCTCGAAATCGCCTTCGATTGCCAAAACTTTTTCCAACAGCACGATAAAGCCTTTTGCACAGTATTCGACTTGAATTTTGCCGTGAATTTGATTCCTCTTCAAGACGTCGACCATATTATTGCATTCAATCCGAAGAAGCTTTTTGTAGTTGACGTCTTTGTTCCGAATCAGCTCTTCAGCGATTTTGATGAGTCGATTCTCCACGAAGTACGTGTAACACCAGATTTGCTTGTGTCTGCATAAGCCGCACCAGTCCGTCGTGTGTTGAAGCCACGCTGCCGCTCCCCAGGCAGGAATACCGTCGACCAAATATGTGTTGTGTTTGAATGTGATTTCCATTCTGAAATAAAAAAGTATGAAATTAATGTCACGGAATTACATTTGATCATGGTCCAAGGAGGATTGTGAACAAATGTGACCGAAAAGGAGTGAGTATGGCAAAGGTGAAAAGATACTGGCCATCAGCCTAGAGCACCTTCCTTTTATACTGACATCTTTCCCATGAGCACACACTCGATAGGCGGGTACTTCCTGTTATCCATCTTCGCACCTCGAATCTCCCTTCTGCTGTCGGAATCTTTGATTGTTCACCAGGCCAATACTAAAAATCGCCAGACTCCAACTTCAATTGTGCGAGGATGGAATTTAATTCTTTGGTTATTACCGCCAAGTGCACATTGAAAATTTCAATTATAATTATTATAATCGGCATATTTCTTTGTTCTTTGGATGTTTTAACTACTCATAAAATACAAATAATGTTAAAAAAAAAACATATTTTCATGTGCAGTTTTTGCTGGATTAAAAAAGAGTAATTTATTACATTTTTAATTTATTCAATCAATAAAAAAAAAGTGCAATATTCCAATTTCATAAAATCAATTTTCATTGCTCGAAATCGCTATCTTCGACCCGCCAATATATTACATTTTAGCACATGTGCTGAGTCACCAGCATCTCAAGTCAATCTAAAGATGTGAGTTTAATATTGATGTTTCATCGTGATTGGATTTGACGAATGGTTTTATCATAATTTATTCTACTTCTGATCGTAGGCATTTTATATTTTAATGAAAAAACGCTTAATTTCCCAAGTTTGAGGTGTCAAGTTAGCACACTCATTTATTGTACATATCATTTTCGCACCCTGCCAGATTGTCAAAATTTTTTCAGATGTTTTTCAATGTAACAGGATTGTCACATTGTTAAGCAATTCTGCAATACAATTGACCTTATGGGTATATCAACTGTCATAGCCTCATTCGACACCTTAATCTAAACTTGTCATAGAATTCGGAATTGTATTCATGTATACATATATGCATGTATTATACATGTCTTTGCAAATTTATTTAAAAAAAGGCGTCAGTTTGCAAGGCGTCTTACTGCGAGCGCACCAAAATAAGTACACTTCGACACATTACACATAAAAGGGAAAACCGACAAGGGCTCTGGTGAAGAAGTAGTCGGCACACGTTACGCCAAAAGAACTCTTATTTCAACAAACACTTACTATTTTTTCTTTCTCCATAATTTTATCAATTTTCTTTTTCATTTATTTACCAATTCCGAAAGACGTCATAAAGACGTTGTCGATTTGCATCAAATCTCGTCAGACGCAAATATCGTTCATGTAACATTTTTTTTGAATACGAGTATGTATGATTATCTTTTTAGGAGCTCTTATCCACAATTTTCTGTGTTGAATAATTGTTGTATTAATTGAAAAAAAATTAATTTCAAATTAATTATGTTGAAATTTGTATCTCAGGACGGTTTTGTACGCCGTCCGTTGGAGTATTTATTTACTCCACGAATTTTTGTACAACTTTATTTTTTTTTAACGACGACTTGTCGTCCAGTATCTCGCCCAGGATATTGTAAGAGCGTAACAATTCACACCGTAGCATTTTACAAGGGCCTTGACAAGCTTCCATGGACTTCCATTGACGCCTTCCATGGACTTCTTGCTCGATCAGCGACGTGTGAACGAGGCAATGTCAACAGCAAATGGATTTGAGGCCCGCATCTTATTTGATATTGGTGTGGTTTTATCGTTTGAGAGTGAGCTACACCACTCAAATCGACTCCGTTTTCAGAGCAATGTGAAAAGAGCTCCTCGTGACATTTCTCATGTTCAACTCTAAGAGCAAAAATCGCTGCCCTCTTCAACGATCAGAGACGATCTTGAAGAAAAGGTGATAGGTGTAAGTGAGTCATGGGGGCAACATCAAGTCGACCCCGAAACGAAACTCTGCGATGGAAAAGTGCGATCAATAACAGGATTGTCCCAAAACTCGCTGGTAAAAATTGAAAACAACACGGCCCAGCCGGCATCACGCCAAAAAGCACGCATCTCATGGGCGATGATGTCATCATTGCCTTAAAACGCAGCCGGACAGAAGGATATGACGGAACTGCAATTCCGACGGTTACGCTGGAAGAGGTAAACGGAACCAATTTCCAGATAATATGGAACGTGGAGGAATTCCTACTGGTCCCCAGGAATAGTATCCAAGGGAAAAGCATCAACAATGCCGTTATTTACCACAAAACATCACCAAGGAATTCAAAAGGACCGATCAGAAGAATCAGCCGCACAGGAAGAGAATCAACCAACGTACTATGCTTATTATGTGGTCGACATCAATATTCTGATCAATGCCCAGACATCGTCGATCCAGCAAGAAGAAAAGAATACCTTCACCATAAGGAACGATGCATTAAATGTCTAAAACAGACGCACGAAGACAACTGCTCAACTGAGTGCTACTATTGCAAGGAATATATATATATATCAACATTTCCACCATCGGAACCACAGTTGGTGAAATCAAAACCCCTCCTAAACATTGCTCAGACGAATTTAACCGCGTAATGACGACATTCCGAAACACCACCAGACGCAACTTCAGAGACTGCCAAGCAGCTCTACAACGCATCATGGCGTAGGCCGCGTCAGCAGCCACTTCTGTACAAAACAGCGACATTGACAAGGTGAGCTACACCACAAAAATCGACTCCGTTTCCAGAGCAACGGGAAAAGAGCTCCTCGTGTATATATTCTATTTATTTCGTTTCTTTTTGAGGTAATCGAGTATACTGCCGTAATCGCGTTCATACATTGGAGACGCATCTGCCGGTTCCAACTTTTTCTTCCTTATTCGTTTCAAGAGACCGGCGTTTTGATGTCAGCGAAACCGACAAGATAATGAGTTTGTTGAAATAATTTTTTAATCCGATGTTTTTTTTTTTAATAAACGCTTAAAAAACCTAACATAATCAAGAAGTTTGAATACGGAAATCTTTTGACATTTGATTAAACTTGAAAATTGTGATTTAAAAAATCCAATGTGAGTGAAATTCCTCGACCCAGTTTCGGCTGGGGCGAAATGACAAGACGGTAAAAATACAGCAGGTTGTAGTTTTTCTTTGGTTTCAAGTTTTGAGTTATTCACATTCTCAGTCTTATACTTTAGATTACCAAATGTCTTTCAACGGCGTTGTAACGATTTTTGACATGGTGCCTTGTTACTCGCAAATGGTAGTATACTCGAGGCAGGAGGTCAACTCGTAGCCGTGTGTGTGTCACAACTTTACCTCGCTACACTTTTTTAGTTAAAATAAAGTAATTTAGTTGATTATTTGCTTATAATATTTTATAAGACAATGCCCGAAAGAAAAGTTAGTAATTAATGTAATTCTCTATTAACCGTAAAAAGAGATTGTACCCTTTGATTATATTTAACTTATCGTTTCAGATCGTTTTTTTGCATATTTTTTGTTTTTTGCATTAATTTCACAAAATTGCGGGTTTTTATCGACTCAACGGATACCCCGAAGAAGCTGTGCAAAAATTATGTTTTCGACACTTTCTATTGAAAGGTCGGAACTCCAAATTACCTTGAGTAACTGGGTTAAAACCGACGATGAAGGCGACACGACGCTCTATGTGCGAAATCATGTGCGGACAAAAAAGCGGGACACTTTCCTCGCATGTTTTACTATGCAAAATGGAGAGACTTAGAGAAGTTGTCGATTACTATGCGGAATGAACAGAGTGATTCGATTGCCATGACATTGTATTGGGTTTTTTCTTTCCGATTTCTATAAAACAACGAACATTTCTTCGTTAATCCCTGACCAAAAATAACGTTTTGAATTTTGAGGAAATTGTCTTGTTTATCAATTGAAAATGCCACATTTTACCCGCAAGATTTCGAAAAAAATTAAGCAAAAGTTTCCGTTAGCAGCGAGTGGTTTCGATCCACCGACCTCTGGGTTATGGGCCCAGCACGCTTCCACTGCGCCACGCTGCTTCACACACGACGAGAGGTTGAATGAGTATACGAAACCAGCAGCCTTTACTCTGCCAAGCTGTCGTCTCTTTTCTCTGACTCCTCAATGAAGTTGAATGTGAAAGGGCTAAATTTTTATGTTTAAAAGTATATAATTAAATAAAGACTTGGAGCAAAAAATAAATAAGTTTGGAACAATGTTTTTAAATTTAGTGTTTTTTTCAGAATCGAGGATTGAATTCTTTTCTTAAAGGTGTCACGGAATCATGACCCCACAGAAATGTGACATGTTGCTTCCATTTTTGTTTTGAAAATTTTGTCGATTAAAATTCAAATTGATAATAAACATATGCACAACATAACTCCAATTATACAATCGACAGACTGCTTGTTTTTTATTTACTTATGAAGAAAACCTAAAGACACAAGGTTGTGTGTAAAAATCTATTATTTTTTGACAGCCGAGGCTAATTTTTGGTTCTTTTAAGTTTACAAACACTTTTAAGAATTTGAAAAAAATCAACAAAAAATATAGTTGGTTTCTGAAAAATATTGGCCACAGAAATTGGTCGCCGAAAACTTTCAAATAAAATTCCAAATATCTTTTAATCAATTTTTTTTCATCTTATCTTCACTCAAATTTCAAAATATTCATGATTATTAATTTGATGCCAAAACGAGCATGGGCTTGGCTAAATTAGAATAAATTGTTTTCTGAATACGTAAACTTTTGTGTTAAGTATTACAGCCTCTGAATTTGGTAACCGTTTTTTTCTTAACAAAACCATACGTGTTTTGTGAAAAAGGTTTGTTGATTTATTATTATTTGAGTCTGTCTGACTGATACGAATGTTGTGGTAAAAGATGATCAAAAAACAGTTACACATTCCAAAATTTTGAAACGATTCCAACATTTTTTTCAAATATTTTAGATCAATTTTTTTGATGTGCTTTGATTGCATGACGTACACCAATTACAGATTTATTAGAAACCAGTTTAATGATCTGTAATGTCATTCATTTATACTAGTTAAAAACTCGTTTTTTTTTCAAGCCTTTGGTTTTGGGCAACTTATCAGTTTTTATGTCGATTGTTGCCGACATCGCTCATATCTTATTTGATCACCAATATGTGATTAATCATCTCGAATCGAATCGACTCAACAACCAAGTTGTTCTTCTTTCGATTATCATCATTATTAGAATTATCACTTCTCAGCAAACCGCATCATATCCATATATCATTTACCGTATGCCTTTCCATTATTATTCAATTCACAAATAACCTTTTGTTTCCATTAGACACCTTCAATTGCTCTCATTCTTTTCACTCGATTGAAAATGAAAATGTAAAAAAAAAACATTTTTTTTGCTGACCAGTCTTATGACAGTAGCTGCTATTAAATATTGGTGTCGAAAGTTTGACTTGTCAGCTTGAATTCTGTTATCATTTTGAAATGAGTAATCAGTCACGATCGCCGTAAAAACTATCCCTACATCGTCATTGAACTTGACGAGTACAGAATTCTCATTCTTCATCTTATTTGTCCTTCAGGGTGATGGCTCGCAAACGAGGTTTAGGACCATTATTAATCGCCTATCAGCAATCAGCGGTGATCTGGGGAGCGTTTTTGATATTCTCTCCATTATTGCTAATAAACGATGATAGTGTGGTAACCCAATCCCCCAACATTAACATAATCAATTAGCACATTTCAGCTTCAAGCCCGATGCTTGTTCGTTGTTGCTCTTATGGGATGCTACTGGGTATTCGAAGCGCTTCCATTGGCGATCACTGCTTTCATTCCTCTTATTCTCTTTCCAATGTTTGGAATCATGCGATCCGATGAGGTTGCTCGTCTTTACCTCCCAGACACTTGCTTTTTATTCATGGGCGGTCTAATGGTTGCATTAGCAGTGGAAAAATGCGATCTTCACGGAAGAATTGCGCTATTTGTCTTGAAAACTGTCGGATCAGAACCAGCGAGGTTAATTCCCATTTCAATTTTACATTATTTCGCAATTTTAGAGTAATGGCAGGATTCATGGGAGTTACTGGATTCTTAAGGTAATTCCACGCTTTCTTACTAATATAATAAACTGTTTTAGTATGTGGATTTCAAACACGGCCACAACAGCTTTAATGGTTCCCATTGTTCAAAGCGTCATTGCAGAACTTGTTTCAAATCACAGGTTCTACCAAATTTGTTCACGCTGCCATATTTGAAGTGATTGTAGAATGGAAGACCTGATTGCATTGAATGAGGCGCATAGTCAAAGGAAAATGAGCGCCGGAATGAGACGATTATCCCTGCCCCATGAGCATTTGGAAGTTAACAATGAGTAGAATTACATTTTTGAGAAAATAGTCAAACTGACCATATACTGTAGGGATCTTAGTACTTCGATGTCGCCAAGAGAACAAAGAATGGCAAAGGGGTTGATGCTATCTGTATGTTTTGCCGCGAATATTGGAGGATCTGCCACAATCACTGGAACTGCATCGAATCTCGTATTCGTTGGACAACTTGACGAGTAGAACAAATAATTAAAACAAACTCAAAAAAGTTAGAATTTTCTCAGATTATTCCCAGGAGCCGACACTGGTGTCAACTTTTTATCATGGTTGGTCTTTGCTTTCCCCATGGCCGCCCTTTGTCTGTTGTATTGCTGGTAAGTTATCTCAATGTGATATGGTTGCAATGAAAGATCGCGAAGAAACTCGTTTTCGGCGAAGTTCACCGCGAACAAATTATTGCGTATTTCCTTGTAAGGTAATCAAACACTTCCAGGTTTGTATTATATATTTTATTCCTTCGCGGATCTCCGAAAGGTTCAATCATCGTCACGCGCAAACTCCAACAAAAGTACAATGAGCTTGACGCGATCTCATTCGCCGAGGCCTCCGTCATGGGCTGCTTCATTCTCCTACTCCTATTATGGATTCTTCGCGAACCTCAGGTGGTCCCCGGCTTTGGAGAACTATTCAAACCCGACACTGTATCAGATGCAACCAGCGCCATGCTAGTTGTTGTTCTGCTATTCATTCTTCCAGAACGCGCTCCACCAATGCGAGGTTCACAATTTGTTTAATCTCATCGAAATTTTGGTTTACAAATCTAGATAACAAGGGAAGATACCAGGCAAGCAGCGGGCTTTTGGACTGGGCTACAGTTCAAGACAGATTCCCATGGAGTGTTCTCTTCCTACTTGGTGGCGGATTTGCATTAGCCGCAGGTGTTAAAGAATCAGGACTTTCTCATGATATTGGAGCACTGATGAAGAATTTGGATGTGTTCAATCACAATATTATTATGTTGATCTGTATAATCATTGCCGTCACACTCACCAATATTTGCTCGAATACAGTCATTGCAAGTATTTTCATCCCGATCGTTGCCGAACTCGCCAAGTAACAAGAAAATGATAATTATAAAACCAATGCAATTATTATTTAGGAGTCTTGAACTCAATCCACTCAACTTCATGCTTCCAGTGACCTTGTCAGCGTCATTCGCGTTCCTCCTACCAGTTGCAACTCCACCAAACGCTATTGCTTTCTCATCAGGTTACCTTAAAGTGTCCGATATGGTAACAAAAATTACCCGAAGTAGCTAAAAAGCTATACAAATTTCAGTTCGTTTCTGGCCTTATTTTGACGTTTGGTTGCGTTTTCATAGCGATGGCTAATATGCTTTTCTGGGCAGGTTTCGTGTACAATCTTCACCTCTTCCCGCAATGGGCCGCCAATCCGGAACCCCCATTGGATGTCAACGACTGGCTTCAGGAAAACAATATAACTCTTCCGTTGAAGCCATAATTTCCCAATAGAGTTTCAAAGTAGATTTAATAGCTTACCACCAAATAAAAAAAGTTTTAACCCGACAATTTTATTTTTATTGTTTTTGTTTTTCATTTGTTAATTTTCATTTTGTTTCTTATCTTTAATGCCAAAAACTCAATAAATAAATATTCTAATCACATTGCTGCCTTCTATTAACGGGGAAAAAGTAAAAGTTGTTAATTGAAGCATCCATGGTACTAACTTGTTTATTTCGAAGAATTGGGGTCAAGAATTCTGGCCACAAGTAAAGATTAAGATGAATTGGAAAGCTGTTGCTATTCTAATTTTTGTTTTAATAAGTCTTTCGAATGCCGAGTTCAATGCGGATTTTGCCAACTTTGTTGAAAATCATTATGGCAGAAATTTCCTTGACGCACTTCAAAGGTGATTTTTTTACCCAGGCTTTACATTAAAATTGAAATCTCAAGAGATTTTATTTTAACATGTTGTAATTGCGCGCTATTGCGAATATCGTCGTTGTTTTAAATCCGATGTTTTTCAATATATATATATTTTTTAGTTTTTACACAAAATATCACAATTTTAATTAGTTGAACAAATTTTTGTGCGCCAGATACGATCTTGGTGACAATGGTTCATTTGGTGGAAAAGAAGAAGCCAATGAGACAATTTCTCGCGATCCTGTTATTTTTGTTCATGGCGTCTCAGATGTCGCTGGTGGAAAAATGCTCTCACTCGCAGCAAAATACAGGTAACTTTCGATTAAAATTTGAAATAAGAGCCAATTTAATAGAAAACGAGGATATCAGAATGGCGAGCTATATGCAACCACATATGCGGACGGAAATCGAAATAATCCGCTAGCCTGGACGGAGTATTCTATGAAATGTGATCATGTGAAGCAGGTAAATTGATCGTTCGAGTGTTTGCTGATTATCTAAATGACTAATTAAGATTCGTACACTAATTCTGGCAGTTCGGTATTACACTTTAAGAGATGTCGACATTGTCGCTTTTTCATTGGGAGTTCCAATTGCAAGGAAAGCTATATTAGGAGGTTCGAAATATTTTTTTTTATTTTTGTATTCATTTTACAGGCGAATGTATTGACACAAGGGAAGATTTGGGGATTCCATTAACTGCTTATGTAGACACATTTATTGGAATGGCAGGACCGAATCATGGTATATCCATGCAGGTTCTGTAATTTCTACTATATTTTTTAAACAACTAAATTTTAGATTGCTGGTATCAGTATTCCTGGTTGCGTTATTGGCGCCATACCGCTCTTGCCAATTTGCAGTAAAGTAATTGGTCTCTACTCGGGATTCTGCCCAACTGAGAGTCAATTTCTTGAGGTAAGAATTGGTGCTCCTCCCAACATTAATACTCTAATATAGGATATCAATGAAAAAGAACACTATGAAGGAAAGTTTGTCTACTCAATTTATAGCAAAACCGATAACTGGATTGGCTACGAAGTTTGTGGAAAGGTAAGTTGTAATTAATTGAGCTGAAAATCATTCATTATTAGGTAACGGCTGGAATACCCGGAGAAGATGGTCATCGAGCATTTAACAAAATGAGTCATGACGAGGTTGCTGAAAATACATATGACATGCAAATTCAAATGATTCGTGAGTTAACATTTTTTATCAGTTAAACCAGGGTTGTTAAATTTTGGGCCCGGCCGGCCGAAAGCCGGCCTCAGGCCGGCTTTCGGCCGGCTTTTTTCGCTGTCAAATTTTCGGCCCGCGATTCGGCCCCCGACTCCGTTGTTTACGGCCGCACGGCCGAAGCGAGAATTCAAAAAAAAGCCGAAAGCCGGCCGAAAGCCGGGCCGGCCGGCCGGCTTTCGGCCCCGGCTTCAATTTACCAACCCTGAGTTAAACGAATGAATAGATTAATTTTAGAGCAACATCATGCACTAGAAGTAATAAACGAGAGGAGTGTATCCCGACGATCAAAGAATGTACGTAGAACAGGTTTAGCGTCTTCGGAAGATGACCAACGTCCTCGGATCAAGAAAAGCAACACCGAAAAAATAGCGAGTAAACCTAAAGTGGTACCATGGAAAGAGAGAATTCAAGAACGAGAGATTCCTAAACAACATCCAAAACCACAGTCCCCGGTTGTAAGTAAACGTGATTCTCTTGAGCAAGTATTTGGTGGAATGGAAAATTGGAAAAGAACGTTGAACCGTCCCACGTCATTTTCAACGAAATCAAATAATTATATGGAATCGAACTCAATTGGTTATCATACCCGGATCCGAATATTGGTTGATTAAATATGATATAATCGTAATAAATGATTTATAAATATTTCGGTCCCTACCGTTTTCTGTGCTTTTTCTGTGTTACTGATAAAGGCGAATTTGATAACGAATATTATTCTTCCCACTTCTGAGAATGGCGGTACGAATTCTCATATTTGCTCTCTTACATTTTTGCTCAATTGGTAGAGCAGGTAATAGTTTATATTAGTATGGGTTTTGTATATATATAATATAGCTGTATATGTTATACACAAATTCTTGGGGAATAAAGATTGTGCAAGTATTGGAATTGGGATGTAAAATTTGAATTTCTAAAACTTTTTGGTCAGGTTCTGAAAAAAATAACACTTATGACCTGAATGATATCAGAGAAATTATTAATAGTATATCGGTTTTTTCTATTTATTTTTGCCGTTCAACAATCATCTGAATATTCCAGTCATCACTTTGTCAAATAGTTATGTTATTCTATATTACTTCTTGATTGAGAATCGTGTGATTAGAATTTTGAACAAATTTGTGTGATCATTTTCAACTAATTACAAATTATCAGTTCAAATGCATTTCATAGTACATTTAGATAAGATTTTAATTACGAATGATACCGTTAATTGTCAAATAGTCGGAATGCAAACATATTTTAATATACAATGAAAAGTTATTGAGCAACTTTTTAGAACCATCCAATCATGTTGAGTTCAATCATCCTAGTATACTACCAGCTTATGCGGACAACTTCAGGCATGAAAAGGCTGCCTCAAAGTGATATAATAAATAAATAAATCATTGATTTATACATTTTTTCCAATCTTCAGACTCAAGCAGCATTATGTCACCAAAGAGCGCCTACCGACTTATCTGATCCCTTCGAGCTACGATATTTATATCAAACCATTCTTCCCAGCCGACGGTGTTAAATATGATGGTAATTGTCCATAGGAATTTTTATTACTGCTGATGTAATTTTTGCATTTTTAGAACCAGACTTCACCTTCCACGGAAGTGTCGAAATCAAGGCAAAATCTTACAAGACCAGTGATCGTTTAATTCTCAACGCGTACAATTTCACAATTCTCAACTATATCGTGTTCAGATCGGATAATACTGAACTTCCAATTCTGTCAACATGTAAAGAAATATGGGAATTTTGAGAAAAAAAACTGGAATAAAGTTTAGCTCAGGACGATTCGAAACAGCAATTGTCATTGATAACCGAGCCAAATGGTGTAGTGTCCGGCGAGGAATATCGTATCCAAATCACTTATAAAGGATTCATTAATAATTACTTGGACGGTGGAGTTTTCTATACATCTTATGTTGATCCGCAAGGGGCTATACAGTAATTCGTATATTGGTATAATTGAATAAGATGATTTCGTGTTGCAGCTATATGATTGCAACTCACATGGAGCCATTTTCGGCGAGAAAAGTGTTCCCAGGTTTTGATGAGCCGGCATTCAAAGCGGTTCGAAAAATCACACATCATTGAATCAAATTATAATAATTGATTTTCAGACATTTTCGATTCGATTGGAATACCCAAGTTCACAAGTGGCTTTGAGTAATATGAAAGAAGGAGAGCCTGAAATTTTAAAGTGATTTAAAAAATTTTTATTAGTTACCATATATGTTATTTCAAGAGATGGTTGGTCACTTATTACATTTCCTACAACTCCTGTCATGTCGTCCTACCTTGTTGCATTCGCTGTGGGACCATATGTTTCAGCGACATATTTGAACAGGCACAATACAACGGTAAATGTCACAAAAATTCTTCTTTACATTGATATAATTTTTAGACAAGAGCTTGGGGATGGACGGGAACCGAGCAATACCTAGAATTTGCAGCTCAAAATGCTGGCGAATGTCTTTACCAATTGGGTGAATACACTGGAATCAAATTCCCTCTTGAAAAAGCTGGTATTTTTGTAAAAATCAATGCTCATAACTTAACGGTCAATTTTTTAGATCAACTTGGCCTTCCAGAATTTCCTGCAGGAGCTATGGAAAATTGGGGACTTATAATTTACAAATACCAATACATTGCATACAATCCACAGGTTTAATAGAATGTTATCCAAGATTTATTGACGCCAATAATTGTAGACAATGACTACTCAAAATCTTGAAGCTGCTGCAAAAGTCATGTGTCATGAACTGGCTCATCAAGTAGGATCTATAAAAGTCCCGAAATATGTTTTTTTTTTGCAGTGGTTTGGCGATTTGGTTACAACCAAGTGGTGGGATGATCTATTTCTCAATGAAGGATTTGCCGACTATTTTATGACATTTATTCAAAAATCGGTGTACCCGGAACAAGAAACCTATTTAGTACAACTTCAGAACATCTATTAATTCAAATTTTTTTGATTATAGGATACTTTGCAAGTACTTAATGAGCTTCAAGTTGGATTGGAAGCCGATGTTAGTTCTAATGCGCATCCACTGGTCTATCCGGACGGTCCTGCTTTCGATGGTTCAAAAATCTGAAAATTCATCAACATAAACAATTTTTTATAGATATCACCTATAATAAAGGTGCTTCACTTCTTCGAATGCTCTCTGACGTCTTGACACCAGAAATTTTTCGCACCGGTCTTCAAAATTATCTGCTAGAAATGTCATATTCAAATGCGGTCGATGAAGATCTATTTTCATTTTTAACTGAAGTATTTAATTTGGAAAAATTTGACAATATCTGAAAATTTATAGGCGGCAAAGCAAGCTGAAATGCGGGATTGGTGTGATAATCCGTTCAATGTTTCCGGTTTCATGCAACCATATATTCACCAAACAAATTTTCCACTTATTCGTTACTTCAACAATGACCCGACCAGCGGTGCAAAATTCTATCAAGAGCCGTTTGCAGGTAGAATAAAAAACAGTGAGTCGGTGATTTAAAAAATACGCTTTATAGATATTACAAATTTGACAAAGTCGTCCTATAACTATACTTGGGTTGTGCCATTGAAGGTTTCTTATCTGCATAATCCATATCCTGAAATTCATTACCTATTCACAGGTATAATTTAAATATGTTGACAATTTATGAAAAAGTTCGTTTTAGAATGTCCTCCAACACCTGACCCAAACGAGTTAGTCCGAGCAGTACAATGGTCTTTGGCTTCAATTACATCAGCTACATATGGACGCATTATATACGATGATATTGGATTTGATCGTCTTGTTAAGAGCATCAAAGCAAATGACATTAGTGATAATTTGAAGCTGACGGTTTTGGCGGATGAGGTTCACTACTTGAAGTGAGTTTTCAAATTTTTAGAATCCACAATTCCGAATCAATGTTTTTCAGTCGCGAAAAAGCGGCTGGTCGCTCATACACTTATACTCGATTCCTTTCATTGGCATTAGCAATTTTCAACACAAACTCCTCAATTCATACGCCAAGCTATTCCGTGTTCAAATACGCTCAACCAACTCTTGAGTTTGTTGCCAGCATTCATCGAGATCAAATGGACGCACCTTTGATTCAAGTGAGTTCAATTTGAATGAAGTAATTATATATGAATAATAATGATTCATAGAGAATGTACAAGAAAATGTTTGGAAAAATCTATGAGCAACTTATCTGGGCTGACACACAAAAATGGGATATTGAGTTTGCGGAAATCAATAATTTTGAAATATTATTATGAAATTGCAGTACATTTGCTGACGACTTTCTGGTTTGGGCTGTTCGATATGATCTTGGAGATGTTCGTCAGAGAACAATGGAAATGTTTAACAATGTCAAATTATCATGTCGTAATAGTTTGAATGGAACAGCATCATGCAATCCGTATGATAACCCTTTTTGTTATTATTTTGTGAATGGATGGAATTGTTAAGATACACAACAAACCTGCATCGAGCAATCTATTGCGGAGCTGCAAAATACGCTCCTGAAACTAGTGACTATTTCTTCCAGCTTATTCGTTTTTACAATATGGAAGTTGTGGCAAATCCGTATTTCTACCAAGAATATATGGCATTGCTTGAAGGAATGTCTTGCACGCAAAGTCCTGGAACACTTGCAATGTCAGTTTTTCTAATTTATAAAAGTATTAAATTCAAAATTCAGATTGCTTCGCCTTTACACAACATCTACATTGAATCAGAGAACATTATTCACATTTTTGAAATATAATTTGCCTGCTTCCGATGCTATGTACACATTTTTGCAAAATAATCCAACAGTATGATAATTATGCAAAAAATATAAAAATACGATTTTTCAGATAATTAACAGTATTGATCTTGATGCTTATGTTGATGCCATGACATACAATTGGAACAGTTTTGAAAGAGAATCACAGTTTAGCAACCTTTTCCAGGTGCTAAATTTAAATCCTGAACAATACGAAATATTTGATAAATACATGGAAAGAATTACTGAAAATGTAAATGATGTCATTTTGTCGTTTATAATAATAATAACAATAATAATAATATTCAGTGGAATTATCGAAACACTCGCGGTCTTGCAATTCTCAATTGGTTATATGATAACCTAGTGGTTATTGGAAATACACCGTGGCCTAAAGTGTATGATTGATTTATGTAACCCTGACTAATTGTTTTTATTTAGGTTGGACGGATCTGTCCGAGCCACCAATTATTCTTTGAAAATTCAACCGTACATCCCTGGATCTGGCGACTATGCGGATTTCTTCAACATGACATTTTCGGCAACTTCGGTGGTACGTTCATTTCAAGCTAAAATTGAAATTAGTCATTTGTTGATTTAGATCAACCTAGAAGTTATCAAACCAATTACCACATTCTGCATCAATTCTCACCGAATATTTATTGAAGACAGCGGCATTCAATTGTATTCGACTGTTACTGGAACAGCAGAACTTATTCCGACAAAAAGAGCGTATAAAACGTACGATGAAGGAGTTTTGTGCATCCCGCTTGACAATGTGAGATTATCGCCATCGACCAATTATTATGTCCAATTTACTTATATGGGTTTCATTTTTGCAAATCCTGATGAAGGACCTGCCATCAACTATAATTACTATACATTCAATGGAAATAAAGGGTTTGTTGATACTTTATTGTAGGGTTTTGAATGAATGTTTTTCCTAAGATGGATTTTCACGACTGATTTCGAAGGGGGACCTGGAGCTCGATCACTTTTACCATGTTTTGATGAGCCGACATACAAATCCTCTTTCAACGTTGACTGCATTTCTCAATTGATTTTTAAAATCTGTTGAAATTCAGATCACTGTCACGCATCCAACTGACACCGTTGCTCTTTCAAATAATATTGAAGAAAGTTCAATTATTTTGAGAAATGGATGGACTACAACGAAATTCCAAAGAACCGAAATAATGGTATGATTTAGAACTAGGCGGCATTTTTATTGAATATTTTCAACAATTCAGTCAACTTATCTGCTTGCCATTTGTGTCGGCCATTTTTCGAACATCGCGAAAACAAGCTCAAATGGTCATCTTGTTCGATTGTGGTCGTGGACGGGAATGGAACAATTCGGAGAGTTTGCATTGAATGTCAGTTCTGCAACATTGGACTTTATGGAAAAAACTTTCCATATTCCATATGCATTGGACAAATTGGGTATATCGAAGTATCTATATATTCGAATAATAGAGTCTTTAGATATTATGGCTCTTCCGCAATATACCACGAATGCAGGGGCAATGGAAAATTATGGTTTGATCATTGGTGAATACAATGCCTATCTATTAGATCCGGATTATGCAACGACTTCTCAACTTATGGAAATCGCTGAGACATCTGCTCATGAAGTTGTTCATCAGGTATATTTCAACATTGCATTTAAACCCAACATAAATTTTTTAGTGGTTTGGCGACATGGTGACAATGGATTGGTGGAGTGATATTTTCCTAAATGAAGGTTTTGCGCAGTATTGGTTTGCAAATGGAATCCTCTATGCGTATCCTCAGCAACAAGAATATTCATTAGTAAGTAGGCAATTCGAATTTTTTTTACTGATGTGTCGGATTTATAGGACTATAACAGATTCTTAATCAAGAGATTGGCTCTAATGATTGATTGTATCCCTGGAATGGCTAAACCTGTCATTAGTAATACGCCGCCAATTTTTGGAGCCGAACCATATTACAAAGTAAGAAACATTCTTGAATTTATTTAATTAAGAAATTAAAGGGAAGCTCTCTATTTGACACATTGTCTAATCTTTTAACTGAAGAGGTGTTTATTGATGGACTCAGAAGCTACTTGTACGACAATGCATATTCTAATGCAAGCCCCAATGATTTGTGGAAAGCTCTCACTGAAGTGAAAAATCTTTTAAAAGAAATAAGAAATAGAAATATTGATTTAAGGCAGCTCAAAGAAGCAATGTCCTTGGACCTGACGGGCAACCGATCGATATTGGTGTATTTATGCAGCCATATACTTTAAACGTAAAATCTCGAACGTCCTTCATGATATTAATACCATTTATAGACGTCATTCCCAATTCTTGAAATTTCGCAAGCTGAGCCAAATCAATTTAAAACACGACAAAGATCCTGCATGAACAACGGAGTTCAGTGGGCGATTCCTGTGCTAACTCAAAACGCTACGAATAGTGGTAATTATGGTCATCATATAATACCGCTAAAATAAATTTTAGTAATGAATTGGTTTGTTGGAGAAACAGGAGGTAATGACGATATTTGGATAAGAAATGCTCCGACGACCTTTAGAATTGACAACGCTGCGGAATTTGTAAAAAAAATTTGAAGTCCGATTCAAACAATTTCATTTTATTAATTAAGGCATTTACCCGAGTAAACTATGACGATCAATCTTGGAGCTACATTCTTGATCAGCTTGCTACTGATCCAAACCAACTGCAAATTAAAACACGCGCAATGCTGTTTGACGATGCTTTCTATTTTTACCAGTTCTCTTCGAAATTTCGAATAGTGTGACTCATTTCCTTTTATAGAAACGGAGTGTACTCAACCGAGAAAATGCTTAATCTTACTCTCTCTCTCACTAATGAAAACAGCTTGGCCGTTTGGGAGATGGCTTATGAGATTTTGAATTACTTTTCAAATCGTTTCCGCTATCAGAGCACATTTGATAATATTAATGTAAGCTGATTATTATTCCCTCATCATTTGTATCCTGAATTAATTTTAGAACTTTGTTCGTCAAGTTACTCAACCGGCTTTTGAGAGATTTGGATTCCTTCAAACCGAATCTTGGGCGACAAAGTAATGACTATGAAATAATTGGAGTAATCGGAATTATTGAATTCAGACGCGCTGCTAAATATGTGACCGAATTGAATTGTTTGTCTGGTGGGCCCAACTGCACTGACTATGCTTTGGAACACTTCAGACATTTTATTCGACGATGTGACCAATCGACATCAGGAACCGGAAAATGCTCAGGGTATCATTTCTTTTTTAATCTTCCATTTTTTCACTTGATTTTCAGAATTGATCCAGATTATCGCTTCATTTCTTACTGTATGGGAATGATAGATGAAGATCTCGCAACCACGTCAAACATCCAAACCATGATCGATATGTTTAACTATTTTTGGACAGGGCATACATATATGTCTAATGATCAGGATAATCTTTTGAATGGATTGGGATGCCTACAATCGCAATTTTCTCTTGATAAGTAATCAAATCACAAAATCATTGTCGGAATTTTGCATTTCAGTTTAATTTCATTTGCGGTTAACGGAATTTGGCCAAAAGAGACCCTAATGTACATTATGAAGAATAGTTATACTGATGGCAATGTGCTTTACAACTATTTATACTCTTATTTACCTGATGTAACTTTTGAGATTGAAAAATCAAATAAAAATGTTGAAATTCAGGTTCAAAATAGTCCAATTGAATTTAGTTATTACATCAACCAAATGATAACAAATTGGAGTACCCAAGAGCAACTGGAGAAGGTTCGAAACAATTTTAACAAACTAAAAAAAATGTGCCAAATTCTAGTTGACTGATGCAGTTCACACACTTTTCTTTGAAGAATTGAGCCCGGCGCAACAAAAAGTTTGGATGAGTGCCATCGACACTGTGAAAGCCAACAACGATTGGATAAAGAATAATCAAGATGCTGTAATGATTTGGATCGAGAAAAATTTCGGAGCAGTCAACAGGATTTAAATTTATTTATTAAAATAATTAAGCGAAAAGGCGCCAATTTTAAAGCTATAATTCAGCAAGCAAAGTTTTCTGTGACAAGCAAAATAACAAGGCAGATCAATAATAAGACACAAAACAATTATAAAAAAGCGTTTCGGATGCTACAAGATCTATAACTAATACAGGCAAGGATGCTGAAATAGTTAAAGCACAAACTTGAGAGTGTACACATAATTCGCGAAATTGTATATCTATATAATTAAAGGAGGCGTCCGGCGCGAGAACCAAACCATGGTCGCGGTTGATATGTTTTCCTATTATTGATCTCATTAACGCTTTTCAATCTAAAATGGAAAGTTTCGTTGATTCTCGAGATAGCGGGAATTGATGATACCTTCTTTGGAGATCCTCGTAAAACGGCATAATGACATCGGTTAGGAATTCATCGGCGACATCGTCGAAAAATAGCTCATTTAGGCTTGTTCGCAGCGCTTTTATGATATTGTCAAGTTTTTTAATGGTTCTCCCGTAGGCTTGGCCGATCGCATCAATGTAATACGGATTGCTTGCAGTAATTCGGATATGAGAAGGCTGAAGCCACCCATTTTCTCTAAATTTCAAATTTTGTATTATATCACTAACTGAGCATTACCTATTGTGGACCCATGTGGAGTTGTCAAAGAACGATTTGAGCTGCACAAAATCTCGAATTGAGTCCCTAACACGGTATCCGGGGTAACGACATTTATCAGATCCAGCCAGAAGGTTATCTATAGTCGTTGCTACAGGGCAGTTGAGCGATCTGAGGGCAAGGTCCGCCGTTTGAGCTGAAATGACCATATTAATATTCAATATAATAATATGATAGCATACGATCAATGTGATTTTTTGAAAGAACTATAAGATTCAAAGCAAGTGAAGCCATGGAAGTCGGCCAGAGCTCACAAAGCGATGCGAAATGATCATATCTAAAAGTTGATAAACTATACATTAAATCACAGCGAAGTATCCTGGTACCGTTGCCATCCAGTTATAATTATTGAATCAAAATTATCAAAAAGTTGGGAATATTTTTCATTTTGCTGATGCCATGCTTTATTATTGAGTAGGTAAGGCTTCATTCGATTCCAGTATCTGCTTGATCCGTCGGCTCCTAAAAAATTATTGAAATTGTATTTTGATTTAAAATGAGCACCTTTGAATGCACTCGCTCCCCAGACATCTCGAAAATTGTAGGAAAGATTCTTCCACATTTGAGTTGGTAAGTCCTTTTCCAAATTTGATGTGTACTTCCAGACAACCGGAACAACCAAATTATTTAAATAATACTCCTGGATCAACTCGGCTGGTGCGTTTTGCAGCTCGTCATACCACATGAGCACCTGCATATTAAACGGAAAAGTAGACTTTGACCCCTTCGATGTGTATACCTTAACACCGGGGTATTCGCGTGTAACATTATCAGCAATAGTGCTTAAATGGTCAAAAATCATGCGAAGTGTGTCGTTTCCATATTTGATTGGCAGAATTTCCTTGTCGGCATCACAGATTCCGATCTGAGAATCTTGCGTTATCAATATTTAGTTATCATTATTTTTTTAAAGCAAATTCAAATACGAGCAGTAGGAAACTTGGAAAATCAAGTGATTTTGAGTATTCGATATTGAAACATACCTGGAATGCCTCATCAGCTCCAATATGGACATATTTGGTGGAGAATTTAGCATGCATTGAAACAATTTGAGTGACAGCATCCAATATTAACTTTCCAGCTCTTTGATCACCGATACAAGCGACCTAAATAATTATGCAAAGAAGATGTTATATATATATATAACTATAAGGTACCATAGGATAGTTTTGGTCTTCTCGCAATTGAGAATACTCGTCGGTTTTAAGTATCCACTCCATATGAGCCAATGTTTGAACTAACGGAATAACATCGAGACCAAGTAGGGAAGCACTGCAAAGAACGAGAGCGTTCTTTTCTAACCTCGTTGAGGTTCAACTAACTGTTGTAAAATATCGATAACGTCTTCTTCACTATACGCGTTCCCGTTGACAACTCGTGATAGTTCTCCTTTAAACGGGAACATGTCCTGAAACAATTGTTTAACGCATAAATCACGTTACTATGCTTTGATTTACCTCCCACTCGATTAATACGCCGGTGGCTCCTAGATTTCCGACAGTTGTTAGAAGTTGTTTGAAGTATGACACTCTTGGAGGCGCGCCTTTGAGATCAAAATGGACAATTGCGTTACGAAAAACACATTGAACCTGCAAAATGATTGGCGTTTTGTTGTCATTCTGGATTTTCAATCTCACCGGTAGGACTAACACCGAGATAATCGCTAGTAGATACATATATGATTAGCGGAAGGCTCACGTGAAGTTCAACAAATCCTCGTAATAATGTTGTACTGATGGTTTTGCGTTGTCTAGAATTAAACAGTAGAGTAGGTGAATAGTGAAGAGGGTAAAGTGATATGCATGAAGAGGAAGAAGGAGAAGGTACTGAACAAACAATCAAGTTATCATTTTTCTTGGCAGCGGTGGTCGCCAACCGCCCACTGATTGGCAACTAACCAACCGTTTTGCGGCTGTCGAGAGTAGGGTTGTAAGTTGTGTAAAAATTACGGTAGATATTGAATGAAACCGGCAAGATGATTTAAGTGCGGTCTTCATTCGACTCATCTCTATTATACTAGCATTGTGTTTTTTAATTGCTAGGCTTAGAAATCATAACATCAAAATCCACAGTGTAAGAATATAGTGTCTGAAGTCTGAAGAGGATCAACTTTATGATTTTTCGGAATGCTCATTAAAAAATGATCATGATTGACCTCGTCTCGAGAGATGAGCCGAATGTAACGGAAATGAGCAGACTGCGGTTTCACATAAACATTCCCGCCCATTTGTTATGAGCTTTCACGACTGATCAAAAAATGGTCATGTAACGTTTCGAGGGCTCACCATGAATTAGTCGTTATTACAAATCAAAAAGACCAAAAATGAATAGGTGTCAATTGAAGCTAATAATAGTACTATTTTGCGAGCGCTTCGAATTTCGAACGATGCCAATTTTCTGTTGAGACGGAAGATGGATTTGTGTCCCCCACCCCCCGATTTTTAGTCCACTAACAACACTAAAAAATTGTTAAAAAATTGCTATATTTGCTTTCAAGTGTTCACGATCAACTGATTTTGTTATCATTGGAGTCGCGCACTTTTGAAAACTACAATTTGAGGTTCGCTATTGTTTGCTATCTATCCAGGCACATCACAGATCGAGGCGATCATTGAAAATGGGCAAATGATATTTATTGAACCCATTGCAAAAAATAAACATTATCAAAGTCTCAAATTACGGTAAGGCACTTTTCAAAACGCGTAACAATTGAAGATAGGAAGATCAAAAAGCGAAAAAAAGACATATGATTTCAATTGCCTTGCGTTAATTGGGTCATCGTGGTCAGCCGTTATTTTTACTTTGAAATGGGGGGAACGCCGATTCTTTAAAATGTTCTCATAACGATTAGCGAAGATCATTAGCGAAAAATAGTTTTTTCTTTGCAAAATGATATTTCAATGGGAAAAAAACCAATTTGTTTTGGCATCTTTAAATTCCTGTCAGGTTTCCCAATTATTAACGCAACATTTGACTGATGGCAAACGAACGATTTTCAAGCGTTGAGGTATCATCTGCAAACCGATTGGCTGTAGTAATACCACATTTTAACAATGTTGGTTTTCCTCTTTTTTTCGAACGTGCTATTTAGCTTTATTAATATGAACAACAAGAAGAGATAGAAAATCATAAATCGGATTCGGAATTTCAAGGACACCAAATATATAATTCTTTTTGCATAATTATACACCCTTTGGGAGGATTGAACAATCGCACGTGACAATTGAAGAAGCTTCGCATCTCGTTTCTCTTATTTCTTGGGTTGTCATATCTACAGGTGATAGTATTGAGAAAGTGAGATTTGTAATCGAAATCGAGTTTATTGCACCGCGGACAATTTTGCGACGATGTCAAGCGCCCCTCACGCCAGCGAGAATTTGTAATAAATCGCATCTAATCGCAACTTGTGTCTATCAGCCCGAATTCATCTGAAATCGAGGGCAAAAAAAATAGGGCGCTGAATGGATGTGGAAGTGCTGGGTATGCGCTTCTCGATGAGGGGGGATTGACCGGCACGAAAGCCGCGACGAGATCCGCAAAAATAAACGACTGATAATGAGTGCACGCCTCGTATTTATAGAATCGGAATCAATTGATAAGCTCTTTTTTTTCTCTATTTTGGGAGTGACAAAAATTTTTTGCGAAAAATTTGATATCGAATTTCGCAGTTTTTGATTGTACTGAAAAACAGATAATAATACTTTATAAGATAAAAAAAGTAGAAAAGCATATTTTTCTTAAATAATTGGGATTAACAGGATTTTAGACACATTTTTTTTTTAATTTCACAGTGTTTTGTGAAACCCGGTAATATTAGCAGTAATTAAAGGAAAATAATTTATTGGAATATGATAATCTCGAAGTTTTGAAAATACTCTAATTGAAATAAGTTATTATACTTACGGCTTAAGAAAAAAATTTTTTTTAGAATATTTTCTGGAAGACTTCTTGAAATTAAAGATCATTTCACAAAAAAATCGTCAATTCCTAGAGATCATTCCGATAATTCTCTAATTCCTACTTTGTAAAAGAAAAACAAGTTTTCCACTTCTTATTTTTTTTTGACTGATATGTGTAAATTATCTAATGTTCCGAAAAAATGTACTTTTGGAATTTGGAAAGAATAATTTCAAAAATAAATGCTTATGACAAACAATTTTTTGCAATTGTGAATTGTAAAAAAAGGTACAATAAAAAGATGGCCCACTCCGATATTTGACACGCAGATTAGGTCTCATGTTTCGGAAAACAAGTTGATTTCTTTCCTGCACCTTCTTTTACAGAACAATTCGGAACCGGAAACGACTATGGGAAGCGATAGGTGGTCAAACAAAATCGAAAATGATTTCAACGATTTCACCCACCGAATTGGTCTATCATCAATTATGTTGTTTGACTTGTCTTCGTTGTTTTCTTTTTTAATTCTGATTCCATAAGACTTTTCCACGTTACGTTTCGATTTGCTGCTGCATTAAGAAACGGACAGGTTTGTTGATTATCTATCGTTCTGGCCAAACTTGTAAACCAAATGCGAAATGTCGACAAAAAGAGCGCACAAAAAAACGAATATGGAACACGTCGTGGAAAAAAATGGGTCAGACTTTTCAATTAAGGTCACACCATTGCGCTTTTATGCAATAATTTTGAACGATTTATGTATGGGAGAAAAAATTGGGCAGTGGATTTGAGGTGGCGGTTCAAAATGTGAACGCAAGAGTCGACAGCAAACTAAACTGTTTCAACTATCTGGACAAACAATCATTTACACACACCCATCGAAATTTTTGCGGGGGCAGCTTATAGTTAGTTGATTACAAGGAAAACTCGAATAATTAAACAAAACAATAGCGATTAAAATAAACCAAACAATAATGTGACCTGCGCCTTTAACAGTTTTCTACAATTTTGTTACACGTCGATGCTCTGCAATTTCAACTTTTTAAGTATTTGAAAACGCTGTAGAGTTCTTGAGTGAAGAAAAAAAGTCTAACGCGTTTCAAATCGGGTCAAAATGTTTGCATCAATCAGCAGTTATCATTATCTAATCAGAGATATAATTTATAGCGGTGATCGCAATTTATACTATATGTGTATAGTTATGCAAGTGGGAAAAAATACATGGAGGCTCAATTGTATTTCGAACAATTGTCATTTGTTCTTTATTTTTGCTAGCTTTTTTTTTAAGTAGATTTGTGATATTTAATTTCAGAACCCACTCCTCCATGAATTTTCGTACTAGCAAAAGGTTCACGGAATGATTCATAGCTTTCAAAATTCAAAATTTCAAAAATTCAAATTATTTTCTAAGAATTTGATTCAACCAAAAAAAATTAAAACTCTTGGACTATTGGTGTTGAACTTAAAGGTTGAACTTCTGACTTCGACGTCACGGAACATATATTATGTCACAACTATGTGAAAAAATCATTCAATTAATATTTACTTTGACGTTAAATTTTTATTTACTCTGGTAAGTAGTCGAGTTCAAATGTTCGTTACGACGTCTATAAAACATATCTAATAGTACAAATCAGACCAAAGAGAAAAAACTTTGAAAAGCTATAACAACATTGATTTATGAGTTGATAACAACACCCTATCAACCCAACAAAAGTTGGTGTAAAAACCTGCCAAGATTGGAACATTTGTTACAAAACCCAACGCTTTTATATATATGTGAAGGGTATCAATAACAACAACCCAAAAAATGCAGAATTTCTTTTATTCCTACAGTTCAGTGTGAATGGTAAATATGCAGATTGTCGGGAACACCTAAACTGATGGCAACAACAAACAAAAATGTCAATCAGTTAGTTAGATGGATGATAAAAAAAAGGTCGTAAAATTGTTCTAGAAATAAAAAAGAAATGGCAAAAAAGGTGCGGAAAGTGACAAATCATATTTTTGGAAAAAAAAATTCATGATTAAATTTTAAAAACTTTTTCTAATAATTGTTCTTTAAAATTAAAAAAACAATTTCCCATAATATTCATTAATTTCACCCCAATTATTCAAATTGGTGCATTTTTCAATTCATTAATTTAATTATAGTAATTATTGGGCTAGCATTCCTTTATAATCCTCCCATCTCATTCCCAGCAGCATAAAAGCTCTTTGTTCCAACGTTTCGCGCATTAATAATTTTTTCGATATTTCTGTGTAGTTTCATCGAAGTCCTTTTCGATCTCTGTCTCTCTTCTCGATTCCTAATATGTATTAATCATCATTGGGGGTTTCTGATTGAAGAAATGGAATTGAAGCAATATGAGCGAAAGAGTTTTCCATCCTTAATTTATGATGATTTTTCTTCTCAATCCAACTTGTTATTCCTTTTTAAACTGATCTTTAGAATTTTAATTATTTGATTTTATTTTGCTACATTGTGCGACTTGATTTGATTTTAGAATTAATTAAGTTTAAATGTAGGGTTGAGTTGCCTAATTTATTTTTTTTAAGATAATTCGTGTAGGTGCAGTTTTTTTCCAATTTGAAAAATAGATTAATAGTTTATTATAAAAAAAAACAAAACACTGAGAATAATTCTTGAGATTTTAAGTATGTGAACTTTCAAGTAAAATGGCGACGACAGGGGCGATGAGAATTTTAGACGAAAATGATATAGGAGGCAAAATGAGAATCGAAATTTATAAAAAAAAAATGAAACAATCATGAAATTGGTGACAATGTTCAATACGAACACAATAATGATATTCAAGTGAATGGGGAACAATTTTTGATTTGAATAAGCACAAAATGGTTGCGGTTTCAATTCAACATAAATCGCTTAAACCGTACAACATTGAGATTTTCATTTTTGAGGAAAAAAACGGCAAGGAAGAAAATAAGACAAAAAAAAACAAACTGAGTAAATACCTTTTGATTTTTTTCTCTTCACGGCAATTACGATGCATTGAGACTAGACGATCACAATAAAATGAATGAAAAGTTACCTAAAGGGTTATTTTTTGGTCATGGACATTACAAAACAATAATGTTTGGAATAATCAAAAAGTGATCCTGCATGAAACCGGACCCCTATACAATATATACACAGAACCCAACCGTATAGCCAATTCTCTGACTATGTTTCAAATGAGGTCTGATTATTAATTTTGTTCGAAAACTGACTAGTATTAAAATGAAATGAAATGAAAATGTTTGGAAAAAAAAGAAAGAACAACGATAAGAGAAAGAGACACTAGATGACGGAATCAACAATAATAATTTATGACGAGGTTGCCTTCTCAAGGATGAGTTTGATATCTTGAAGCTTGGAAGCAGCATCATCCTTGAATCGGTTCACACTGGAGTTCATGCCGGTTTGGAGTTGGACGAGGGTGTAGATTGAGTTCAGCGCCATGTCCATGTTCTTTTCTAGTCGGGAGACGCGCGCGTCAATACCGCAAAGAAGCTGAAATTCAATTTTATTTAGAAATATAATAATGCTGTGTTGAAACCTGTTCGATTTTTGGCGTCGTCAGCTGCGAGGCGCGAAGATCGCAGATCGCATTAGCGATGGCACGCAACTCCGACTGAAGACTGTCGTCGTTGGAGTTCGCCTCGGAGTTCTTGTCATCCGACGAAGTGCCGGCTTCAAGTGGCGGGAAACCGTGATGAAGCGACATGTGCACTTGAAGGTAAGAGCCTGAAAAAAAAACGAAACAGGTTTTGGCCGATAACAAGAAGGTCCCGAATCGCCACTGCTCTTGTTATTATTGCAATAACTCGTGCGCCCCCACAACAGTGATCGACTGACAAAAACCGATCGGCGGCCAACTGTCACCGCACTAACGCACCCCACAAATTTTGTGAACCTGCACCACCGCGGCTATCAACTGTCGCTGCTCCTGGGGGGCTGGTTTTTTTTCATGTGTGTATGTGCGCTGTGTCTGTCATCATCATCATCCTGGCACACTTTCTCTCCTGCATTCACATTCATTCCTGCGATTTCACGTCCGAACTATCTGCCATATGTTCGGTCGTCACCGTACGTCTTTACGATTCATCTCACTTTACAAAAAGTCATACAATGTGGTGTGACGGCACAACAACAATCTTTCGGCGGTGTTCAATTCCGACACGTTTCGCATCGCTCAAAGTGCACAAGGAGATGAAGAAGAAGATGAAGAAGCACACAATGCCTCTCGTCCGAAACTATTGCTCCCTCCCTCCTTCCATTTTATAGGTTTTTCTTTTGTGCGCCTCACTGGAAATATTGGAGAGACGCACAGATATCTATTTGAATGGTGGATTATACGATCCAAGAAATGGAATAATAAAAGTTGTCCTTTACAAAAAAGGAAGGGCAACAACTCTTGGCAGAATACTGTACATTGTTCAATCTTTGCTGCTTATTCCAGTCAAACATCCATTAGGTAATGAAAGAAGGGAAAAGCTCGGTAAATGTGCGTTGGTCCACCACCGCCACCACCACCACTTTCATTTGGCTTTTCTCTATCCCTCTCCCTCTTTCATATTCATTCGCTGAACCCGACAGACCGCTATTACTACTACGCATTTTTTTTCCCGACGAATCGAAAATGCTGTAGTCGTGAGATCGTCGGCGCACGGACAGCTTCTATTCACGCAAAGTGCCACGAGAGCTAGCGGAGCCTGGCGGCGGAGCACCGACACGAGAAAAGACTATCGATTAGCGGGCGGTGTGCGGCACGCTCCAAGGCTTTTCCTGTGTGCGTGTGTCTGTGTGTGCGTGTGCGCACTATTACGGATAGATATGGTTATGACTGACTGGATTACTCACGCGCTCACGGGCAGACATATGCGCGCGCACACACGGCATGAGAATAGAGAACGCATATCTCGCGCTCTCCAGCGTTTATGCCGTCGAGCGCATGGTTGGTAATAGTACTCCCTAAGGGGGAGCGGTGGGGAGGCAGCTCAGAAGTTTCCAGAGATATCGCAATGTGATGAAACAGGAAATTTCAATCGGTGATAATTTCCTTTTTGATTTGCATCAAAATCCCTTGCTGGCGCATGCATGCACAGAGGCACAAAAATTTTTTTCATTAAAACTATTTGGGCAGATGTCCTCTCGCACCAATATCCATAAAATTTCAATGAAATCCTTAAGACGCCTTCGGCCAGCAATAAACAGAAAATAGATTGGCTGTACGCCTCTTGTGCAAACAATGTTCTCGGCCGGCCACTCTCGCGCTTTGGTCACGCCCACTTACATTTGAAACATAAAAGGATTACGGTATTTGTTGGGGAGTTATGAAAAATGCCGAATGATGACTCACTTTTGCGCACGTGCTTGCCGCATTCTGGGCACTGTGTTCCCGGTGGACCGTTGGTCTTTGTCGCTTCCGCTGCACCAGAACCGTTTACTTGCGCAATCAATGCCGCCAGAGAAGTCTCACCGCCAGTCTGAATATAGAACAACTCTAATCACGATATGTCGCGCTTTGTGGTTACCGTATTGTTGATCAAAGGACTGTCGAAGCAGCCGCCATCAGAGTCAAAGTCGATTGATTTCACGACTGAAAAAATAAGAGGATTTAAAGAGTCTTTTTTTCCTTTGATGGATACACTATTGCAACCAAGTATTTTCAATTAAATTTTCAGCACTAGGGTTGTTTTCATTATTGTTCTCAAGAAACCTCCATGTCCAATTGTGTCAACGAAATTAAGAAAAGGACAATTTCATGTCATTGGTTATGAATCATTCATGAGCTTCTGTGCTTGTAATTTGTTTTCACCTATACTCCAACCAATTTTCTAGGATTAGCTAGGATTGCGAGCCACTCAATTCGCATTTAATTGAACATTACCGCCACCTGTCTGCCTATCTATCTCGATGAAAAATGGTGCTTGAATAGATAGACAGATAGGCTTCCTATTTTGTGCTTGTCGTCATCCCCTCGCCTCCCATCTCCGTCGGTTTTGCGTCCCGTTTTTTCCCCTTTTCTTTTTTCTGGAGCACACTCACACACTAACCAAACAGTAGTCGTTGTGGCTGGCTTGTCGCCGTCGTCACGGGACGGGACAAGCCCTCCGGCTACATACACGCACACTTTCGGACCATTGGCCAACCAACAAAAATCGATAGGAAAGAAGGGGAGCTTGAAGAGCCCCCGCAAGCGCGCGGCGCGCGCGCTCTTGTTCAATGTGCCATGTACACAGATGGAGTTGCACGATAGAAAACCGATGCTTTTCCTCCCCCTTTTCTGTGAGCCACCCAACACACAAAAATATGGCCAAGCCTTTTGCCGCCTATTTTCGCCTATTTTTTTCCGCGGGCTGTCTGTTTTTCGAATTCTCGCGAAACGATAAATAAACCAAACGATTGTGCGAGCAACACCAACACCAAAAAAATATATATAAACGCTATGTTCTCGGTACGCGGGTCAGTTCACCAGATGCCAGAGCAAAAATGGGCTATATGAATTGATGAGCTCAAACCAACCATTATCCGGAGAAACACTGGTCTCAGGCGTTTCGCGCAGATCGAGCGATGATGTGTAATCGAGGCCCAACGAGATGAGGATGCTCCTGAAAACGGGTAATTACTATGCCATACGATTACCATGATTGAGGTACCAACCTCTCATGGTCCGTCGTCTCCTCGCGTGGAAGAAAATTGAAGACCTTCTTTTCGGGTGCGCCATTAACGGAGGACGTTGACGTTAAGTTGTAAAAGCTCGGGTCATCCAATTCCACTTTCACATTGTTATTGTTGGCGAGCACCTTGGCAGTGCTTCCGTTGCTACTACCATTCGCACTTGATGAAGCGGAAGGAGTAGCAGAGACAGTCGGCTCTTTCTATAATAGGGCGCCCAAATAACGAATCGCTCGTGTCGAATACAAATTACCTTGGTCACAATGATATCATCTTTCCCAATAGCATCATTCTGTTCTTTCTTGTGATGCTTTAAGATGTGCTTGGTCAGATTTCCTGCAGAAAAAAAGCCCGTCAAATTTTTTTCTTCTTCTGCCGACTGCGATTATCGGCCGGCACCAACCTTTCAATCGACTGCTCTTTCCACAAAACTTGCAAACATATGGTTTAAGGGCGGTGTGTACGGAACGGTGCTCGGCCAGATTGGACCGGAATCGGAATGCTTTACCACATGTCTCACAGATAAACGCCTGGAACCAAAAAAAATCTAGAGATGATGGGAATGTCACAACTTTGATATTCTTAAATACAGTGCAATTCTAACCCAACAATATAGCTAATTTCGATAACCGTAAATGGTCTCATTACTGAGTGGTCACCTCATCGGTGGTTTTCAATTAAACGGACGAGAGCTCGCGGCACACGCAATTCCAATTTTCTCGTGTCAATCAGAGAGGAAACGCGTGTCGTTTTCAGCGTATGTTTGTGCTCCGAGTGTGTGTATGCATGTATGTATGTGTATGTGTGTGCGCGCAAGCGCAAGCGTATGCACCAAGAAGCCCCACGTTTCATTACCGTCGAGAAAACAGCATTGAAGCGATCACGATGGCAGATGGCAGTGATGCTTCTGGCGGTTGTCGCGCATTTTGCCACCCCACCCCCTAGTTTGTATTGAAGGACGTAGGGTTGATGATTAAATTTTTGGCTTCTAGGTTTTCAAGTTGACTGTCAAAAAGGAGTCGCCTATTCCCTCCCTCCAATTTTGAGCACCACGTCGGCGAGGAGACGCGCACCAACAACACTCCGCTTAATTGAATGCGGGGTTCCGGATACAGAAGGGGAGCGGATGTCGTTGAGCGCAACGAAAAATAGCAAGTCGTTTCGCGAGAGCATCTGGCAAATCGTTCCGTTCGCCTCGTTTCAATGTATTCTGAATTCGCACCAGCTGCTCTTCGACCAGCCGCGCTCTCGCTCTCGCTACTCGTGCTGCCGACTGGTACTGTCCCGTCGGCAGTCACACAACAAAATCTATGGGTCAGGTGTTCCCAATTTTCTCCCTCACCCGATTGCCATCATCTCAACCCGACGTACACACACACACGCACATACATTTCTCAAAATCATGATGATGAGAATAAGAATGATGATGATGGTACTGTGGTAAACATGTGAACAATTTTCAAAGAGTTGAATAGAGAAATGAGATTAGGAATGAACTCTGCGAGAAAAAGATTAATTCGATTGCTCTGAAAGGCTTTGACGAGTCATTTAACACCTTGACACGATTACAGAAAAACAATATTTTCGCCGAGGGGGGGATTTGAAAACAAGCCGTTACGAAATTGAATATGTCATCAAAAATCATAATCATGGAGAAAAAAAGTTAAAGTAGATTGAATCAGATTTAAAAAATGGTCCATAACTGTAAATTTTGGACACACTCGGAATATCACTGATTTGTAATTTTGGAATGAAGTGTTTTAAAAATAATGAAAAGCTTAGCAATCATGAAAAATAACTCAAATGTACTGTATTAAAGCTATTGATAGAGAATGATAATAATAATATTATAGCATAATAATATCCTATTGTTATGAAAAATCAAAGAACTCATGGAGATAATAGATATTTGAACTATACTCACGTTTTGTTATGCAAGACAACTTATTTAATCCACCCACCTTATCTGTATGGAACATCTGTTGATGAGTCTGCAGTAACTTTAGACTTGTGAACGTCTTCGGGCATTGAGGACATGGCAAATTATTATCGTCCGTCGTCAACGGGGATGCCATTGACGGCGAAACGCACACTGACATCGGTATTACCGTAATTCTGACAATCGGGGTCCCAAGTCAAAGAAATCTGAAAATGAGGAATGCTTGAACTGAAATATATGCAAAAAATAAAATATGTGTTATTGTCGCGGAATTGATAAAGTCAACGGAAATGCATAATGATGACGAATGTGGGAGAAATGGGAAATTGGATTTGGAGGGCGGACGGGAGACAGAAGCATTACAGTGTGAGTCTATATCTTTCCCGGACAGACATGCATACACCGCCGCACTAGCCGCCCACTGACGGGCCGTGCGACGACGGCGACAACGACGACGACAACTCGCCGAGCCACGCCCACATTCTGCGTAACGTTCTAGCTGGCGGTCGGAGTCTGTCGAGCCGGTCGGTTTCGAGCTTGTGGTGTTGGTGGCTGGTGGGGCAGGAGCTGTGTTGTTGAAGCGAGAAGGGGGAGGAGAAGGGGGACCTTCCTCCCTCCCTCAACGGTGAATGACAGAACAAAATAGTGTGCGAAGCCGAGGGGCGGGTGTGGTATGAAACGAGTGCTCCAGCTCAATGTGCGTTAGAGTCCCCCCCCCCTCTCTCGGTCGGCTTCTTCTTCTTATCCATCTCCTACTTTTCCTCCTTATTTTTAAGCGAGCTGCTGTATTGCCTGTCACACGATTCCGTTGGAAAAAAATGAAAAGAAAAAAGGAGGGCCCCCACCAACAGTGTTTTTGGGGTATGTCGAGCAGTCATATTGGTGGAGGGGGCTTAAATATACGATATGAATGGCACGTTTTTATTTTGTCGCGATTGTGAATGGATGTGGTTGAAAAATTGAACATGACACTGGAATTACAAAAAAAAACATTTCAATACGATTTAGTGTCAAACAAAAAATCGAAATCTAGGAATCGCGTTGTGTACATCTCTAATGAATATATTGAAATTTGTTAAGTGGTGACAGATGATAAATGAAAATGATTAGCTAATCCAACATTCTTGAGGAGACGGATCAAAGGGCACTGCACCGTAAATGACGTACATAGTTTGAATGCGCACATGAATTAAATGAGTCATAGGGTTCAACGGTAAGTCGCCTAGCACCATGGTAACTATTTAATCAGTAAGCATGCATATGTGCAGCGGGATTTCAACACGCGACGAGGCCTAGCTGCGGGAAATTGAAAGGAAAGAAAGGAATGGGAGAAAAAATCGAGCGCAATGCGACTTGTAAAGCTCGTGTTTACGTGCACGTCCTTGTAACTGTTGCGCAAAAACAAATGCGCCCAAAGGCCACGCCCATTTCTTCTTAGGCATAGCGGGGCTTCAGCAGATTTTTCAATGATTCTAGAAGGACAACTGATCTATTTCCTGCGGAACGCTGATAATTCGAAGTCGATTTTTGAGAGAAGTGAAGCATACTACTCAAGAGCATGAAGAACATGAAGCGCACTTTAGGGAATTAACGATTCTCGACGGACAATAAAGTATTTTTTTAATCTCCAAGAACAAATACACTGATAGATGAAAATGAGATCAAGAGAGAGGAATGGTTTAAGATGACAGGACATCTACTACTGACTCATAGGAAAAACAGCTCACTCAACGCCCCCACCCATCCAATCCATCAGTTTTTTGTTGTGGTTAGGTTGATCCCAGTCAGCAGCAGGCTCTCGTAAATCGACACTAGTTCTGGTCGTGGCCACTGAAAAAAAAAGCTTCCAATTTCACAGGCATTGGAAGCGTTTTATTCGGGCTCCTCTCTGAAAAGAGATGACGGCCGGCGAACGATATAAAAGAATATTCGAATAAGCCGCACAAGAGAAGCTCGCACTCACAGTTTTTGGTGCTCTCTTTTTTTTTCCTCCGGCCTTCCTTCATTTCTCGCCAAAAGCATTCCCAATTTCTCGTTCAGTACGTACATGCTCAAGTGGACGTGTTGGGAATGCTCAAATAGTCGGAACAAGAGAAAAGCAGTCCAATTAAGGATTCGCACCGCGCGCATTTTGCAACGCAGACACAACCGTAAATGGGTAAATGAGAATCGAAATTTTATTCAGACATTATATGGCGCATAGAATATTGCATATGTATTATTGCTCTTCAAATATCATCCTCCTCCATAGGACAAACTCGTAATAGAACACAGACGTGTCGAGCATCAAGGAACTTCTCTACCTGCAAAAGAATAGCAAAATAACTCTGATGATAAATATATTTCACGTTCATAATTATTTACATAATTCACACGGTTTCAATCCCCCTTCTCGCTGAGAACTTGTACGAGAATTTGTTCGATGATCTTCTCGGCTCTTTTTTTATGAGCATCGAGGAAGAAAAAAATCATTGCTCATAATTCCATGGAGAAAACGCCCAGCACAAAAAAAAAGTTTTTTTTTCAATGTCAATGGACCATGAGAGAGCATTGAATTTTTAATGGAAACGAAAGGTAATCAACTCGAAGCATTGTGCATTCTTTGCTTTCTTTTTTTTTGAATAGGGTTCGTTACACCTATTACTGAGAATGTTTACGTTATGAACTGTGCCTTCTGTTTGGTAAACGCTATACATAATAAACGAAACTAAACGGGGTGAGTATCCTAATGGCACACCGGTGCACGGCACGATTAATTTGGGGCGATGCAAATTAGAGGAGCAGCCTTCTCGCGCTTATCCACCTAGCCAACCAGCTAGCAATTATCCGAGAACCGGTGGGTACGAAAATCCCACTCTCGCGCATTAATGTATCAGAACTGCATCTCAAATTGCGCGAGAATTGAATGCACCATATAAGGAGGAGTGACAGATGGTTGTGCGCTATGAAGATTTTTTGGGTGTGCAGCGGAGGAGTACGCAATGGTACGCTAAATCCCCCCACCCTTCTATCCTCTCTTGCCGCGCTCGATTCATCTAAAACAGCTTAGTCTCATTTGATTACAGTACATCCGCCGCCATCGAGAAGCGTCATTTATTACTAATTGCACCTGCTTCCAAATTTCCGAATGAAGCTGGTCAGCAGTAGGTAGTTAATTGAAAAACAGATTTGGCACACTTTTTTGTTTGTCTCCATGAACCATATATTCAGTGTATTGTTGCATGTATAATAAACAAATATTGAAGGCGGGTAACAAGCCAGCTGTTGGGCAACAGAACCAAATGTTTACAGTAACCTGAGAAGCTTCTTAATGGTCTGATTGTGGTACTGTAAACCGATTGGATTAAAAGTTATCGGCGGTTGTTCACCATACGCTTCGACATCTGGCGAACAGTCCGTAGAGCAATAAAATTTAAAGGTTTTACAACTTTACCGCTGTGAAGAGATTTAGAGAAAAAACTGTTTAAACGTTCGTTTAACTATTTAGGTCTGCCAAAAACATGTGTTGAGAAGAATGCTCCCGTATGTTTAAATTTTTCGAAAAAAGACCGAGTACAAGAAAATGTTTCAAAAAAAGAAACAACAACATCTCTCTGGAAAATTCCATGGCGCAGTATATGTGACACGCGAACGCCACGTGACTGACGGTTTCTAATATATGCAACATGTCAAAGTTTTACAACTCGTCCGCTCCGTTTCTTGGGAGTCGAGATATTCGCAAATAATAATGACGTTTGATTTTGAAAAATCGAATTTGAAAACTTTTGCGCGAGCTATTTTGATCATTTTTGAAATTATCAATTAGCGCCATATTGAAAAGGTGCGCGCCATCTGTTTTCCGAACAATGCAAACTCTCAGCTCTTTTGTAGTTTATGACAAAGACGTGAGCAGATTGAAGCCATAAAACAGATTTGAATTTCAAACAGATATCGCGCCGCCGATTTTGCGGGGTTTCCAGAAACTATCAAATATTGTGTGGTAATGCGTGTCAAAGAGCAACCCATTTGAAATGAGCTGGCATATAATTCTTGCGATGAGGCTTAGGCCGTCTGGTGAACCGTACAACGTGTGTAACAATTGCTCAAAACTGGTCTCGCCCGTCACTAATTATAGAGTATTGAGCAACAAGATTTAGTGCCGATTCGGTAGGTTGCTCGTGACCGCTGCCGGGGGCGGATTAATCAACGCAATTTGTTTGGCGGCCTCTCCAATGCACTCGATGAATGTTGTACATATAGGTAGTCAAGGAAACTCTGTGAATGCGCCTTAATTTTGTTTCGCGCCTCTTGTACGTGGTCTCAAAATCCCATCAACTTTTTTACTTATATTTTTTTCATCATGATGAAAATGATGATGATGATGATGAAGATGATGAAAATGGCGAGGGTGTGCGAGCGTGAGCGAGTGTTCAAAGCGGCACGGAGAGTGTTGTATATCTGGCAATAGCCGGCACAGAGCCCCCCGTGCGCGCACAGCCACAACGAATACGGACGTGGAGGGGGGGGGGACGAACGTGAGGCGAGAAGAAGCCCCCTGCCTCAGCCCGATGAGATGAAGATTGCCGTCGCTTCGTTCTGGGCAGTAAATGTACGATGAATCGGTACGAGCAGACGGATGATGAATGGTTGGATTAGAAGCGATGGTTGCTCCGAGCAGCAGCCGCCGCAATAAAGAACAGTTTCCCAACAACAAAAACAAAACGCAGAGAGGGAAGCGGCGAAGGAGAATGCTTTTTTGCCTCGCGGGAATTCAAATTTATGATACAAGTTATCTCCATAATTACGCATGTATGAATGTTTGCAATTTATTTCAACCGTATGATTTTCTTTTCTCGAAATGCACAATGTTTCAAGTGAATGCGTGCGTCATTATTTTTCCAGGTTACATTATTTGTAGCCATGGTATTTTTCTCAAGAATTTGTGTCAACGCCAATTATTTTACTCACATTCTTTTTTCGGGTTTTCTTTTTCGCAATGCTGCCATTTGCCTCCAGTTGAGGCGAATAGTGGGGGCAGGGTGGGGGGATGTGGATCGAATTACCAACCTTATTCGAATACTTTTCCACCTTTTCCGTCATGAATCGAATGCACGTGGCAATATCTTCGGCTTTTTCATGGAATAACGCCTCGCAGTCCAATCGGATCATATCCATCACGCTTTTCTGAAAATGCATTCAGTGATGTATAGAGAAAAAGGCGAAAAGAAATCGCGAGACCTTCACTTGAAGATAATCATAGTTTACACCATAAATGGCGCTTACACACAAATCACAGCTGATTCCCGCCAGTTCTGTGACCTGAAAAAAAAAACAAATCCTATCAATTTATAAAAGAAAATAGCAAAAATCACCTTCTTTTCATAATAAGTGTATCTGTTGCTTCTCAGCATTTCCTCTTTTATTTCCTCACGCGCATCACGTGTAGGTTGAGCGGCAATCAAAGGAAAGAATATTAAAATAGCGGCGAAATTCATTTGCTAAAAGATGCTGGGTAGTAAAATAAAGTCACTGGACAATATCGACAGGTAGCACCACTCAAGAAACGGCCGGGTCGGGTGAAGTGAAGTAAATATATATTGGCTCACCCGGAATCTTTATATATAAGGAACTATTTGCGTTCACGGTATTTCACACGAAACACGCATTATTTCAATTAGAATTGTTTGAGGAGCATGCGTTCAGCATGTTTCGGACATTTTGTATGTACACGTCGCAAAATACACACATTCACAAGAATGGACTTCGACTTTGAACACTTAGAGAAGCGATCGAATGAAATAAAACAATGACATTTGACTGCGTATCAATCGATGACATCGTTTTTAATCGATTGAGGCAGTGGAAAGCATCAGGCGACAATTCGATTCGTTTGAGAGAACTTTTCTTTTGAGGTCAACTTTTCAAAGGCTTCCAGTCATTCTGGAACAGTTGGCTTCATTTCGTAATAAAACAATCATGTGATCATGTGATTTATTATACTTCAATTTTTAATGCTTTAGATATTAAAAGAAAATCTTGAATTAATATTTGACTTCAAAATAAACGTTCCTAATATTCAAGGCGTGATCAATTTCATTGAAGTATCCTCTTCATTCAGTCCAGACCATAAGGTTTTCATTTATGTTTCCCATGTGGCCAGCGCTCATTTGCATTTAATTAATCTACAGTCTGCTCCGTTTGTTGCATACAGTGCTCCATCCGCTCTTGCGCGACTCTCGCTAATGTTCTTTAGCGCTCGTCGAACACCGTGACAGATGTAGGAACCAGCTGTGCGCCACATTGGACCAAACCAACCAACGGAAACACGTATATATAATTTATATGCAAACATTCGTTTTCATGCCCGAAATTTGTCCGACATGGCAACACCTATGCATGTAAGCGCACCGAAGGAAAAAAAATAGATATATCTATGAATGTCTTTCATCATGCAGCCAACTCTAGACCCAGTGAAATAGATTTTTCTTTTTCATTGAATTTTATACGACCTCGAGAAATACAAATTTCGCATGAAATGGAATACGACCTCGAATATGAATAGAAATATGCAAACGCTAATCAAAATGATGAAACTTCGAAATAATTGCCACGTGTGCCTGTCGATTGATAACGGGACCCGAGGATTTGGGGTTTGCAGCTGAATTTTGGCAGTAAGTTGAGAATTGAAAGAAAAACGACACCTCAAACGGCACTTTTTTCGTGTTATATCCGTGCCCAGTCGTAATTGTGCTAACTGCAGGGAGCACTTCGATGAGAGCAGTGTTGAACCTAAATAAAAATTTGTCACTCTCGTTGAATTTTTAATTTATTCCTCCTAATACAATTATATATGTATTTTCTGATGAAATAGTTAAAACAACAAAACAAAACTTATTGTTTTTGAAAATCTCTCTTGTAATGAAAATTGTATACATATAGGTACAATGTAGAAGCTTGTATGGAATCTGTTATTTGTTTTGGAAATGTCTTTTTTTCTCATTTTGAAGGGATCCGGCGATTCACCTACTTTTTTAACAGTTTCTTCTGTCGTTTTGAAAAAGTGAATGCCACATAGTACGATGGTGCATCCTCATCTCGGATTATCAAGAAATTTTGATTCGGATTAAGCCATGACAATGCCCCAGGGAGGAGTGCGCTATCAACAGTTGATTGATAAATACCCCCTTTCCTGAAATTTCGCATTTTTTTAAATTGAATTGCCCTTTGTAATTAGATAATGTGAAAATGATTACAATATCAAATCTTCGACGCCTTTGACCGTGTACGCCCTTCGAATCGGATTTTTGCGGACCGCTTCCTCGAATTTGCCGCATGTCGCTGGTGTGCACAGCAATGTTTGCGCGCCAAACGCGGCAAAGTACATCTTCTTCTGTTCCACGATGTCTAGAAAATTGTTGTTGAAAGTGCGAACGACTATTCGAACCTAATGCTTCTTTGATGGTTCGAAACGGAATATCATATTTCAGCGGCGCTGATAGAAACGCGTACATGTCGGTTTGGTAAAGCTGCGAGAATATGAATGTAGCGAGCAACATTATAACAGCAAGGCATTTCGAGCTAACTGTATAATCCGATGAATAATTCTGAAATTAAAGAAAAAAAAAACATTAATAAAACTGAGTGGCAATTTAAAGAAGACAAACCGAAAATAAATGGATGAAAATCGTAGAATTGGAATAATCCTTATAATTCTTTTTCAGCTTCATAAAATTCAAAAACAATTTCAGAGCGTAGAATAATAAGAAGCTTGTGGCTATAAGCATCCAAACCGTACGAGAAAACGCGTTGAAAATAAATTGTCTCGTACATGTAAATGAAGGTGGTGCAATTATGAAAATGCTCTAAATTAATGCAATGAATTGAACAAAATGAAAAAAAAATGAATGCTGAATATTAAAAGACCAACCTCAAAGTAGCGTGTTGGGTACGAAAAAAGTACAGCTTCTTCTCTTTCCAGCGACATTCGCATAGATAATCCAATGACATCAAGCTTCCCTCAATATTCAAATGGGTAGATATTACGCGCATATATGAATATATATTACAAAAAGTTATTCTAAATAAAATTTTTATTGAACTTGTTCTATTCATCAACACAAATAATTTTTTAGGAAATTTTTATTTTTTTCTTTCATGTTAAATTCTATTCTAAGACGTTTTCCCCGGAATCTTAAATATTTCAATAGGCAAAACAATAAGTTCGCTTCATTGGCAGAATTGTTGTAGATTACCTTCGACTAGTAATCCAATCATTCCCGACCATGATCCATTTTCCTGTTTCGTTCCAAAATCATATTGTTCACCGAATTCTTTCCAAACATCCAGCTGCAAAAATGTCTGCGCACATCGCATGACAAATCATAAAACTTACAATAGTATAGTTGACACCAATCAATTGGAAGACAAGCTTCAGAATCTCGACTTCAGCGCCTGGCTGTTTGCATTGCGGCTTCTCGAAACATGTTTGGGCATCTTTTTCAAGTGGAAAAACACCAATTCGAATATTTTCATCGGTCATTTTTGTTAAAAGAATAAGAAATGGGAATGAAATGTGATATTTCTGGACTTGTTCATGAAACCACGTCACGTACCAGGTACGTATTTATTCAGTAATAAAACACAATATGTCACGAATAATATAAAATTTATATGGAAATAGATTAGTATGTAGGTTTGTGAGTGTCAATCATGGGTAGAGTTGTACTCACATAGGTTCACAACCAGCATTAGTGATATTATAATATAATTATGAGTAATATATAAATAGAAATTATTACGTTAAAACTATTGATAAAATCCTAAGCAGCGGCTTACAGCCTTATCCCAAACTGTGTAAGTCTTCATCAGGCTCATTCTCGACTTCTCATTTGGTCGGAATACTTGAGACACTTTGATCAACTCCGACAACTGGCTCATAGTCCAGTATCCTGAAAATTTTGTATTAATTTGTTCAACGACAAAGAAGAATTTAAGTGTTTACCTTGCGAGTAGCCGGCCAGCATTGCGACCCCTTTGGCAGCAACATGATCCGATTCTTCCATTCGCTCAATGTCTCGATCAAGAAGATCGGAAATGCATTGACAGATGAAGTCGTTATTCGAAACTCCTCCACAAATTCTGAAAAAATTACAATTTTTCTATATAGCAGTAAATAGTGGCTTACCTAATAGGCCTTTTTGCATCAATATGTTGCTCGGCAAGAGCAGCGTTATAGATCTGATATACTCGGAAAGCGATAGACTCTAATATAGCTCGAACCCTGAAAATGTTAAACTAATGTATTGTATTTGCCCATTTTTTAAAAATATATGTTTCGTTTGTTTCATTTCGTCCAACAATGATCATTTTGTGATTTCCAATTAGTTCAACACACGAAATTGCGAGTTTGATTCCACGTATCTTCTTTTGTTTTGAAATGCGTCAGTTATCATTTTCTGCGAGACCGCAAGTGATCAATTTGTGATTTCAAAAGAATGATCCTGTGACGTCTTCATTTTCCGCATCCTAACAAGATGAATAGAATTGGAGACCTTTTGGCGGGTCTCAATCAAATAGATGAACTCGTTTTCGGTAAGAATGTGATTTGTCATCACAGTAGTGCAAAATAAGGATTACGGCATAATCTTATATGATTTGATTTAAAAAAACGCTCACATGTGCGATTTGTTAGTGTCGGGTCGAATCGCCAAGAAACCCGAGCATGCTCCTTCGTCATTGAGAGGCGTCTGGATACCTAAAAGACAATTTTAAGAGTATACAAGATTATTTCTTTTCAAACAAACACCCACCACAAAATGCCGGGACGAACACAGTACCATTCGAAGAATCTACAGAATGCGCAATGTCTGAAGTTTTGGTGACATCATCAAAGAGTCCTGAACAATATAAAATATTATATTATAATGTTGACATGTGCACATACCAATTGACTGAGCCCAGTGTAGAATCACCGCCGTGTCATGAGCATTTCCCTCGGCGACAAACTCCGGTTTTCCATTGATCCTCCAAGCAACTAGAGGATACATTCCAGACATTGACGTATACGGCTCGTCACCAGTATGGATATCGATAAAAGTACCAGTGCCAAGCGTTATCTTCACGTCGCCTTTCTTCCACATTCCGCATCCATACATGGCTGCTTGTTGGTCGGCTAACTGAAAGGTTTTTTTCCCAATCGACCATATTTAGCATCATTCTCATACAATTGCAGTAATCGTCAAATTCTTCCCACAATGTTTTTTGTCAATGGTTGGTAGTTTTGGAAGGTCTGATAGATCCGAGCTGACAATTGGGGACAGTAGATCCTGTGGAAATCCGATAATTTTCATGATAGTGTAGTTGAAGTCATTCTGAAATGATTTCCATAAACTGAAACAACTTTGATGAACTCTTACAATCCAAGGATCAAACATTCCAGAAGGGGAGATGTTCGAAGCTTCCACGCATGGAATATTGAACTCTGAGCATCTCATGAGCAGCCATGTTTCCAAGCATCCAAACGATAGTTCTCCCGATCGGTACAGGTTCTTTAAATGAGCCGACTGCAATTGTATTTTTTTAAATTTAATCCGTTCAATTTCAGATACCTTATCAATGGTAACCATCAGTCTGTGTGAAACCATCGCTCCCAAGAATTTCATCCTTTGCGCAGCGGCAAATCGATTCTTCCTCGTTACAGTATGAAGTACGGCACCGACGAAGTTTAGTGTCTGGAATTGTGTTGGCACAATATTGTCAACGTCGCGCGCCTGCGAATGGTGCTGACTTTTGTAGACTTGGATCTCGAAACACAAGTGTCCATTTACGCGCGGGGAATATTTGCGCCAATGGTTAGTAAGTGGTGTACAACACCCGCGCCTCGTCATCATGATCATTTCGGGCATATAGCCAATTTGTCGTAGCCGAGTGATTTCAATATCCCCCCTTGAATTTGATGCACGAGTAATCAGCTCGTCTGATGAAAGAAAAGCGTAGAACGAAAATACTATATTAGAAAATTTTACTGAATTTTATTGTTTTTGTTGTAATCATCTTCCACCAAAAAATGGCGCATTGCCGTTGGCCTGAAGGTACCATAACAGAAAAAAATCAAACCTTCAGCACAAACGATTCATTCATTTTCTGACACACTTTATTGGCTCTCTTGTCATTCCAGCAGATTATCCGCGTTTCTTCCTTCTTCGTTTTTCTGAAAACGAGCCAGTTAGATAAATTACAGTGAGTTTGATTAACCTATTCCACAAGACAATGGAATTCCGTTGAGTGCAAAGAGCCACATTAACCGTTGCATTTTCTGGGACCTGTTTGTCTGAAAGTCAATATACATAATAAAAAAATCGTGTTGTTGAGTGTATAATGGAGTTTTGGTTCGCTGTTTTCTAGATCATAAAAATGATAGGTGTACACTTGGAAAAAACTATTTGAAAATCATGTTTACCTCGCATATCATAAAAATTTTGTTAGAAATGAAACATTCTAGAAACCCTTAGAACACTATAATAAAACGATTTTGATAACTCACTTCCTTGCTCGACAACCCTGAGGAATTGTTTGAATAATAATTCTGGCTCAATTTCGACAAGTACATCTCCATCCTCATTTGATGAGTAAATCGTATTCACCTGATAACATTAAATGCCTATGAACAAAAAAATTCCGATAACAAACCTTCTCCTGATAACTCGCCACTTCAACACATTGCTCGTTATAAAGCACAGATCGAATTGTGGTTGTTCCAATATCAACAGCAAGAATATATCTGCCGGCCATTGTCACACTGCAAACCAATCGACTAACTCAAATGAGGGTAGTGTGGCGAGATTTGGCAGAGTTATATACTCGGTCACAACACGAAATAGGCGCCGCCTAACAACCAAATATTGGACTTTGATTAATGGAAGGTGTGCAATGAGATAAACACGCGAATGTCACATTGTTGCGATAATTAGACGCAGATGGTAAAGGAGCGCCTCAAACCGATAACAAATCAATAATTGCACAAAACTCGTTTATTGAATAAAAACAAATAATCACAAAATGCGCCATTACAAGCATTCGTCGATCTTATTAAAGTGATAAAAATGATGTACATATTGCAGAGCTAAAGTAGAAGGTAACACTTTTCGTAAAATTCAATGACCTGTCATTCGTATCATTAATAACACCCACATTTCAGTTTTAAAAGCCTTCTCAGAGTTGGTAAAGGGAAAGGCTCGATTGTACAAAAACCGTGTTTTGAGAGAGAGAGAGAGAGAGAGAGAGAGAGAGAAGCGAGTAAAATAACATACACAATGAAAACAAATAGGAAATAATTGTCTGGCGGGTAAAAATGCCCCGATCCTATAAACAAATAAATTACAATGCTAATTTGAAAAATAAAATAATAAGGGAATAAATAATAAAATTATCCAAAATGGAATTTGAATGAATAGTCTCCGCCTCCTCCGCCAAAGTGATGGAATCCGTGCGGGAAGCCATGCGGAAATCCGTGGCCATAATGACCGCCTCTTTGGGCGTCCGAGTCCAATGGATCAATGCCTTGGTCGAATTGCTGTCGTTTCTCTGAAACTCATTAAAATGATCATTGATTGTGAAAAATCGTCATCAAAAACATTAAACGCGCTAAATTGTGGGTGTGATGGGGGAAGTTGTATTCCGAAATCGTACGACTTTCAAAATAAGAACATCGCGATAAGCAAACTAGACTCTACTTTTGGCAATGGAAAGAATTTGTGATGATAAATTATTGTGTGGTGGTGGAAAACGTTAAAGATGGAATCGAATTAGGATTGCGATGCCGACTAGCCGTTAAATTGGGGAGCGTTTCAATAAAATTTGTGATGTTCGCGGAAAATTAAAACATCACCAGCAAATGATGTTTAAGAGCAGGTCTACGTAAAAATCAACTTTAAAAATAAGTTTTTTTTTCCTTCTATTATGATGAAATAGGTCAATATCATTGAATAGATCATGCTTTACGCTTTAAGTCTAGTGAATATCCTACTATAGAAATTTTAGTTGTTTTTTTCTATTCGTCTTTTATTCTGCAAATTTTTTGAAGTCGAAGCTGACAAATATTCACCACCTCATTATTTAAACTATTATTATTTTTCCTCTCAATTTGATTTTATATAAATATAAAAAAGTATAAACTTACGGTCATCTGAGAGAACTTCCTTTGCAGCGGCGATGTCAATAAACTTCTTCTCTGCCTTCTTCTTCTCCTCTTCATCCGAAAAGTTGTCGGGATGCCATTTTTGTGCGAGTTTTCGGTACGCTTTCGTTATATCTCGTTTGCTAGCATTTCGCTTCACTCCAAGAATCTTGTAGTAGTCGCGTTTGCCGGCTTGTGTCTTTAATCGTTTCGCATTCTCCAGTCCTTCCTTGGCTTCTCGGTGCTCTGGATTGACTTCAGTAGCCTTTTGGTAATCCTCGATCGCTGAATCGAATTCCTCTTCAAGAATGTAAGCTTCAGCACGTTCGCAAAGAATGTCAGCGTCCGACGGATCCTCATTAAGTATTTCCGTACATTGATTAATTGCCTCTACTATGTGACCGGCTTCGCGGTTGCATCGACACGTGAGTCGGTACACGTTGAGTTGAACTGAAGTCGATGGATCGAACTTGATAGTTTTCTGTCCTTCTTCTAAACAGCCCATCCAATCATTCTTATCCATCTTCTTTTTCATGTTTTCTAAAGAAAAAATCGTTAGATGCGCAAAGTCCTTTCATTTTTTTTTCTATACCAAGCGACTTGACGACCTTCCTCAACTTTTTGTAGAATGGATAGCAATCTTTGTGATCGGGATTGAGTTTGAGGCACTCGCGGATTACACTGAAATTTTAATGATGTAGGCGGAGAGAAGGAAGCTTTTAATTGCCTTCATAAATTTTGTTACTAAGGACGAGCGACACCGCTCGCAATAAATTGGCTCATTATTTTTGAGATAGTAGACGCCGATTGAGCTAATAAGTGCTTTCACAAAATTTTGTGGAAAACATTTTAATTTGCTAAATTAAATAAATATTTGATTGCTGTTTTTTAGACTAATGTGGACACAGGTGTTCTTCACAAACTTTTGGTTAAAAATCCTCTCTAACTATATGTTAATAATTTCTTCTGTAAACTGAATTGCGTAATATAAAGGGACATTTCTTTAGATTAGTCTTTTTTCCGCTTTGTTTAACTTCAAAGGAAGCTTTTAGAGTGAAAATCAAAGTCAGAGAATTATTCTTTTACTCAACTATTTATTACAAATTATTGAATGTTTCAAATATCTTTGATGCTTAAAAAATTCCCACAAATATTCTAAGAATCTAAAGCAATTTTGAACAGCTTTCTGAAAAGTGTGCGAAAATATTCGAGCTGTTTTCAGAAGAAAAAAAAACATCAGCTACTTACCTTAGAGAATCATCGAGATCACCGACTTGGTACAAGAGTCGAGACGTTTCGAACATGTTATCCGTGCTGTCGGTGGTTAACTTTGTCACAATTCTCATATCATGGATGGCCTTTATAAAAAAATTGAATTCTGGAAACTTTGAATATAATCATTACCTTTTTAAGTTCACCTCGAGATTCGAGGCATTTCGCCCTCATTCGGTACAATGATGCATCCCAAACTTGCGACTAAAAAAATAAAAATTTCTAACGAATTCATATTGATAAATCTTCATCAAACCTCAATTATGTGATTGATGTATTCTTCAGCAGTTTGACAATCACCATCAGCAAACGATCGCTTGGCTTGTTGCTGATACTGCCGGTGTTGCTCAATGAGCTCGGTTTTTTCTTGAAGCTCCTGGTTAGAAGGATCGTGGCTCAACTAAAAAAATAATTGACTAAATATATCCTGAAAATTATACCTACCACAATGTTATAATCGTTTGCGGCGTCTTCAAGTTCTCCTTGCTTGAATAAAATATTGGCGCGTTGAAGACGAGCCTAGAATTTTTGATTTCTTAAAACTTCCACTATAAGAATTGCTACTCACTCCATTGAAATCAGGCTTCAATTCAAGGACCCTTTCAAGATCGGCAATAGCTGATTTACCGCGTCCCATGGCCAAATAAGTAGTTGCTCGCCTATACATTGCTTGGTAATTGTTGGGATCCAGCTCAACAGCTGCGTGGTAATGTGTTAAAGCATCTCCAAATTGGCCTTGTGCTAATGATTTGCTACCGAGCTCCAAACGTTTAGCAACTTCGTCAGCTTTTGAGGCATATATGCTATCTGGATTGTATAATGGTTAAAATTGGTGCAACAAAAATTGAATCACTTACATATACTTGTATAAAATACTAATATCAATTTTTGACACCACGACATGGCGAGTCTAATTATCTGAAAATATTTGACCGTTGAAAATGCGAGAATATTGTGAAAAAGAAACGCATCGCTGCTTATGCTGACGTATGCTCTGCGTCTCTACCCATGCTCTCTTTCTCTAACCAACGTCAGCATACACATCAGCGGTATTTGCTTTTCAATTACGAGTTTGCAATATGCAAATCGTTGCGGAATTTGAACGAAAACAAATATGGGACACTTAGAACTGAATGATTGATATTATATTTTTTCAGAGAAATTGCGGGAAAGAGAAATGAGTAAACTGGTTTGAATGTCAATTGTACGTGTCACCCACTAATTTGCGGGCAGTACGACGCTCCACTAGTAAACTGACAGGGAGTCTCCGCCAATTCAAACAATTGTCCAATGTGGTTTCGCAACAAAAAAAATGTGTTGGTGTAATTGAGAAGATTTGAAACGAAATTGGTGTATGAAACTCAGAGTGCAATAACGCAAGAATTTCTTATCATTCTTGAGATAAGAATACATGAATTTGAAGTGTGAAATAATTGCTAAAATGATGTTAAAGAGTTTGAGATAATAATATGCGTGATGCGAACTTAATTGCACACATATATATTATTTCTTCATGATTTTTTTTTACTATTTTTATAATGATACTATGCAGATTTGAACCCAATATCTTTAAAACCTTCATGTAGATTGTGGAAAAGACGATTTCAACCAGTTTTTTTCTCAAAAATCTTCAATGTACCTAATATAGTTCGAGTCTTTTTTAATACTTATTTCTTGTCTAAATTTTTAAAAGAATTTTAATAATCGACAATTGAATCAAGCAAATTACCATCCCAAAATCGAGAACCCTAAGTGTTTGCTGACCATGTTCACTTTTTTGATGTGGTAATTCAAATTTGAATTTAAGAAAAAAGAATTCGAGAAACATTCTTTGGATAACTAGTGAATCAAACTCATTAACTTTTAAAAATTAAAGTAGGTGTTGGTTTTCTAGCGATTGTAAACGAGAAAAAGAAAAAAAATCAATTTTTTGAAATAACAGTGTCTTGAAAAATCTAACAAATGATGGTTACAGTTGAAAATTTGCAAAATAAAATCAATTAGGACGGGACTCTTCACAAACTTCAAATTTCGTGTCAATCAACAATACTATTTAATCATTTTATAATAGTTAGTAAGACATAAAGTGGAACTAACTAAGATGACGTTACTTTTCTTATGGACGTTATTTCTAATATCACATGTTCAAGAGCCTGACTGCCAATATCTTTGCAAGCGAAAATATTCCAATTTTAAACAATTAAAATCTATATTTTCAGTCATACAGGGTGTCATTTAAATTCCCGCACAAAAGTTTGACGTTATGAAGAGCTTCGCTAACGCACTTTTCGTGCACCAATATAATTTATTTTTGTTAAATAAGGTATATTCTACTTACTTTCCAAGTTTCACCTCAATCGGATGTGTTTCCGAGAAATGGCGAAGGCTAACATCCATCGCGCTTCCATTATCGAACTTCATAAGCAAAATGTGAGCCCGAGAGACATCATTCAACGGGTCGGTGTGCCTCGTAGAACGGTTTGCGACACCACCAAAAGTTTCAAAGAGCTAAATACGACCAGTGACCGTCCCAGATAAGGAAGACTCGTCTCGGTAACCACTCGTCAGAAGATCAACGCTGCTAAATCGAGGATCAGGCGAAACCCGTACAGGAACATGAAAAAGATGACGTCAGATATGGGAATGAGCATCTACGCTATGGAACAAATCCTCAAAACGAAGCTTGGACTGACCCCATATCGTGTCCAAAAAGCGGCAATTCTATCTGCCGTCAGCAAGCAGAGACGCTTCAAAAAAGCAAAACGACTTCTTGCTCGCACGCGGTCTGGACAACACCTCGTCACTGTCTTCTCCGACGAGAAGCTGTTCACTGTGGAGACGGCATTCAACTCACAAAACCATTGAGTACTTGCCCAGACATCCCAGCAAGCTTCTGAGAAAAGAAGAACATATCATCCAGCCTCACATCCTGCCAGCATGATGGTTTTCGTTGCCATCTGCTCAACCGGGAAGTGGCCCCTGGTTGTCGTGGATCCGGGGGTGAAAGTGAACAAAGAAGTCTACGTTCGGGACATTTTGGAGAAGCATGTGATGCTTTGGGCCCAAACGCATTTCGGTGGGCAGAAATGGGTCTTTCAACAGGACGGAGCACCCGACCACACTGCCAAAACTACTCAGGAGTGGTGCCAGACCCATTTTCCCGACTTCATCAAGTCATCCGAATGGCCTGCTTGCTCCCCAGACCTGAACCCGCTTGACTTCTCCGTGTGGGATCTTGCAGGAGAAGGTCAACGCAAAACCCCACTCAAATGTAGAGTCTCTGAAGAAAACATTACTGGCGGAATGAGACAATCTTTCCATCGAATACCTGCGTACCACAGTCGCATCATACCCGAAGCGTCTCCGTGAAGTCATAGCTGCGAAAGGAGGCCGAATCGAAAAGAGTTAATGGATAATTATTTGTTATACTATACATAAAAAATATTTTGAGTCTCGTTTGATTTGGACTTTTAGTCTCAGAAATATACGTCTTAAAAGTTGTGCGGGAACTTAAATGACACCCTGTAATTCTAGCTTTTTTTCTCGTAAGATGTTTTCCGAGCGATGAGCGAATGTGCCTAAGTGGAACCTTTTTTGAAATTTGTTGTCAATATTTTGCAGATTTTTTTTGAACTGATCACTTCAAAAAATTATTACGCGTATTTCACGATCATTTTTATTATTCGTATTTCTTTTGAAGTCCCATAAAGGAAAACACATAAATGCAGAAAATAAATATTTTTATTTCAAGTTGACCGACGAGAGTTCAAACCCCATTGACAATACCATAATCATTCAAGAACCCCCTAGCACATAGGTTCGAGCCTCGAAAACGATCTTCACACTTGTTCTCCTCCATCTCCTTATACGACCGGGGCGCTTTGATGAATGAGCCATTACCATAAATCAAGGACAATAAGCAACAAAATTCACGCATTCATTTTTCTTGTCAGAAGTGTTTCATGACAGCTGGATCTGTGTGCGCGCGCGCTCGCCTTCTGGCTGACGCCGACAAAAAAAGAGGAATGGCGGGGTGGATTGAGTCTCGATTTTGACCGTATCCATCATCATCAGTGACAGATGAGACCTTTCAATCTTTTCAACACCAGCCGGCATCCTCATTTCGCATGATTCGCCCCCAATCAACATCTTTGTCTCATTTTTGTTGGGTATATTCGTTTTTTTTGCATCTTGCCCGATGCACACACCCGTCTTCAATATGGTTTCCGCCTTCATATGTTTCAATCTCTCATCAACTCCTCCCTCACCCGACGTTTTCATCGTCGTACTTAATTTTTTGGAGCGCATTAGTCCCACCTGTCCGCATTCTAATGCAGTGCCCGCCGCTCATCGCAGTTTAATATTTAAATATACATATCATTATCTATACTATTTATTGGATTAATGGTAATTTTTGATGTGCTCCTCTTTGAGGCGCACGTCCCGTGGCGCTGCATTTTTATTGTATTACAATTTTGAAACTCTATTGTAACATTTTGATTGCGATTTTATTCGATCAAATCCCTCAAGTCTTCCGCTCACAGCAATTCGATTTATCAATCTTCAGAAAAATATTTATTCTTGAATAATAGCAGTTGTGCTGAAGAGGTGATGTTGTATCCTATTTATTTCATCATTTGTAGTATTAAAACGTATTGCCTATAATTGGGCCACTCAGATGAGCCAATTTCACAAATATTTCCTAATTTGTTCCTGTTCAAGAATACAATACAATAAGACAAAAAATTCAACATTTTTCAATTTTTCTAACACATCCTTCAAAATAATATCGTTTGAAATTAAAAAAAATTCAAAATTTGTGGAACTATTATTTAGTAAAAAAAAAGGGAAATTTGATCAATTTATAAAAATAATGTAGGAAATCCGAAATTTTTCATAAAATAAGAATTGCCTTGAAAACCCGATTAATCGAATTAGGTCTTGCAGTGACTGATTACGGTAGCAATATTATTTTTATGGTCATATTTATTGTTTTACCATATTTTGATTGAAATAAAGTCATTTCTTGGCGAAAAAAGACCGATATTTCAAGGTTGGGTTAATTTTTAATTAACGACGAACATCGCAATCCCTTTTTTTCAATTGCTGAGAAATTTTTGTGCAAAAAAATATTTGTTTGGAATTTAATTCGATCTGCTGATCCTACTTCTATGATTTGCCCTATAATACAAATTATGAATCGTTCTAGTATCCAACACGCTATCTTAGAATCTCGATCTATGCACCCATCTGTCTAATCTCTCAGCAATATTTACAATCGAGTTTTGCATCGTCCGTGCCTCGTTTTTACCCAACATAGAGATACGCTCATACATATACCAGCACTTGAATCGCTCGCAAAACCAAAAACGAGGACCCATTTATCAATTGGGGCTCCGGGAAAGTCGAGAAGCGGTGCCGTCCGTCTTGCGCGCCCGCCACTCCATTGGGGATTATTTTTGCGGGAAACAGGGCGGGCGTTTTGGTGAAGATGGAATGCAAAAAAGAATTTCGCCAGCACACCCCCAACGAAAATAGCCATGCGGCTAAGTACACGTTCAGCTTTGACCAAGCCGAATTTACTCATCAGCCAATCATCAAGCTCATTTTCATTTTTCTAGAATGGTTAACTGCGCGTCCCTACGGTTAGAAAATTGTTTAATAGTTTGTTATCGTAAAACTTGCCTCACATTCTTCTTTTTTAGCAAAATAAAAAGGTGATGCCACATGACAAACGAGTATCAAACTGTTTTTTTTTCCATAAATTCTTTCACGAAGCCAACCCAGAGGAAACCTGAACACAGTCGGCGATAATATCTTCGCGCAATCTGCCAAAAAATGAAACAAGCGAAACGATCAGAGATGCGGTAAAAATTAAATTTCAAAACACGCGTCGTATGTAATAATTCGATGACAGTTGTTGTTACGTGTGTAAACTAATCGCAACATATTTTTTTCTGTTCATGTTGCGATTTGTTAGCTTTTTGAATTTTATCCTCACATTGATGATATTTCATCTTTTTTCAAATACTCAACAATCAGGTGTCAAAATATTTGTGTGTTGTTGCTTTTCGCCGGCGCGACGACTACTCGGCGTTGATTTTTTTCCGCAACTTTTTAGAGTGTCTGCGATTGATATCGATGGTTCATTCCTGACCTTTCCGCTAACGACTTTACATTCAACACATTTTCGTCGTCGAGCTCATTGAATCGTGCCGAACACTGCTCAACTGGGCCGTGGGGAGGGGGGGGGGAGGCGAGGAACAATTCTTTCGGTACGTGGCGCCTCGGTCGAAAGCACTTTGTTGTTGCACAATTTTATTGGATTTTGAGAACCCCATTGCTTTAATATCTTCTTCTTCTTCTTCTTCTCTTCCTTCGCTCTCTCTATCTTGTGCTTTTTAGTTTCACTTTCAATTGATAATCAGAAATTTTTTTAAGTGAGCATTACCATTTGATATGGTGTCCAACAATCTTGCATGCGTTGTCAATTTTTTTTCGAAAACGATACACGATTGACACATGTTCAACTCTTCTCCACTGACCTCAACAATAATTAATGCTTTACAACACTTCGGCGTCTTTTTACAAACCCCCCTCTCCTCAAGCGATTTGTTGGCCGTCACGTTACTATCATCATTGCGATATCAATTTGATAGTTTCTGGAACACAAAACTTACAATGATGCCTCATTTATCATGTTTTTAATGGCCCAATTGGTTGACGACGGTATCAAACTGCCCTACAGTAATACACCAATTCTCCATGAGATTGATATGATAAACCACACCCAAAACAATATTCGCGTATAAAATTTTATTGGCAAAATTTAATGATAGAAATTTTGAAATCTATAAAAAGACACATTGCCTAATCATTAGGACATAACTAGAACTTGTTGGTGTAAAGCGGAGAAGGCTATCACAAAATCAAATTTTGGAATTGCATGACGTTTAAAATTAGGGATGATTGCAACAAGGTCGGCGCCAGCCCGGGGGCCTCACTCATGCACTCATCGATAAATATTTTTCGCCGTTCTTATTACCCTCTCCAACACCCCCCTCTACGTTGTCCGAATAATGGATAATTTTTCATGTAGCCACTCCGTCCGTCACTCAATTCTTTTTTCTTCGAGTAACAGCAACATCCCAAAAACGGTGTCTCGTCGGGGGCCGACCGAACACGACGATGAAGATGAAGGGAAGGCTGGGGAGAGCGGGGGGAAGAAAAAAAAAAGTGGGAAGAAGAACAAGATGTGCGTGCGTGTTGTCGTCGGTCTCCAAGCCTGATTCATATCGTACGCGCACCATTTTTCGTCAAGAAAAATTTTTTTGCGCGAACAAGATCGAAAATGATGCGCGAAGTTTGAGCGGTGGACTCGCTCCGACATTCGGCGCACTTCATAACCAATTCAATATCGATAAATAATCAAGATCATTGCAATTTAATGACCTCTAAATCGTTATTTACATCGCGTTTTATTATCAAGCAATCTATTGATTGTATCATGAGAATAAGCATGAAACACGAAGACGAAGAAGATGATAAAAACACCGAGGGTTGGGTTCTTCTTCTCGAAGAAAGTGGTCGGAAAATTGTCAGTGGTTTGTACCTAAAAAAAATATCTTTAGATACTCACTTTTATTTTTCTTATCATCGCTTTCATTCTTCAAACCAGCCATCCCTCTTCCCACCTTATATTTAAATGACCATCTTAGCACTTCATATTATCAATATTTTTTGTTGAAAATTGCCATCACTTTCAGATACGACACCTCAGTAAATATGTTGCATTCCATTATCAGCGTTTAAGGGGGTTTCCGTCAGCCTGCTTAACACCTATTATTTTTTTTCTTGCGACGATGCCCTTCGCCTAAAGTCTCTCACGTCCACAGTAGTTCTTTTCATTTTTTTTCTCAACTATTAGTGTTGTTTGAAAACATATTATTTCTGCCGTGTCACTTATCATTGTATCCCCAGAGCATTCTTTATTGTAGGCAAAAATTATTGCAAATCGTATATACATATATATCCAAGCTTTTGTTAATCTCTCATTCGACAAAATTCGTTTTTTCATTTCGTGGAAATTTTAATAAAAAATCACAATTGAAACACTTGCAGACAGGCAGTCATGGACCTCGATCCGAACATTGTAATTAATCACGAGGAACAAGGGGAGGCGCTAGTGTAAAATGGTTGTCCATTTCCACATAATCAACATTCATTACAGTAACCCAGAGAGAGGCTATTCAAACGCGATGCAGAATCCAATGTCGTCCGGAAGTCAGAAAATCGACATGTGGAGGAATCGAAATTTTGATAGTGGCTTCCAAACGATGAATCATAGCGAGGTATGTACGTTCGGGGCGTCCGGAAACTTGATAGATCAAAATCACGTTGAAATATCTTACCAAAAAATGAAAAACAAAAAAATTGGAAAAAGGAGTATCACACTTTATTGAGAACGTGAATTTGTTGATTTCATGGGCGGGTGTTGATATGTTATAGTAGGTATCTCTCTCGAGGGGAATCTCATTGAACCGAAAAAAAAACTGAAACTACCATCATCTTCATTTTTCCCAATATTGATATGAACTGCATTTGGCGATTTGTAAAAATCAATTAATCATTTTTTCGGTTGGTTTCAGGCGCCGTCGATCATTTCCTCGTTGCATCCATCTTCTCATATTTCGGGTATGTCATCTGTTGCTGATTATGAGCAAGCACCATCGTTGTCGGATCAGGTTTTAAAAAAATTCATCGCGAATGTTTTGATTGTTCAATTTTCTTAAAGCAGAACATCAAATTTGATACAATCTCATATAATGGCGGCCCGACAGGTAGTGGGACCGATTCGCAGTATGGAAGTGCAGTGAGAGCTATTCCGGAGCTCATGAATCTAATGAGTGACCAGGACCATGTCAGTTGGTCAGCGTGCGAGAAATATACTCATTTTGAATTTTTAGGCGGTAGTTCATAAGGCGATCTATATAATGCAGAATATTGCAAAAATGGATAGCGATCCGATGCGACGACAGAAGGAATCTGTTATAACGGACTATCGCGTTATAATTGCTTTGAGAAATGTGCTTCGCGACAAGAAGGATCATCCGGTAATTTTGAAACATCGCCAAAAACTATTAACGACATCTGATATTTAGAATATTATTCGGTTGGCGCTTGGAACTCTTTTCCATATAGGGAATCGCCAGGAAGGGCTTGACCTTATCTTCCGAGCGGTTAGCATCGAACAGGATTTTATTCAACACCTGGTTTCGCATATAATGACAATCCCATTTTCATGTTATAAATATGCACTTTTCACGTTGCATTCTATCCTTTCTGATAGAACGCGTGGAAATATTTGCTTGCAACTTTCTAGGCAATGCGAAGCGCTACGGGTTGGATTCCAAATCAACATAATGGGTTTTTAACATCCACAAACTTGCAGTACGTTATTAATTGGCTTGAAGAGGAGAAAAGCGAGAAGCTTCTTCCGGTGATTGTTGACCTCACTAGAATATTGTGCGATAAGTCAAATGATCAAAAGGTATCAAACCGGAAATGTGGCGATCAATCAATACAATACACTTTAGGCATTGTTCATAAACCTCGGCGGTTCCAAGAAGCTTCTTCATATAATTTTCACATACCGCTACGAAAACCTTCTTTGGCGAAGTACACAACTTTTGAAGACCTTCTCGAACTTTGTAATCTCTTTTCATGCCACTTTTGTATATCGCTATTGTAATGTTAAGGACGCTAATGATTTGGTGCAATGCGGAGCGCGAGACGTTCTCTCGAAAATGTTGACACATGAAAGCCCACGTTTGGTGATCTCCACATTAGAAACACTGAGAAATATAAGCGATGTGCCGTCGCCATACAACGAAGATAATTTGTTAAAATGCCTACTGATGCTTCTCGGGTCACGCAACCCAATGATGATGCTTTACACTGTGCAGATTCTGTCGAATATGGTGGCTAATAACAAGAGGAATAAGGTACAATATTATCAATGTCTAAAATCAGAAAATAATGAATCTATTAAGGAGCTAATGGTATGCAATCAAGCAGTTGAAATGCTCCTTCGATCATTAGTAGAAGCTTCATATGTACAAGGATTGAGTAATAAAGAAGCACATCATATGGAAGAGTTCATGGAGAGTTTAATCTGCACACTTCGGCAATTATGTGTTGGCCACTCCTATTGCGATCGGGTCCAGCTCATGATTTTCAAAGAGCCCCTCGTATTTCTTGACAAATTAATGAGAATGCGGCCAATACTTTTGAAGCAGACTTTAAATGTATATCAACATTGAAACGCTTTTTTTATTTCAAATTTTAGCTTCTTCTAAAAGTGGCTAGCCAGAATGCAAATCTACTGGCATTTCGTGATGTCAAAGCAGGAACCGTTGGTTTTGCTCAGCAAATCATTCATGTAATGAAAGTTGCTTGCGCTCAATTGCAGACGGTAAATTATTGTGAATTTTTAACATTTTCGACATTTTGAAATGTTTTCAGCAAGATGTGATTGAAGGAATTAAACTGAAGGATCTTGTGCATTTATCCATTGAGCTCTTGCGCGCGATCAGCCGCCATCATGACATTCAAGAGCAGATTGTGTTCTTTCTGCGAACACCGGAAAATTGCAAAATCGGCGAGATTCACACAATGCTTCCAATTTTCGTCCTTCAAAAATCGGGAATTGATGAGAACACAAAGAAGTCGACACTTGTTCTGATTTACAATTTGATGTTTAATGAACAGGTAATTTGAGGCGAATTTCACACTTGAATAAATTGTCGTGGCGTTGAATTACAGATGGCGGCCGTTTTGGAGAACAACCATGTGTTCATGAACATGATCGCTCAACTCAAAAATTGCATGTCTCCAGAGATTAGCGGATTAGCGGAGAACATTCTGAGGAAGATTTATGATAAGAGGCACTCGAACTTTGCTGATGTGAGTTGAAACCGCAAAATAACAGAAAAGGGGCTCGTGGTTTTTCAAAATCAATTTTATATTTCAGATATTCTTAATGGACAAGAAGCATGACTCATATCTGCGAAATGAGTCTATGGACACATCTTTAAATGAAAGTTTCGATGGAGCTGGAGAGCAATGGTCACAAATGCCGGGTTGTGATGATCCATTTGTTGAAATGTATTGCGGATCAGCCATGGAAGCAGATTCAAGTAATTTCGATAATTCCAAAAATTAAATGGATTGGAATTTCAGAGACGTTCAACTCTCCAATCTACAATTCTCCGAATCCCATGTATCCGCCTTCGACTCCACAAGATTATTATATGGAGCAGCAGCCCTCGTCATCTTCTACCAATCGTGTCCCAGAAAGATTATATTCCAATAATTACCCTCATCCAATGTACAATAGCCCAGCGGAGTATAATCATAAATATCCCGATTATCCACATTCAAACAGTCAACTGAAACGATTCTAAAAGAACCCAACCATGTGCCAAATTGCTGACGATTCGTTGATTATAATTTATTTCATTTCATCCACATTCCCCTCCCTTATAAACAAGTAACAAGAATTATTGCCCAATTTGTTTCCTATTGATTATCCGCCACGGGTCAACACATCATGTAGTTGATGAAATGTTCCATGAATTATTCCATATATAAACATTTATTAATAATTCGTTTTAAAATTTATATCATTTGGTTCATTTCGTAGTAAATACCCTTCATACTGATCAGCTCTTCATGATTGCCTTCTTCGGCAATCTCGCCGTGCACTATCACATAGATCCTGTCAACGTTGCGAATTGTTGATAAGCGATGAGCAACTGCAATTGCACATTTCGACGAATACGGAATGAGGAAAAATTACTTTGAATGCAGGTGCATTGAATTTTGCTCGACTTTTTAACTCTTTCAAACGCAGACTGCACCTCCTTTTCAGAAGCACTGTCGAGAGCTGAGGTCGCCTCATCCAACAGAAGGACTGTTGGTTTTCTGATAATTGCTCTAGCGATGGCGATCCTTTGCTTCTGTCCTCCAGATAATTGAGCGCCAAATTCTCCAACCTCAGTCTCATAGCCCTAAAACTCAAAAATGAATTAAGGAAATCGTAATTTTACAACCAACCTGTGGCAAGCTTGTTATGAAGTTGTGAATATCTGCGATTTTGGCAGCTTCGATAACCTTATCAAGAGTGGCTTCACTTTCCATCATACCGTAGGCAATATTTTCCTTAATAGTTGAAATTATTTATTTTTAAACATTGTTTTCTCTAATAGAAGTCCAACTCACTCGTATTGTGAAGGAGAAAAGATCGGGCTCCTGGCCAACTTGAACAATACATTTTCGTAGATATGCGGGATTAATTGACTTTATATTATACTTGTCAACTATTACAACTCCATCAGTTGCGTTGTACATTCGTTGGAATAACGAGATAATTGATGATTTTCCCGAGCCTGACGGACCAACAAGTGCTATTGATTCTCCTCCTCGAACCTAAAATTCTTTTTTTTTGGGTTTTGGCTAGATTCAGCTATCAAACCATCATATTAATATTGTTAAGGACTGGAACAATTGGCCTCGTGGGGTATCTGAATGATGTATTCTGCATACACAGATTTCCTTCAAGTTTCTGAAAATCGGTTCTTGAATTTTTCAATGATTTTCAATAGTCTCAACCGGTCTTAATCCTTCTTCTGAAAGATTGTCCATTTCTACAGGCGGCTCTCGAATCACCCTCATCACATTCTCGGCAGCGATTTGTGCTTTCGTCAAATCTGTTACTGATGCGATTAATTGCGAGAAGAAGTTCGCTCCGAATTGGGTCAGGAGCACAACTCTATAATATGAATATAAAAAACGAAATCCATTGATTTTACCTCATATAATCGAATACAGAGATTTCATTGGCTAGCATCATCACTTTTCCAAAATACAAGGTGATAGCAATAAGAATATAAGTGAAAGAATATTGGCATGCAAACACAAACGCTGAGATGACTGATTGTTTTTGCATTGCTCTGCATAATTTGTTTGATGAGAAAACGAAAAAATTCTTACTGGGAGACTGGCTTCAATGCACCACAGAAGACATTATAAAAATGAGATTGTAAATTGTATGCCTATATATATGAAATATGATTCAATATAAAAAGTTTCTTACTTTAATAGTACTCATATTTGCTAGGACAACATTTGCCAAATTCGCCGCCTTCTTCTCCTCTTCGTTCATTTGTCGTTGCCTGAAATTATTAAAAATGAATATAAAAGAAAGAGTTGCGAACCGTTTGGCTCCTTCACGAATTTGAAGAACACGGATGATGAAATAAGCAGGAAACTGGAAGGAGCACAATAGTGCCATTTTCCAGTTAATATACAATGCACATGCAATGGAAAACACTAAAAATATTTTAAATTGTTTTTTTTTTTTTGAAATAATATTGTATATTTTTGTTACCGGAGCATACTAGTCCAGGAATGAGCATATCTAGCTTTTGCTCCATGATTTCATTCAATGTTGAGGATTCATTGATCACTCGGTGTACTAATCTACCTGGAGTATTGCGCTCCTCGTCGAAGTAAGCCGCCCCATGTCTCAATATCTGAAATACAATACTACATATCTGGCGATCAAATTCAGTACCTTTCTGAACATTTCAGTTCTCATGAACATGCAGAAACCATGTCCATATAAGGCGATGAATAATCTCTGAACATTTTTAATGGGCGAAAATTTTATGTGTTTGTAAAATGTACCCCTAAGGCTTCAAATATCGTCTTCACAATAATTAGAGCCGTATAAACAGCTGCCACAATGAAAATATCGAGAGCTCGGTCTTCTTCAGGTGCAATCGAAATTTCGAGAACCGATGCAACTTGAAAACAAATCAATAAATAGAAAACCGCGCGGACAATTGTTGTTGGAATTGCGCCGGCAAGAAGAGGTAGACCTTTTCGATAGGAGCAGATCAAATCTTTGACAACAGCGAAGGAGGTTTCTTTTCCAGGAAGATCCTGAAAATTGACATATTGATATAATATGAATATTCAAAACAAACATCATCGCTGTCGAATGATTCTTTCACATTCATATTATGCACTTTTGAATATTTATAATCCAATCTTTCTGATTTTTTCTTGCTCATGACTGAAAAAATAACTGTATAGGTTGTAATATGAGAGATTTTAAATACCAGGTAGCGCTAGTTTCTCCTTTTCCATACTATTGACAGAATAGGATTTTCCAAGTTTTTTGTTTCCACCGAGGGAACTTCTAGCCCAGGCTTTTCTTTGTTGCTCAGGATCCTGTTATATCAATATTGAATTTAGATTTCGTGATATTAGCGTACTAATTTTGGCGGAGGACTAAATGACATCTGCTGTTGTAGTATTGGTTTCTGAAGATTCGCATGCTGCTCCGAAATCTGATCCATTCGTTGATCATTGTACATCTGAAATATTCAATTATTCTCCTTCTCAATTTTAAGATCTAACAAATTTGGCAACATTCCAACCTTATAGAAAATTCCTTTCGTATCAGCTAGAAGGTCATCCGGCGCGCCTTCCTCGACAATTTTGCCTTCGTGCAAAACAATAATTCTATCGGAATTTTTGATCGTTGATAATCGATGGGCAATTGTTATTGTCGTCAATCCTTCAGATGCCAGATCAATGGCAGCATTGACTTCTTCTTCATGAATGTTATCCAAAGCGGAAGTCGCTTCGTCAAAGATCAGCACTATTGGTTTTCTGATGACTGCACGAGCGATCGCCAATCTTTGCTTTTGACCACCAGAGAGCTGGTGACCTCTACAATTATTAGTTGTTTCATTGATTGAATTGTTTGAAGGAATCTTTCACCTATCTCCAACCCTTGTGCGCATACCTTCCGGCAAACTATTAATAAATTTCCAGGCGCCGACCTTCCTGGCGGCATCGTTGATTTCTTGCTGTCATGAATTCCGATTATTTTTTGCATTCTTCATATTTTTTTGCGCATACCTGAGTTGCGTCAAGTCGTCCATATCGAATATTGTCACTAATCGTTCCATCGAAAAGGACTGGCTCCTGACTAACCAGTGAACACTGCGCCCGCAAATCGTCCGGACACATTGTTTTGATATTTTCGCCGTCGAGAAGAATCTACGATCATTAACAGCGTATAGCTATTGTTGATCAAAAACCTACACTTCCACTAGTCGGGTCGTAAAACCTTAGAAGCAATGCAGTCAATGTACTTTTACCGCTTCCGCTAGAACCGACGATCGCAATCTTCTCACCAGCTTCCACGGAAAACGAAATTCCACGAAGAACTTCAGTTTCTTTCCTACTAGGGTAAGAGAACCTAATATCTCTAAAATGAATTGCACCCTTTCCTAAGATGTTCAAATAAGTTTGAAAACAAAATGTTTTTTTGATCTACCCATGAATTTCATACTCTGCCTTCTGTACTTTCCTCTAGTGACAGGCACATAATCTTCATTATTATAAATTGAGGCAAGTTCAACTTCAATCTGCGGTTGTTCATCTAATAAATTAAGAATACAAATTCCCTTAAATTTTAGACTCGTCATACTCAATACTTTGCAAATCTCTTTCGCGTTCTCCTTTGCCCTTGCTGCTCCATTGATATGAAAACCAATAGATATCGATGTCACACACATATATAGCATATTGATAGCGAGCTAGATTACCGATTATTACCAACAGTTTTTTATGATGTGATACCGCGCATAAACGACCCGGCGAATTATCGGCAACCCTCCAAATGCCATAACATAACGCGCCGGTGAATATCAGTTCGGTGAGAAGAATCTACAAAAACACGTTGATGGGTTTATCCGTCGAGGGGAGGCCACGAAACCTGGGTTAGACTGTCAAAGACGACTGATGACCTTAGCCTTTGTTCGGTTAGAGCGCTGTGATCCGACGTCAACTTTTCGAATCTGCAGAATACGAGCGATAATCAAAAAGCCATTTCCGGTGCGTGACACTTCTCACTTGTTTATTGTTTGCTTCTGCGCGGCAAATGATATGACTGTAACTATGCAATTGAACGTTTCATTGACAAGATTAGTGATTTTGTTCTGCAGTTTCGTCTCCTCTTCCATTGTGTTTGCAAACCACTAGAATACTGATTAGGAAAAAAAAAGAAAACTCTCAAATTTTATACCTTACTGTAGAGTATTCGCGAAAGAATGAGTAATGGAATTGCAAGGCACATAAGTAATGTAACATCCCATTGGATATATATACAAACTCCTATGTTGACAAGGAGATAGGACAAGATAAAAAGGACCATGGGAAGGTGATCAGAAATTCCATTATAAATCGAATCTGCGGATCTGAAAAATAAAGTTTTATGGTGGTTTTACCAAACGAGATAATTCATCACTTATGTCGTATCGTAAACCGGATTATACCCAATTTCGTAGATAACCCCCATCAAGCTAGACAATGTTCATAAATTTTTTGATCTTCAGTTTCAATAGCTCAATCTTTGATTTTGAAACAATGTTGTCAAAAATTGAAAAACAAAAATTGAATTATTGTTTTATTTTCACACCCAAAAACACCGATTTGATATTTCTTGCCTATTTCTTGCCCAAAACCATCTTCACTTCACAGAGATCATCATCATGGTATGAATTACACTAGAGTATCTCTATTTCAATCTCTAAACCGCATGTTCTCATTCTTTGACCAAAATTGGAGGGTGGTTAATTTATCGCTCCCCCCCCCTTTCCCCCATGTTTTAATTCCTTTCTTTTCGCACAAATGCCTTTCTAGTGTACCGAAAAAATGGAATAAATCGTACTCTTGTAGCATCGCGGCGACTTGTCCGCTCTGACGTGATTCCAACCATGAGATATCCATTAGGAGAAGCTTTCGAATGTAGGCTTTTTTCACTCGGAAAACTTGCCGAATAGATGAAATCTCCCAGACGATTCTCTTAAACAAAATTAGTATGACGTGGTGTGACAGTTATAAATATCGAAGGTTATGATCGTAAGATCAAACCTGCGTGAACGCCGCAATGAACATCGCGATTGACAATCCAAGCATGGAAACGAATGCTGGTGTCGCGGAATTGCTAAATTCCTCATCGATTGGAGGGAATTCAGGACTCGTCAGATTCTTCAACCCTAGCTTTCCTTCCTAAAATAGAAATTATAAATTATTCAAAAATATTAAAAATCCATACCTCTCGTAGAATTGATATTGAAACAAAGCTTCCCATAATGAGCCATACGAATGGGGGAAGGGCAGATTGCAGTAATGCGCTTATTAACCCAATAGCCATTAGCTGAAAATCAAGGAAATGCCAAAATTTGTCAGATTTTCGTTGTACCTGGAGGTCAATACTATCCGCAAAAGCATATAATCTTCTATATGATTCGAAAAATCCTACATTTTCATCTTTCTCATCCTTGGGACTTTCTTTTGTAATATCATATGCTTGAACCAATAGTTATTTCATAAGAAGACAAAGTGATTGTGAAAATACCTTTTTTGCTATTCTTCGGATCATCGATGTATAACTGCGACGGCTCAATCGGATAGATGACAGATCTTTGCGATTTCTTGTCTAATTCTTCAGCTTCTTTCTCATTACTAGTCATTCTGTGAATTGAAATAGAAGTAATTCGAAAACGAGTAACTGTCGCGGCAAATAAAACTTCAATGAATCATTTGCTAACGATTCGATGAAACAAAACAAAGGGAGACGATGAAATTGGCGCAATGATTTTTTTCCTTGCATACTGACTGATTGTACCCTAAGTATGTATGTAAACATTCCTAATTGGATTAAAATTTGCCAAAATCGTATTTATTTTGACACATTGAGAAGAGAGACCAAATGAGGGAAATGAGGGAATGAATAAAGGCATAGCAAGAAAAAATTGGTTGATTTCGTATTGGTCTTACACACATATACACACACCAAAGCAACAATTGATGATTATGTCGAAGGTTATCATCTGGTTTTACTAACACTACTCTCGCCTCGATTACGGTTTTTGGAGGCCTCTCTTGGTCACCTTCACCGGGGAGGCGCCGACTTGATTTCGATTTGACGTGATTTTCGTTTCACGTTAAAGTCAGTCCAGAATAATTGATAAGTTCATCTCTCATTTTCGCTGCGTTTTTCGCTGATCGTCATTGTTGTCTCGATTTTCAATTCGTCTCAAACTATTTGTCATAATTTGGTTTGGCGTTTACAGTTTGCACTTTTCGTGAGGCCAATTTGAAGTCAAGTCATGTAATATTGTGGTTATATCTTGGTATAGGGAAAGCCAGGAGAAAAATGAGTTGGAATATGGAACTTTTAATCATTATTGCAAGCATCATATTGGGAAGTTTAATCGATTCTCCTAATCCTAATCCAAATATTGTTTTGCTGTCCTCTTTTTTTTTTAAGTTTAAGACCTATAATTACAATTATAATTACATAAAATATAAAAGTTTGTTTTTTCATATAATTTAGCAGGTTTTTGGTATCAAAATCGATACGTGGAACCCTCTCATTTTTCAACAACAAAAATCACCGTTCTCTCAATTGACATTTTTAAAAGAACACTCTCGAAGTAACAACGATCATCTTTTTATTGATTGCAATCTATCAAAGGCGTTGATTTTTTTTCACTTTTTAGCTAACCTATAGTTTCGGACACAAAAAATACGAATCAACATGAAACCCTGACTGAAAATATGCGTTGTTCAACAATAATACACAATTAACAAAATTCTATTGAGCGTTACATTGAAAACATTCGTGTTTTTGCCTCTTAAGATATGCAAACTGGACTAGTCGGCTGGGAGGCAAAACACTAGAAAGTATCAGTAAACTAACACATCTCCTTATTTTTAATCGTGAAGGACAATTATATTTCGGTTATAATCTTGTTTTTCAATTAAGGGATGACGGTTCAACGACTCTTCCCAATTTTTCTTCTCATCCTCTTGTTCGTTAGCATCAAATGTGGTTGGTTCATAATGAAAGATGATGCGAGACTAATTATAAACATTTCTAGATTCGATTGAAGAACCAGAAGGCAATATAATCGGACTTGAGGAATTTTTATTAGAATTGGATCCAGAAACTAGCGATATTGTAATGCATTCGTACCATCATCCCAAGAACAATTTTGATATTCAGATTTTGGAACTTCTTGAAGCTCAACAGCATCCAACACCAAAAGCGAATCGAGCAATGAGAAAAATAATGGAGAAGCTGCCAGCGTCGGAGCTCAATAAGCTATTCCAGATCTACAAGCAAACTCGGGATTAATTGATTGTTGTGAACTATGTTAGTTCGATTTGTAAAAATTGTACTTTTTCAATTCAACATAGCAGCTTTATTTTTACGTCATTCTCGATAAAAATGAGATCAATGATACTGTATTAATTAAAATTTTTATTTCTTATCATTACGAATAAAATGTTTTTCTGGACCCGATTGAAACTATTAGTACATTTCTTGGAGCAGATAGCAGTTTTATGCAGAGAAGTGCAATTTTCATGATATTATGTTAAATTTAATTACAGGAGACTGACAATAAAAAAATTTTATATGTTGTTAGACTTGTTATAAACCCATAAAATTAATTACTAGTAGTTTTAACAGCAATTAAAACTTTTATGGCGAATTGGTAACTTGTAATATCTCGAATGATTGTTTTTAGTGGTCCTAAAACTTTTAGGTATATATCACGAAAATCATCAAATATCTCGAACCTTCTTTTCAACTTGGCCTTGTTCTCACTCAGCTCTGCAGATGCTCTTTAGTGAGTCAGCACTTAAAGAGCTTCTCCGATAAATTAATGGATCCTCACGGCTCGGTTCTTTTTCATTTTTTTTTTGCTCGCCTTCACATCTTTTCCCGAGGCTGCAACACTGACGAGGCATCAAGCTAGACGATTTTTAATAGATTGCGTCGAATCACTCCGCAACTCGTGTGCTCTCGCGTTTTTAATGCTCAATGTTGAGCTCGTCCAAGAACAGTGTAACAAATCGAACATTGGACGCGGCGTGGGGTTACGCGGCAATTTGAGATGAGGTCGATGTTTGTCGTGGACTCGTTTACTATAACACGTATCAATTCGCAGTTTCATCATGCTTTAACTCAAATGATGGAGAGAATGATATGGCGCCTTATTTAGCATTCCAACCGAATTTGAAAAAGCATATTCCTCCTTGGCAACCATCCAATTGATAATATTTATTGGATTTCCTCAACCTGTAATAAATTTGTTAATAAACACTTCTTATCAAACTCAATGAGCCGTTCGTTGCTTATCTTATCTATAATTGTGCAATCTTTAGCGTATTTTGGGAACCACTATGTAGAAGCATAGCGAGGTCATCATCCTTACTACAATAATCCCTTCTGCACTTTGTGTTTTTTCAATGCCCCCCCCCCCACCTTCACTCAAATTTTCTCATTTGATCAGCCAAGTTTCTTACATTTCGCCTCCGCGCCGACCTCATCGGACCGTTCAATTACAAGCGCTTGCCACACCACACCACCAGATGCATCGCGTAAAATGTGCAAGTGAGCCGCCATCGAGTTTTTATGCGGTGTTGCGTGCCGGCCGACACCAGATCGCCAGATGTTGTCTCGTAGCCTACATGGAGTTTTTTCTCCCTGATCTACTCCGCAATCTTTTTTTTTTCAAGTAAAAAAAATGCGTTGACCCCAGCAGCGTTTCACTCTGACTCATTCTTGAGCAATTGACCAGCTCATCCTGTCTTTGATGAGGATTCTCAAAAGTAGTTTAACCATTTTAAATTATCTATGAAGGTCGTATAAATGTTCAAGTACTAATCAATTTCATAACATTAGGTGTTGCCAATGCTTCATTCCATCCGAAAAATAAATCAACTAGCCTGTTCTGGCCATATGTCTGCGCACAGTTTTTGTTTTCGGCATATGTGAAATTTTGATGGAAGGAGTGGGGTCGCTGTTGCTTCACACATTTTGCTCCGTCTGCTCTTCTCTACATATATTTTCAATCCAACTTTGCTGAAGGCGTTGTTATATGCAAACCAGTACATATATATATATATATGTATGGGATCTCATCTACTCGTTTCACAATTCATAGAATTGCTATCATAATTTTTCATTTCAATTTTCAGGTGTGCGATTGCCAACTGGATGATGCTATAAGTATTGACAATGCTTAGGACAATAATTATATCATTTTTGTTGGGCTTAGCGTACTCGCAGCCTGCACAACTTGTTCCCAGCGTCGATCCGAATCATTTTGGAGCAGGTGAAATTAAAAACTTTAGAAATCCGATTGATGTTCTTCTTTAGACGGAAACCCTTGCTACGATCGCGAGACGCAAGCTCCACAGCGATGCGTTCCCGATTTCATCAATGCAGCCTTCAATATTCTAGTTGAAGTAACAAACACTTGCGGTGAGAAGAGACCTACAAAATATTGCGTTCAATCTGGGCACACTGGTCAGCGTAATGTTTGCGACATTTGTGATGCCCGTGTCCCGGTAACAAGATTTAATTAATTATATTCTTAAATTAATATTTATATAGGAATCCGCTCACCCAGCTAAATACCTTACCGATTTCAATAATGCTAACAACGAGACCTGGTGGCAGTCAGACACAATGCTGGAAGGAATGCAATTCCCGACCAGTGTGAATTTAACACTCAACTTGGGTTGGTGCAAATTGTCGTCAATTATGGTGTAGCTCTTCGAGTTTCAGGAAAAACCTTTGATATCACTTACATTCGTCTCAAGTTTATCAGCCCGCGTCCAGAATCTTTTTCGATTTATAAAAAAACTACATTGAATGATGATTGGGTTCCATGGCAATATTACTCGTTCGTGGTTTTCGCTTTAAATTGACGTTGATCTTAAAATTTTCACAGGGGCTCGTGTCGTGCTACATTTGGCATGCCTGACAGATCGCCTATTCTTCCTGGAAATGAGAACCGCCCTCAATGTACCAAAGAATTCTCTGACATTTCGCCAATCACTGGTGGAAACATCGCGTTCTCCACATTGGAAGGTCGCCCATCAGCTCATGCTTTTGAAGATTCACCAATTCTTCAAGTATGATCAGCTATTCAATATTAAATTATTTTCTTTGTAAATCACATTTAGGAATGGGTGACTGCTTCTGCTATTCGTATTGTTCTCAACCGTATGAACACCTTCGGAGATGAAGTTTTCAAAGATCCCCAAGTCCTTCGCAGTTACTACTACGCAATTTCCGATTTCGCCGTCGGAGGCCGCTGCAAATGTAACGGTCATGCCTCGGAATGTGTCGGCTCTTCATCTGTCGATGGCGAAAATCGCCTTGTCTGTCGTTGCGAGCACAACACCCAAGGAGCTGATTGTAATGAATGTGCGCCGTTCTATAATGATCGCCCATGGATGGCCGGAAACTCAAAGGAGGCCAATGAATGCGTTGCTTGCAACTGCTCTCAGCTATCCAACCGTTGCTTCTTTGATCAGAAACTTTACGATGAAACTGGACATGGAGGTCATTGTATTGATTGTCAAGGAAACACTCAGGTTTAATTTTATGCGCCCCATATAGCATAATGTTCGAAACTTTAAGGGAGTCCATTGTGAGCAATGTGTTGCTAACCATTGGCGCCGACCAGGAGAAAACTATTGTGTTCCTTGCGGTTGTGATGAGGTAACCCAATTGTATCAAATTTTAAAAAGTTTATTTTGAATTATAGACCGGTTCAATGTCAACTCAATGCGACGCCGAGGGAAAATGTCAATGCAAGCCCGGTGTTACTGGAAGATACTGCGATCAATGTATGGATGGATACTACGACTTCGGACCAAATGGCTGCAAGTGAGGCTCTTTTTTTTTAATCGCGTTAACCAACCAACTGACTCACCAATCGTCGTATCTTTTCGTGAAAAGGTCACGCCAATGAATTTATGTTGCTTTTTTTTGCTTTTGGGAGGCGCCCATCCGATCAGTTTTTTGGAATGCGTGATTAATTGCACTGCACTACCATGAACTCTGTCTATCATCATTGATGCGATTTCAGGAATTGTGGGTGTGAAGCGGCGGGTTCACTCAACAACCAACCGAGATGCGATCCGGCATCTGGAACATGTACATGCAAGCTTAATGTGGAAGGAAGACAGTGCGACAAATGTAAACCAGGATACTTTGATTTATCGAGTGAAAATCAGTTTGGTTGTACTCCATGTTTCTGCTATGGTCATTCTTCAATTTGCTCAACTTCCGATGGATACTTTGCAATGAATGTGTCAAGCACATTCGATCAAGACAAACAAAAGTGGACGGCATCAGGTCGTCTTGGACTTCAAGACACTCAATGGGCTGAAACTGATAAAGCAGTCGCAGTTTCGAATAATGACAACTCGCCGGTGTACTTTGTCGCTCCAGAACAATTCACCGGTGATCAGCGAAGTAGTTATAATCAAGATCTTGTTTTTGACTTGAAGGTTGCGAAACATGTCACCAACCAAGATGTTCGGTAAGACGATTGAAAAATGCAAAGAAAGGATATTAATTGAATTTTTTGCAGGGATATTGTCATTATGGGAGCTGGACGTGAAATCTCTACGTCAATTACATCTCAGAACAATCCTTTCCCAACCACTGAGAAGCAAACATACAGATTCCGAATTCATGCGGATCCTTATTACGGATGGTATCCACGTGTCAATGAGCTTGATTTCATTGGAATCCTTTCCAACATCACTGCCATCAAGATTAGAGGAACTTATTCATACAAGGATATTGGCTATCTGTCGAATGTTCACCTTGGCTCTGCTGGAGTTGCTCCATCTTCAACTAATCCTAAAGCTGCCACGTGGATTGAACATTGCGAATGTCTTCCAGGGTTTTTTTACAGCCAATATCACTAGTATAACTAATCTTTTTTTAAGATTTGTTGGTCAATTCTGCGAGTCTTGCGAGCCAGGATATCGCCGAGAAATTAAATTCGGAGGGCCTTTCAAGCGATGCATCAAATGTGACTGTCACAATCATTCAAGCAGTTGTGAAGCGGAAAGTGGATCGTGCATATGTGAACACAACACTGCTGGTGACACTTGCGAACGATGTGCAAGAGGGTACTACGGGGATGCACTTCAAGGAACCACTGAGGATTGCCAGAAGTGCCCATGTCCGAACGATGGTCCATGCCTTCTCCATTCCGATGGTGATGTACTTTGCACTGAATGTCCACATGGATACACGGGAAGACGGTGTGATGAATGCTCGGATGGATTCTTCGGCAATCCAAAGGAGAATATTGAGTGCAAAGAATGCGAATGCAATAACAACACCGATCCGAACTCAATAGGAAATTGCGACAAGCAAGTCCAAAAATAGGATTATTTCAAATAGGCATTTTATTCAGAATCACTGGAGAATGCAAGAAGTGTGTCTTCAACACATTTGGATTTAATTGTGAGAAATGCAAGCCAGGATATTGGGGAGATGCTCTCATTGAGCCAAAAGGAAATTGCCAATCTTGTGGATGTTTTGCTCCTGGAACAAAACATCCGGATGGTAACTACACACTTCTCGAATGTCGACAAGATGATGGTCAGTGTGACTGCCTTCCGAATGTCGTCGGATTCCAATGTGACCAATGCGCGGTAAAAATTTACTCGATAATTTGTATTAATAATCTATGTTTTTAGCATGGACACTACAACATCTCTTCTGGCATTGGCTGCGAGAAATGCGACTGTGATCCACTTGGAGCCGAAGCTGTTAGTTGCGATGTCATTACTGGGCAGTGTGTCTGCAAGCCAGGAGTTACCGGAAAGCGTTGCGATCAATGCCTGTCGTATCATTTCGGATTCAGCGCTAATGGATGTCAACCATGCGACTGTGAGCCAATTGGCAGCGAGAATCCACAATGCGATGTGAAATCTGGTACACGTCCCTATATTTTTATATTTTTTCAAGCTGAAATCGTTTAGGACAATGTTTGTGCCGTGAGAATGTTGAAGGAAGACGTTGCGATCAATGTTCCGAGAATCGTTATGGTATCACAAGCGGATGTTTGCCTTGCGATGACTGCTATACTCTTATCCAGGTAATCACTTGCGCAGTAGCATCAGAGCAAAAATAATATTGACATATTTTGTCAAATTTCAGAGCCGCGTTAATGTGTTCCGCGACAAGGTGAAATATCTTGGCACCACTCTTCAGGAGATTATCGAAAATCCAGCTCCAGTAAATGATACAAGCTTCGGAGACAAGCTCAAAGAAATGATTAGCTCGGTTAAAGAAATTGCTGATTTTGTGCATACTAGAGCAAGTATGATGGAGCAACTTAGGATTGATTATTTTTAATAATGATTTGTAGAAGAAGATGGCGGAATGATCAGATCGCAGTACAGCATTTACAATGAAGAGCTTATGAATGCTTTAGCAAGGCTTAAAGGTTACGATGAGAACATTTATAAAAGTATATTAACAAGCGACGAATCGGAGGCTAGTCTACAACGGTGGTTAACTTTAAAGGGTACAAAATCTTATAGCAAAATGTTTATATAATTTTTATTATTTTTAGAAAACGCACAGAAAGAGATTGAGAATACCATAAATTATTTGTTAACGGAAGGAGAGGAACGCTACAAGATCGCTTTGGAAGCAAGCAAAAAGTACGGAGAGGAGAGCTCAAAGATGAGCGAAGTTGCTCACAGAACACAGGAAGAAGTCAAAAAGCATTTAGAAAGAGCTGAACAGATTGAAAAGCTTGCTAATAATGCAGTGGCTGCTGCGAAAGAAGCTCAGAAAGCAGCCAATGATGCTGTTTTCGGTGGAGCGCAACTTACAAAGAAGGTCGCTGACCTGAAGAATCGTGAAAATCATTTGAATGAGACGGCTTCGAGAACATTGTCACTTGCACAGGAGCAGAAGAAGGAAGCAGAGGACATTCATAACGAGGCTGCGATGGCATTGACTAGAATTGAAAGTCTGCCGATTCCAAATATTACCGTCGCCGAACTTCGCAAAGAAGCGAAGTCAATCAACGAAGAATCGGCGAAGGCTGCCGAAATTTCAAATAAGGAAAATGAAGAGAACAATGACATTCTTGATGAAGTTACCAGGACCCTCTCGGATGCCAAAAATGAACTGCAAAGCTCACAAGATAACCTGAAGAATGCCGATGAGGAGATTGCTCACATTGAAAAGGCTCGAGAGAAAGCTCAACAGGCCGTGGAATTGGCTGAAAAGACATTGAAGGATGCCGAAAGCACATTGGCAACTCTAACTGAGTTTAACAATAATGTTGAAGCAACTCGAAATGCTGCCAAAGATGAGCTCACGCTTTTGGAGCAAACCGAACTGGCCATCAATCGAGCCAACAATAAGGCTGAGGAGACTGAAAGAATAATTGGTGACGCGTCGAATGATGCTAAGCGATCGAAGCAACTTGCCGAAGAAGCTCATGGAGAAGCAAATGAAGTCAAAGTTGAGCTAGAGAAGCTGAAACAAGATGCTGAAGATATCAAGAGTTCTGCTAGTTTTGTGAAAGGTATTTATAAATAGTATGCCTTTTTCTTACCATTAGCTTTTATAGACGAAGTGCAACAGATAACGGAAGAGTTGGCGGAAACCAAAGAATCGGTGAACAAAGAAAAAAAGAAGGCTGACGAAGAAGTGCAAAAAACGGGCGAGACTGTTAAACAAGTTTTATTGGCCAAAAAAATTGCCGAGGATTCGAATGCAACCGCTCAGGATCGAGATCAAATTTTGAAAAAACTCATTGCCGATTTGGGTATAACAGTTAGCAAGGTTTAAAACATTAATTCTTTTTATTTTTTAGACGCTCTTGAATATATCAGGGAATATGATATTGACGATATTGTTGAGGAAATTGACGAGATCGAAGAACAAATGGTCAAAGAAGGAATATTCTCAAGTATTGATGATATTAAAGCTTCTAAGGTCACCGAAGAAGATAAAGTTGTTCTTCTTAAAAACGAGATACACGAACTTCAAAAAGAAGTAAGATTATTTGTATAAATACTGACTGAATGAATAATTGATTTAAGGTGATTGCTCTTGAGCAACTTCGAGATGCCATACCGGGCAAATGCTTCAATATCATCAGTTTGGAGCAAGAAGGACAATAGAAAAAAATCGGTCGTTTAATTGTCATTAATCAATATTATAAGTGCATTTGGTTACCGCCGGTCGCAGCTTTTCATCAAAATTTGATTTTATTTATGATATTTCCTTGTTGCAAACATGTTATTTGTATTGTTTCGGCAACTTTCTTCTTTAAAACTGCCAAATTATGGGATTCAAATCTCGACAATCGCTTTGCTTTCTTTTTTCTCAATTCCTCCATTTCAACATACTTATCTGTCAATTACATAAACTGTTAAGAAAATATGATGGGGAATATTGTCAAGAGTCACATTTTAAAGATCAAAATGTGTCAGGAAACAGGAGCCAAGTGTGCAGCTTAACTGTTTAATCGGTCTTGTCAGCTGGATCATTAATCACCTGTTTGCATTTCGTTTGTGCCCTGGCTGGTTGCTTGACTTAGGAACTCCCCCCTCCCCCCCCCTCCTACCATTCCCCTCCTCCCGCGCTTCTCCCGTGTGCGACTTGCATCGCCATTCCTAACGGCGAAGCCATCAGCGCCCAGTGTTTGCTTTTCCTCAACCGCAGCCAACCCACCTCGCAACGTCGCTGCATACCAGAAGGGCGACACTCACGCGGCTATACCGCACACTTCCGCGCACTCTGCTTTCATTGACGACCCGCATAGTTATCGCGAAGCAATTTTTTTCTCTCTCATGATTTACTCTTATTAAGAATTAAAAAAAAACAAGATTTATTGGTGAATTATAATGGAACGCAGTTCTCCAAGAGTTCTTGCGGATCAGCTTCGCCGATTTATACAGAGCTCTGATGGGGTTCCAGCAGGTAAGAAGTTAATTTTATATAATTGTTTTGAAACAATTATTATTTTAAGCTAATGGAATCTCCCTTTCTGATGCTGGATTTGTTCTTCTCTCATTAAAGGATCAGATTCTAGCAGATTCAATTAAGTAAGATTTAAAAAAATATATATATATATATCTAACCGTTTATATTCCATATTTTTTTCTTATTTGCATAGTCATCTTATTTCTAGAGCACATGAAAACATATGTGTTGACATTTAATTGTCCAAAAATGAAAAAAAAACTTGGAACATAAACATTTATTTTATTTTGCCGCACAATCTCAAATGTCAACAGTCCATCTCTTGATATTTTCATCGAAGCCTGTAATTTGTTTATTCTGTCCGTCATACCCGTACGCTGTGTTGTTGGTTCCCAGACGAGAGAGTTCAAATTTGCATAATTATGCATAGGCCCCCCTGCAGTGCGAAATTGTCATTCGGTCGGCAGTCAATTTTTCGAGCTTTTTTTTCTTGTTCCTCATCGACACATTAAGCAATTTTTCGGTACGACCGGTTTTGTTGGTTGGCTTCATAAAGATGTTGGGCTTGGTGAAGAGGAGCAGCAGAACGATGCTGCTCTCTCTCTCTCTATCTCGAGCGCGCGCGCGCGGGAGCGCTCATTTATTTGCACGCCCTAAAGGCGAATTGGGACAAGTGACAAGTAACACATTTGCACACGCTAATGAGAACTTTTACAAAAGTGTACAAGAAGTAATGAACGTGACCCTTGAAAACGTGATTAAAGATCAAGTTGAGTATTCTCTGAGTGGGAGAATCATTGAACATGAGTAAAGCATAATCTACATATAACTTATTACAGAGCTCAACATTTCTCACACGAATTCGTATCGAAGCCCATCAATGGTATTGAATTACTCAGCAAAGTAGTTATGGTTCTACAAGGAATTGTTAATAGTGTTGAGGGATCTGCTTCAAAAATTTCATACCTTCTTAATCGGAATTCAACGAACGCCAATCGAAAACGAAAAGCAGCAGTGGCTGAAGCTGATTGTATCGAAAGCATCAAATTACTCTTGGAGAAAACTGAAAGCGCCTGGAAGCCATTTTTGGAAACGTCTACTGGATTGGATGCAATCATGTATTCAATTCATAGTCCTCAATTGGATTCAAAATGTTATTCTTTTGAGGTTTACTGGTTTTTTATTCCATAGGCTATTATTTTCTTTTTCTAGATATTACTGCTACTTCTCGATCAACCTCAGGGATTTGTTATAATGATGCGTGCCTTAACCGTTCTCACTGCAAGAAATCGCGATTTTCTTCGATTTTCAATATTTGTTGCACAACTTAAACATGGCTTGCACACGAAAAAGCTTCATATCCAAATATTAGTTGCTCGACTGTTCAACAAATTGATTGCTAGTGCTCCAAGTCCTGTTCATCGAGCACTAGTCAAAGCTGAAATTGGTCTGGCGCAGTATAGTCCGGAATACGTGGAAAAGCTCATTGGCTATCCGAACACAAATTTTGGTGGAATCGAGACATTGATGGATGAGCTCAACGCGTTTAGATCATTGAATCAGTATGTTCCGTCAAATATTGAAGTGAACCATATTTATGGAACATCGGAAGTGGACGGAGATAGCATTTCAGAAAGGAGCCGCAGAATTAAACCAGTAATTATCCGAAACGCATTTCAACGAAAAAAAAAACATCTCATATTTAGGGAATAACGTCTGTAGCCAAGAATGTGGAAAGACAGCGTTTCCGAAAGCAAGGAGCTGGATCTGGTGGACGAGCATCAGGAAGCAATTATTATTTTGAAGGCAATGGTCCAAGAGTGACATATGATAGACGATCGCAGACATTATCGCATGGCGGATATGGAGGTCTTCGATAAAGTATTTTTTTTTTGATTTCATGTTAAATATTTCAGATTCGTCATCACCAGTTCCTGCACCGCGAATGGGGTACGCTACCGAACGGCGTGAGCCGTTTGGAGCAATGCGACGAGCCAAATCGGAAAGTGCGATGGTAGTACGAGACCGTGACGATTTTGACGAGCGCTCGCCTGATATCGCTCCGAGAGGATTGAAGAGGTTCACGAATATGTCGCAGAAAGAGCAGGTTCATTATCATCCCATACATCAAACCTCAAAATCATTATCAAGAAGGTTGTTTTTCAAAAAAAATCACTCTGCATTTATTGAATAATTTAGTGTACACGATCTTGCAATAAGAGATGAGGAACCAGGTACTTTATTACGGCCAGTGTCAGCGCGGCCACCTTCGGCTGCTGGTAGAACGCCAATTCGAACAATGTCACCACATCCCGTGTCGCCGATTATTAAACAAGAAACAGATGATAGGAGCTATTCAAGGAATAGTAGACGGCTATCCAGTGCGCTTTCGCCGAGGGCTAGATTCGCAGATCCTCCAATAGTTGAAGCACAACAGCCGCATGCTGGATTCTCGTACCTTTTCCCGCAACAGCCAGTCGTCACCTCAGTATTGAATAAAAGAGCGTTGTCACCAGAACCGAGAGAAGTGAATTTAAACCCGAAAAAATGAAGTTGAAATAAGTAGTATTGTTTTCAGAATGCGCTGAATCGGCCATTATCCGCTCCATTATACGCTTCAACAACCTATGACAATTCAAGTCGCCCGCTGTCGCCATTAGATGTTCAAAATACGACAGAGTTTGAAAAGTTCGAGTTTTTTGTATTTCCATCCAATTGAAATTTAAAATTCTGCGCCAAAAAGAAACATTCAAAAGCTTATTTTTTCGAATTTTTAAAAAAGATTTTTACGAAATTTTTCTTTTTAAGACCAGTAGCCTACAGCGACGAGAATGGCCAAGTCGTCTATGTCCCAATAAATATTGAAAATCAAGGAAGAAGGATGAGCAAGAATTCAAGGTTAGTTTTGTCAATTAATTATGGTTTAATCCAATTATTGAAGATATGATTATAACACCTCCGATAACAGAACCAATAGCCAATCAAAATTAAGAAGTCCTAGTGTAAACGGCACAATTGGTATGTGCATTTATTTCAACTCCATTTCAAATAATGACTTTTCAGGAGAGGATGTTCGTGATGCTCTGAGCCAATTTGATTATTTATATGACTATGAAGCTGGATCGAGTCCCCATAATCGTGGTAGAGAAGCTACTTATCATTTATAATTCCTTATGAATGCCATATTTCCTCTCGTTGCTCAATGCGTCCTATTTTCCTGTGAAATTATCAATAATATTACTATTGCTCTTAATAATAATAACATGATTGATTAGACCAAATCAGAATTTTTTGTACATGTGCGATATTTCCATAAATTCCAGTTTTCCGGTTTGCTGGTGATAATATGATTGATCACATCTGGAGACATATTGGTGTTTATCATGATGAAAATCAAACTTTTTGGGTTTTTGGGTATCTCACGACGCGAGAAGAAAAAAACGAGGTCATCAAATGATGATTGCGGTCTAACGCACTACATTGCATTTTTGATAACAATTGGGTCATACATATCAGCGAGCGGAAAAAATTCATTTATTCAAATATTGAAAGAAAAAACCACGTGGAACAATTAGGGCAACTTTGGTGTTAAAAAGCGGAAGAATAATATTAGTATGGAATCAACTGGGGTATTGAGCACGGACAAAGCGAAAGAGGTAATTTTGTCAAAAATATCAATTGGCTCCTAGCAGTGTTAAAATTTCGAGCAATCTGAATATATTAAAATTTAGCTTATAACAATTAGGCTTATAAGATGTTCACCTCATTAGATATTTCTATAAATCTGTTGTGGTGGAGGAGCTTGTTCATAGCTCCATGGTGGCCAGACAAAGTTGAAGCAACAGCAATGAACTCGATGATGTTGAATTGGCCGAACTGGTCTTCCATCAGCATGATGGAACATTTGTGGTTGTTGGGTGATCGGAGCTCCAACAATTCTAGACTGCCCGAAAGAAGCGTCGTGTCCTCCTCCGTGCGATTCATGATGACTTCTATGATGGCTGCTGGAACGATAAGCGCCACTTCCACCGGTACGATAAGGATGCAACGTTCCAGCAGGCGGTGCAGCCGGCACAACCGGTCCTAGATCGTCCCTATCGAATTCATCCTGGAAGCGGCGATCATCGTATTCGTACGGGCGGCGGTCTTGAAGGCGAGACGAAAACGATCGTGGGCTGTCTCCAGGAAAACCACTTTCATATTGGCGGCGTGAAGCGCCAAACTCACGATCCCGATTATTGTATGGAATATGGATATCGGGTCCGGGACGTTCGACAGGATAAATTGGATCCATCTCGCGTTGTCGTAATTGCGGCGAATCGCGAACATCCAAAGGCCGTCGTGCGCTTTCACGTCGAATTGGAATCATGACAGGTCCGTTCGCATAATCATCTCGATATGGGTATTCATCTCCACGAAACTCACGAGCATCTAAGGATTTGCTTCTGCAATTTAGATATTTTGTTATTATCTATTTCAAGTTTCAAGTTGTCAATGATCTGACATTAGAAAAATGTGTCTACATTGGTTTTGATTGAAACAAATCGTGACCACACCCAAATTGAGCGACCATTATATTCGAAATTTCGGAAAATTTAAAATTAAAAAAATTCCAAATGCAATACTTACTCACCTTGCGCTTCTATCAAGCGCGCGATTGTCATAATACGGAGCTGGCATAGTATATCGATCTCCATAGTCCTGATCCATATTGGTTTGGCTTCGAGATCGCAATGGCGGATAATCTCTGCCATACAGCGGAGCTCTGGTCTCGATGCCAGAAGCGCCACGTGGCGTGTTCGGCTGCGATCTCGAAAAGTTCATGGTGCGCGTTGAGTAATCAGCCGCCGCATTCGGTGAGTATCGCCTGTCGTAATTCATACAAGCGAACTAATGGGTTTGCTGGGAATCAGCCTCCACCAAAAAAAAAGTTGGGAGGGGAAGGCGGTGAATTCGGGGGGAACGACGAGGTGGGGTAGAGGGGAGGGGAGGACGTTTGAGATGAAACAAAATTGTGTCGGGATAACGATGGAAGCGGAAAGATTGCGCAAAAAAGGTGGAGTTTTAGCTGATTTACAACAAGAGGCGCCTACGGGCGTGGTTCTCCCGCCGCTCCACCCAATGTATATGTTGTTATTTTCTCATTTGCCGTATTTCAATTCGTCGTCGTTGTCGTCGTTTTTTTTATTCTCCATCGTCTTCGTCTTCGTCGTCCTCGCGCGCACCGTCCTATGGTTCGCTCTCGCTTTCCGTTGATTTCTAATTGTACATACATACATGCAAACATATCTCTCACGTTTTGCTGTGCGTATGCATGTGTACCGTTTCCGTCTTTCATTAGTCGACTGTTTGGGACATAGTTGAGGGGGCGCCAGAAAAAAAAAGCGCGGGGGAGGATGATGGGGACAATATGGAGATATGAGGCTGGTTCGATAACAACAGAGACATGGAAGGCATCTTGATGCCCCCGTCGACACCTTTTATGGGATTCATGACAAACAATGTGAAATGGAAAAAAAAGTGGACTGATATGTTTGATGAAGCAGAACCGATGTTATCTCTGAATATCCGCGAATTTGATCAATTGGTATCATGAAAGGTGTTTCGGAAGATAGGCGTATAATTTATTGTCTATGAGTTTGGGCAGCTTCAGTTTAAAAATTCTCTTATAAAAAAAAATTGATTAATTGTACCGTAGTATATACGTCTAGGTTATAATTATGTACATATGTTGTATTCCTATATACATATATGATGTAATGAGCAAAGTTGCAAAAAGTGAAAATTTGATTTTGAGAAGTATTTACTCCATTTTGAAACGCCTTGTTCATTCAACTTCCTTGTGAAATAGATTATTCACTCGATTATGTTGTTTGCAACATCTTGCTGCCTTCAACAATCAAACTGTTAATCCAATTGCGCGCATTTTCCACGTCTGGAGTGACGTGTGGAGTCCCTGAACGTCGAAAAGCGACCAGATACATAAATACAATTTACATCGATCTCGGCAACCAATAATTTGATTGAAGATGTTGCGAGACACGCGCAAACACGAGAAATTTTCAGACAGCCCTTTTCCGCGTTCATTCAATAATGATTCTCATTAAGCTGGAATCGTGAACATTCTTGAAAACAACATTTCTTAAATATTTTTTACATAATTAATTAATTTGAGGTTAATTAATTATCTTTCTTCTCAATTTTTGAACCTATTTTGATTGTTAATTTGTTGACTTGTATTTGAAAATTCGAAATTTTTCACTTCGGGGTCCGTTTGAGGCAAAAGAGCACACGTCGTCCCGAGTTGATTAGATTAATGTGAATTGTTTTGTTTAGCGACGCGCGAGCCAAGTGCGCGCTGGCAACATGCGCGAGAAAGCGTCCTTGAAATTCGCGACAGACTGGCTCTTTCGCGCACCTTCACACCATTTGGCGCATTCCGGGCGACACGTGCGCACCAAAATTAAGCTGAACACTCGCATTTTTACAGTAATCCGTTGACTAATCCCAGTCATCAGACATTCATAAGTTAGATATGGAAATTTTGGCGATTGGCTCGGGAAAAAAAGCGATGAGTCAAAATTGCCAATTTTGTCAAAAATTGTTTATTTCTAAATATCTACAAATTGCAAATTTTTCAAACTGCCTTAGTTTAAAATCACCTGCTTCATTGTCTCAAGTCCAACCAAAACATTATTATTTTTTGTTTGTGTTAAATTCTGCTTAACAAGCTCTATGGAAACGCCAAAATTTATCAAAATTCGCATGATTTTTGATGAGTATGCTTTGTTAGATTTCCCCAAGGGTTGAAACGAATTCAATGTAAAACTATGACTAATTGAAACACATGATGTGAGCTTGTTGTTTTTCAGCACCAAATTTATTAATTCAATAAACCACCCCCCCCCCTATTCTCCTCACCCAACATCCCCCATAACAACAATACACACAAAATGAACATGACTTCGTTGAATCATATCAGTACCTCATTTAAATTTAATGTGCCTTCCTCCCGAAATGGGTTGGCAGTTTTGAAGACATTAGGGTTGAACTTTACAATCTGGTCTTTAAAACAATTGCGTTCGATTCAACGCATTTCAACTTCAAAACTTCGAATTATGTCACAGATTGCCGAAAATCAAAAAAGTGTATCTCATTCATCATACCTTTCGCTCTCATTGCAACAGATATAACCGTTTTGTCTATTTTTTTGGAAGAAAAAATCAACCTAGTTTCTCCTCGTCATTTTTTTCTTTCATCCATGCAATATTGTTCCTTTGTCGGCTGCTTTCATTTCAAAAACTGGAAATTTTCAATGACCATAGTCACTGTTATGAGTTTCAAACCCTATTCAGAATGTCTATATTGTTTTTTCTTCTTCTTTCGTGAAATTTCTAAATAGCTATGCTCGATAGATTTCAAACTCATCCGTTTTCCCGAAACATGCTGAAATTGCCACCCGACTTGAAAATGTAGTATTACACATTCGGAATTTAATTACTACTAATGATAATTGGCATTTAGTTATCAGCATCACACTCTCGCCAGTTCGACGACCTCATTTGCATGTTGTTATTGTTGGCAGCCAATCGTGTGCGTCCGTGGGCGTGGCCGCGCTCACTCTTCCAGTAGTTGCACCTCCTCGTCTTTTGCCAATCGGCTGCTGTGCGTTGGAAAAAGCAGGCTCCAAAATACTCATCGCGGTTCCCGAAATAGAGTGTCCTCGTTAGGATTTCTTGTTTCGAGGCTCGTCGCGCTCCCCGCCGGCAAACAACAAACGCTGACGACTTCGGTCGCCAGAAGAAGGAAAAAAAAAACACGCCAATCATCACGACGGTGGCGGAATGGAGATTCATCAGTCGTCGCAGCAAACCGCCCAGCAGCTCGCGTTCCCCTTCATCGGCGACTTTTTGCCTGGAGTCGTCCTCGCTACCTCCGATTATGGATCGGACTGCAGCTCGAATCAAGCGGAACTCTCGATCAACACCATCTCCGACGGCTCATCCGATGAGACCACCGTCTACATCGGCGCTTCCCTTAAAGCGTCCGGACCGCACAATAGTGAAGAATTCATCTATAGCCCGGATATATACAAAGTCAAGGTTGGTATTCTTAATTGCTTATATTCATGAAATTCGCGCGCTTTTTCCGGCGTCATGAATACCAGCCTAATTGCTTCAAGCGATATCAAAAATCAAAACATGCATATCTCAATAATTATTTATGGTGAAGTATTTACAGCCTGACGCGCTGGAGAACTGCCAAGGGTGCCATCAGCCAATTCAAGACGCCACCCTTCTCAATGTTGATGGCAGGTAAACAATTTGTTTCTCATTTTTTTTCCAATTTATTAAATAGTTATTTAAGGCAATGGCACGAACAGTGTTTACGTTGCGAAACTTGCATGATTCAGCTTAGTAGTATGCCATCATGCTTCACCAAAGACACCAAACTATTTTGTAAGCCGTGCTACGCCAAGTGAGTCACCTTATATTTTGTCATAATTTTCAATAATGCCGTTCATAATTAATTTTAATCATTTAATTGAAATTAGATTGTTGTTGAGGTTTTTATTTGAAGACTAATTGAAATCAAAAATCTAACATTGAAATTTTCACGATACTACATAATCTGATTATTAAGCAGTGTGAAGTTTCCGGGTGGTTCTAGCTACTTGAAATCCACTATATCGCTTACTCAAATCTATCCCAAAGCAAAGTTATTTGAAATTGCTGAAATTCTCAGATTAAAAAATATATTTCGATGATGACTAAGAATTGTGAGAAATCATTCAAGTATCCAAAGTCATCCCTCCAGGGAGCTAAACTAACGAATTGTGGCTCGCCCTATTAATTGCTAATTTGCAATTAGGACGGCAGTTTTTCAAGGGCCTTCGTCATGCCGCATCATTAAATGAGATCTCTGGTTACCGTATATCCGGTCAACCTAACCCAATAACTCTAACAGAATCATAACTTTGACGAGGTTAAATCCATCGTTTGGCCCTGATTCAATTTTCCGGAATCAGCTTGTGGCCCCCGTATCCATTGGGAATATCATGCATACATATGTAGAAGACGCATATATCGCGCAAATCTGATAATAGATGGGTGCGCGCCTTGTTATACAGTAGTTGTATGGGGGTTATGTAACCAATAGAGCAGGTTATGATGACAGCTGCCACGTAATGAACAACCGATTTTGGGGACCACCCCAACAAATGCTCATTAATTGTAATCCGGTTGTGTAACATACTGCGATACCTAACAATTTCGCGTAGCCGAGCGGTTTGGTGGTGCGCGGCGAAAATCACCAAATAGTCGAAGATAACCGAGTTATTTGTTATATGCCATGTTGGCTCATCTCTCAGAATTTCGTGTACTTTATCACGACACACCGCCGCGGTGAAGCGTCTAAAACTGAATAAATCGCTGCCGCGGCAAAAATCCGTTTAGGCGACATGTCCGTTCAATAGAAAAACGGCAACACGCGCAATTGTCTTAGAGAGCAATTTGATTCGAGAGCGAAATATAAGAAGCGCACAAAAAAAATGCGTTTGATTTTTTTATCTTTCTTGCAAACGAAAAAGTTGCGTCAAAAGGTCACTGTTAGCGGAAATTTTGTTTAAGTACTGACCAAAAAAAAATGAAAATCTTAGTAAAAATCCTACACTGCCAAAGGTGCCGGGACCCTTTGTGAGGATATTACATCTATGGCGGCACCTGTTTGTTCTTTTGTTGGTTTTTTTTGGTTTTTGAAAACGCTTTGAATCCGCTTATAGACAGATGGGGGGGGACTTGATCGGAAATTCTACGACGGGAGGGGGAATGGACGCAAAAAGAGACCGTTGCCAACTGTTGCGGAGTCAAGTGCTCGTGTTTCTTTAATCGGCGCTAATTGTTGTTATCTCGGACCGTCGGAACAGGAAGGAAACTGGGTGTGTTCCGACAAGCGGATTATGTGACAATGGTAGTGTATAATGAGAACTGCGGATCTTTGGTGACAGAAGGCGTCAAATCTCAATTTTTCTTTCAGACAATTTGGGACCAAATGCGCCTCTTGTGATCGAGTCATACAATCAACTGATTGGGTGAGACGAGCCCGATCATACGTCTATCATCTCGCATGTTTCGCATGCAATCAATGCAAAAGGTTAACCGCTCCTCTTTATCGTTTTTTAATGGTTCCCGTTTCAGACAATTAAGTACTGGCGAGGAATACTCGCTTCAAGAGGGCAAATTGTTGTGCAAACAACATTTTCTGGAACTTGTTGAGGGCGAAACGGGCGTCTCCCACCAGAAAATCAAGACGAAACGCGTTCGGACAACATTTGCTGAAGAGCAGCTCAGTGTTCTACAGGTTGGTATTTTTTTTATTTTAGTTATTGAAAAAATCCATAACAATTTTTTTCAAGGCCCATTTTCAAATCGACAGTAATCCCGATGGTGCGGATTTAGAGCGAATTGCAAATATCACCGGACTCAGTAAGCGAGTTACGCAAGTCTGGTTCCAGGTAAACTAGTAGACGCAATATTTTTGTGCTGATCATAAAATCAGAACTCGCGGGCGCGGCAGAAGAAATATCAAGGAAATCGAAAGACATGTGGAGGATCTGGAGAAGAAACCGAGGGAAGCCGACGGTCCTCGGTTGGTCCAATGAGCCCGAGCCAGAAGTCAGATATGAGCAATGACATGATCTACCCAACCTCTGTGACAACAACGTAACAATCAGTTTCAGATGATTTTAGATTTTTTTGATATTTTTAGGGCTGAGGAAGCTATGACTGATGCGATGCTGACAGCAATGCACTATGATTGAACACATCAGAATTCTTTTGTATCATCCAATTATCATTCCGAATCAACGCGTATTTCCATTCTAGTAATAATACTATGATCTCAATCTGTCTAAATTATGTGAAGTATATTGTTCGGTTAGATGAGTGGTGTGGAGGTGTTGCATTTAATTCTCATTACCCCCCACCGCACATTTTGTAGATTGAGGACAGCACCGTCTTTGAGATTTGAATAGATGATAACCAAAAAAGGACATTGGGATTCCAATTGGTTCACGTTTCAATCGTTAGTCTCTTGTACTCGCTTAATGTCTTTTAACAACTACTTTAAGGTTTAGTCAAAATAATTTGTGTGATTTTCAGGGATCTCAGCTATGTTTTCTTTATTCTTTAATTTGTTGATTTTTTTTTGCTTCAAGACAAATCGTATATATCGCTCATTAATGCCTGCAACTCTTTTTCTTTGTGATCTGCTACCAATCATGTTGTTTTTTCCAGTTTCTCTCAATTTTCAGTTATGATATAAATGCATTTTATAATATTTTTTAATTTTCAATGGTAATTTTCTCAGAATATTGCAGTCCTTGGATTTTTATTTGACAAAAAAACGGAAATTTCGCGTCAGAACGCTGTTAGAAAACAGGTTATCTTCAAAACGATTTTTTATTCATAACTACAACTAACTGGCATCGTATAAATATTAATGCACGCTTGAAGTCATTCTTCAACATTTGTAATTTCAGTTTTCTCATTATAATATTTGATCTGAGGTATTTTTGTAATGAACGACTTAAAATTGTTGGTTGCATGCAAATGCTGTCAATAAACATCAATGTACACCCAAGTAACTAACTTAATGAGAGTGAGAGATACAAAGATGCGTGGAAATACCATTTTTGCCCTCTTCATCTCGATGTCTCGCGGTGTAGTGCCCAAAAATAAAAACTTCAAGGTCATTCACGCTTGCATATTTTCATTGTAAAAATGAATGCGATTGTAGCGTGAGGAGGGGGGGGGGCTAGTAATTCTTGTCGAGAATCACGATGGCGAAAGGAGAAGAGGAAACGATGAGGTCGCCATCGCGTTTGAAGCCAGTCAGCAACAGTCAAATTTTCCAATTGTAGACAAGAGTAACCAGGCGAGAAACATCGACTACCGAGGACGCACAGCAAGCCACCATACCACTAAAAAAAGCAAATTTTTTGAAGAGGTGTGAGAGAGGAGTGAAAGGTTACGATCCAATTAAAACAATATTGTTATATGTATATGCATGCCCGCATTTACCTACTCCTTTTATGGCATTGCACGTTGCATGATTCAACTGGAACCGGCTATTATACATGTTCGAGTTGGCATATTTTCAATCAAATATTTTCAAATGTGTTCTCAACGCATATCTAGTTTCCTACGATTTATTTATTAGTAAGATGAAGAAGAATGTTCCAAAAGCTCAATGGAAACGTTATGATCTATAACTTCAATGTAAAATTCTCAAGATTTTCTGACAAATGTGGCTAACAAAGATTTAATAAAATGAAGTTTTGGGAAATGTTTAATTATTTTTGAGAATTTTTGAATTCATTATTTTAAATAGTATATTAACTTCGGTGTATGTAAAACTATAATTCGAAACATCTAGGAATTTCCGATAAACATTTGTTTGTACTGCCCCCCGTAACCCTGCACTCCACTTCTATTCAGTTCTTTTTTTTTGAAAACGCATTCCGATCGATGTTGTTAAAAGGCTGATTAATTTTCGCAATCAACACAAAAAATGTTTTCTTGCAATTGATGCTGACCGACAATTATAACTTTCTTAAATTAGTCACATTTCTATCGAATTTGTTATCATTTTTTGACATATTACAATCTTCATCGATGTTTTCTTATATCTCTTTTCGTTTCGAATTGTCTTCTCGCAAAAATATTCAAATCGGTATTCGGGTTTGAAACGAGTAAGCGATGACCTTAAAGAATGCTGTCGTCAAGTTGGGAAAATTTCTCGTTATCAGAAGATCTCACGAACCCGACATACATTTGCCCTTTGTCGCCGTTTGAATTGAAAAATTCATAGAATTGTATGAAGATTTGTACGGAATATCAATGATAGTAAAACATTTGATCTATTTGTTTGGTACCGTTAAAATCAAAACGAGAATTTGAAAAGAAGGAATTTTTAATAGATTGCACATGCAAATTGGAAACAACCTGTTTTTAACCATATTTGTCAATGGGACCCATCTCATTAACTAACTGATTTTTTGCGTTATTATTTGCAACACTTCATTATACCATAAAATAGTTGCTGTATTTTTTGTTGTTGTTGTATCGCGAAACTATGTAATAATTTTTTTGTCAACAAGACACTGCGATAGTATTGATTCAATTGGAATGAAAATGAGATGAAATTAAAACAGTAGGTATTATCATGCATGTGACCTATGAGAGTCTCATATCAACCATATTTGCCACAACTAACCATGATTTTCAAATGGCATTTTGATCCTTATTGATGACTCAATTCCAGTCAATATATGTTTATATTTATTAAAAATTGTGGGCGTCGCTAATATTGCCGATCCGTTCATCAAATGTTTTGTCGTTTTTTCTCCCCGCCCACAAATTTCCATTAAATACAAACATTTGTTCTTGCAATCATGAGCTTTTTTATGAGCTTTGACAAGCATCAATTATAGATTTCTATTGTCTCATTCCCCCTATAGTTACGCAATCAGATCTTCGGGAACAATCTTGCAAAATCGATTATTTTTGATAAATGACTCAGAATTTTTCAAATTGAATTCCCCCACCTTTCTCCAAACATTTTGAGGTTCCATATTAGAATTTCCATATTAGCATTCCATTGTTTCCAGTTTTCGTACCAATTCCGTCCACAATAATTTATGCTTTAACGTATTGCGAGGAAAAAATGTGACTCATAATTATCGAAAAAAAATGCGCCCCAAGAAGAAACTTTGGCGACATTGTGTTTTATGCATTCAATTCATTCATCCTATTTTCCACCTCGTTTTTGTGTCCAATTGTTTATACTGTAAATCTCGATGCAGAAATTTTCGGTTTCGATGATAAATAATGAAAGGAAATAGTAGGAGATGTTGCCAACCGGCATATTCTGGCGTATCCTTCGCTCTACTACACTGGCCCCCTTCTTCTCACTGATTATAGGCAGGTGAATACGAGAGAAATTGAATGAAGGAATGAAGCGTTTGAAAAAATCGTTCAACCTTGTTAGTTGATCAGCCCCAGTCCGCATTCATTTAAACTATATTACGTTATAACGCCAACGAGCGAAACAAATACCAACCAAATTTTTTTTCTGCGTGACGCCCGTTGTTTAATTAGCCAGTAAGCAGTTTTCCGATTTTTTTGTCGGTTTTCTTCTTCTCATTCTTCTTCTTCTTCTTCTACTCTGTTGAGTTTTTCCCCAATAGGTACTGTTGTGTATTTTCGAAATTCATTAATATATGTATATGGGCATTTGTTTATATTCATATTTAGTACCATTATTTTTTTGGCGCTCATCTCGAATAAACAATAATGAGAGCAAAAGTGATCGAAACAAAAGCGAGGCCTCGAAATTTGCACAAATGGTGTATTTGAAAGAGCCGGGTGTAGAATAGAGGATGGGAAGGATGTATGCAAATCCGAAATTGTCGAATCCCCCCACCATCATCCTATCCTATTTGCAGCCATTATTATTCGTCACGTGAGTCAACTAAGTGAGCCCCGTCCTTCTGTATGTCGAAATATATTCGAATAGTAAACATTTCGGGTTAGGTAGGAAAATGAATGAGAGCAATGCAAAACGATTGGATTGAGAATATTGTGTTAGAGAACTCGCCGAGAGAGATAGTGGGAAACTCGACAAACTGTAACTCAGCGCGCCAGCGGCACAAAACCAATCGAGTCCCCCCCCCTCTCCTCCCCCTTTTTCTGCTTTCAACTTTTTCTCTACTTAAAAATGAATAATTTTCTACCGACCCCGCGCCCCGCTGCCAGAGTATGCAAATAAAAACTCTTAAGCGAGTACACAAGAAAAATGGTAAATGGAAAATGGCGACATTTGATTTTCATTGTTCACCATTCTCAAGACACTGTTCAAAATTTAAATTCCATGTTTGGGTAACGTTTTGCAACTCGCATCGCTCGATTTTCAGATTATGGGAAATGCTTAACTCGTTCCAGTTCCTAGTTTTTTTTTTCGATTACCCGAGACTGTTGTGTTAAATGATTGTTGTGTAAAGTAAGTAACCGTTTCCATGCATAACCCAAATGTCTTCTACGTACTGTTAGTAATGTTCAGATAACTATAAAAAATTTTTACACAATAAGCAGACAAAGTTTTACGTTGAGTTTTCGAGACTCTTAATACCCGTTTGTCAATTTTAGAATCTAATCTGCACAACGTTCGTTCGATTAACGCAGCCTAAACTTAAAAATGGTGTTGAATTGATTTTCTTTCGGCACCGAACAAATATTACACTAGTATTGTTTAGATAGTCAGCACTGCATATACTTGCTCAACTACTTTTCAATATTTCATTCAATCATTCGATTATCGCCGCCACAAAATTCCTGTCCTCCATTCTATTTATGCAAATAGACACCCTTTGACATTGATGAGGAGGGTAGGGGGGACGCCGTACGTGAAGTGTGAGCATTTAAAAAATTGAGAGAGCTTAGTGCGCGATTGTAGAGGTTACTGTGCTGCTCCTGTCTCGAGGCATGCGTTTTTTTTTCTTGTGCGGCTCGCCCAATTCCATTTCGCTCAAATAAAAATTTTCCGCGTCGAACTGCTCAGCAATTCGCGTGCTCTTTGTCGCCCCTCAGGGCGAAAAAATTTTTTTTTTGTGCTGTCCCAACTTTGCGTATAATTTTTGTGTTTATCGAGACATGACTGCACCGCTGCCTATATGTAAACGAACCCCTCCATCATAGTTTTTTTTGTCCGATCATTTTTTTGTGGATTTTATGTTTTTTTCCTGCTCCTTCTCAGGAATCATCAACGGGCCACACGCGCCCCCTCTCGCGTTCCTTTCATAGGTTGGACACGCCCCTCTCGTTTTTGCATAACGTTGTTATGCGAGAGGCTCGAAAAATGCAATATTACAGTAGGAGTTTATTTTTGAGGGAAAAAAGCGCTACAATATTTCAAGGAAAGTGCAGAGTAAACATTTCGCTCACAAAACCTTTGAAGCTCCAAGTAATACATTAAATGTCACACTTTCATTATCTAAAATTCCATTTTTTTTCGTGGAGAGAAAAACTTAAAACCGTTGAATATTATTGTAATTTTAACACGTTTTGGAATAAAATCGAGCGATGTGTTCTTCCAATCAATCAAAAACTTGAAAATTGCGTTCTGCATGTACTTGCATTTATTGTAAATAATTGATGGCTCCTGTTACAATGTAGAAGAATCGTATATTGCGACATTTCTTTCTTCAAGCGGTTTTTGCGTTCCTTGCCGTCTTCGCCCTCTTTTATCGGACATTACAACACTAACCTCGTTCAAACCCGCCCCCCCCCCATCTCAAACAGTTCAATATGGTAATTTTCATGTTTTCGAAAAAAATCGAACTTTTTTCAAGCCATTCGTTTGTTTTTGAAATGTTTAGACACTTTACACTTCAGCATAGTGGGAGAAGAGGGGGGACCCCAACCATGATTCTCTCATTTCTCAACTGTGTATATGAGTGTATAGGTGAAAAGATGAAACGAAAACTTGACTAATGACAACGATAATTAAACGTGTAACGTGCTATTACCTAGTTGTCGTCACAACAGCCCGAAAAATATTGTTTCTGATGCTTGTGTTGCGAATTCTCGATACTTCTTCATTATCATCATTGTGGAGGTTAAAAGATGGAGAACAATTATTTTCATATCGATCAATTAACGACATTCATACGGGCGTATCAAATCAATTCAAGATGACTTTCGAAATTTTTGTTAACCAGTATCTCAAACAACATCAAATGCAGTTTGCCGACATTTATCGGCTTTCGGTGTACATGTATGCTTTGTCGAGAAATCTCGCCACATAAGATTTAACTAAAAATTAGAATTGTATTCGAATTGCATATGTTCTAATCAGCATATGGCTTTGAAATAAACCAGATGACATACAAAAAAAGTTTAAAATATTTAAAAATTTCATAAACATTTGTCAAAATTACCAATTTTTCCAATATTTACGATTGAAGGGTCACTGATTTTCAAAATTGGCTACAACTTCCGCATGATATTTATAATAGCGATTAACCGACACATTGTAAATCATGCGACATAACTTTCACGTCTACAAACCGTTCTTCTTATTGTAAAATCGAACGCAAGATTACCTTAAGTGTTGAAAAAATTTTCGTCGCGTCTAGCGGCACAAATACTCCCATCCTTTTGCTCCAGATGTTCCAAAATTTATTAGTCAACATTATTATAATTTTATAAATGTATCATTTTTTTAAAGAAAACTGTTCAACTCATTTTTACTATTCTTATTTCAACCCCCTCCCTGCCGTTATTGTTTTCATCCGCATTTGATAGGTTTTTGCCAAACAGATAGATAATCACTTGAAAAAAAAAAGAAGATGCAATCATCATTTTCTCATCCTCGAAAACTTATTTACCAAACGTTTTTTCTCTGTTTTCTATATCATTCCTCCCTAACTAATTTTTTTGTGTCGTCGTTTTCACAGTGTAATGCTCATGGAGCAACGCCGATAAATATATATCAAAAATGAAGACAATGAGACTCGTAGGAAAAAAAATTGAGATTAGAGAAAATCGAATTCGAATTAAATCATACAGTACGCCCACATTTTGGTAATGATTTTTAAATGAAATATGATTGGAGGTATGAATTATTAATATCCAATCGGGCGCCCTCCAAGAGCCCCTCCATCCGCACAAAAATTTTATTGCACTTTTTTCCTTGATTCATCCATCAATATTGCATAGCAGGCGCGGGCGGGCGGAAGAGACGATCGGAAGCTAATTCAATTCTCGAAACAATTATATATATATATATATTTATTTATATTTATATAATATATAATCAATTGGCTGGCTGAGCTAGGCTTCAGCACAATGAGTGAGGTTGTGCGTGTATTTGTCTACAGTAGTTGCAAAATGTACACATTGGTAATTGTTGTGGTAGGCAGCAGGCACACAAAAATTTCAATATTTCAAACAAAGTAGAACTCAACTACATTTTTTTGTATCATTGTCACCGCATTTTTTAATAATTTTTAAATTGATTTCGATTTTTGAGTAGCTAAGTTGAGACAACTGTCTTACGCAGATCCACAAAACTCAAGTGTTAATTGAATTGAAGTTAGTTTGTCTGAAAATATTGGTGCTACATACCCTCACCGCGACCGACTTATTCTTTCCACAACATTTGTCCATTTTTGATGTTTCTTCTCCTGATGTGTTTGCTCTTTTTTTTCGAGCTGGAACAAAAATGCATTTTTCCAACTACATGCATATATACACGCAGCTTCAGCTTCATTGTGATTATTCATAGAGCCATTTGGCGTTTTCGGCCGAGGCATTCTTTCGCTTGCATAGGCAAATGTCGCCGAGTATATCCCAGGGTACCACCACAACCATCAACAGCAGCAGCAGCAGCCCGCCGCCGTCGCCGCCGCAGCGACAGCAGTAGTGCTCCACCCCTTCGATTCCAAAACCAGGGCCGCCCAAAAAATGGCATCAAATATGCAAAAATGGTGAATATGATCGTGTGGAAATGAATTGGCTGCGGGATTATGAAGCGGCCTCCCTTGTAATGTCATTTTTATTTTCGGTATCGCAAAAGAAGAATTCATCAATCTCGATCAACAAATCATATTATTTTGCTGACAGACACCTGACTTAATCCCAAACACTAATAGCGTAATTCGGACTACAATTGCATGAGTCTCCGGGGCTCACAAATGACTAGGTAATGAATGTGTAGTGTAATGATTCCCGGGGCCCCGTTGTCTCACATTTTGAAGATAGCATATCAGCAGGCGTCGAGCTCAGCTAGTTTTCGCAACTCGGCTCGTCAAAAAAAATTTTTGCATAACAACAAAAACCAATTTTCCGCTTCAATTCCGCGTTATTGTTTAAAATTATTCGAGGCGAGTTTAAGATTCGAGATAAAATAAAAAATTTTCCTTATCACATTTTTCCTATCATGTTATGCTAATTGTATGTGCCTCATTTATTTTTTTTGTCTTTTGAGTGAGTTCCTGTATGACAATAAGGTTCGACAACTCATGAATCGATTGCTACTTGACTGATTTTATGCCGATATTACAACCTCCAATGAATAGCTCAATTTCTAAAAACCTTGTCAAGATGAGCATTTCGGCTCTTTTAGAACCTATTACTAATGTGTTAGGCCGTCGGCTCGACAAGATTTGCTTTTAATATGAAATATGTAACATTATCATTTGGGTTTTTAATAAAACAAAGTGATTCATGCTTATCACATCCACATTATTAAATTCTGCCTTATGCTATGCTGCTGCTTTCAGTACCTCTCAAAACCCCCTTTCATTCAACAGTTGCCGTTTAACTATACGTTCCAATTCTTTCGATGCGGTGATTTTTTTTTTCAAATTTCCCATCACTTTACACAAATTTCCACAAAATGTTGCATTTTTCATGATGATACTTGCACATTCAAGATAATTGAATTTTCGCAAAGATTCCATTCCTTGTATCAATTTCGTCTCATGTGTTTTTATTCTCGTTTTTCGTTATCCCACACGAAAATGACATATTTTTTCCAGGTAGGGTCACATCGATTCACGGTTCCTAAATCAAATGGTAAAACAATGAACGGGGTAGAACATGCCTTACAATTGCTAGCAGGTAATGTTATCACTTTAGTCATTCATTCGAATTCCATCAAATGTCACATACTTGTACCCATACGGGTCGCGGTTCGGGACATAAAGAGAGAGAGAGGGGGGGGGGAAGAAAGGAGTGGAAAAAAAAAACAACTCGAGAATTTGATTGGGCGTAAGATGAAATGTACAGATTGGCTTGCGTCGAGAGAGTTGCTGAACAAATAAATTGAAACGAGTCGGGAGGCAGTCGGCCAAAAAATCTGAATAAATGACAATCAACTCGAGGCCTCCCCGCCAAATTTTTTTGGTTCTCGTTTACCCCCCGGACACCGCCGATTCCAACATGTTGCGAGAAATTGATATGAAGAGACAATGGAAGCCCGGGGAGTGAGGGAGGGGGAATTTTGGAAGATGGAAAATGGATCAAACTTGATGAGTTTCAGATGACGGCGGCACCATCAAAATGGATAATGTGAGCCCAACGCAGTCATCCGGCTCGAGCAAACGCAAAAGCCGCCCGGTGAAGCGCATCATTAATGAAGAGGTAACCCATATTTTCTATTGCTGCCTGTTCTTTTCCTGTTACAAATGTTTGTTTGTTGAATCAGCTTGAACGCGGAAAAACTCGTCATTTTTTTTTTGTTTCGGGGTCCGCAATTCAATTAAAATGCCACTTCTCCCCTCATTTTTCCTTTTCACGTAGTAAAAAAAACCATCCAAATTCGAGGCGCCAAAATCAAGCAATTGTTTTATTTTTTCGTTTCAAATATTTTTTTTTCTGCCGAATTCAATAACGCCCAGACAACCATATTTACATAATGGTGAACATTTCGAGTATCCGATTTCCATTGTGTATTTTTTGACGAAGATAAATCTTTCACTTCAGAATGGGATCGCGCACTCCCAAATTCATTGGTTGGTCCCTAAGATGAAGTTGTCAACCGATTTATGACCTCCCAAATACATTGTCCCTAACCGAATACCATTTCGAAGACTATCTAGTAAGAAGCTGAACCAAAGCCATCTACTTTTTCTTCTCCTTTCTTTCCTTCCTCGATGATTGTGTCTAATTGAATGAGGATGGGAGCGAAGGAGACCAACGAAAATGGATCCGTGTGCGGCTTTTTCACTAGCAATTGTCGAGAAAAAAACATTGCCCATATAGGAATTCCCGAAACTGATCAGAGAAGCTGATGATGAGAGGAGAAGGAGGGGGGTGGGCTCGAGAAAAAAAAACTAAAGGACCCCCGGCTTTTCCTCACATCTTCTTGTCTATTATTCGGTCAACTTATACTCACTTTAAAATCATTGATTCGTTTTCTTTGCATAATCAAGCATAAATGTGTAAGATATTAGTTTAAAGTGGGGATGGATGAAGAGGAGGCTCGCAATCAAATAAAAGATTCGTTATTACATTTACAGAATTTATTTTATCATATTTTGTCGGCTTCGTGGGCGTTTATTGATAATCGTGTTAATATTGAAATGGTTTATTTGTCCCAAAAAGAAGAGGTTATCTCTTCTTTTTTTTAATTTCATCTTTCCTTTGCGCCGGCGACCAACAGTGCAAATTGAAGATTGATTGGAAACGGGACTCGCGAGCAAAATTTGGTGGCAAAAATTTTGTGTTTGTTGCCCCACACCGACTCGACCACCCACTCGAAATTCATTTCTTCTAATTTCATATGCATAAAAAAATAGAAGCCGTTATGTCTCTTGTGTGTATATTGGCAAGCCGAAAAAAAAATGCGGCAATATTATTTCAATAAATATCATGGACTAGCTGAGTAATTGAATAAGTAATGAGAAGAGAAGCTTGGGGCGAGTGTGGGTTTTTTCTTCGGCGCTCCGGTCTTCTACTCGTCCTCGCTTTTTTCGGTTCTTTTTTTTTGAGTGTCACCCTTTTTTAAGCTGGAAAAAAATAACAACAAAAACAAAAGAAGCATATCATTTACTCAAATTTGGTTGGTCCTCTCTTTTTTTTTTGTTCTTCTCGCTAACAACGGCTACTCGTTTCCGGCGTATTCAAATCTTTTCTCAAACTTCTTCTTCTTCTTCGTCATTTTTTCTTCGTCGTCCTCGTCGAGCGGGCTTTGCTGCGACCCTTCAACAAATTTTATTGGATTTGACCAACTCGGAAAATCCATGATGATAATAAAATTGTATCGGTGTTGTTGTCGTTGTTGTTGTAGTTACAAAATGTTTTTTTTAAATGCTGTTGCGGACAATGATTTCTTCCATTCCTCTCGACGCCGCTTTACTCGCACGACTTTCATGTCCATTTTAAACCCATTATTCGTTTCGCTCAACTGATGGCGTTTGAGTGAAATAGGCGAGGCGTTTTGTTGCAAAAACCCGGGGTCTCCGCGTTTGGAAGACGAAGCTCAACATTTTTTTTGAAAAGTGAGAAGTTGGCGCGACGCAAAGATCCAAATTGTTTCAGATGCGCCCATATTATTTTAGCGATAGAATTTGTTTAAAATAGTGAATCTCTCATTTAAAACAATTTTCAAATTTCGTTTTGCATTTCATTGATAGGGAACATTCCCTCAAAGATTTATTAAAAGCAATTTCTCTAAACATGTATTTTTTCTTATATCAAACCGGTTCACCTGCAAAACCTCATACGTCTTTGGTGCGATTTTTTTTCTGGTGGTGCGATCAAATTAGAAAATTAAATGCTGAATTCAAAATAGCAAATAACCTTGAGTATGTCATTTGCGTGTGCACTTTTCAAACCGACATGGGGCGACCCGTGTTTCATCTCTTGATCATTTTTCGAGATAGCTCAGCCGAGATGCAGTTTTTGATTGTTTGACTTTTTCGGGGAGGGGGATCTATGTAGAATTGTCGCAATCATTCAAACTTTAGAAATGTACTGTGGAAAGGAAATTGCGGTTTGGTGTAGAAAAAAATGTATGAATTTTCAATTTGGTTGATATCCAATTCCGGTTTGAGCTCGAATTTCCCACGTAAATTTACATACATAGATCCATGCTGCTCCGCTTTATTTGCCATTTCTCATTTTTTTTCAGAGACGTCCAGTCGGCGTCAAATCCTCACCGAGGAAATACAATCGCCACCATATATATTTATATTCAAAAAAATTTCCATCATTCCCATTGATGCTCATTTCTCATTTTTGTTCTTTGTCACACCTATTTTTGACAAATGTTGGATTTCAGGAAATTGATTCGCCACCTGTCGAGGCGGAATGCACCGCTGGTCTACCGCTCGACGCCACCGAACCGATTCTGGCGACAATTCAGCAGCATCTTCCACTCTATGCAAACGTAGATAGGTGCGTTCAATGCCTATTCTCTTATTTATAACATTTTTGCCGCGCGGGGCACACACATAAATACACACGCTTAAGAACGTACGAAAAAAAAATGAAACGGAAATAGAGGGGGGGGGTGGCATCTCACTTGTATTCTCATTTCAAGCTTTCTATGCATGCTCACTGAGCCTTTTGCCGCTAGGAAACAATCTTGTGAAAAAAAATTGTTTAATTATGTGTCTCGCATGAATATGCATAATTTTTTGTTTTCCCTCCCCCATTTCAAGTTCAATTGATTCCGACGAAGCGGCAAAAGCAATGAGTGCAAAAAAAAGAAGAAGAAGAAGGGGCGAAAGAATGGAATTACTTGAAGCGGAAAACGATAAAGAGCATCACCACTACCGTCGGTAATAGAAAATGCCGTCGGGTGAAAAGTAGTTTCGAAAATTGAGTGTTGAACACTGAACACTTTTGAAATAATGATGATTATTATCCGGCGATGTTTTGCGATGCCGGGACCGCATTTTCTCTAATTTCAAATATATATATATATATTTATATACATATTGTTTTCATTTAGCATATTCTTCATAATATACCCGCAGGGCAAGTTGAAGGAGAATATTCATTGAATCCAATGGTTATTTTTTGCGCGCTAAATAGTAATGAAAAACAAGCGAAAAAAAAATTAAATTGATATATAATGCGTTGAACTGTAATAATCCGATAATAAATATATAGAAACAATAATAATAAAAACCGTGGATAACCCCACTTTTTTGACTGGTTATATTGTGACATGTTCGTGTTTCAAAATCGAACGGGGCAATTTGCAAAAGTTATCGAATTCAATCACTCGGCCATTTTTTGTTCTCCCCCGTTCACCGGTATTACAATATTCATTTGGCACTTTTATTTTGTTTTATGCCTTGTTAATCCGATCATCGCAATTATTCAGGGTTTATGCATTTCAATTCACTTTTGTTTCTTCATTACCGGCGAACGTGTTTAATTTTTGCCGATATCCCAACCCCCTCTCCTCTCAGTTCAACGTTCCTCAATGTGACTTGTTACAAAAAAAAAACCAAAATCAGCATATCAAGTTTTTCGTTTCATACGGTATACAACGCATAACCTTGAAGCTGTTTCGTGATAAAATATCGTCCGTGCGATCTCTCAATTATACCACGCATAATAAACAAAGATGCGCTGTTAAAAAAAACTAGCGTGACCAAATTTGTCGAATCTGACAACGGATCGTTCGGCTTCAGCGTTGAACAATGCCTAGTCGTCTTGAAACATTATTACAGTAGACATATTTCCATCACAATTAACTGAACGATTTTTGTTTAGTCAAGAACGAATTTTGCTTAAACGCTGTTTAGTTCGACTACTCATGAGCTATTAATATGGTATTTTTGATTTGGGCGGAGAGAACTACCGTAATCATTTTTGGCGCGATAGCAAAACTATTGATCGGTTTTTCTTTTTATTTGTTTATCAATCATTGCAAAATTTTTGGATGGCTTTACAACTTTCTGCTTCGAAAACTCAATAATATGTGGAACCGGGAAGAGCTCAAATCAGGAGTCTCATGCACATTGTTTTGTGTATACAATTATAGAGAACACTTTTGCGTTCTAATGGCAATTTATAGCAAGTATCCCATTTTTTCCAGTGCCCAATTTCATGGCACGTGAAAATTGAACACGTCATGTTCGTTTTGGCGACCATTATTTTCAATTATAAGGGCATTGGTATCAAACTTTAAACAAACTCTATATTCAACATCAAATGACCAAATAGACTTATTTTCAAACTAACGGTATTAACACTGCGATAGGTGCTTTTTTTTCAGGTTGAGAATCATTTTTTAGAATTGAAAATCCATTTCAAACCATATAATTAATATGCAAAACCCAACAATTAAGTGTTGGTTCCGAACGCGATGGAGCCAATCAGATTTTAGTCTCAAAAAAAGTCTATTTTCAAATGAAATTGAGCAAATCCATTCTTATTTTGCTAGTCTTCCTCGCGCATCTCAGCCAAATCGAAATCAAATTCCAATCGGCGTCCGTCCCTTCTCTGCATCGGCCGCGCATTTCACCGAAAAATCATTTTTGCCACCTCAACAATTAGTTGACGTCCATATTCCGGCCAGGTGAAGGCAACAGGTGGGGAGGTTGCGCTCATGGCTATTATGGAAGTCAAAAGTGTCAAAAAAAAAGTTTTTTTTCCTCCTGCTGGGCGCAAATGTGCGTATTGAGGGGCTCACATATGCAGCATGAATAGTAGGTGAGTAAAGTGTGAAATTCATTGAAAGTTGCATAAAATGGTGGAGTATTTTGTAAGAGAAGAAAAGCGCACACTTTGAATAAATCTTTCCTAGGCCCAAAACGCTCAGGCATAATTGGTCTCCAGTAGCATTTTTTTGAAAAAAAAACGCGTTTTCATATTCCCAAAAAGACATTTTTCCACACTCGACTTTTCATAATTTTGCGGGTTACTGTAATTGATAGAATTTCACCACCGATAACTGTATAAATCTCAAAGTTAATGAAAATACAGTATTCCTTTGCGATGTGCTAACATTGAAACTAGAAAATTTCTCTATTTTTCAATTCAACTATTGAACTTCTGATATGAATAATAGTTCAAATCTTTTTTCCACACCACTGAGTTTTAATTACTCGCCAATGTTGTTATAATACGCTCACATGAACTCTGTTTTTTTGGCGTCAATTTTCCGTATATGCGAAAGAACACCGTCAAATTTTAATGTGTTGCGAATGCATCATAATGCACTCTTAGCCATATGCAACTAGACGCAAAAAAGGGAAGATGGAAGGGGGGGAGAAAAAAGAAACTTACGCATTTTCCATATTGTTCAGGCCATTTCCAATTCATGAGTAATGAGAAAGTCAACTATTTGTCTTCAAACAACATTTTTTTTTCTTCTTTGACTTCGATTCTCGAGCTACTGATATCCCCTCGAAACCAATTCTTTGACATTTTTTTCATTTATATGAAAGCAGAATTCGCTCTCGTTTTCGCGGTGGGCACCTGACGCTTTGTCTTTTATTGTTTCTTTCACTTCAGTCACATATTGGTAGGCGAATACAAAAGTGTGATGCGCAATAGATATTTATGTTATATATATATTTTCGGCTTCTCCTTCCTATTTCCTTTTGATTCTGTTCGCGTTACGCGGGAAAAGAACAATAAAACGGAATTTTAATTAAATTAGGAACATTGGGGCAGGAGAAGCAACCAAAAAAAAACGAAGAGGGAGCCATTTTTCGCAAACCATCACACACATGATTTTAATAATATTAGTTTGGGCTTGCTTCTCGCCCCGTTTCCTTCGGCAGTCTATTCAGAATAATACATTCAAAGATATTTGGCTTACAGATACGAAGAAGAAGGCCCGCTTTCTGAAGTGCTGTCAACAGGGAGTGTCGACGATAATATGGAGCAGAATTTCACAAACGCCGACTTGCTCAAGAAAGTCGCTGAGGTCATTAACATGTCCCAACAGTTTAATGGCAATAATATTCTCCAACAAGCTGCTGCGATGAAAGGTATCAGGTTTTTGATTCAAGATTCAAATATTTCCTCGATGGTTTCAGATCTCTCATTCGAGCCATCCGTGTTGAATAATGGGAACGGATTCCTGCAGTCTCAGATGTCCCCCCTGTTCGCAAATGTGGACAACAATTATTTAAGCACTGAACGCATGTTACAAGCAATCCTGACACCGTCATTGAACTTCAGTCTTGGGGCAAATGCGCTTGGTAATTCTTGTTTTGTTCGTTGAGAATTCTTGGAAGAAATTCATGAAACACGTTTAATCGAATTAACTTTTTTTATTGCAAATTAAATTATGTTAATTTGGATGTTTCTCGAATATAAGGCACAATTTCACCCCGCAAAATATTTTTTCCATATTATTGGCGAAAAAAATTCAATTGCTTCTTCTTCAGCAAACAGTTCACCATCGAATGGTATGATTGCAACGCCTTTGATTTCACCCAACTCGAATTTCTTGGCGTCTCTTATGGCGGCAACACCGTCGTCCACATCGAATTCAGTTCATTCATCGACAAAGAAGACGGTATGCTCTTAAGCTTCTCAGACGAAATTTATCATTGATAATTTTTCAGGATAATAGGCCACCAGTGGTATCGCAGACGCTGAAAGCAACCAAAAGGAAATTATTCACCGAGGATGAGAGAGCACGCGCAGAAGCTGCCAATATGAACAGCGAGGAGCGAATCGATATGAGCGATCTTGAGGCTTTCGCGCAGACGTTCAAAAAGCAGCGCATAAAGTTCGGATTCACACAAGGCGATGTCGGAGTCGCATTGGGGAAACGATACGGGACCGATTTTTCTCAAACTACCATATCGAGATTTGAAGTATTGACTTTCAAAATTTGAAACAAACCAATTAAATCCAAAATTTCAGGCTTTGAACCTCTCATTTAAGAATATGTGTAAACTTCGACCATTATTGAAAGAATGGCTCGCTGACGTGGAAACGGCGATTGAAGGTGGCGCCTCAATCACCGACCTGATTGAGCGTCGCATTTCGAATCCAACCGCACCCATTCCAACACCAACAGAAGTCTCTGTGGTACGCCAATGTCTAAATGATACAACAAAGACCAATAATTTCCTAAAGGCGACGTCAGAAAATTCATGTTCACCGAGCCCTATGGTTCAGAACTTGTTCATTAATCGCGATCAGCAAGTAAAACGTCGAAGGAAAAGGACGAATCTGGATTTGAATCAGGTAAATCAAAAAAAGATTCAACATTGAATCGAATGCATTCTCCTACAGCGATCATCCCTTGATGCTTATTTCGCTATGAATCCTCGTCCTGACCATGACCGTATGACCGAAATCGCAAATGCATTGGAATTGGATCGTGACGTCGTTCGCGTTTGGTTCTGCAATCGTCGACAAAAAATGAGAAGGATCGATGAGCCGATTGAAGGAGAAGTTGCCACACCGTCGGTCAGCCCATTGTTCCCTACGCTGCAACATGTATGAATGTCAGCACTGATTTTTTCAAATTTCAAATTTTCAATTTTAGATGTCGACACTAGATCAGTTAAAAGAAGCAGCAAAGTTGGCAGCGAATCAAGTCGCCAATGACGACAGTGATGGAACTTCGGGTAGTCCAGACGCCCCATCGCTCTCTTTCGATAGCAACGATATGTAATTATTCGGTAAGAATCATTCGTTGCAACTTTCTAATAATTCATTTTTTATTACAGGTCCCAATCCATATTGATTACCTCAACATAATTTGGTTTTGATAAAATACGGCTCAACTCCGACAAGTTCAAACGTGGACATGTTTCGTAACAAGATTTGTTTCAAAATACATATTTGCTCGCTTCTATCAGTATTTTGTTAAATTTCTGTTCATGTTTACATACATAGTGCCTCAAACACTTTGATTCTTTCTGACTTTAATTTTTTTTCTTTTGTTTTCTTTTTGCGAATTCCTGAATACACTCGTTGTTGATTCGCTTTTTTGCATTTATATCGCTCAGGTCTTTTGCTTCATTTTCTGCCCCGCCCCCCATCCCACATCATCCTTCAAATTATTCTCGATGTATTCGGCTCGTCCTCATATTAATTGCAATGCGCGAAAATCATTTTTTTTAATTATTTTCATTAATTTTATTTTCACGGATAGAATTGCCATTCGATTTCGGCTAGTCATGAGCAAAATCGATTCTTCCATTTTTGTGTGTGTGTGTTTTTTTTTGTCTTTATTATTTTATCTCGCGATTTCACCCGAATGATTCAATAATTAAAACGTTGTATTTTCTTTCTGTTTTTTTTTCTGCAAATTTGCCTATTTTTCCTGTAGATCATAAAACCAAATAACTATTAATGTAGTTTTAAGTTCGTTCTTTGTATTTGAGCTTGTACTCCGGATAGGGTATTTTTGATTTTTTTTATTGATTATTTTGAACAATTTGAAAATAAATTGATTGAAAATATCAAAAGATATTTATTTTTCACGAGGAAATTTCAAATTTTATGACATTTTATGACATCAATTTTATGACATCTTAAAAAAATACAGTTTACAAAATTCTGTGGGAATCTAGAATACAAAGAAAAAAAGCATATTATGTGAAAAAAAAATGAAAAAAAAATTTTAATATTCGTTATAGAGGCAAAAATTAAAATCCGGTTTTTTTGCAGATTTAGCGTCAAATAGTTAACGCGATTGCCCTCTCATTACGTAGTAGATGACTACTATAACTGAAACAATGATCATTCAAACCTCAACAACCTCTACAAAACAAAATTTACAGCGGATACTTGAAACTCGAAAAAAATTATAGTTACATTTTAAAAAAATTTACTAAGATAAAGTCAAATTTCTGTTCAGCACGTCACGTTCGAAACTTCTGTTTTCATTCTCGAAATAAGTCATTCGATGTCACTACCTGTCCTTCAAAACTACTATCAATTTACATCGCAAACTCAATTTTTTTCAATCGTTTGTTCAATGACCAGCACGATATTCTTATCAAAACAAGAACGGCGTTGCTGTTATTTTTGAAACTATTATTTGTTGTTTTTGCCTCGAAACTGAGCGATAAACTCAGTATCTTCAATCTCGCTGAGTGATAAAACCCGGTGCACATTACAACACAGCCTATTGATTCACATTTTGTGCATTCCAACAACAAACATTTGCTCAATTTCATTTCTGTTACAGAATGATTAAACCGCTGGCGCTCTTCGTGATTTGCCTTATTGGTCTAGGATGGACAGCTTCAGATATCGATGTTCCATCGTCTGTAGCTAATAGGTATATAAGTTTAATTATTAATAACAAACAATTACTTTAATATCCATTTTCAGATCCATGTCTATTAAGGGTCAACTTCTTTGCGGAAATAGGCCTTACGAAGGTGCAAAAATTCGTCTTTACCGAACTTACCAAGCCAATGCTGCCGATGGTGAATTGTTATAATGAAACAGTCTCATCATAGTGCATTTTCTCAGACCTCAGTGAACTTCTCGATTCGAAACAAACCTATGTGACTGGAATGTTCCAAATTGAAGGAAACACCGAGAAGTTTGTAGTTAAAACAATTAATATCTAATCGAGTGCTTCACAGGTTCCCGAGAACCAAAACCACCATTGATCCGTATGTCACCTTCCACCACGGTTGTGATGTTGATCCAGCTACTTTGGCAAACGTTTGAAAATTAATTGAAAAACTGAAATATGAATTATTACCTATTTCAGAAAGGTTATAAACGTTGGGCTGTTCGCGTTCCAGAGGATTATGTGACCCTTGGGAGCAAAGCCAGAAAAGTATAATCGAGTTTAACTATTTTAAATTAAAAATTGTTTCTATTAAGGTGTATGACTTTGGAAAGATCAATCTTCAGTTGGAATATCCTGGAGAAATTCACGATAAGAAATTCAAACTCACCGATTAGAATCTTATCCAAACCGATTTTATTTTTTTCTTTTTATAAAATAAAAGTTTATTATTGAAACACACTCAAAACGATTCAACGCTCAGAAACGATATAAATTGAGTTTTAATATACATGATGGTACGGTTTTCGAGAGGGAAAAGCTTTTTTGGGAATATCTTTTTTAAATTGTTTTTTTTTCCACGATTTGCATAATATCATAATCAATAGTTAATAGAAATGGTGAATCATGATTGGGAGCTTTAAAGTCACAGAGTTGGAGCATTGCTAATTTCTATTATTTTTTCAAAAATATTTTGAAATTCCGTTAGAAAAACTGAAAAATTCTAGTTATTGACATTCGTACATAATGTTCAAACATTACGTTATACACCGTTACATATATAGATAATATTTGCGAATAAATTCTCTTCGCAATGAACTGACAACTGCTCAAACATGAGTGCTAATTCAATTATTGATTTCTAAGAGAAAATTGCGATTTTCCATTTTTTAGTATATTTTTACGTTTCTTCATTTTCAACTCTATCTTGATTTATCTCGCACATCACCGCGGTTATTCATATTTTAAACTGAACTGTGAAAATTAATGTGCTGTACTACGAAAAATTGCAAATAAAACTGACGGAAATTATAATTTGGGTGCTCAGGTGCATATTTTATACTGCATGGCAAAGCTGCCAAATGCATATTCTCTATTTTTTTATACTGCGTTGCCCATTCAGACGAAGGCCAGCTATAAAGAACTAACTCATCGAAATCTAATTCAATTTTGTTCAAACTTCTCGCAAGTTATGCAGTTTGATGAATATAATCACCTAGCATTCATTCAGAATTTTTTAGTACACTCTATTATACAAATTCCGCTATTTTTGTACACTTCATCAATGGAAATAGATGTTTCGCAATAGCGTCCTCGACGCGCAACCCGCCAGATGCCCAGTATAGAGAAAGAGACGCAGACAGAAGAAGGTGATCTGAGAACCGCGGAGGCATCAAAGACGGAGCAACATCGCCAGACTATTCGTTTTTTTTTTTGTTATTCTGAGCCAAACAATGTTCAATATGTGCATATTGACTGATTAACTACAAATTATGTTATTGAATAAATGAAATGACACAAGACAATCTGAAATCGGAAAAGAGTTTTTCAAGCACGACACAAGATATGAAGATCCATATATAGTATGAATCTCGAAAAATGATATTGTACATAGTACATACAACATTGATATGAATATCAATCGACAATCGCATTCTCCACAACTTCCATGATGATCGTGCCATCATCATTGACTAATTCTGCTTTTCCTTGCTCCGGATAGTAGATAATTTTGCCTGAATTTTCATCACTTCACTTCTAACCATACTTGTGTATCTAAGTTTACTTGTCGCTGGAAGTGATCTCTTCTTTGTACCACCTTTGGCGGATCCCATTTTTCGAAGCCGATCGACATAGACCATCGTTTCATTGCCTGCTGGGATTGCAGTATCTGCGTCATCCTCATTTTCAGCTTCATCATTGTCACTGAAAGACATTGACGTCAATCGATTTTTATATTTGATCGCCATTGTCTTGTATTTCATGCAGCACGTCATTTCGCTGCATCTGACATATCTGAAATTAATTGAATGCACATTGTGAGATTTGAATGAGAGTACCCTGCTGGACAATGGCAGACACCGTCAAAAACGCATGGCACCATTAATGGCGGTGAATTGACGCAATCGTCAAGGCAATCAGGCATACATGCTTGAAAATGAAAATATTTTTATGACCCTTATAATGCATTTTACCGGCTTTGCAAACTTTTGGGTCAGTCTTCTGAGCTATAAACGCATAAGTGTCGACGCACTGAGGGGTACAATAAGGCATACACTCATCGCGGCACTGTACACTTTTCTTGGGAGAGAATCGAATATTCTAGAAAATAATTTTTAAACTTATTTAAAACTTTATATTTCATACATGAGCTGGGGATTGCACAGGTTGTCCCATTACATCAATTGCGGTAAGAGAATTCATAAATGAGGTGACGATTTGATTATATCTCTGGAATTAAAGAATATTGCGTCACGTAACGATTTATAAAATCTGGTTTTAACTTTTAAGCATCGACTTGTACACCCTGGCATACAAGCATTTGCACATTGTTTCATTGGGGCCAATGTTGTAGTCGTCATAATCGTTGGATTTCTATTAACGTATGGATATCGGCTCATGGGTCTCGGATTCATTGGCTTCACATTATACGGCGAAGTAGCCGGATTGGGAAAATACCGACGATGGGCATTTTGTCGTACACTGGGACAACTGGAAATGAACAAAACCTTAAAATAATAATCGTTCTATAATAAATGTGTACCATCTGAAAGCACACCATCCCTCCTCTCCACATCCCATCAAATCGCTGAAATATTCACCGATCGCTTTCATACGACGATCCGCATATTGGCCATAGTCATTTAGAAGGCTTGTTTCGTTTTGCTGTAAAACACATGCACATCTGGTCGAAGGGTAAATATATGCTGTTTAGTTTGATGCAAAAATAACACCTGGGAAACGATTGTGAGCTTTTATCGTTTTGATCTGCGTTTAATAGAAAGAAGATATATCAAAAAGAAGAAAAAAAGATTGTCGCCTTTGATGAAAAATAAAGTTTCGATGTTGTCTTATGTTCCAATATTGAAGTGCAACTCACCGCAAAACATTTTAAATAGAACAACGATAATATTAGCAAAAACGGATGCATATCCAACAGAGGACAACGCGAGAAGAATGAGGTGAATCCCTCCGTAAACGACGTTTGACGTTTTGGACAGCATGTGCAGCCAACGCAGGCTCGTCACGATATCAAATAGGCACAAAATCGTGACCATATCGCGACAACATCTAAAACATAACAATTTGAACTCTGCTCATCATGTATCATCATATGTGTTGGTTTTCTTCTAATTGGAAACAACTAATTGAATACTACAATCTTTGTATCATGACTGTTACCAGACAATTCATTTTGTTTCCATTTTCTTCAAACTAGTTGCATATGAAATCTCAAATCTAGAATTCCGATTTTCATTAATCATCCTCCTTGCACACATGTATATTCAGCGTTGACGAACCTAATAACTATACATATAGTTAATTGACTATTAGACAACGTGTTGCACTTTTTTGAGTCTTACTTTGAATTCGAATGCTAGAAGCTGATATTGTAAACAATTCATTGTTTATATTGGTTGGCAATGGCTTCAAATCGAGAGTTTATAACATAACTACCATATTGCTTCTAACTGAACGTAATGGCTCCTCAAAGATTTTCAATGAATTATTTATAAACTTTTTTTTGAAATATCTACTTTATGCACTCTTATGTACTATTTTTTGAGATCTTCCAGTCACGAACACGTTTTTCGATTTTTGCTCCTTTCTCCCAGCTTCTCCACGCAATAAAGAGCCCGGGTTATCTATGTGTATTGTAATATTACACTGTTGATGGAAGCGTTGTGCTGATTTCAATTATGCGTTGTAATGGTCCTATTAAATATGACTATGTGCCTTGGTTTGCTCAACATCATTTACTTTGATTGATTCCCCACCATTCGATTTAAACATTCAAAGCGGAAACATTTATTGAATTATTGTTTCCAATTTAGCTTATAACTCAATTTATTACTTTTTTGAGAGGCCCCAATCGTTGAAAAATAAACAAAACTTTTGCGTAATCCTTTGAAAAAGAATTTTAAGCCCACTTGCCTATGCCATATGGCGATTGTAGTCGATTTAGAATGCCCTTCCTTCCATTCTTTTTCCAACACTTCAGGCACTATGCTACTTTTTTGATGAGTTTCTTCAGCTTTATTCGAAAAAAAATTTTTGAAGGTTTCTTGCTCCCCGAAAATACTCAGTCTTCCCTTCTCAATAATTGATGTCGCGAAGGCGGTTCGTCGAAGGATTTCTAAACAATACACGCCTTTGTGCGCCAAGTGGGAAACGCCCTAGTGCAAATTATGAAGCAATTTACGTATACACGCTATTGAAAAAAATTTGGAGTTGAAAAGTGCATTTTATAAACAATTTCATCGCGTTTTTGCTCTTTTTCCCCCAGTCCAATCAAATCTTGGCATAATGCGGTTGATTCGCTTGCTCCTCTAATCCATACGCACTTGAATGGAACACGAAGCCCATAAAAACGGTAGTAGCTTTTTGTCATTTCGAAGCTTCATTCGCATTTCACAATGACTCTCGCTCTCATTCCATTCAGCTGCCATATGTTCGTTTTCATATTATTTTGTGATTCTAGTGAAAAAAGTGGATGAATGTGCGACAGATAGCACAATATCCAAGTTGAATGCCGTCATTAAGCCATAAATTTCTGTTGAAGGCATCATCGAATGGGCTATTCTACAAGTTCTTGCGGAGTATGGACGAGACGTGTGGTGACCTACCTCTGGATTGTGTTTATGTTGTCGGCAGCTGCCCAACAACAGTTGCCGTCGCCCCACATCATCAGCGCGGCCAAAAAATCGCACCGTCTTCCATTGCGACATTTTCCATAGCAATCAAGGCTCTTTTCAACCGGTTTCTACAAGATGTTCGCTTCCCTTTCCTGCCGTTTCTTTGTCCAATTTGCAGCGCTTTGTGCTCAATGAGCAGCCAACACAAAACTCCATTCAGTCAACACCATCATGCGGCATTTACCGCAAAATGTATACACAATATGTATATCTCAAAACTTCTTTCTTCGTCTTCTTTTCTTTTCGTCCTTTTGTATAAAAAGGTTCAACACGTCGATGTTCCTTAAATCAAATTTCTGCGATTCAGGAAGGAGTCAATTCAAATCCGCAACTAACGCGATTTCCATGCCCCCCCCCCCTTCCCTCGCCCATTCTAGTGCAGGTTAAATGAAATCATCACACAGCGCACTTTTTCGCCAATTTCTTTTTTTTTCATTTATTTCTGTTAAGTAAACAGAAGAAGCCGTGCGCTTGAAGAAATTATTTCTCATTTGGTTAAAGCGGCAAATCTTGGGCGTGATTTGGAATGTTTTCATCCGAATCGGCGCGTGGTGAATTTCCAAGAATTAAAACAACGATGGCCGATTCATTTAGTGTGACACACATTCTCTACAGATGTAGGCAGTGAATCTTCATTATGAATGAATTGCCATTTAGAATGCATGACCGCCATCATGTTTCATCGCCATTGTGATAATACTGTTACATGATGGGCGTCTTGTTGTTGTAGGATTTCGTTCCTTCCATGTAAAGAATTTGTACCCGCAATATTATATCAGGGAAATAGATCGTTGATTATATCATCAACATATAAATTATCCGTTTATTTTTTTCTCCCACAATCATAACTGCTTTCTGCTTGATGTTTCTGTCATAAGTCAGGTTCTTTTCGTTATCATCGCAAAATACAGAAGCAAAAATTTCGATTTCGTTTGCCTCATATCATATGATTAGGGAAGAGATGTCAATGGAGAGGATGGGGGGGGCGGCCAAAGGTTTTCGGTGGGTTTCTGTGGATGTGTTGAGAGGAGCCGCGTTTTGATTGTCTTTTGTTCCAGTGTTTGTTTTCATCGCCGAGGTTCCATTTTTTTCTTGTCTCCTTGTTCTGTGTCCAATTAAGAATCTATTCAAATCCGAATGGTGTGAAGAGAATAAAATTTGAATAGGCCTTCGTTTGGCTTCCACAAAGAGAAGAGGCGGCTCAAAAATTTTGCGCTAACATTTTGATGTGTTCCTTCTCATTTCTCATTTCGCCTCCTTCATCGTAATTTCCAACAAATTCATTCATTGACGCAAAATTTCAAAAAAAAAAAACAAAAACAAATCTCTAAAACGGATAGAATCGTCGCAAATGAGCGAAATTAAGTGCCCTCGAAAGTCTATTGTTTAATCAGGCGGCTTTGGATTGGATCGTGCCGAAATTTGGGAGGAGTAGCAGCCCGAAAATGAAGTAAAACGGCGAGCCGGTGCTATTGTGTGTGTTTGTAAACGCTTCCATGAAGCACCGTTCAAACACAATTTTCCTATAACAATTTTGATATATATATTTTTATTTATTTATTTATTTATCAATTCCTTCCCGATCGAATCACTTTTTTACATTAATAATAGAATCCACTTACCATTTAAGGGATCCAACAATATCATTTCTCCCCAAATACCACCGATTACTCTCGATTTTTCAATTCTCATATTGTGACGGTTTAACTTTTCGTCTCTTCGAAATCATTTTGAAGACAATTGGACAGAAGCGACCGGACAGACGGGGCTGGCCCGGCATAGGCTGCCGATTTTTGTGTATTGGAGAGTGTGCGCGCCGTTTGGTGACGAGTGGAAATAGCACGAGGGCAACGGAGTTTTGACAGCGGCGAGTGCTGTTTGGGAGCTGCTCCGCCCGTGTGCAAGAATTGAAACATTTTTTGTTCGACCCCCCCCCACTTTTATGTATCCGATCAGTTTGTGTAGGATTATTGATTGATACTTTTCAATGTTCGTTCTTCTTATTTCCAATTGTCAATCCACCTTAGAGTATCATTCTTCAGTGAGCCATGCTTCCAACTGTGTACGGTCAAATGCAAGATCCATTGGCTCAAGTTGCTGCCGCTGCATTAGCACAATCGACGAACGCCGAGCCGGTCGTCGGCTCTCGTGACACAATGTTCACCAAGATTTTCGTCGGCGGCCTCCCATATCACACGAGCGATAAAACTCTCCATGAGTATTTTGAGCAGTTTGGCGAAATTGAAGAAGCAGTGGTGATCACCGATCGCAATACGCAAAAGTCGAGAGGATATGGATTCGTACGTTTTCCCGACATTTATGTTGTTGAAGTTTTGCCCCAGTCAGCTGTTCCTCCATCATTATTTATCAATCGCATTGTGATGAACTGCGCCTTTTGTTTGAATTTTACAACGGAATTCAGTTATGGGGGGATTTGCTTCAAGAAAATACTGAAATATTCATGCGTACTGTTCCAAACCACGTGTTGACGTGTGTCGCTAAAGACACGTGATTTCTATCCATCAATATTTACACAACAATATTTCTATCGAATTTTAATGTAAATTTTAGTGTAATAAAAAAGAAACATATGGAAATGAAAAATGACTCCTTCAGGTCACTATGAAGGATCGTCCATCAGCTGAGAGAGCTTGCAAGGATCCGAATCCAATCATCGACGGAAGAAAGGCGAACGTGAATTTGGCGTACCTTGGAGCCAAACCACGTACTAACGTACAGTTGGCAGGTATGTTCATATTTTGCTAATGCCTTTTTCATTCCCCCGATTTGAACCAACAATTGTGTGCGTGGCTTCTATTCATTCGTTTTTTTTTTTGAAGAAAAAAAAAAATTAATTTCGTTGAATTCATCGAGCTTATGAAACAGCATTAATGATATTTGCTATCACCATTAATCAAAATTAACCGCAAAAAAACGTGAATTCCTCCCAACTTCTCTCAAATCGAATAGGAGTCCGACAGTTTGGAAACAAACATCAACGATTCAATGATTTTAGCGCTGGCCGGACAAATGCAACTACCGCTTACCACTCAACTTCAAGCTTTATTCCCGCCAAGAATTGGGTAAGTTTTCAGTTTTTGCTTGAGTGTGATCGACTATCTATCTTTTAAAAAATATTATCAATAATCAAATTAATTTATAATGAGCATAGTAAAAGAAATGGATAATTGCCAAATTAATAGTGTATTAAATTTAAGCTATGATCGATGAATGGACCCTATAAATGTGAAACAAAATATGAGGTTAGACGTGTTTTTTGACGTGTGTCTATTGATTTCATTCTGACATATTCATTGAACATGGATCTATAATGTATCCAGTGCCGTGTTTTGAAGTGACCATACTCCTTTCTTTCCAAAATTTGACAAAAAATGCAACAAAAAAAATGAAAATCACATCAAATACTTCCCACCTACCCCTCTTCCTTGAGTTAATTTTGTAATTTATCCCACTTTTTTGAATGACGCTATTCATCATTTTGTGTTATTATTAGTAATATTATGATTTTTTTTCAATCATGGTAGTGTTTCTTTTTTCCCCGTTGAAATAAAAGGACCTCGCGACTAACACGTCAACGCAAATGACCTGTGTCACACAACCTGTGCGTTCCGAACTATTTGATTTTCTTGCAAGAGTTTTCATTTTCGTAGCATTTTATTCATCACGCATGGACGTGCGATGTTTTTTTGGGGTAATATTCTTATTGTACGACAACACGAGTTTGGGGGAAACGGCATATTGAAAATATTAATGAGGACTGCGAGTAATCTGAAATTTTCAGCATCCCACAAGTCTACTACCCGACGGCGGGATTGATGAATCCGCTATTGGCGGCTCAAGGAGCTGCAGCCGCTGCGCAACCGCAGCTTATTGACTACTCTGCGCTTTCTGCGATCATGGCGCAGACGCAGAACACCGCTGCTTACGGATTGACACCACAGGCGAAATGTAAGACATTTTTTGGTTCTGTAATGGGTTTCAATTCAATTTCTGGGTAAATAATTACTGCCAACTCAATCGTTCTGAGAAGGGTATCGAAAAGTCAACATAAAAAAAAGAAGTTGAAAGGGAAATGACGCCATAACATAAATCGGTGCATTACTGGAATTCTTGTTTCAGTCCCTGTTACATCTGCAGCGGCGGCGGCAACTGGTCTTGAACAGTACGCGGCCTATCAAAACGCGACGTCTGGATACAGTCTGGTGCCACCGGCGGCATACAACTTGAACGGTTCCCAATTGCAGTTGGCTGCTGCTCAGCAACAACTCGAACACCAACGTGTTTAAGATAATACATACCACAAGATAAAATTTAATTAAATTAGATTTTAAAATCTAGATATTACGCATTCTTGCCGTGTCTAAAATTGTAATCATCGATACATTTTTTTCATTTATTGCTCCTTGGAATTATTCTTTAACTTTTCCAGATATTCCGTTAGGAGAAAGAAAAAGATATGAAAACATTTTTTTTCAATTTTTCCACACCGGAATCGCTCCATTAACTAAATGCTCCGGCTAGTCTCTATGCTATTAATATACATGCCCTTTGTCCATTTTTTTTTTGGGTTGATGTTCAAACATCTTCAAAGCGCCGCAGTTGCCGATCTGTGCCATTCTTGTAAAATTTTTCATCTTTCTTAATTGTATGATTGTCTCTTTTTTCTTATATTACACAGAATAAAAGGATTCCAAAAAAAATCGAATTTAGTGATTTGAGTGGGTTTTCCAGAAGGATTTCAAAGAACACTCGTGATTGTTTTTGTCACTCGTGCTGAATGATACGATTTCCGTAAATGATATGGAAGGCCGAAAAGCAAATAATGCAAAAAACCGGAAGATTCGTTGATTTCGATAGTTTCGGGGGAGGGGGGCGGCACAGAAATGAGTTTATTAGCGACTATCAGGAAAACCGGAAAATTGATGAGAACCATTCATATATATATAATAAGCCATTGGTGAGCACCGCGTCATATTTTGCTCAAAATATGATCGTTTTCGCCTACTATTTTTTGCTGATTTCCTTCGTTCTTGCGGTGAGTTGCTCATAACAATTAATTCACACTATTTCAAAAAAAAATGAGACACCTTTGAAATATCGTTCTAGGGTTGATTATGACAATAATAATATAGTTTCTGGAATTTTGATAGGGAATGTCGACAGGTAATTATTCAAACAATGACATGAAAGAAGACATATGAGATAAAAATGAATATACACATTGAAGCGTTATAATTGGCAACAATAAAACAGAACAAAATATTTTCTAAATTTTTAAAGCTATCTCTGAAAAATACTTAAAACTGCATATTCCAGCAAGTTCCATTATACCTTCGAACCCCTGCCATTCCTACCTATGCCGTACCACAAGGACAACTGCAATGTGCTGAGCAATGTATGCCATCCTGCTTACCAACCTGCCTTCTAGCAAGGCAAGAGCCGGTTGAGATTGCTCCACCAGTTCCAGAAGTTGCGGCTTCTCCATCTCCTTTAGTGATTTCCTCATCTGTTGTCACCGGACCATTAGTTCCATCGATTTATCAACCATACGGGCCTCCTCTTTACTATCCAATAGCTGCTAATGTACCAGTTCAGTGTGTTGCTTCATGCATGCCAACATGTGCTCCAAGCTGTGTTGCTCCGGCCCAAGCTCCACAAGAAGACGAGCTTCCAACTCCTCCACCTGAAGAACTGCCCACTCCCCCACCAGAAACCACCACTGATGTCGCTCCAAGCACCGAGCCGACGACTATTCCATGCAAGTGCCTTATCAAAATAACAATTACTACTGGAACGCAAACCACAAGCAAATGTGGACCAAATTCTTGCACATGCCCATCTGGATATACTTTGTGTGGATCCAACTGCTGCAAACGTTAGTTATCAACAAGTATTGTTATTGAAATTATTATTTATGCTATTTATTACATTTTGACTTTTTTGAATAAACATTCTCTTTTTATTTTTATGATTGAAGACAAACAAACTTCAGATAAATTTAAATGTAGCCACTAACTAATCAAAATTCGTAAAATTTCGATTTTCTCAATATGACAATTTCCTCTTCTGCTCAATTTTTGGGTGTGTTTTATCTCGTAAATTGATGTTTTTAGTATTAATAAACATCGGAATATCGCAACAATTTCTTCAGACTGAGATCAAGCGAGGGCCAAATTCGAACATTCTTTGACCGTCAATATTTGGCATTGCATTGAACTTTATTTCTGTGGAAAATTCAACATTTTAAATGTTCTGCTATTGAACTATTCTCATAGTTCTTCTAGTTGTTTTTTATTCTGTTTAAATTTATATCAGCTAATATGCACGTCACAACTTTATTTTTCTGAACATCAGATAAAATAGGATTACATATGAATAATGATATAATGCAGAGTGAAACTTGATACAGTGATAGAGGGACAGAGACAGAAATAATAGAGAGGGTAACTTATCGCAGAGATGATGTCATTCTATACATATTTAGTCATTAGGGAATGATTCTAATCCAAAAACAGCAAAAAAAATACAATTGCATACATTAATATTTATTGAATGGGTGCCCCATTCTACCACTCAGCAAAGAGATCGCGCTCGCGCTGAACTGCAATAGCGCCTCCAGTCTTGTCCTCATCGTAGTCATCAAAATTGCCCGTATCTCCGGCATGGTAAAGAGTTGGAATTATTGGAGCCTAAAAAATGATTTGTGAAAATGAGGTCTCTCATTGAATATTCTCACTTCAATTCTAAGATTGACGAGATCATCCCAGTTAATTTTTTCGAACCATTTATGCTCTTTCACATCTTGGGTTCCATTTTTCATACATCCGATTCTCATGGTGCGATCGGTAGTGAGAAGTTTCTTAACAAGATCCCTAAAAAATGTTTGATAGATTCCAAGCGTTTTGCACAATCACATACTTAGCTGCAAGATTGAAACTTCTCGGAAATTTCAAATTATGCGCGAATATCGCGTCATAGATTTCCGCGGTGGTCTTTCCACGGAATGGCGGTTTTCCGGCCATCATTTCGTAAATCAAAATTCCGAGCGCCCACCTAAATAACATGGAACTAAATATTGTCCGTAGATTGATTTGTATATACCAATCAACTCCCTTATTATGTCCGGTGCGAGCAAGCGATTCGGGAGCCAAGTAGTCTGGAGTTCCACATATTGTATAAGTTCTGGAAAAAAGTTCCGTCAGTCATTTGATTTGATTGAAACAATGTTTCCATCAAACATCTGTTTTGTTGCCGTCGATCACACGATCAATTAAAAAAATCTTCCCCCACAAGTGTCCATTCAATGGCTATCACCACCAACCGAATCAAAGCTCAACAACTGGCATTTTCTCATCTTCGAGCTCTTATGCATCAAAACAATAAAAAATGTTGTTTCGACGAACCTGTCGCGAAGCTCCTTGGCAAACCCAAAGTCAGCTAGTTTAATGTGACCTTCTTTGCTGAGCATCAAATTTTCCGGCTTCAAATCGCGATAAACCTGCAAATCATTGGCTTAATTGGTTTTATTTCGAATTGAGCTAGTTACAATTCCTAAGTTATGAATGTATTCTAAAGCGGAGACGACTTCAGCAGCATAGAATCGAGCCATCGAGTTGGAAAATGAGCTGAAAATTGGAGAATAAAATTGAGCCTATTATTTGCTATTTCTTTTCTTCTTATTACCGAGTAGCTCTCAGATACGAGAAAAGCTCGCCACCTGGGACAAACTCCATGATCATGTACAAATTATTTGCATCCTTTTCGCTGGCATACCTAGAAACAAAAATGGATTAATTAGAGCTAATTGAGAAGGATAATTACAATTTCACAATGAATGGATGCTTAAGCTTCATGAGGACACGCTTCTCGTTATGAACGTGTTCGGTTTGGCGCATTTCAACCACATTATGCATGTTGAGCACCTTCAGAGCATAGTGTGCTCCACTAATCTTGTCGCGAGCCAACTCGACCCTTCCAAATGTTCCTTTCCCTGAAAGAGTATAAAAGCTAATACTTCTTATTTATTTTAAGGGATTTTTTGGTTGAAATTTAAAAATAAATATTTGCAGGTTGTTCACTAAACATCAACTCAATTTTTTTTGTCTTGCTCGCAATGCAGATGCTCAGAAATTCGTTTGGCAAAAAAAATAAATGTTGCTCATTGATCACTTCAAGCGTCCATCGCAACTGAATCTCGTCGAGAATTGAAATTTGCGATGACTCGAAAATTAACAACAAAACGCGTAAACACCTGAAATCTCGTCTGCCTTTTTGGCGCACTCTTCTCTCATCAAATATTATGGGGGTCCCTTCGTGTTTTCACATATTCGCGATTTTTTACCAACTATACACATTTATGAATAGTAAGTCGGCATTTTTGCAAGAAATATGCTTAATGTCACCACTAGGGCAACAAAAAAAACATGGTAGTATGTGTCCATCTCTCAAGGGAAATCGTGTCAACTCAGGGAAAGGAAATTGCGTGGGAACTTCCGAGCGAAACATTAACTCCCTCAGGTTGTGCCTCATCAGTTTTAGAAGCCCAAAAAAACATTTCTTTTGCTCAAGAGAAAAAATTTTTGTTCCTGGAAGGTGTATTGATGAAACGTTACATTTCGTCATCATTGTCGTCATCATCGTGTGCACCATTAGCTTGCAGTCGTGTATCTCGGATTTTTTTCTGCCTCTGCTGTCGGCACATTGTATATATGAAGATTTGACCAATGCTATTTGATTAACGATGTGTTGTAGAGCGAGAACAAGAGAGGAGGGCCACCCGTCAAATTTGAATGATGAAAACCGGAAATGTTCAGCACATTAATTATCCAGTTTATCTATCTCTCTCTCTCTCATTCGAGAGTAGTTTTTTGACGAATGAATACTATATCATTTCAAATTGCATACGACATTTGCTATTACAATTATGCTGGAGAGGATGGGAGGCTGTTTCTAATTTGACTGAAATACTAGCACTTGATCTCTTTGCTGAGCTTTTTGACTGATCGCGTTTAGAGACTAAAGTACGATGTTCAATTAGACGAACTGTTCCCTTGCCTAGGTACTCGATGCGTGTGCTTTTTTTTCATACGTATGAGGTGCGATCACTTTCACTAATAAAGTCAACAATTCGATTTCTATTCATAACCTCCCTTCCAATTTATTTTTGCAGAAAGAAAACAAATCAAACCATTGGTTTTGCGTCACCGACTTTTTGTTGATTTGGGTTTTGTCAATAATGACGGGGGGGGGGAGTTGCAAAAGTCAACCAATATTGAAAAAAAAAATGAAAAACCAAATGAAATTGATTATTGTTGAGCTTTAATAATATTCTAGTGAACAGGAAGGCAATTTTACAAATTATCACACCCAACCTCCCTCCCATGACATATGTTCAAGACGCCAACATTTTGAAACTCTCACCGATGGTGACCATCCGTTCCAATTGATCCAATGAGAATGATTCGCGAGTAGGTGTAATGCTCAGTTTCATGTGAGTTTCCTCAGCGAGCTCCTAAAAATACATTAAAACAATTGGCAGTAAACATAGTCGTTTTCTCAGACGAGGCCAAAAAAAATTGGAGGGATGCGAACAATTTGTCATTGCTTTAAATAAATATCCATACCTCAATTTCACGACTATTATTGTTTGTATCAAATGTGAAGGATGCCGAGCATTCGTTCGAGCAGCTCTCATCATCAACAGATTCCGAAGACGTTGTTGACGACGACATCTGAATAGAGAAAAAGCTCAATGTTTTTGGCAACGGATAAAATCAAAGGAGCCAAATGCGCTCTTATTTTCATTATATAAAGAGATTAGGAGGACCTTATGAATTCATAATGTTAATCAAGAAAATGACTGACTCATTGTTATCTTTCATATTGAATACCAAAATTTCAATTTTCTAATGGAAGATATATATTTAATTTATAAGATAATAATGGTAATTGACCTACATGTGCAAGTAAAAACGAATGACAAATAAGGAGCACAAACCTTTTATGTAAATTGATTTTTGCTAGAATGAGATAGAAACAGTAACCCAACGCGCCAACGACGCGAAGCTTCTTATGAAAAAATGGGCGTGGATTATTGGGGGGCGCAATGCCTGAGGCCTGACGATTTTGCTCTCTCTCCGCGTATCTTCATTTTTTCGCCGTCTCTTCAACACGTGAAAAAGAGTGTTCACGTCAATGAGATTGCACAGATAATCGTTTACGCATTGCTCCGCGCGGCGAATTTTTTTTCGTTGATGTGCCGTCCGGAAGAGCCGACCGACTGTTTGGTTTTTGGCGCGTCGGCGCCGCTGCCACGCTCATTCATTTCACGCGTTCAATTGAAACACGCGAATATTCATTCAAAACGTGAGGACAATCAAGAGGATCCGGTTCGGCTCGGTGAATTAGTGAGAAACGATTGAAACAGTGTTCGAATGAAAGTGCACAATCTCAAATTTTTGATGTCGTATATATATAAATGGCCAAAAAATGAAAGCTTCGCAATATATGGGGGAAACGTCTTTGAAAATAAATCACCCATAAACCCCACTTTTTTTCCCAACCCACCAACTATACTGAGTTGTAAACCTGTATAATCTGAATAGCGGCGGAAAAGCTTGATGACATGACAAATATTGTATGCAAAATAAAAAATCTTGTGTACGACTTTTTCACTTTTGAATAATAAAAATATTATTCTTGCGCGCAAAATAAGGATAATAAAAAACAAACATGCACATCCTTCGCCGAGATCTTGTAGTTATGGTGAGAATGGCAATTTTTTTTTGAAACGAAGCTAATATATTTCAAATTGTTGGTGGATTTATTATGTATTAAACAAACACGGAAATAATAATGGACGTTTGCGTTAAAAAAATGAAAACAAAGGAATGATTTTAACAAATTTAGGAGATGAAGCGACATTCCAGTTATAGATGGGTTAATAGCATTCAAATGAACAATGGATGATGTCGAGCGAATTGTTTGTAATTTGAACCATGCCGGGAAAAAAACTTGTCCCGAAACACAAGGATTCGAATTTTAGTATTGCTCACCTTTTTGTGACACGCGAAAAAATGGAGCATCGAGACAACTCATGCAAAGAAAAATAGGAGATGTGCCTTTACTGGTGTCGTGACGCGTGTCACATTAATTTTTACGAATGTCGTAAAATGGGGTGGGCGCGGCAGTCCCATCATTCAAAATTCATTTTTATACAAACAATGCCCTATTTTTTTACAATGGGAGAATACACGCCCACATGATTGCGAATACAGTATGACATAATTCAAGCTTGTTGGATGGAATAAGAGAGGAAAGCAAAAATTTTCAAACTATTAGCTTTTCTAGGTACCGAGTTCGCTGCACTGAACTTCCGGTGCATTTAAGCTCAGCAATACCTAGAAATGCGCGGACTCTTTCTCTTTATAGGCGAATTTTGTACCCGGTTATGAGAAATGCTGGTTTACCTGGGTGTTCTTGATATTATATTAAAAACGACAATATATTGTATATAAAACACATAAAAATATATAATAACGATGAAACGTACGAAATTCGCTACAAAACATCCATTGTGATTCATCGAAATATTTCAACATTTCTCACGGCGCAACTGTTGCAATCCCCCCCACTCTCATCACTGAAGATCTCGAAATCATGTGCTCAGTATAGGAATCATTAAATTAGTGTAACCAATAAGTATTCTGGTTTTCAGCAGGTATTTGTGTTACTATTACAGCTGAGATGAAATCATATGGTTTAAGATGAAATGTCAGCAAATAGACAAATAAATTAAACTCGTAATTCAAAGCACATTTTTGTTTTGGTGAGTTTAAACTCGGGCCCTAACTCGAACCAGAAATTTCAATCGTTTCAAAAATATTTCCAAACGACATGTGGTGCTGGTTCATTTGTTTTTAGAGTCAAATGATTGCGTGAATTCAAACACATTTTTTGATTGAACGTTGAGATCCCGTGCGAAAAAAAAACAAATAAAACTGTGTTGATGCTCAACAAAATAACGAAAAAAGACTAAAACAAAAGAAAAGAAAGGAGAACCGATAAGCACTCGAATCTCGTCCTATCTTTTCTCCAAAAAAACAAAACAAGGTAGATTATAAAGAAACAAGAAAATGGAGTTGGTGTAAAAGGATTTTTTCGATGACCAAGTAAGAAAAACTACTCTTCGAGTGTACTTCAGTACTTTTCCCTCTAGAAGAATTTGCAAAAAATTTTTAACTCAATTGAGTGCATGAAAATATCAAGTTGTCAATTTTTGAGTGCACAAGTGTTCATATTCTGGAATGTGCCACATTTTTGAAATTTGATAGGTTTTAATTTTTGTGCTCAAGGAGCACAATGCAACAGCGAAATAGTTGAAAACTAAAATCATATCAATTAAAATGAAGTTGATTTTTTTTGTCTGAAATACTGTAAACACTTAAAAATGACACAAAATTTGGTTTTTTCAGCTCTTCAGACTTGTTGATTTTTCAGTCAGCCACTGTAAAATGTTGACATTTGCGTGACAAGTGGATACTAACATGTAATGCTCACATCATCTGGCGATACGAAACTATAGGCAATTCAAAAAAGAACAAAAAAAACCATCTAAATAATAAATTGTTAGATAGGTTGTTGCAAACAATCATTGAAATTGCTCAAAAACGACTATGGAAAATAAAATTTCAAGGAACAATGAACTCCATATGCAAAAATTGTCCGAATCCGGTAAACGTTGACCTGTTTTGTCACGGATTTGAGGAGCGATTGATTTATCATTTGAATTGCCGAGTATGTAGGACCAATTCTAGAAAGCCAGTGCATTTCAAACTTTTTGAATTTGTCGTTTATACGACCGCAATATATTTGGGTTATTTTCACTCGGCGAATTTTGGGGCAGTATGTCAAAGTTAAGGGTGAGCTCGTCCCAAACTCCCGGAAAAACAACCCTGAAATTCGCCGAGCACTATATTCAAAGAACAGAATGAAGAAAAGAGTAGTATTCAATTAAAAATTCACGCGAAATAAACACAAGAAGCATTTACACCTGTGGAGACAACTATGTGAGCCATGTGCTTGTAAAATGACCCAACATTCGTCGCAAGCTGACTTTACGATTTGTGCGTCGGAAAAAAAAACGGGGAATCGCCGTCAAAAATGATGCGAGGAAGCCAGAACAGGCAAACATTTTTTCTCATGACTGTACGAAAAAAGCGATATTCGAAATGATTTGATTAACCAGGAATAGTGAAAAAAAAAAAGTTTTTCGATATGTGAACGTCACCATAAAAATGACAATTAACTCCACTTTTTGTTGTTCTACAATTAATAATTTTTTTCCGGAAAAACTGTAAATTTCAAAAATAGTAGATAATCTTATTAGCCATTTTAAATTCGATTTTCTTAGGAAATAAAATATTCAAAGAAAAACTTGAGGAAATACCGAAATAAAAAATGAAACCAAATAATTGAGTATGTTTGTAAGGGTATTCAAATTTTCTCATTCAAAAACGTGGAGCTCATTTCCGCGTCTTTAATTCGGTATTAATTAAAATAATATGCTTTGGGGAGGGTAGGACTCGTAAAATATTCTGTAGTGAAAAAAAAAACAAGATTTCATTAATATATAAAGAAGCCTAATCTCAAAATAAAGGATTATCATAGTCATAATTCTATATATCTGGGAAACAAAGCGGCGATAATCTTGACGCTTTGCGCATTTCTTCAGCATTGTGTCACTTACCAATTTCCTGAAGAAGCGCCACAATCTTGCCAAATAGTTCTTCATCGGAAAATGGAATCGGCGCGAAGCTCATTCGCCATCAAATGGCGTTTCCAACATTTCGTTTTTTTTTCGGGATTCAATGTTGAAAATAAGTTTTTTTTGTCAGTAGGGTTGCACACCGAACCAATCCAACAAAGTATGTATTTGAGTGGCGCCTTCGAGAGGTGGACAACCTTCGTAATATGGAAGGCAAATTGAATGAAATGTATAAATATGACCACTATTTCTTCACCGAGTCTTGAAGAATATGAATATGCCCGACACCCAATTTTATTTTTGTCTAGTAAGTTTCTTCTCATTATTTTCCAGCGCGAAAAAGACAAAAAAAAAACGTTCTAAATCTCATGGGATACTATTTGAAATAAGTTTAGTGGCATTTTTCTCTATACGATAATATGGAAAAAAGAACGGAGTCAAGAAAAGAGAAAAGAAGATTTTTTTCCAACGCTGGGTGACCCCTTTTATTTGCTCATAGTGGTTTTGCAACGGAAGACAGTAATACTCTGGAATGCTGTTCGGAAAATTTCGATATGAATTAACGAGAATATTGGGTTTTGCGGAATTAAATGAAATCAGGTCAATTGGAATTGAATTAATTGAAAGTGGAATTTAAAATATCAAGGTTCTTCGCATTTTTCTCCCTCTTTCGGTTTTTAGTAATAATCTTATTTAAATTTACAAACTTTATCTTTAAGTTTGATCAAACGGCGTTTTATAGAAGATCAAAACAGCTGATACCGTAGCTCAGCGAAAGTGTCATCATTATTTTGCAGGATTTTACATTTAACTCATATCACACTCGACAATTTGCTCATCAACTGAAAAGCTGCCATTCAAATGTCAACATCGTATGACGATTTGCTCTTTTTTAATATGGCGTCATTGGCAATTGAGTGGCGGGGACAAAATTTGTTATGTGAAAGAAATGGAAATATGATGACACAACGCGGGTCAAAAAAAATCAAGAAGAATGCGCCAAGTAAACAAATGGTTACACAAAATGAGGTAAACGAGGCGAAAAAATTAAAGAGAAACTACGCATTAAATTCATCCAGTATTGCGTTTTATTTGCGTTTCGACCTAGAATTGTAAGGCACCTTGATAAAAATTACACAAAAATAAAAAATGAGAAGAAGAACATTGATTGGATTTTCAAACTTTGGATATGGGTTTCCCCCCGCGTCACTCCCCGTTTCGATCGAGACCACTTGTAAATTCGCTCCCAGGCAATTGTTTATTTTACTGAGAAGACTTCATTTTCTTTTACGAGGATTTTTTGGACAATTGTTCTCAATGGATCACACCATTACGTTCAAAAAGCACTTGAGAATTTCTAGCGAGTATCTATTTCTGATATGTTGAACTTGACGCACACTCGAGAAGTCGCTATCGAATTGGTTATAAACGGTTTTATGTTTACTTGTAACCGAGCCATTGAACACTTATGTTTAGCGGATAAAAATAGTTTTGTGTTCACGTGAAGCGGCTGGAAACTATGTGGAAAATGAAACGCAAAAAATTGAGGTAACGAAGCAAAGCATGGCCTCGACGATGCGACCTAGTAGTCGAATTACAGGTTTTCGTTCAACCTGTTTAGCTAGGTCAAACTTCGTGTATAATTGTATGAAGAAGGCATTTGAATGCAATGATCAGACTTTTAGGAAGCCATAGAATCATAATCTTCTTCTCTAGCATGACAACCAAGTTTGCGGAAACGTTTCAGGCGATGTTTGAAGTTTGCTCCATAAAAAACCGGTAATTGCCCATTCTCGATCCAATTTCAAATGTTTCAATGTTTGAACTACATTATAGACACGCAGTGGACCATTAAAAAGCAAGCAATTTTATTTCGTGCTCATAAATTGAGGGAAAAAGATGCAGGGGGAAATTTTATTTCAAAATAATGAAACAAATGTACAAAAAAATGTTCACAACTTCATTTTATAATAAATATAGTTTACACATCTGAATTACATCAACAACGTATTGTTAATTGTTAGGAGACCTCAAAGGAAAACATTTTAAAGAAAAAAAAATCAAGGAATGAATTCGTTATTTTTCTCGCCTAATAATTATGACATATTTTGGCAGATCACTATGTACAAAAAGTGAATTGATGGAAATTATAGTTGACCCATAAGCAACATGTATACTACTTCAAGGAATACTAGACGCGGTCTCCAGTTTCTGAGTTCACGCTCTCATTCTCTTTAATCACTGTTAGCTTTTCGATTAAGGTGTCCGGGGGTACAATTCTCTTCGTATTATCTCTTCTGCAATTTGATTTTCATTTCACAAAAAATTTGTTCAAATAATGCATAATAAACTTACGATTTCAATGAGCTATTTCTTGAATAATCTGCGCGTTTTACACTGTCATTATGATCTTCTTTGCGTTTCTCACTTCCCTTATGAGCGTCGCGAATTGTGGAATTTTTTGTGGATCTAAAAGAAAAACGAATTAATTAAAATCTATAAAGAGAAAAAAAGTGAGTTATTATCTACCTAGTATACATTGAAATTGGAGTAGTTGGTTGGCCTTTAACTCTTGGGGGTCTCGTGAGCTTCCTACACATTATCACATGGGCACAAATTCCACGAATGTCAGGATTAATCAAACAGTAGAAATAGAAATTGAGAGCGAATTTAGTGAACTCAAGCAAATTTACAACTGCGCGGAAAATCTGCAAATTGAAAAATTCGTTACAATTTTTATGATTGCTCTTTTTTTGGCCAACCTGGAATCCGGCATTGTTGCTCTTCGCATCTGCCACTAGAATTGTCAGCGGCGCCGCCGGGATTGTACAAATGAAAAATATAATTACAATGGCGAAGAGTAGAATGAATAATCGTTTCTCTTCCTTCTCGCTTTTCTCATACATGAATCGTTTTTGTGAGTTTGCGAGCCTCTCCATCCTATCCTTTTTCGTATTCCTATAAAATTTCTTATATATGATGCACTTGCTCAATCTACCGTATCCCTTTTCATCCAGCCCCCTGAACACAAATGTTTGCATAATTTAATTACTATTCTTAGCAATTCTAGAAAGGGGGCGTCTTCGTGGATGACTTGGATTACCGTAGATCATACCACAAACCTATAAGTGATTAGAATCCGAATATTGAGAAACGCCACCAGGAAGAATGGGAATATCCGTGAAATCAATTCGCGTGATGTTTCATATATTACAAACCAGTCAGGTCTCTTGGCATCACATACAACATAAGGGCAAACGGAATCCGTCAGATGCTGAAATATCGGGTACCATTTGAATTTTGATTTTTCACTTTACCTCAGGTATAATCGATGAAATATCATGAACATCCTTCTTCACAGCCCACGGCGCATATATGCAAAAATTGAACGCATAGGCTAGAACGAACAATAGGAAGCAAATTTTGCGAGATCTGAAAACATTTGATGAAAATTGAGCCAATAAATGGTTGCCTACCGTAATCCGTAGGCGAATGGCTTGCACACCGCCATGTACTGCGATAATGTTAGAAATACCACAATCCAGACAGACGAGCCCATTAAAGCGTTGGCCTGAAACAAAGTTTAGAATTAGTGAAAATGGCAATTGAAGAATGTGCCCATCTACCAAAGGAAACCCAATATGAGCGTAGAAAAACGCCGATATTGCCGAGCATGCACGAATATCCAACAGCCACATGATCATCGGAATCACGGAGAATTGCGTAAGCTGAAATACATGTATATCTGTTGAGCTCTCTGTAAATTGGTTTCCGTTATTTGGCCAAAAATCAATCATGAAATCAGTTTCTATTTTTTTCCGGCGATTATTAAAGAAAAAGTCGAACCGAAACACGATTGCAGTCATTGATAAGCTTCTTTTTTTTGTTCTAGTTTCCCCAAGGGCCGAGTGTATCTCGAAGCGAATCTTTTTGCCTATTGTTTAATCATAAACTTACCAAATCGGTCATAGCGAGTAGTGTTAGATATGTATAAATAATCGACGATTTTCTCAGCAGATGATGGGTGAGCGTAACAACCGTAAGGACGTCTCCGACGATTCCGAATATGATGATAAATGGAGCAATATAGGCATAGGTTATCTGAAATCATTAGAAAGCGCTATCGATATTATAAGAGGCTGAACGCCATGAGGAGGCTACGGTAGTTTGACAAATTCCGCCCCCCCCCCCTCTCCTGCGACCTATTTATATCATAGTCTGCTCTTTGATTTTAAGGGAACGTCGATTACATATTTTTGTCTTGGTGGGACGTACCCTATTAATGTTTGATGCCACTTCTTCTCTTGTTGAGTGATTAAGCAGCGCGTTGAAATCAATTGTCTCATTTTTTCTCAAATATAGGCACAATTGATGCGATACCGTCATTTTATTCGGCACACTGAAACTTGGCATTAAATTTGAAAGTCTGATATGGTTTTTTGTTTCGAAAAAAACATCCAAAAATCACGGATGGAAATGAATTCTGGTTAAAATAAAATGGACGTGGGTTTCAGCATTCTTAATGAGATAGGAACTACCTCATTAGAAAGGCCAGCGTCTGCATGTTTTTTAAACCTTATTAATTATTAAGATATTATGACAAAAAAATAGGAAATTGTGCAATCTCGGCGACGTTTTCAAATAAATCGTAATAAAAGCGAAGAAATGAAAAAAGCGATTGGCAGACGATTAGAAATTCGCCGAAATGAGTTTTTATCAATTCGAAAATAATCCTGAAACGTTTTGGGTTACCTTCAAAACGCTGAAATGAAATTATGATAGCAGCAAATCAATTATCATAATACGCAATAAGTGTTCACCACGTAGGCCTGTAAGTACGTTCATTTGTTATTACTGGAGTCGGCGGGAATAAAATCGCGATGGAATCGCCGAAAGACGAAGAGAGCAAAAAATGAGAGAATGTGAGAAAATGCGTTAAATCAAGATGAATATGCATCTCAATAGTGTGACATAAAATGCTCGAAACGAAATTTTGGACTGAACACAAATTTTGATGATAAGGATACCCGGAAAGAAACAACAACGACATTTCAAGATTGTGGTCCTTTCATGGAATGAATGCATGAGTGCCAGAATAAGTCATTTCATGCAAACAAAGCTGGAGGATTTGGAATCAGGCGATTGGAATCAAAATTGGAAAGCCATATCACTAGGATGACTGCCTCAGGAACATCAAATCAATTAGACGAAACTACTACTACGTAAAAGGAAGTTAAGACGATAGACAGGCGATGTTTAATCAGACAATCGTTCGTTCAACTATCGTTCAAGTTTTTGCACTGGACAGGTGCAAAACCTCATGAATTCCTGCTACACTTTGCTCATGAATGAATATGGAATTCAAAGAAGAATGCGCCGAATTTTGAACACGACGAAAAAAAAATGACATTGCCGCCGAAGGAGAAGAAATAATAGGGAAAACTGGCAATAATTCAAAAATTACGCGTTCAAAAATAATAGTTATTCCTTGCTCGGAAGCAAGATTGATGCATTCCTTTTGTTCTCCAATGAAGCAATAAATCGCTGAGAAGAACCGTAAGCCGAAATTTAAGGGTGCGAGAAATTCTATTCTTCGAAGGAGCGAAAGCAGAAAGACAAAAAAAAAACGGATTTTTTGTTTGAAGTACGGAACGTGCTGAATTGCGACGAAAGCGAAGAAGGCTAATAAACGAATAAAGGGGCGATAGTCAATCAGTCAACGGATTCGAGTGCCTTCGTTTTTCGCCTATCATCTTCCTCCCTTTTTTCGACTCGTAGTTTTTTTTATTCCTTCTTCATCTCATCACGACAAAATCAAAAATCTACTCATGTCTTTTGTCTTGACACCACAAATTGAATTTCGCCGTCCAAAACGAGATCTCGTAAAAAACACGAATAATACAAATAGAGAAACAAAGTGAGGCAACAAATTAAAATGAGAAAAAAAAACCACGCAAATACGTTGAATAAAATAAAACAACAAGGCGAACGAGGGGGGGGGACGAAATGCAGAAGCATTCTTGAGAATCCCATTGTGTCCTTTTTGCCTTTAAGAGATGCCTTAATTACAGTAAACATTTCTCAAAACTGATTACTCATATTATAGTCGAAAATCAGCGGGGAAAAAAAAACTCCATGAAGGATGAAAGGTTCACAATGTATTAGATAAAAGAATTGGCCTCGTTTGTTGAATATGACTCACTCTTGAAAATATGAAGAAAAAAAATAGCAAGCTAACTGCAAAATATACGAAGTGGGAATTGAATAATTCGAGTATCCCGCCAACTATTTTTTTTGGTTGGAAAATGTCGGGAACCATTTTCATCAAATTCTTCCCACCTGAACAGACAGTTTGTTCGGGACACTTGCAAACAAAATTGGGGTGCTCCAACAATTATTTATAAAAAAAGGAGGATAGGAGGCGATGATTTAGAAAACAAAGGATGTGGTGTATGAGCGTGTTGGTGGTAGTAAGATTGAAAATAATTAATTGCTCTCTGAGCCGAGCTCTAGTTTCCTGGTTTCCAATAATTTGTTGGCGCAACGCAACATCGCATAGAATTGCGATTACAAGTGCGACGAAATTGCAAAAACACAATGGACCAGGGTGATGATCGAATAAGCAATTGCTGCTTGCATTAATGAATGATGAACAAGGTAGGCGAATTGTAATACCTTGAGAAGGAGTCACTGAACCAGTTCCACGGCATTGTTTTCAAGACCCATGTTCAGAGATTATATCACTCATAAAATTGTTGATTATTGGCATTTGAAACAAAGCTTTACAAACAATAATGTTTGAGACGAATCACCGAAAAACAAATGATAAAATGGGTATAACTTTGGCGCTTTTATGCTAAATTTTTGCTGGAAGTCAAGAAAGAATGTAATTGTTCTCGAGGAAAACGACAATTTATTGTGGAACATTGTAAAAATTGGTAGTCGAGTTATATACATATTTGAGCATGGAATAATCGTGGTGGTAGATGAAGCTAGCCATCCGAGAAGGCAAAGAAGCTCCAAAAAAAATTTGTTTCGCGCTTGAGAAGATAAATCAGGCACATTTGATTTGCAATGCGGTTGGTAGAAGCCCCCCCCCCTTCTCAAATCATACCCATGCAATGATTTCGAGTGGTGAAGTGAGAATGAAGAAGTTGAAGCAGAAAAAAAAATGGAAATATCGAGAACAACGAAAAGCTTCCTCCCACCGATATGGCAAATGAAACCGGTTTCGAACGGCGACTTGAAGTAAGAAAAGGTATGTTACACATTGACCCCCATCAAAAAATTTTTACCAGCTTCAAACAGTGGAGAAGAAAGGGGCGGGGGCAATTAAGGAACATACAACAGCGAAATGCACCCTCTCCAACTATGGCTAGAAACTGAAAACTGTTTGCACTGTACGACGTCACAACTCGTAAATTTTAACAGTATAAATCACAATACTCCCCCCATCCAACATTGAAAAGAAAAACAACATAATAGAGAACTGTTTGCTAGTTCAAAAGAGAGAAGAAGCGCGATGATTCAAGATTAACTATATTATTCCGGGGGTGTACACTACTTGCAGCTCATAAGATTCGCAGTAATAGGCACGTGCTCAAAAAAATGAACCTAATTTGGGCTTCAACGGCACAAGACATTCTTTTTCACGGTATGTATTTTTCATGGTGCAAGAGAATTAATGTAAAACGAATAAATGGCGGCTGAATAAGGGAAGGGGGGGGGATTGTAATAAAATTAAATGAAAATGGAGAACACTTTTTTCGAAGGTGTCTCCTCCCACCACCCTTTGGCATATTCATTTATATTAGAATGCCGGGCGGCAGGCGGCAGCAAAAGCTCAATTTTATTCGTTTTGGTAAATCCGAAGAAAAAAAACGAGGCGTACAATTATCTCATTGAGAAATCAGGCAAAGAATAGGGTGGAGAAAAAAACGGAATTTCAATTGCACCTTCCGTTTCAATTGCTTCACCATATACGAAAGACGGCTCAAATAGCGCACTCTTCGCATAAGCACTTTCGTGGCAAACGGAAAATTGAATTTTTCCTCTTTTGCTTTCAAAAAAATGATTTGTTGAAATGGGTGAGCAATCGCAAAACAACAACTGACGACACTGTGGTATTTGATGTTGGCTGAAGAAAAAAATTCAAAAAAAATGTTTGCCTTAAACAATTTCCAGGTAGCAATTGAAACAGTTAAGTTCTCTTTCATAACTGCAAACCCATTTGAATAACATATAACAAAATATTTGAAGGATATTATTAAGTAGGCTTGACAAAATTAAAAAATAAATAAATTTTTGGTGCGAATGGTTTTTGAGCACCAATAAACACCTGGTTTTAAAATATTCCTACAAGCGAGGCAATGCTCTTTTTTTGAAATCATTAATACTTGCGACGATAATATCGAATCAATCAACGAAGCATTGCACCATAGTCATAAACAACAGCACGCGAGTTGAAATTCGAGAGATTATTTATATATTTTTTTGAACTTTATTGCGTAAAAGAAAAATATTTATGAAAAAAGAACGCCTTTTTTTCATAAGAATTGATTTTGAAGGCTTCAATAGAAAATAGCCAAAATGTGTATTTTTCGAGCATCATACATCTGCAAACGTTCACAGCAAGATTTGATACTTTCAACATGTCCGCAGATGTTTTAGCTTCCTGCAATGTTGCCAGTTTACAACACAATACATAATGGAGTCGATTCTCAAAGAATTACACTACAGTAATTGTTGGCATACATATGTACATACTTGTTGTTAACAAAAGTTCAAGTTTTCTTTCTTTGCTTCAGATCAACATATAAATAGTAATAAAATTTGAAAGAGGAGAATCAACAGATAAAAAAAAGGGGGTGGGATGCCGAAAACCATTCAAAAATTCCACTTATTCAACAAAGAATATATGCATAAAACTACAAACCTTTCAACAAAAAAAACTGATGACGCCATAAAATGGGACCACTGTTCTTAATAGAATTTCAATAGATGCTTGATTAAATTATAAGAGTAAATGAGAGATGAGAGAGTTTTGAAACAACTATTATTCGAATAATTCTTCGGGAATTTTTCTGAATTCAAGAAGCGGCTTTTTACTATTGATACCAGTTTTTCCTCTAAAAATACATGGAAAAAAAAGTTAGAAGTGCAAAGAAGAAGCCAGATTCGAATTCCGTAGATGGATAGATACAAAATGTTCTTTGCGCATCAGTTTCAATACCACATCTTGACCACCTATCTCACTGGTGCCAACAAAAACGTAATTTACTCACTCACGCCTCGGTCACATCCTTCTCCCATTTCCTTATTTGATAAAGTGCAAGGATATACATAATACAACGCAATTACGTTTTGAAGGCTCGAATTCGAACACTGCTATTGATGTTCTTTCTTGGAATATGCATGTTAACAATGCTTTCAAGAAAAAAAAACACACAACAAATGCTTCATCGAAAACGCGTAAACGTTGCGCATCAAACTGATTTGCACACTTTTCCGTTCGATATTTCCCACGGGATTAATAGTCTTCCTTGTTTTGTGAGAAATGACTAATAATGTGTCTGGATGTAAGTTATTAGTGTATAATAAGAGCATCTTTACGAGTTCCTCTATGTCAATTTATTGTAAATTTGAATAGCAGGTTATCTATTGTACGGTACCCGGTTTCCCACAATTGTTCAATGTGCTCGTTTTTGCGATTGAATGATAATTTTTTAAATCAAAATTAGAATAAGAATATCTATTAATTTCAAATGTTTTATTATGTTGCATGTCTAAAAAATTTATCCAAATAAAATATGTTATTTTCCAAAGGAAAAATTAACATACGAGGTAACGTAAAATAAAGCATTATCAATCAAATATATATATAAAATTGGTTCGCAATGAATATACATTATGTGACAAAATAAATTAGTTCCTACAAATTCATCGAATTGGGCAGTAGGCTCTAATTAATCTAAAAATTACCCTTTAATCTAGTCTTGTTTGATTAGGAAATTCCCAATATTTAAGTTGAACCCGACCTTTTAGTTAGACGTAGCTATTATGCCCTGCAAACGGCTAATGTTCATTGAGCAGCTACCGTACCCAGGAGCATTCAGATCAGGGTAATATAACCAAAGCGCAGCATTTTCCAAAGCCTTGCAAATAAAAAATAGCAGAATATTGAAAAATTTTAAATCAATCGTATATTTATATACGACATTTCAATTATTTTACCTTTAATGAAGGTAACCACGATATTTTGTTTTTAATATTACTGTGCTGTATTTTATTTTTAAATTTTCGCTTATAAAGGATTACAATATATGTATATGTTTTGACCATATTTCTGGATTAGGAAATTCCGGAATCCTGAAACCAGTTGTATTAAAACGACAACTTTACTCAATTAATAGTAACCATTTTATTCAATATCCAATTAGTGACTGTAAATAAAAAAATTGTTTGTTAACATTATCCAACCTCCCTAGTGTGGCATAAACCCGTTGATCAGTGAATGTGTTTTTTACATCGTTCAAAAATAATATCATTTCCAGTTCTAAAAATAGGTAGGCCTCCAAACATTTCGATTATATATGTGATTCATCAATCTTAGGTCTTAAAACCAATACATCATTATGATTTTCGAAACAGCAACGAAATCTCATGGTCTAAAGAAATTGAAAAAAATATATATGAACAGCAAAAATTTGCCTCATTTTTGCTAAATTTCCGGAAGTGATGCGAATTTCCGTGCCAGTCATTTTTGCACGGCGGTAGGACAAATTTAATCAGTCACAAATTTCGAAAACTCACAAAAAAAATTAATTCGATCAAAACATTACGCGAAAACATACTTAGTTGTTTGATCTTTGATAGTAAAGAAACATCGACTAAAATAAAAGAATATATATTCATTATTGGGTATAACCAGCTCATAATAAACTACCTATAAATTTCAAATTAATGGAATTGCGCATTCTGATAATTATTATATGTGACAAATAACATTATAATAAAACGTTTTGTGTTTTACTGCGCACATGCGTGTGCACTGGGGAGTTCGATCTCTATCTGAGCACTGTGCGAGCCAAAGAGAACAAAAAAAAATATACGAAATGAACGCATTCCTTCAGTAAGTAAATGAGGATCGATATCTCATATGCAAATTTTCTCGGCTTTTCCTTTCAATATGGTCCCCATCATCATTTGCATAGACCAAAAGATTAGAGGAAGTGCTATGAGTGATGGGACATTGTCAAACAGTCGTTTGACCCCTTTACACACCAACTGGCAGAGCGCCGGCCCGCGCGAATCGATTAACAGAAGAAATTTGAGCCGACCCCTATTATTATAGTCCCTACTCTAATCGAACGACTTTTTTCAACATTTTCTCCATTTTTAGCAATAGATCATTCGATTATGATTGCAGAAAAATATTTATTGTTGCGATTAAAGGATATATGTGGAGAGGAATATGCTAAATCTAGAAGAATTTAAACATATTTGATACAAGAGAAAAAATAGCATGTGAGATTCCAAATAAATTTATTGCGCAGCCTTCTCGAGCTCGATGAGGTGCTTGACTCCATCGTACATTTGCTTGACAGCTTCATACTCGGTGAGTCCGAGACGTGCCTTGTTCGAGATGTCGTAGACGCCACCCTCGGAATCGGAGTGCTCTCCGTGAATTCCGCGAATCTGGAGCTTCAATCCATCGCAGATCGACTTGAAGTCCGGCTTGGCGGAGATCTTTGGAAGGCGAATGTGAACCGAAGCGCGAACGGTGGTTCCCAAGTTCGATGGGCAGAAGGTGAGCCATCCAAGGCGATCGTCGCGCGAGAATGGAGCCTGCTTCTCAATGGTCTTGACTCCCTTGATGAGACGCTCAAGAACCTAAACGCTATTTAATTAGCCCCGCAATTTCAGTTTGAATCCACCAACCTGTCCGACGTTTCCTCCCTCTTGCATGGAGATGATGCGGAGATGGTCCTCCTCGTTAACCCAGACCAAGAAGGTCTTCTGGTTGTTGTGGAAGATTCCACGTCCCTTTGGCCAGTAGCGGCAGGCGTTGGCAGCCTGGAGGAATCTGTCTCCCTCCTTGAACAAGAAGTGATCCTTGATGAGCTGGTTCTGGTCTTCCTTGGTCATTCCGTCCAATGGATAGTACTTTCCGGCCAATTCTGGGTCGTTGAGGGCTTCGAAGATCTTCTTGACCTTGCCTTCCATCTCGAGGTAGTTGGCCTCAGTAAGGCATGGGTTGAATGGATAACCAGCCAAAGAGCGTCCACAGCGGATTCTCGTCGAGTTGATGAACTTTCCCTCTGGGTCAAGATCGACCAAAGCGGCAGTCTTTCCCTCTCCAAGATCAGTGTTTGGCTGCTTGGCACTTGGAGCGAATCCGTTGTGGTAGTCCTGAGAAGAATGGAATAAATAATTGCGGGAAACAAAAACGCGTGATTGCTCACCTGGATGAGTGGGTCGAAGAGTGGCTTGAAGAGGGTGTAAGCCTCAGCATCTGGAGCGTAAACTCCGACTCCTGAGTCCAAGTTGGCAACTCCGGATTGGATGACATCGAGGAGAGTTGCTCCAAGTTTGGTCTTCTTGTCCTTAAGCTGGTCGACGACCTCCTTGGTGAGGTATTTCTTCAACAACGAGTGGCATTCCGGGCTAGCCTGCAATATTGAAAACGTATTGATAAAAACTAATACGCCCAAGGTATGCATATAGGGTTTATGGTTATAATAGATTTTTTTTTAAGTTACCTGAAGTTTGGCATAGCCCTCCTCGATCTTGGCGATGATTTCAGGAGCAACGGACATCTCTTGGTCAACTCTGGCGCAATGAAGTGAGGCCGAATAGGTTTCTCGCAGCATCCGAACGCCGAGGCTCCTCCCCCTAAACACACAACGTTATTTTTTGGCGTCGTTTTCTCTGCGTCTCTTATTAGCACGCCGATCTCATTCGCTCCCCCCCCCCACGGTTTTGTGTGTGTGTGTATGTGTGTGAGTGAGCGCCTTTTACCAAACGGCCTTGTTGTTGTCGGGAAAAAAAAATTCGTGTTGTGTTGAAGCGATGCCGAAACGAAATTACATGGATATACAGAGACACACTGGTGGGACCAAGAGGAACAGAATGGGAACGCGACGGTGCCGGCGCCGAGATTTGGGCGAACAGCAAAATAGTTTTGTGGATGAAATAAACAAGAGATAATCGCAAGAAATGAATCACACATCTGGCATTTTATCCTCTACTAATACTACTCAATTCAGCACATTTGTACAGTTGAAGATTAGCAACCGACAAATAAAATTGGCGGCGCTTCTCAAAAAACAAACCAAGGTGCCAATTATAAATATAAAAATTGTATGTGTTACGTATGTGTAGACATGCATCTCTTGCAGGAAATTTATTTCTGACTTTCTGCGCATTAGGCACACTTTTTTGGGGTATTGCAAATTTATGAAATCAAATTAACGGTCAGTTCATTTGTTATGCCTAATTTGATAGCAATTGGATTTGCGTGTTTGCTTCGTGTCTCGTAGACACATTTCAGCTGATCCAGTCTGACATTGGAGTCTAAAACACCTGGCATTCACCTTGGACGGTAACCTTGGTACTCTCAGAACCTCATTGAAATCACGTAACAACATCCCACGTTTGAGGCGCCATGGAGGAGGAGAGGGGTCCCGGAGCAGAAACGTTTGGGATGATAACCATGCCTTGTTTTAATGTTCATCACACATTCGTCGTATTGCAGCATGCACGTACATACATTTGCATTTTGACGCAAAGTTGTCGCTATCAGTTGCAGCGTCGGTCAATGTGTTTTTTTCAATTCCCGCAAAACGACCAATGACGAAATACCGATTTCTCGCCACCATTCAGCATTTCGAACATGATATGGCTATGATTCGCAAAGAACGTTCAATTGATAATTGATCATGCAAATTTATGCGCGGCATTTTGTTCCGCCATTACGGTATATTGATGGTTGAACACTTGTCGAGGTGTATATTACGAGGCTAATCGGATCACTGAATTGTATTGCAATTATTCGGATCGCGTTTTTGTGCAAAACAATTGTTCTGGTTTTTTTTCGTTTGAGAGAGGGAGAAAGCGTACAACAAGGGGTGCATTAGTCGTAAAAGCTTGCATTTTTTGGATTGGGGGGGGGTCCTTGTTTCGTTGATCTCAGAGTACTACCATTTTGCTGTGATTCATGATGCAATGGTATTCAAATGACCCCTACTAAATTGACGGCGTGCGAAAAAACCAGAGCGCGCACATTAATGACGGTCGATATTAAAACGATATACTAAACGAGGTCAGGTAGAATAGAAGATTTTTCTTCCTAATATGAATGAAGGCTGAACAATTTCGAATCATAATTTTAGGGATTAGTAGGAGATTAATATGATTTGACATTCGGCGTATAATTTTCTTATTTTTTTTTTTTGAAACCATTATGATGTAATTCCGAATTTTATAAGCTGATTTTGATTTTCCGTGCGTTCTCGAAACACAAAACCGATTTCCCGACAGATGGTTCTTTTTTATTCATTTATGAGCACACTTCGTTTGCGAGAACCGCCAATCTGATTTGCAATTCATCCGATCAATCTGGTATCAATTTCATGCCGCAGATTGAATTGACCGCTATTCAAGTGGCACGAGAGGGCCATAGCCATCGTTGCTGGAAAAAGAAAAAAAAAAACATTTTTTTCGTCTTCCTGGAGAAACTTTATTTTCTCGTCTTTTTTTTACCAACTGCCACAGCGTATGTTTGCGAGTTGGCCTCTTAGTTTCACCAACTATTTCCGTGGCCGGCGTGCCACGCGAGCCTCGTCTCGACAATTCGCCCCATTCATAAATAGAGAAGATGGCAACGCGAACGAAAAAAAATAAAAACGGGGAAGAACAATAGAATCGAATGCTGAATGCGCGTACTGTTAGAACGACAGAGACAGAAACGCGATGTTTGTTTGACTTCTAGTGAGCACAAAAATCGGCACGTAATTTAGACAATTTGTTTGATCAATTATTGCGATTCAGAACCATAGGGGTTCAAAGGGTGGCTCAACTTTTTTTTCTTTTCGCGCTGCAATTAATATAGTTTCCAAGAAAAAATATGGAAAACAAATATCAGGCAACCAAACGATATCTTCTTAAGTGGTCTGTTTTTTTAGAGTCTGCAAAATTTAGAAAAAAAATGAAGAAAGGTGACAAATATTATGAGAAATTGGCAAGAATTAAATTTGAAAGTGCAATATCCGATTAGGAGTTATTTTCTCAAAAAAAGCGTTGAAAACAAATCAATTTGTCGGCAAGTAAATCCAAAAAAAAAAGATTTTGAGAAAACGCATTCAAACAAAATTTCTAATATTCGTTGATAACCAATGAATTTGTCCACACTTCTGTGTGAATATTCATTATAATGCATTATTTCCTTCCTTTTAGCTTATTTTGATTGATTCTGTTGACAAAACTTTTCACTCAATTGACACTGATTGTTACACATTGGCTTTCCAAAGATCAAGGAAATGTGCTCTCGCCATCGAATGTCATTTTTTGTGCTGGTAATCGACGCCGGAGTTTCGCCTATCCGCTGTCATCTCTTTTGATGATTCGAGTTCATGCTTTACACTAGCTACGTTGAGATCCAAACAGCATGCATCACAAAACATTTCGCAGCATACATACGTCAATGACTTATCTCATCGTGATTATCTTCTTGGCCAACTTTCTAGAACTTTCGAAAAAAAAGAAAACGAGAAAAAAAAACACTCAAGGAAATGAATATCGTGTGAAGCATCGATATCTCTGAGAATTTCAAAAAAAAAGCGAGATGACATAATGCTAAATCAAAGTTATGAACATAATTTCAAAATACGGGAGCATATGGATTAGTGAATGTTTTAAATACGAGTGACTCATTAAAATATGCACTTCTGCGAACAGATGTTCATTGACAAGTGCCGCATATGTCGCTCAGAAAATCAGTAAATATGCGAAAAAAAATTGAAATATATTTGAGATTTTGTGAGATTCGATGGATTGTATCGCGTATAACCTAATAACAAATTATTAAGCTATTCATATGAGTATTTCTATATGAATTGGTGAAATTTATTGTTCAAGATGCAATAAATAAGTTAGAAAGTCGCAATAATTCCCAGGCATTCTGAAAAAAAATCGAAGACCATATGTAAAGTAGTAATGAGCTCTTACTAATCTTTTCATATTTTGAAGTAAAATAGACTAAACGTCATATTTAAGATTATCAACACATATCTATGTAATAATCCTTTGGTGAAGTGGATTTTTCATATGGTATAAATAATCTATAAGGTTTGGAAAATGTATTTTGGTATGATTGTTGGTAAGTTCAATAATTTATCATAAGGAGGTAACTTGAAATACTCAAAGTTAGGAGGTTCAGCTCTTTCTGGTTCCGGATCAGGAAACAGATTAGGATCGTCGAACACCCATATTCCAAGAGTAGTCGTTTCTTGCCAGTTCTCACTTTTTCCATTTTTTACAGTTGAACCTTTTTTTAGTCCTTTTGACGACACCTCTATTTGATTCTGTGGTTGTCTTTGACAATCCAATGATTGCATCGAAGTTGAATTACTCAAGAACATTGCAGAGAGTAGAGTGAATTGTAGCATTCTGAGATGTGTGTATAAAGCATAAAAAATTACACATAAAACACACGTACCTCTGAAAATGTAGGAAGATGATGCGACAATGAGAAAAATTCGTCCGGCATTTTATACCATTCAATTTTTTGGAATGATTCGATTAATGTAATTTTATTATTAAATTAAAGAAAAAAAAGAAATCTATTTTGGTTCTTTTTAACATTATATAAACAAAACATGTCTTGCTGAATAGATTTTTAATTGAAAATTTGAAATAAGGAAAAAAACATTGTTATATTTAACAGCTGAATTAAAACAACAATATTGAATGTTAGATATACTTTAAATCTGGCGCTGATAATGCAGTAGAAAGTTGGAGTTGAACAGAGGATTTTTGAAATGTATAGTAATTTTTGGTAAACATGTCTATACAAATCTGATTTGCATCACACTCTGCGCTCTCCTAAAGTTCTGCATTTTCTGAGTGTTTCTCTAAACCTCTGCATTACGAATACTAAAACATGCGAGGAAAGTGTCCCGCTTTTTTGTCCGCTCATGATTTCCTACATTGAGCGCCGGTTTGCCTTCATCGTTGGTTTTAACCCAGTTACTCAAGGTAATTTGGAGTTCCGACCTTTCAATAGAAAGTGTCGAAAACATAATTTTTGGAAAGTTTCTTCGGGGTATCCGTTGAGGCGATAAAAATTGTTGGCAATTTATAAAGATGGGACTCTCATAAACGTTTCAGACAAAAGCATAATTGCCAGCTTTATGAACCAATCTCACCGCCAAATCATTTCATAACATTTTTCAAACAATATGTTCGAATTGTTTATAAAATGAAAATTGATATGAGTCGAAATTGATTTTTCATGCTTCTCGGTGGGTTGACACACCCGTTAAACTCATCGTCCCGCTCATTGTCAGCGTGATGATGATACAATTTATTCCGTTTATTCTTCAATTTTTTCTAATTCTTTTCTATATACCGTGCTCGCTAACCGGCGAAATGCAAGGTAAGAAAATAAATGTCGTTATAAAATAGTGGTGATGAGTTTGAAGGATCAACTAGTTTAAAATTGATTGTCACCGCCGATACCCAATATCATTTCATGTGCGAAAATATGAATTTTCAATGTAAAGCAATATCGAGAAATTGCCGTGATGAAAATGATTTTCCAATGGTAAACGAGCTGCCAATTACAACAACAATTAAAAAACGAGTTCAGAATCTTGAATTAGACAGAAAAGTCAATGTTACAATTCAAGCAGCTCTTGAAAAATGCATTGCGCTTGAGAGCAGATACGCAAATCGGGTTCAAAGGCGATCGATATTGGATCTTATTGAGCAGCACAATAAAACTGTAAAGGGTTTGATCATTAACGGAGATTTGACCAATTTCGGGCACACCCACCAATTAGAAGAATTTAAAGTTTGATTTTTTACTTGTGCGCATTTACCCAATTTTCTCATTCAGAAAGGATGGATAGATTATTTTCCAGTACCTGTTTATGTCGGGCTTGGAAATCATGACTACCAGAATAATGTGAATGACTGTGTTCTCAACTACTGCGCCCATACAATGCTTTCATGGTTCACAACGTTTACCAGAAAGCATTCAATATATCCGGATATTCATAGAAAAACGAATGGGTTTTCCGAAGACTACAAAGGATCTTTAGCGTATACGGAAAGAATTTGCGATGGCACCGGTACATGAAGAAAATAAAATTCACTAATGCTGTATATTTAATTAGGTAAAGTATGCGTTTTTATGATACAATTGAACAATGCTATTGATTATACGGTTAAAATTGACGCATTTATTGCTCGTTATGAGCTCACTTCTCCATTAGAATATTTAAAGAAAGAGCTTGACCTGATAGTGGTAGGTTTTTTTTTGAATTTATTGACGTTCAAAATTTTCTAGGACTCCGGCATTCCAATACTTATCAATGTTCATCAATGTGAAGGGCTCTCTCGGAGAAAATTGAGATCCTTTTTGGAATCATTCATTGGAAATAATCAAGCGAAGAATCCGAAAATTGCTGTTCTTTTCGGTCATATGCATCGCTATCACGAGATTTATTATTACTGTATGCATGATCAAAGGGTCCCATTTATCTATGCAGGGAGTGTGCCCAACAATAGGTAAAAAAAAACCATTATATTCGAGTTTATTATTTACTTTTATTTCAGATTCTCAATATTAGAGTTTCTTGAAAATAAGGGCTATATTACTGGTTACAGCGCACTTGACCCACTGGTTTACAAAGACCAAACTTTAAAGGAACATAAACGCTTAGAATTGTTCGGCGATTGTTTACAGTCACCACATGTTGAATTTTCGAAAACGTTTCTTCATATTTTGCAAGAAATGCTTGCGAATAATCGAACAGTTCCCCTTGATTATCAATAATGGTTGTTCAAAATGTGAATAATAAAGAATTGTTCACTTTTCCGAAACAGGTCTTGTTTATATTCACCATTTCAATGATTAATGTAAAAGGAAAAAATATCATTGTTTATTGTTTATTTTATCGCAATGCTAAAATGTTATCACCATTATCGAGTTAGATGCAAATCCGATTATAAAACCCTTATTTAATTAAATATTGCAAGTCCGTCTCTTAAAAATTAATTTAAGTGTGTCTCTGGGCCAAAGTGTTCCCGTATCACGAACTGTCATGTGTAACTGAAATATTTAATTAAAAGAAAAAATGATTATTGACATGCTTTTGCGCCATTTCTGTCTAGTTGCGGGCTATTTGTGGAAACTGTATATTGTTGAAGCATTCGGAATGTTGTTGTCTTTAATTCAAGCAAGGCGAATCGCATTCCAGCGCACTGCCTCGGCCCTACACCGAATGGCATGAAAGCTTTCTTCTGAGCGTCGGTAAGATTCTCAAACCTAATAGGAGAACATTTTTCATTTTGCTAATTTTGTATTCGCTACCGGTTTGGTTTGAAAATCTTCACGTCATCTCCCCAAATTTTAGGATCCATGTGTGGAGCCCATGGATTGACGACAACTTCGAAACCCTCATGAAACTCAAAATCTCCAATAGTGCAACGTTGCGTGCAAACTCTTTGTTGTAATCTGCAACAAATTCTCGATATAATCAACAATGCATCATGTATTTTACGGAGATGCATGCGGGAAAAGACGAAGGCATTCAAAAATGCAGCATTGCAATAGCTTCATATTGCTGATATCGTCAAATGACACGTTGTCAGGTGCATTCTGAACTTCAAGCCGATAGAGCTCTTCTTGAATATCCGGATTATTTGCAAATATGTAGAATAAAGCGGCAAGAGTGTTTGAGGTGGTGTCAAATCCAGCAACGGATAGGAATTTCAGTTGAGCAGCAATTTCCTGAAATCCAATATTTGAGCGGCGCGACGTTCAAATGATTTTTATGATTTGGCAACTATTAGGCCATATCCCAATGAAAACAACAATAACAACACGGCTGACGTAAAAAAATCAGAAAATGATTTCATTGATCTACGTGCGCGTTTCCAGATCCAAAAAAATTTTGTCATTTTTTCCTGCGCTGCGTTTTGCGATTCTCTCAACCTTTTCATCTGCAGACTACAAAATATTTGGCGTTTTGCAGAAGAAAAAAGGAAATTAAAAAAAAAAACACATACCTCCGTTAAAATGGCTCGCTCGACTTTCACTTTCTTCATATCAATTTCACCGTAGGCCTTTTCCTGCGAAATGTCAAAATTGTTGTTATTATGCTCATAGAAATATTGTAGTAGACTGTAATCTTGCTTCTCGTCCGGCGTTTCTCGCGATGTTTGCAAGAATCGATTGATAAGAGATAATAAATAATCGAGGAATAGCTTGCGTTCGATGTGGTTGTTGAATTGGTTCATAATGGGTGATTTAAGGAGCGAGCTCAGTTCCGGGAAGAAGACTGACATTCAAAAACTCAAATTCAATATTGTTGATCGAAAACTTACAGGCAATCTTCTCAATTCCGTTGAATTGCTTATCAGCATCGGTACCAAAAGCATTTTTAAAAACGCTCAGAAATGAATTATCACTATGATTAATATCCTGAGGTCCATACGCGCATTGAATAAGAACAAATGACGTATGATTTTGAAATAAGCTGAAATTTTTTCGATTTGATAATCATAAATAGCAAATCGAAATTTTTTTCTGGTTCTCGATTATTAGAAAAATGAGCCTTGAATGTACCTGTCAGTACCTGTGAAGATCAGTGACGTGAACTTCGTCATCAATTAGCAATTCTTCGAAATAATTAAGGAATTTTCCGACACTGTACTCAATTGTTGGATGAAGCTGGAATAATTTAATAAGTTTTTAGCTAGAATAAACGGACAACTAACATCCTTCAATTTAGCATTTGATAGACCATAACTAGTTAATGTCCGCAGCCTTTTCCATCGTTCCCCTCTGGCAGCAAACATGTGAATTGTTTTCGAGCTGACTGGACAATCACTAAGAATTTCTTGCTGAAATTTTGCCTTTATAGCTTATTTTTCGAAAATTCTGGAACGCACAATTCGTGAATGGAAACAATTGTAATGTGTTGATGAAATTGCATGAATCAATTCCGGATCACTTGTCACCACCACCGGATGCGATCCTTTCATCATTGAATAGGTTTTCGTGTTCAATGTGCTGCACATTTCTGTGAAATTTTTATGGGCTTCATGGCTGTTCAGCCAATAGAAACCCTTGACGCCAAATATGTCAAATATCGGTGTCAACCCGCTTTTTCGAAGAAGTCTGTACAAATGAAGCTGTCTGGAAATATGAACTGCGTGAAATTCACGTGATCACAAATAACGCACGATGCATTTTTCTTGTTGTACGTGTGACTAATAAAAATTGAATTGAACTTTTGTTAGACGAAGAAACGTTAAAAAGCGGAAGTTGAAATAATAAAACTGGTATTTTCTAAGTAGTCTGTGATCTTCTTAGCATTGTTCGAAAAAATTGAAAAATTTTACCTGATTGTGATGTATATGAAAGCGGCGATTGGGATTAAAAGCACTAGAATCATACTGACCTGCAAATATCACGTATACAAAAAAATTGAACTCCCTGACGCCGATGACTGATAAGTCAGAATAGTGAACTCATTATCTATATATCTTTTCGGTAAACATTTCGAATTTCATCGAAACACGTCTTTTTCCGCTCCCTCCCTCGCAAAAATCTCTCCATTATTTTTGGTCACAAATTTTCGACAAAAAATCGGGGTGGAATAAAGTAGGGCATTGCATCCTGCCATTATACAGCAATTAAGCTCAAAAAGCTTTTTGGAAGCCCATTTACCTATTTTATATCATTTGGTGTGTCTATTTTCGGGAGACAATAACAAAGCGAAAACAAAAAAAAATTTCCATTCTCCATTTTTGGTAATTGGTTTGGTTGCGCTGGTATAGATAAGAGAATGAATGGTTTTTGCTGGTGCGAATATAAATAAGAGGTGTTGTTATTGTTCCTCTCGGTGGCGGAACGGTTTGATAAATGAGAAAGTGGTCAGACGCGAAAAAATTTTGAGAAGATATCAAGATTGCCATAAAACTAGATATGCTTATCATCCATAATGGAGGTGGGATTTCAAAATAGACTCTGATCGTTGCTGTTTTTTCCTTCGAGAAATTTTTTTCGAAAAGTCAACCTAGTTTGTAGCCTGCTACATCAGTACAGTGAGATGATTGCGAAATCAAAATTTTCCCACAATTAAAAAATGCATATTTAAAAAAAATTAATAAAAAATTATATTCCAACTCAATCAAAACTGAAAACAAATAATTGTGTGAAATTTATCCAACTTTTTCACACTAAAAAATAATGATTGTATCGCGATTTGTCATGGGTTCTAGCAACATGTGATTTTAACGAAAACCGTCAAAATCTATCTATCTATGTATGTCAAAAAAATATCAAGATGAAATGAAATGAAGAAACCGCAAAAAAGATCTGATTGACATCTAATTACCAAAAAATATTGATAACATATAAGTTATTTGTCTTTGAAAAATGAAATGAATCTATCAATAATATACTGAAAGTTCCAGAATTATGATCCTCAACTAAAAAAGCATCTTTATCAAAGTTTCCCTGTTGGAAGCGTCTAAAAAGCGTTGATAAATTTTTCAAAATTCATCATTCCAGAAAGAAACGGTTTAAATCGTGAAAACCAGAATTCTCCTAGGACGTGAAGATTTCCATATTCTCATGATCCCCCCATCTAGTGCATACATAAATATAAAAATATTCTGAATTTCCATAAAAGCAGTTCCAATTATAAGCTCGATGACAGGCAACGTCTAAATATACACTCAGCCGTCATTCTCAGAGCCATTCCATTCAATTGCATCCCGCCATTTTCAATTCACTCAATTTCGCCCCATCGTCACCATCTTCTATTCGATTCCAGAATGATCAAAGCCGCATAGTTCAAATAACCAAAGCGCGAAACGAATGGGCGCGAAAACCTAATCAAAATTCGGGAAATGCTCGAGTAGATGAGGATGATGGAAAACGCCATATCCGTACTTGACAACGTCTTGTCCATAAGTGAAAAATGAAGGTCTCATTTCTCTTAGTCACGTCTCACATCATCGAGCTCGGAATGAGATTTCTGTCGTCCAAGTCTTCACTCATTTCCATTCCTGATGCTGGCAGTTTTTTTTTTCATCGTATATGATTTCACCTACATATAAAAGCTCGCCCGATTTATAATGCATAATCTTTTATTCTACGGGAAGTAATTGGCCTAGGTAATTGGATCCCCTACTGAAACTCCGAAGTAAAGAAAAAATCAACGTGTGTTTTTCGGGATTAGGTTTCCGAAGAGCAGTGAGCCCCGACTCAGACCCAAAAAATTGCATTAGGTGGGAGCATTGTTCTTGTCTTCATCGATGAATCATTCATCATTCTGGTTTCCTGACGCCGCTTTCTCTATCTATCCACTACTGTTAGAAAATTGTCTTCCGGTAGGGCGGCGGAGACACCCTTCCGCCATATATTCAACCTTTCATGAGTGTGCGTTTTTTTAGCATATAAATGTACATATATTTTCTGACAACTGACATCGTATTGCCTTCTGACGGGGCACGTAGGTCAAAAATCTGGAGGTCATTATTAACACAATAGTCATAAAATTATTTGCAGACCGCCGCGATTGGGACCGCCTTGAAATTTCAGTGACCCATCACGACGAGTTTTGTTCCATTATTCCAATGTATTCATATTGTCTGAAATTCATATGAACTAGAGTAATCCAAGAATATTTGATTTTCAGTTCTTAAGACAATTTTTTGGATTAGGAAATAAAAAAATTTAAGCTAAATACAGTTTTGATTCTTAGCACGAAGTATATTGTAGTATTGCATATATTTGATACGCAGCCAAATCGTAAATTATCGCAAGACCAAATTGCGCCTTTCAATTTTTCACGCCCCGCCCACCGGACGTCATTTATCTTCTACAATATAGCATAAATCTGGAAATTGATCTTTTTTGAATAATTTTTAGTCCAGGGTCTTACGTTTCAAACAAAGCTCTCTGTTCAAATTTCCCGAATCAAGTCTTACATTTTATATTAAATTACTCTGAATATATTATATATTTTAAGGGTTAACGATTACTGGAAAAATCTGGTAAACAAAACTTTATATATTACTTCTACGAATTTTCAAAAAAGCGTACTTCCCATTAGAAATTGAAAAAATTTCAATAATGAGTCAGAATCATCGAATCGCGGAGATAGTTTTTTTCCGTCCCAAAAATATATATAATTCATATTAATAATAAAAAATAATATATCAAATAATATTCTCTTCTCCGTTTCTTTTTTGTCAATTCGCTCGACGAAATCGTGAGAATTTTTTGGGTGGTTCGGTGATCTTTTCCGCCTCTTGCGCGCCACCCCGCTCATTTTTGCCATTTATTTATTTCGTCAGCCGGCGTGCCTCAAGCATAATCGTTCGGCCAGATTTCAGATAGTATTCACTTGGGTGTGCCTTCTGTTCGACAATGGGATCGATTCTAGAACTGATTAGCGCTTATCGCAATAATCGCAAAATTCTTCTTCTAATTGTTTATATAGCATTGTTTTTGGATAACATGCTTCTGACAACAGTTGGTAAGTGATTCAGCCTTCTAATCAAGCCGTACTCCATTCATATAGTTCCTATTATCCCGGAGTACCTCCTTCGTTTGGAGCATCCCAACGAAACGGCTCAGCTGTTTGACGAAGACAGCAAACTTCGAGTAAAGCGACAGGTCCAATCCTATCGTCACCACTTTCATTACTTATTTACATTTTAGTGGGATGATGATACCAGCTGGGATATTCCTCTAAGACTCGATGAGGACGATAGGATTGATTGGGATGAGAACCCAATGGGACCTAGAGGGCGGATTTCCAAGCAGAAGAGCTCAAGAAGGAAACAATCGAAAAATAAGGATTATGACGGAAGGTTAATTTAAAGGAGAAGCTCGATTATTGTGTTTGTAAACAATTACAGAAGAAAGTATATGAAACCAGCAGCCCCAAAGGTCCGTCCATCGGACTATGATGAGGATGAGCAACAAACTCCAAGACCAATGACGGATAAAGAGAGGCATAAGCTCCTCACATCGGAAAATGTGCATGTTGGATTGATGTTTGGATCAAAGGCTTTGGTGCAATTGTTGGTGAACCCGTGGATCGGTCCTCTTACTAACAAGTAAGCGAGATAATTGTTAACCAGATGTCTTAATTCGATTCAAGGATTGGATATACCGTCCCCATGTTTGGTGGATTCGTCATTATGTTTAGCTCCACTATTCTATTTGCCTTTGGAGAGTCTTATTTCGCATTGTGGCTTGCACGCGCTCTGCAAGGTGTTGGTTCGGCTTGTACAAGTACATCTGGTACGGTTCCAAATATTTTAATAATGGATAATGTCAGCCAATTTGTTCAGGAATGGGAATGCTTGCGCAAGCGTATCCGGATGATTTGGAGCGTGGTAGTGCGATGGGTATTGCGCTCGGTGGCCTAGCACTTGGTGTCCTTGTCGGGCCACCATATGGCGGATTACTGTACCAGTGGAGTGGCAAAGAGTTGCCGTTTGTCCTCCTTGCCCTTTTGGCACTGTTCGATGGAAGTAAGATCAAATTAAAAATATATAAATAAAACCACAATTGTTGAAATTCAGGCCTCCAATTTCTCGTTCTTCAACCAAAAATTGACAGAGGGGAGCCAGAAGGCTCTACAATCAAACAATTGGCAAAGGATCCATATATTATCATTGCCGCTGGGGCCATTACTATTGGAAACTTGGGAATTGCGATGTTGGAGCCGTCTTTGCCGCTATGGATGATGGAATCCTGGGGTGCAAGCTCTTTGGAGCGAGGAGCTGCTTTCCTACCGGCTTCGATCTCCTACCTTATCGGAACTAATATTTTCGGACCGCTAGCTCACAAAATTGGAAGGCAAGACAATTTTAGTTTGTGAGGATTAGTAAAAGGTTCAGATGGTTGTCATCGTTCATCGGACTCGTTGTCATCGGATTCTCGCTTCTCTCTGTCCCATCGGCTACTTCCGTTGCTGGACTCATTATCCCGAATGGACTTCTCGGTTTTAGTATTGGTGAGATAAAAACGTCACGTTTTCCATGAAAAAAATTAGCGATATTGTGGGAATTTTTAAAATTCGAAAAAAATAACTAGTCTAGACCAAGCTAGTCAAATTTTAGGAATGATTGATGCTTCGATGTTCCCACTTATGGGATATCTTGTGGACATTCGCCATGTTGGAGTTTACGGATCGATCTATGCTATTGCTGATGCCGCGTTCTGTTTTGCTTTCGCGTTGGGACCATTCTTCTCGGGACCCCTTGTGAAAACATTGGGATTCCCAACAATGATGTATATCATTGCTATCATCAGCTTCCTTTACGCCCCATTGATGTTCCTATTGAGAAATCCGCCAGTTTTGATTGACACTACAACGCAGGCGTCGGCAGCTGAGGTAATAAACGAAAGGGAAACCAAGTTTGCAACATTATTGCAGCGCTCCAACGGTGTTACCGATGAACCATATGAGCGCATCGAAGGAAGAAACATCGCCGGACAAATCCAGAGAAACGATATTTACGCAACCACTAGCGCATTTTAATTTTGTAGCATCCGTGTTCTAATTTTCATTCAAATTATCCACATAAGCCAATAGGATATAATTTAATTTCTTTTCAAAATTTATTTTTAATGTGCTTTAGAAGCTTGCTAAATATTTATATAAAGAAACTGTGTTGTGGCCCAGTTTTATAATATAACACACACACACACTTCGACCCCTATAATTAAGTAAGTCGACCGCCGCCGCCGAAAATTGATCCCGATTGTATCTCAGAGTGTGTTCTCAGAATAATCTTGACACATCAAAAAGGCACCTATGTAAATATTATGCAGATGGTTTCTGATTGTATGTCTATGGAAGCACTTGAAAAGTATTGGGTTGTCTTCGTTTTTTTTTTGCTTTTTGAATTTTACGCGAAATTTCATTCTATTTTTAGATTGATTGAGAATGCAGATAATTTTGAAATGGTCGCAAAAGCAGTTTTTAACGTATGCCTTTTTTAGAAAAATTTCCGAGAAATTTTCGTTTTTTTCTGGAAATTGACGTTAGTAATTAGTGTTTTTGACAACTAAAATTGAGTAGGAAAAAAAGCCATCAAAAGATATTTTGAATGGTGCATTTTTATAACCGGAAAACTTGAAAATCACTCATTATGCGTTTTCTCATTTTGAGATATATCATAATTTCTTGGACAAAACTAGATATTCATGGCATTCTCTGAAAAAGCGTATACAGGGTGTCATTTAAGTTCCCGCACAACTTTGAAGACGTATATTTCTGAAACTAAAAGTCCAAATCAAACGAGACTCAAAATATTTTTTATCTATAGTATAACAAATATTTATCTATTAACTCTTTTCGATTCGGCCTCCTTTCGCAGCTATGACTTCACGGAAACGCTTCGGGTAGGATGCGACTGTGGTACGCAGGTATTCGATGGAAAGATTGTCCCATTCCGCCAGTAATGTCTTCTTCAGAGCCTCTACACTTGAATGGGGTTTTGCGTTGACTTTCTCCTGCAAGACCCCATCACGGGAAAGTCAAGCGGGTTCAGGTCTGGGGAGCAATCAGGCCATTCGGATGACTTGATGAAGTCGGGAAAATGGGTCTGGCACCACTCCTGAGTAGTTTTGGCAGTGTGGGCGGCTGCTCCGTCCTGTTAAAAAACCTATTTCTGCCCACCGAAATGCGTTTTGGCCCAGGGTATCACATGCTTCTCCAAAATGTCCCGAACGTAGACTTCTTTGTTCACTTTCACCCCCTGATCCGCGAAAACCAGGGAGCACTTCCCGGTTGAGCAGATGGCACCGAAAACCATCACACTGGCAGGATGTGAGGCTGGATGATATGTTCTTCCTTTCTCAGAAGCTTGCTGGGATGTCTGGGCAAGTACTCAATGGTTTTGTGAGTTGAATGCCGCCTCCACAGTGAACAGCTTCTCATCGGAGAAGACAGTGACGAGGTGTTCTCCAGACCGCGTGCGAGCAAGAAGTCGTTTTGCTTTTTCGAAGCGTCTCTGCTTGCTGACGGCCGATAGAATTGCCGCTTTTTGGACACGATATGGGGTCAGTCCAAGCTTCGTTTTGACAATTTGTTCCATAGCGAAGATGCTCATTCCCATGTCTAACGCCATCTTTCTCATGCTCCTGTGGGGGTTTCGCCTGATCCTCGATTTGACGGCGTTGATCTTCTGAGGAGTGGTTACTGAGACGAGTCTTCCTTGTCTGGGACGGTGACTGGTCGTATTTAGCTCCTTGAAACGTTTGATGGTGTCGCAAACCGTTCTACGAGGCACACCGACCCGTTGAATGATGTCTCTCGAGCTCACATTTTGCTTATGAAGTTCGATAATGGAAGCGCAATGGATGTTAGCCTTCGTCATTTCTCGGAAACACATCCGAATGAGGTGAAACTTGGAAAGTAAGTAAAATATACCTTATTTAACAAAAATAAATTGTATTGGTGCACGAAAAGTGCGACAGCCAAGCTCTTCATGGCGTCAAACTTTTGTGCGGGAACTTAAATGACACCCTGTACACTTCAACAAACATTGTAAATAATAAGCTTGTACGGTAGATTGAATTACTACAAAAGCAGTTATGTTTAAGAAATCTATTTATTAGTTTTGAAGGTCTCACAATCCACCCCTTTTTTCAGAAATGATCGATCTCGACGAATTTAATACCATATATGTGTCAATTACCAGAATATCACTCAAAGGCGTCTCAAGAGTTCGATACACCTCTTGAAAAAAAATTATATATATATGACGAACGGATTTTCAATACTTGAAGTGGCCGATCGACACTCAATAGATCTGAACAACGGGTTAAAAAACACTGTAGCTATGATTGGATAGACAAATGAATAAACCCTCCTCATGGCACTTGTTCTAATTAAAAATGCGGATTAATTGTGGTTGCCTGGACCGTTACAGGTTTCCCATCAATCGTATTTATAGATGTATGGTGTCACAATATACATATGTATATATAGATGTCGGGCACAGTTTTGAGGAGGTAGCTTTGCAGATTTCGCGATGTTATCTCGGTCGGGTTTCCTCAGGTGGCCTGCTACCCCCTCAAGTCACGTTTCTACCCCACATTTCGCTTCTCAAGCATTCTATATTGTTATAACTATTAGTATTGCTATAAATCGAAATGCTTTGACAAAATTGATACATCTCAAGTGAATCATATCACAACAATTTTGTGTATGCACATAACACGACTTGACAAGGCTTGTCAATTTGTTTTCATGACTGTGCTTGTGAAAATCACTATTTTTCCTTTTTCTTGTCAATTTTCACTTGTTCTGATTGTTGTCAGAAAATTTTCCCGATTTCTGAATTTTCAACCAATTTTCAATCAAATATGGTCATTAAAAATCTTGATGATTCAAAAGACGAAAGCAATGATTGCTATTTTGACCGTAATTCTATAAAAGTTAAAGTTAATTGTGCGTTTTGTTATGATTAGCCAAATCGTTCGGCAGAGAGCTCAAAGAGATGTTATCAAAGAGCCAAGTGGAGCCAGTAATTATGATAAGAAAGATACTTTGTCGGCGCAATTGTTCATAGTAGATTATTGGTTTTTCCTTTTACAATATATCACAAGTGCAAAAAAACGAGCACCCTGTGCCGATTTACGATGAGTTAGCTTTGCAGCTTTTACAGAGTACGGTATCCGAATTCGTACTTTTTAAATTAGAATTTGAATTACCGTCGCGAAAAATTGCAATGTTCCATAATTTTGCAAGGCACTCATTTTTTTTTTCTTTGCGACGGGAATTTTTTTTTGGTAATGTCATGTCACCCGATTTTTATTGGCATTAGCAACTGAAACAATCAACATCCTATTTTCCTGTCCTTGAAAATATGAACAAAATATGAATTTCTTCCATCTGTTTGATGAACTGAGGTCATCGCGCAGTATGTCTAGGAAATTCCATTGTTTGTTTTAAAAGTTTGAAAAAGGAAGTGTATTAAATTTTAGTTAATTTAGCAAATCTTTGTTAAGTAATATAACCTGCTTGTATTTATCGTAGGTACATTCATCAATACAGTTTATCCATTGAATTTTAAATCCCTCATGTGTTCCTCGCAACATCAGATTCGCCAGCAAAAAGCGAATGAGAGAGAGAGAGAGACATGGGCAATTTCGAAACTCATTTTCGGAAAGCGGTGACATTTAACGTCGGTTTGAAGACTTCAAACACCCGTCATCCTTTCACCATCGACAGTAACGGCTCTATGACTCATCGTGTTTCCTTCATCCAAGCAAAAATCGACTAAAAACACATTCGGCGAAATGCGTCTCGACAATCTTCTAACAATTTTCGCGCATCATCGTCATTCTGTTTTTGATTTGATACCAGGATATTCTTCATACAATTCGTACAATTTTAATTATATCGGCGTTCGAAATCGAAAACCTTGCTAATCAAGGTCGACGCGTTCGTATGATTTGTTTTGGCATTCGGTTTCGCAGGTTTTTTTTCCCCCAACTTGCGTTATCCTTCAAAATCCCCAAAGGCGAATTGGGTCAGATAACTTGTTGAGCGCAAATACCAGTTTGTGTTGGCGTTTTCCATTTCATCCATCATATTCTCGGCTTGTCCTTGAACTGGAGGCGCGAGATTATCAAATTTCCCCATCTTGTCATGCACATTCATCACGCCAATGTATTTGCCGATAATAAATCGATTATTTATGTTGCATGATGTGCATCTCGCTCATCCTTTACTAAATTTTTGTAAATCGTACTTCCCTATCGTTTAAAGCTTTTGAGTACCAATCATTTTTGTTCATTTTTTTTTGTCACTGGCCCTTCCTAATTTAAATCATTTTGTTTAAAAAATTAGAAAAAAACCCTAATTTTATTTGGTCGACAGAAAAAAATTAGAAAATTTTAGAGTCTCCCCCCATTTACTTTTTTAAAAATCTTATCTCTGCATTTTTTCCATGATAATTTTTTCTTTACACTATTGAACGTCTGTGATTGAAGCCGAACATCCTGGATAATCTTTAATTCATTTCTAAGCATTTGCGACAATTTGATTGATGTTTCATGATTTGTCCATTCATTGGATTCCATCCTTGAAAACAAACTTTTGCATTTGCTAGTGATGCATCTCGTATTCATCGCACTTGTGGCGGAAAATTTTCAATCATCGCACCAATTTTCTTCCATCGTCTGTTCGCCTTCGGCCGCCGCCCTCCTCATTTTTTTCTCTGTTCATGCAGCCACGCATTATCGTCGATTTACACACCGACGGGTCTTCGATCACAATTTGGGATGTCGAAGGCGAACAAAAAAATGAATGAAAGTTCCAAGGAAGGTAGGCACCTAATCGGTGGCGACCTTCAAAACCGATTGTGCACTCGTTAAACATCGACCGATTTTTATAAATACATAACTACATTCAATGTTTACGGGGGGGGGGAGGACACTTATTGGAGGTCCGAAGACAATGAATAATGGGTTCACGGGGGTTGTGAGACAACGAGTCAAGTGCTTGTTTAACGGGTGCCAAACAAATCGAATGAACAATGCTTGTCATTGGGGATAGCATAGCTTCGATCTTGTTTGGAAAAGCAGCAGCTTGGGCGTTTGAAAAAAATCTTAAGCAAGGTTTTGAACTAATCGCGACCGAATCAGCACAGCGCAACAAAAAAATTGAGTGAAGTTTTTAGACAAAGCCGATTACCATAGGAATCCGGTTTTTTATTCGAATCCTATTGAAATTGTCAGGATTTATTTCTTGGGCAAGGTCGGCCAAATGGTTTTGCTGCAACCCGGGCATGATTGTCCAGATCATCAAGAACTTGATTAAAATATATATGGTCATATTAAGAGACTCTTGAGATGACAAGTGTCACCTGTGGAATTCTAGACAGCTGTCCGCTTTCCAGATGTGTGCCCCCCGACCAATTCGTCATTTTAATATCTATCTTATTCGCGAATGATAGCGATCGCAGAAATTTGCATAATTCAATGACCATATTTTAGCCCATTATTCGGAATACTCTCTTCAATTCCCATTTTTCTCAAATGTTTTGTATGGGTCATTATTCGCGATTTGATCATGTCTCGAACGCCTTGCAGAGTTTATTCACCATTTATTACCTTTCTGACCCATTTAACTACCGACGGCCCGGGGTGCCTGGAATTCGTTATTAGTTTATTCATTGTTACTACTATACTAAAAGGAAAAGCCGACGCCTGCCAATTAAATCGTCGCCACCAATTCCGTGAATAATAGTGATGTTCCGGACAGGAAGAATTTCAACGCGGTACCATTCCTTTGGCGGAACGTGGGGTCCCGTTTTCATGAGCCCCCTTCAAGACATTCATTATTTGACCATAACAATCGAGAAAACAAAACATATGTAGACAAAATTGCGGACCACTTGACGTAGTCGCTTTCGAGTACCATTCAATCCCGGAATGCGCACTAAACTCTTTATAATTAATTTGGTGGTCAGGAAACCTCGGGGGCTCCTCATCGCTCCCTAATGGCAACAACATTTTAATCATGCAGGCCACAAGGCTTTTCCGGTTCGCTTAGGTGGAGGGTTGGTGGACACAGGCGTTAATTAACCACGTCCCGCAAAAAAGGCTTTTATGGCTCTGGATGTTTGTTTAGGTGGCACCTTGAAAGCTGGTGGCAAACGATTGCGTCTTCTCGCAATTGTTAATTACACAATCTCGCCGTCGCTGGCATATTAGCTCAGCAGGTGTTAAAGGACCCTTACCGTATTTTCGTCGTCTTTTTTTTATTGGGTGCCTTTAAAAGAGGTCGGGTGGAAGCAATGGGGGTCAATCGAACTAATAAAGTCACGCGTATGCTAATCTGATTTGAGTGGAAATTTCCTTCCGCTTAAATTTTGCATTTCAATCATTTCGGTTCTTGAGGTAGACTATTACTGTGATTATTAATCGCCAAGTCGCTTTAAGTTCAAATTGCTAGCTTACAAACCTGATGAGCCACAATTCCCTATAAGAAAATAAACGTCATTCTCGGGGGACCAATTATGTTTCTTTTTTCTTTTCATTGAATTATGTTGCTTTTGTTTATTAGATTAATTTCGCAACATATGGCTCACCTAGTGGTGACCCCTTCTGTCAGACAAACTTTTTTGTTTATCGGTCTTCTGTACAATTTACGACCAACCGGCCTCATTCATCCAAAAGCTTCTTTTTTGAGTTATTATAGCCGCGCGGTCAATAAAAACCATATGCGTTGAAGGGGTGGATCAAATTGCCAATGGCTTCGCCGCCTTTTTGTCGACCATCCACTAATCCGCCTTGTTGTATGTAGTTCATCTACTCCAGTCTCAAGATAAACAAAGGCGAACGGTCGATGCCATATGCAAAAACCGTGCCGCTCTCTCGCGCGCGCGCGCGCGCTGCTCCGCCCATTTTCCGCGCTCCACTATTACCAGTCAAGTCATTTCTCGCCCTCCGTGTGCATCTGTGTTAGCATCTGCCTATGTATGTGTTCATTAACAAAAGCCTTAAGGTTGTCTCCCAAGGGACAGTTTTTTCCGTAAGCCAATGTTTGGGTAACTGACAGATTGTCCAATTAATTGCAAATTGTGTTCGTGCATAATGGCGAAAAGTCAGCGTCCAACTGTTTTCCAATCCATTCGTCTTCTGTTGACACCATTTTTGTTTTGCAAACATTTCTTGCATTTATAGTAATTTGAAATTTTGCCACTTCTACCCATTACCCAAAATTTGATTCAATGCGAAATTCAATACCACAATTCACAGATTAATATCTTGTTTCGTTCGTCCAATTCCGTCGTCGGGATTAAATTGTCAGTGAAAATGCAAATGTCTCAATTTACACCCGTCAAAAATCGCCTTATAATTATGCAATCTTGCTTGATAGAGAGCGAGAGAGCCGATTTCCAATGAGCACGAGCGATTCCACTTGAGATATACATCTATTGGCACAGTTTTGATGAATGAGCATGAACAAGGGGCGTGAGGGAGGCGGCCTATTCAAATTTATTCAAAAATCTCGCGCAGTCACTTGCCTGCCAACATCAACTCAGCGCATTGTTTTGTTTCAATTCGATTCAAGTCGCTTTTCGGAAACGTATCGTAGAATAATTACAGTTGACGTATGCGACTGGTTTGTTCTTTCCGCTTTTTTTTCTGTATAATACCTTGTATATATATGTACAATGTTTCATCGTATGATTCAGGAGGCTTGCACATGTTACTTCTAGTCCTGCTTCTTACGATCGCCGCCCATCTTGGTAAGAATGAAAAGGAGAAAGGAATGTGTTGAAGCATTATATTTTTGAAGGCAGCGGTCATGAAATCAACACCTATAACTCTGATTTTGGCGTATTTCTTGGTGAACTTTCCAATGGCGAATTTGATATTGGCGGACAAGTATTTCTGGTGAATGGGACTACTTTGCAAATTTTCAATTTCACATTTAATAATGCCGAAAAAGGTAATAATTTCATTGTAAACCAAATTTTTAGTTTTCTGATCAATTCATATATGTATTTCGAGCATTGGGCAATTTGAAAATGAGATTAAAGTACGAAAATTCTTCTAGATGCCTATTTTTGGCTTGACGTCAAAGATACGCCAACGCGTGAAGGGGTGAAAGCACATACATATGAGTACGGAATCACTCCAATCGGCGCATTCCCGGAATCATCAGATCGTGTCGTTGTTCATATCCCAGAAAAACATCGAATTGATGATTTCAAATCATTCTCAGTCTACTCATTTAAACAAGAGGTATAGCAATTGACAAAACTGATGACCAAATAATGAGTTTGAATTATCAGAGAAACTATGGATCTGTGGTGTTTCCGGAAAACATGAAAATTCCAAAATCTGTCAAGCTCTCGTCGGAATTCTCGGGAAAACGGTATCAATATTCCCGAAGTTTTTGTGATCAACTCATTCCAATTTAGATATAAGCTCCGTTCCGGACCTCTCTATGTGATTGACAGGAGAACCATTAAGGTTTATGGTTTCACGTTCGAGGGAAATAAAGCTCCAAGTATGTATGATTTTGGTCACGTTTGTGCAAAATTTGGTATTGTTTAGAAACGTATTTTTACGCCGGACGAGGTGCAACCGTCTCATACGCCTCAGGAGTCAAAGTGGGAATTCGAGGAAAAGACGGTGAAGAGTAAGTCATATATCGTTCACGTGAACGTATGCGTCTCTAAAATACACATGTTCCACAATGTGTCGTCAGTTCTATTGCCCGACCCCCCCCCTCCCCTCAAGTTCTGTCCACTAAGCAAACTCTCTCATCCCTCCGACTGTCCACTACTCTTTTTTTCATTCTATCTGATAAGAAAATCGCGCCATTTTCTCCCCATATTCTTTTTTTTCTGGCTGAGTTTGATCGTTTCAAAGAAGAAGAAAAAACGTTACCCTAAACGATCAGCCATAAATGCTAATTGGGTTAAGGCGATGATCTTACGGCTCGGTCGGGTGGCGTTCAAATTCCGCGAAGGGCCTGTAAGCAAATTCCTGACTGCTTATATTCTTGCACTCTATCTGTAAGCGAAAAACACGCAGCGTCGTTCGATTAATTCCAAAATTGCCCCTCATTTTTTACAGTGTTTCGGAGATCACCGAGAATTATCGCGGCGGCAAAGACATCATTCTTGAATTGCCGGAGAATTATGACATTTTCCATATTGACTGGATATCGGTGTACTGCACGAAATTCCGTGTGAACTTTGGCAATGTTTTGGTGCCATCCGACGATTCGCTTTCAACACTACCACCGTACGTGAAGCCGACAAAAGTCCCAAAGGAGGATCAAGACAATGCGGAGCGAGGAATTCTTCGTGGATCACCGATGAGGCGAAATTTCACGTTCCAGTTGGCAGACACAGAACACAATAAGCCGTACAAGGTTGGGCAAAATTGCACATTTAAAATTTGTGCATTTTTCATTAAAGGGATTCCCATACCTCCGCTCACCGCGTTATATCTTCTACGTCAATGGAGTGAAGACCCCTGACCTTTATCTTCAAAGGAATATCACCTACACATTCAAGTAAATTACCTTTTATGGTCGTTAATATCTTTTTTAATTCCAGCGTGGAAGGTGGAAAGGATAAAATGATCCCCGAGTTTTACAATCCCCTCTATATCGGTGATGATGAGAACGGTGGATACACTCAGCTCTCGACTAACGAGGTCGAGAAGATTAATGTTTATTCGTCGGAGAATGTTGAGACTCACGCGGGACCATTATGTTTGTGGATGCATGCCAAAAGTAAGTGTTCACATTTTTAAAAATCCCTAGCATGTGCGCTTTTGATTATTTTTGTTGTAAATCTGGAAAGGAAATTGAAAAAACAAGAAATAACTTAATTTTTTCTAACGATACCAAATAGGTTTTTGAAATAAAAATCCAAAATAAATTTACGAAAAAATGTTTTTTTTTTTCCTATTTCTGTAATCCCTTTAAAAAAAATACTTTTCCTTTGAAATTTATTAAATAGTATTGAATATTTGGTTCTTAAAAGTGCGCATAATTTAATTTGCTCTTTCCCATAAATCTTCACATAGTTATTAAGATTTGATGCAGTTTTATAAGCGTAGTAAACCAAAACTGCATAGATATGAAAACCAAACATCCGTCTGCCATCATAAATTTTCTTGTCCGTTTTAAGGGAAGACTGAAGACATTCCTGACATGTATTTGGATTGCGATGGATGGCCTGAAGAGGTGCAATCGTTCATGTTTACTCCAAATGAGACGACACCAGCCCTTCTTTATTACAACGTAACCAAAGAGATTAATTAGTTTAAAGTGCAAAAAAAGGAAATTATAGAGTGCAACCAATTTTAATATGGGTGGCCGAATTTTCATTGTCGATGAGTTGCCGGAGAACGTGACGGATGCTGTCGAAATTGCGCACAGCCGTGAGAAGTGGCACACTTTGGCGCTGAATCGCCAACACGAGCAGGAGTTGAACAATGCCAAAACCACGTTGGCGGCGTTCTTGTTGATCGCGTGCTCAATTATGCTTGCATAAATCAAAAAGAAACGCAAAATCAATTATTATGCAACGCTTTTTTCTTTCAAATATTTTTTTCTATCAGCTAGATCTCCATTGAATTTCGCATATTTCGGGACAAAAATGATTACTATCTTATACAATTGTTTTTTTATTATTCTCAAAAAGAATTTCTGCCATAAATATGACAACACAGTATTCCCGCAAGTATTAGGCTCAATCACTTAATCCAATGAGACTTGTATGGAATTGATAACTATGTATTATTCGTATATTTGTAATATGCCGTGTGTCGTAGATAGTTAGTCGGCGAATTTGAAATCCACCCATTTTCTTGTATGCATTGAATTCACTTATTTGTTTTTCTTAATTTTCTATTGGAATAAAATGTATAATTTAACAATTACATTGTTTTATTTGAATGAGGGTACATGCATTACAAAAAAATGATGATTGTAGGCCAAATTTGGATGGCGATGTGTGTGTGGTGCATTCATAAACAGTTGTTTGATGGAAAAACGAACACGCTCATTTTCATGACGCCGAGTTACCACGAAAGGGGGAACCTGAACATTTTTTTTTCAATAAATTTTTAATTTCGAAAACTTACCAATGAAGGAGATGAGCGCGGTACATCGCGAGCAAAAGGACGACGCAGAGAAAGATGAACATACTTTCAAACAGCGATTCTGAAATGGCCAAACATGGCTGTTAAATTTTGCTGAGAGCTATAAAACCGTTGTTTAATTATCAAGTCTGGCTCAGAAAAGATTTTTATGGTCGTTTGAAAGAAAAGCTGGTTTTCAGAATGGCTGATTGAAAATAAGGGAAGATAAACTTTTCAAATTTTAAAAAGAAAATTGTCGGAAGCATGATATTGCGTGGCTGAATGTGTAAGTTCGTAACGGCACGAATAACGAATGATAAGAAAAAAAAACATATTTGCATTTCCACTGGTAGTGTCGGGCGTTTTGACAAAAATCTCAAGAAATGCGATAACGGGAGGTCGGGCATCGATTGCTCGGCGCGAAATGAAGAAGAGATAAATCATTGGGTTTTCTTTCTTCTTCATCTCTTGTGAGTGTGTTTTTTTCTTTCAAAAGGATTCGTGGCATATGTGCATATAACCGGACTCACATATTACTTGAGCTTAATGTGATCGAAGCCTTTTCTGCCGCCGAGCTTCTCCTTACTTCTCAGCTCTTTGCCGTTCTGCTTGAGCCATGCGTCGACGGTCGAGCGTAGGCCGACGTTGAAATCTTCCAAGCCGAAAAACGTGTTGCACATTATGTGCCGCTGCTCGATGCGCCGCAGGCGGCGAATCACCCAATTATTTTCGGTTGCAGCACTTTTTCGAGCTCGAGGTAATGCGTCAAGTGTTCGGCGATGAGCTCGCCGTCTAATGGATATTCGGGGCGTCGGCCATCAAAAATCTTCGAATCTCTCAGATGTGCTTCCTTTGTGCCTAGTCGCCATTCTTTTTCTTGGATTCAACAATGTCAGTGGGAAAATCGTGAAGCAATACATCTAAAGATGCTCTAATAATGAACGAGTTTTACGCATTGAATAAATAGAGGCTTTCAAAAAATTGAGCTTCATTCGAAACAAGTTTAATTTACTACGCTAGCTAGGTCGGTCACTCTTCGGTCGCATATTTGCAACAACCGGAATATTCTGAATGGAATTATATAAAAGCAAACAAATTGAGAAAACAAGTCTATACTAAATGACAAATAATATACAAAAAATGCTAGAGTAAAAAAAAAACAAAACACATTAGTTAGCAGCAGGTTATTTCGATCTCTGGATTATGGGACCCTTCGCACTTTGTAAAAAACCAATGAATCGAAAATAGATCTTCTTTCTTTTCCCTGAATACTTTTTCTAGGTTCTGTAAGAAAACAATTTTGCTCTCATGCAAAAATGTAAAAAATAATGATTAGCAGCGAGTGGTTTCGATCCACCGACCTCTGGGTTATGGGCCCAGCACGCTTCCACTGCGCCACGCTGCTTCCCGGCGGACAGTCTGTCCTTCGCGTAGACGAATCCCATAGATCGTTCGCTACATCAATCCCACAGATCGTTCGCAACCATCATATAACCATGTACATATTTCCAACATGGTCGTCTTCGGTTTGCAGGAAATAAATTTGAGCGGGAATACAGTTTGGCTCTTCTGAACCTGTCTGAATTATCTACTCTGACGATACGTCGTACACAGAATTTCAGATTTTTGACAACGTACTTACAAGTATCACAATTACGTGTAAAGGGTGTCTGGCAGGGTGACAATACGGAATGTGTTATATACATACAAGCAAGAGTTCTCAATGACACTCAATTTGACAGGCTGTGAAAAAAACATGTGCAATAAATGGGGTGCCAAAAAAGCAACAGCTAAAAATATTGATATTGATTTAAGAATGAAAATTAATCTTGAAAAATGGAATTATTGCAATTTTGATTGTGGTAACGATTTAACAAAAAAACATAAACAAAAATGAATTTTTAACATTAATAAAAATAGTATAAAAAGTAAAATAAAAATAAAAAGTTTTGTGATGAAAACTGACGTATAATGATATAAATAATTTTACAATAAACATATATGTATGCCGAATATATTTTTTTGCCGAATATATGCCGAATATATATTTTTATATTTCCACTTTGGCGGTAAAACAAAAGAGCTAAGTCGTACTCTTGCAGAATTATAATAGGAGTCCGGTGATTTTTAATATTGACCTGGTGAACAATCACAGATTCCGACAGGAGAAGGGAGATTCGAAGTGCGAAGATGGGTAACAGGAAAGTCCCGCCCATCGAGTGATGCTCGTGGGAAAGATGTCAGTATAAAAGGAAGGTGCTCTAGGCTGATGGCCAGTATCTTTTCACCTTCGCCATACCCACCCCTTTTCGGTCACATTTGTACACAATCCTCCTTGGACCATGATCAAATGTAATTCCGTGACAATTAATTCATACTTTTTTATTTCAGAATGGAAATCACATTCAAACACAACACATATTTGGTCGACGGTATTCCTGCCTGGGGAGCGGCAGCATGGCTTCAACACACGACGGACTGGCGCGGCTTATGCAGACACAAGCAAATCTGGTGTTACACGTACTTCGTGGAGAATCGACTCATCAAAATCGCTGAAGAGCTGATTCGAAACAAAGACGTCAACTACAAAAAGCTTCTTCGGATTGAATGCAATAATATGGTCGACGTCTTGAAGAGGAATCAAATTCACGGCAAAATTCAAGTCGAATACTGTGCAAAAGGCTTTATCGTACTGTTGGAAAAAGTATTGGCAATCGAAGGAGATTTCGAGCTCAGCGACTATTGCGCATTTCTGCAACTCGATTTGGACAGACACTACTATGGTTTGCGCAAATTGCTCAACTGCCCGAAGATCAAACAGCCATGCTTGTATGAGGAGCTCTTGATAAAAGCGGAGCAGTTTTTGAAAGATAACCGTGAAAAAATCGAAGAAAAGCGGGCACTAGTTGCGATGAATCCGGAAAAACAGAAGGAGCGCCTGGAGTTGTTCGAGTCATTTCGAGAAGACCGTAAGATTGAACTCATTAAAATTAGCTAATTTTTTAATTATTTCAGCTTACGAATTACTCAGAAACATTCCGGAAACAATAAAGTTCCAAGAAGATGACAATGCTCAATTAAAGAAAATCAAAATGGAAGAGCAACAAAAGAATGAACCGAAAGTAGAGGGAAAGGAAGAAAAGCAAGGAGTCAATGAGCAGTGAAATAAGATCTATAATTACTCTCAATCAACTAATTATTTTCAATCTTAATGTTTTGATATTTGTTTTGCATAATAAATTCGATCCTTTTTCAAATACTGTCGAAAACCTTGATAAGTAAAAAAAGAAAAATAATATATGATATTTTGACAATTTTTTCGTTTCCACGTCTTGTCAGATTTTTTAGTTTTCACTTCGATTCAACAATTATCATACTGCAAGACTAATAAATAGAAGCTGTATAGTTATGTGGAATTCTTTGGAAAAAATTTTTGTATTATTCCGTTTTCATTTTTACACAAAACTCTGTTGCTCATTTTGAAATTCATATGGTTTTATCGCCTCAACGGATACCCCGAAGAAGCTGTCCAAAAATTATGTTTTCGACACTTTCTATTGAAAGGTCGGAACTCCAAATTACCTTGAGTAACTGGGTTAAAACCGACGAGGTAGGCGAGACGACGCTCTATGTGCGAAATCATGTGCGGACAAAAAAGCGGGACACTTTCCACGCAGGTTTTACTATGCGGAATGGAGAGACTCAGAGATGCAGTCGACTACTCCTGTGAAACTCTTATAGTCGATAAGTTCATTCCGATTACATATACATTTCGTATGATTATTTCTTTGTGATTGTTAAACCAAAAGAAATTTATTTAAGAGAAAACATCGTTTGTGATTTAAAGTGTCAAATAATGGTTCCCTAAAACCATTAAAAACACGAAATATACCAGGAAAATCCCTTTGATAGCATTAGCATGATTTTGATAATTTCTGCGCAGAACCATTATTTGTAGCCTGAATAGTTAACAATTAGGAATTTCTATATATTTTGTGCAAAAAACGTTCACAGCGTTTATTATACATAATTACATAATCAAAATATCGTTGAAACAAACAATGAAAGAAAAAAATGTTCGATTAGCAGCGAGTGGTTTCGATCCACCGACCTCTGGGTTATGGGCCCAGCACGCTTCCACTGCGCCACGCTGCTTCACACAACCGTCGAGTCTGAGTGAGAACATTTGACCCTTTGTTGCTGCGCAGCATTCCATGTTTAACATTTCCAAACTTTTCGCTATAATATTGCCATTTAAAATAAGCTCGCTAACCTTAATTTCGCCTGAAAATCTGTATATTCGGTTGTCAAATTATTGAAAAAAAAAAACTGTTTGCCATCTGCTGCATTGCCCGTCAGCACGCCTTTTCCGTCCGGCGCGTCCCGGTTTCGTGGCGCTTATACCCAACACAGCGCTGGGGTTGCCGTCAGCAGCGATGTCCGAGTGGTTAAGGAGTTGGACTTGAAATCCAATGGGCATTGCCCGCGTAGGTTCGATTCCTGCTCGCTGCGTCAAGTTTTTGCGGTGTTTTTTTTTTCATGCCGTATTATAACAAGAGAAGATCAAAAATTTGAATCAGTTTTCGACTTTTATCTGTTCGAACAATGGGTTAAAAAGTAATTTCTTTCGAAATTTTCTATAAATAACATGCCAAACAAAATTACGCAGAATATCACATGATATTCAATATTTCCAATTATTAGTGACGGTCAAAAGCAAAATAACCCAAGTAATCTGTGGGGAAAAAACGTTTATCTTTTAACATCAATTTAAGACTGCGCATGCTTGTTTTACCATATTTCATCCAATTTTTTTCATACATTAATGCTCTTGCTCTTTCTGTGTTTGAACAAAGTTTACAAGAAATATTTATTGGTCAAAACGGCGAAGCAATAGAAGGTCAAATCATATAAAAAAAAAACATTAATCACATAATAATGAAATTTGCAATTTGTTGTAAAAGGGAAATAGTAGAAGTAATCCACGAAAAAAAACGAAAGAGCTCTCGCATTGCATGTGCTTGAATCGAAACAATTGTTAATATGACGGACGCTGGCCTGAAAATGAACAAAATAAAAACAAAAAAATTACTACCAAAATTTTGGATTTTATGGCATTCAATTAGTTATGAATGGTTCTATAAATTTTTTTCTAAATTAAAATTTTCTTACCATTGAATCTTCAAGATCGTTGCTCACTAGTTTTTCTGGCCGCACAGCATTTTAAACAGTAGTCCATTCGAGCGCGGAATATAAAGGAATGGACGTCCAGCGGTATTGAACTTCGCGCGTCGTGTATCGACAATTTGTTTCTTGAAACAGCCCATAGTTTTCTTGCGATGACTGCGAATTCTCTTATTTGCATTTGTGGATTTGACGACGTATGATGGGCTTCCACTTTCAAAAGGAATGAGCATTCTGCAAAGCTAAATAAAATTTAAGCACTTGATTGGAACAATTAAAATTAATACCTTTTTACAATGCGGCAAAACGGCTGATCGAAGTATGTAAAATTTTCTGTCCTTATATCTAGACATGGTGATGCGTCGAATAACAATTGCACGCCGTTGATTGCCTTTAGCGGAGTTGTCAGCGGCATTTTCAGTGTTTCCGCGTGCACCGCTAGAATAGTCAAAGTTCTCGGCGTTATTCCGAACACCATTCTCAACGTGATTATCGACGAACTCGATGTGAGCAGGCCGCTCGGGGTCGTTGTCAGCGATCTCAATGTGATTGACACCGAACTGTTTAGCGAAATTGTCAGCGCGTTCAACGTGGTTGCCGGCATGATGGTCGGGGTAGTTGTCAGCGAGTTCGATGTGATTGAGAGCAGCCTTCTCGGGAAAGCTGTGGGCGAGTTCGATGTCAACGACAACAGCATTCTCCGAGTTATTGACGATGGGCTCAAAACTAGCGACGTCAGCAATCAAGGGGAATCGTCCAGCGAATTCGGAATTGGTGTCGTCGGGCACGGTCATCGGCTAAAGCGGAGGAACAATGAAACAAACCAATGGGATCCGTGTCGCCTTAAATAGCCAAAATTGGCGGGAAAAATATGGAAAACATCGGAATATTTCCCACCAGCGCGTACAGGTCAAATATGTACAATGAGCAGACTACACCTAACAAATAATAGGCAACAATATGTGTGTGTTGTCTGCACTCGAGAAAATATCAACTCAAACTTATACATATACACACTGGTATAGTAATTATAATCAAAATTTAGTTTTTTTTTTCAAACATTCATTTGATTTTGCATATTCTATTTATACAAATGATCGAAAATATTTTAATATTTAAAAAAATTATTAAGAACTCCAAAATATTATAAGAATTTTCAAAATTTACCCATGTTTTTATAAAACCTAACGAAACTTGATAAAATTAACATTTTTGGAGTATCTGATAACATTTTTTTCATACTATATCGAAGTAATACGAATACAATTTTCAAAAAATATATATCCAAAATCATGTTTCTATGCATAAACCTATGTTTAAAAATCAATAACTGAAAAACCAATTTATTATTTCTTTTCTAGGCTCCAATAAATTTTGTATTCCCCATATTTTTCAAATATTCTTTGGATTTTCTGCAATTTCTAGCGAAATTCGTTAATTTTGCTGTATTCGTAAAATTAATGCATTTTCTTCAGATTATGTTTATATATTATAATTATAGTAATGATAGCTGAAAGAAAATAATACTCGAAGCGAATTGCTATCATTAACCTATTGTTTGTGGGTGGCGGGTGTTTCTGAGCATTTCTTCCACTTAATAGCGATACGTCTTCAGAAGAACATTCCAATGGTTGATGGATGTATGGATTGTTAGAAGAAGAAAAGATGTTTGAAAATTTATAATATAACTTTCTAGGGGATTTCTCTTAGTCATAGCTAAAAAAACTTTTCTAAACCTATCCTCTAGTTCTCTAAAATTTTGATCTACTTACATCCTCACATTAACGCTCCTAACATATTTTTGTGTTACGTATTGGACATTGTTTTGTTTCTTGATTTGTTCTTATGGTTTGTTTGTTTTTTTTTGATTGATACTTACAACTTAACTCTTTTATTCCTTTTTTGACCAATCTATTACTTATTATCTTGTAGGTAAATTGACCTTCCCTGATGATGATCTAAAGATCGAAACGTCGGATAAACATTAACTTTTCAACATTGTGCAAGACATTTAAAATAAAGGGTCATATCAAGAAGATCTCTTCTACTTATCAATATAACTTTCTACTACACTCTTCATACTTTCGAAAATATTTTAATAATTTCCCAGTTATTGATTTTTTTCATTAAAACCGTCCCTAATAATATAGTTTTATTTTTGATAATTCTATGTATTTCACATACTTCATCATTTCAAACTCTGCAAACACACCCTCGATTTGAATAAAGTATGGAGCTTTGAAATCAAATTCTTTGAATGACTGCTAGATGACCTCGGCAACGAACATCTTGCAACGGGTGGTTCAAGGACAATTCTGATTAGATCTGAAGATATTCTCCAAACCCCATAATTATTTTATAGTATAAAAGTTTCTCCAATTTCACTGCTGAAATTTGAGAAATTAACTGAACGGTAAATTTTCTTTTATTTCAGTCATGCTGATTGAGATAATTTTTTTATCCCGATCAAAAAGATATACAAAGATTTGAATTTAAAAAATTACGTTTTTAATGATTGGCTAAACGCGAATATGATTCTATTTTCATTTTTTATATCTTTAATTTATTTTATAACACAGATGAAAATCATTGACAGAAACTCCACGAATTTGAAAATGAGAGTGATAAATGTTATCAAAAATGTCGAGCGGCGTTTTTCATTTGAAATCGGTGTTCTTGAGTACTGATAAGAAATAGGTCAAAGGAAATTAGATCAGAATTTAAATGTCCCAATTTTTTTTTCTTGTTTTTCATTTTCGGCAAAACCAAAAAAAAATTATATAAATTAATAGTTAGTCTCAAATTTTTTTTAATAATTAGATGACACCATTTTTCCGGAAAATTCATTTTAATTATACGAACATGTATTTCCTCTTAGGAATATTTAGCGAGAATGCTCTTCATTAATTTTGTCCTTTATTTTCTAGCCCTTTCCGTGTCATTTATAACAAATATTATTACATTAGTTTTCCGACGGCAAATGCGCTCTAGTGAACAACGTCTCAATTCGTATAGTCGATAGTTTTTTTTTTTGAATTTTTAGTCGTTTTTCCGTGTTTGGTATGCCTTCTTCCCATACTCTAAATCTCGACAAATATTGAAAAATATGTTTTGTCAATTTTCGCAATTTTCAATAAACCCATTTTAATCAAATGGTTCGATGTTTCATGAAATTCAACCAAAACATAATTCCATCAATGGCATAAATTTGAAAAATTCGATATTCGACACGATTGGGTGAACAATATATTTGTGTCATGAAATTTCGGTGTTCACCGACGGAATATCCGACACTCCGGTCGGTTTATAATCGATATAAGCCGACAGAGAGCGCGGCGTTCCTAGACGTGGAAAAGATGCGGGGAGAGGAGGAGGGGGGGGGACACATGCGAAGAGTAGTCGGGAGAAGTGGGGGAGACAATCACGCAAATTTGTCCCCCCCCAACACCAAATTGTTTTGGTTTCTGGGCTAGATACTTTGCACTTTAATTTTACCTTGGACACACCGCTTTGCGATAGTGATCTCGATTGCCTTTAATCGCAAAATTCTTGCATACTCAATTTTTTTCAGAACAATGGCCACCAGCTCGGCGAATACCGTCGAGGAGACGATCGATGTGGTCTCGCATGAGGACGATTCACCCATTGTCGTCAACAAGTAAGCTTTATTATATAATTGCGTAAAGCTATATATCGGTTTTGGATTTCTTCAGGGAACCGTCGTCTAGTACTGGCGCCATTGCTCGCCAACTCAATGGGGAGCATGAATGGAAATATCTAAAATGTCGGGAGCTTAGATATGATATATTCAAAAAGAAACGACTTTGGAAGAAGAATCGAAACATTGATCTAATGCAAGGAGTCGCTGAGGTTCGCGATCGTCGCTATTGGAATCCCCGAATGATGTATACCAACGAGGATGGAACCATCAATGGTAATTTTTTTTTCGGAATTTTTTTGAAAACCATTTTCATTTTTTTTTAGAGGAGCTTCGGATGAAGTATGAAGCGGACGATGAAGAGTTAGAACTTATTCTTATAATTTTCATGGGATCCATTTATTTTTTCCAGACAAAAGACTTATGAAATAATTCGAAATAGCCGCAAACGTCCAGCTCCAGAAGATGACGAATATGATCCAGGGCCGGGATTGCTTATGATCATGGGTAATATATTGACATTATTAAATTATTGATTAGTGTGATTGTTTTCTAGATCCGGAACTTCGCAAACGCTTCCGCAATCAAGTGCTCGCTCCAGTTGCCGAGGAGAAGGAGGATGAGGTCAAAGAGGAAGGAAAAAAAGAAGATGTTGATGATGAGGAAGAAGAAGGGGAGGAGTACGTTTTCAAGAACTTGCAAAAATTGCTAAGAATTATTTTTAGAACTGGAGCTAAGGAAGAAACATCGTCAAACGATCGACTTGGAGTAAGTAGAAAAAATGATGAATTAGGCAAAAATTGAGACCATTTTGATGCAGCTTCTAATAATATTGCATTTTAAATCATTTAAGAGCCTTTCGATTTATTTCAGCAATCTTCGAACAGTGACGAGAGCGAAGGAGAAGTCGACGAATGAAATGAATAGTGACTAGAATTTTTTCAAACTTAATCCTGCCGAGAAATTACCCATAATTTTAAACACTTGGAACCGGTTAGCTGTGATCTCTACCGGAAAAATTGATTTTTTAGTGATGGTTCACATGTCTTATTGCCATATTATTTATAAGTATAACGTATCTGAAAATGTTTTTATTAATGTGCATTTGTCGCGAAAGTAATCTGATTAAAAAAATGTGAATTGAAAATCGGTTTATTATGTGAATTGAAAATCGGTTTGATGAGATGCAAATTAAAATAAAATTTTATTTATCGTAATTGTGAATTTGAACAACTGCATAACAAATAGTAATATTCTGGACAACAAAAAAAAAAGAATGGAAGAACCTTAATCCAAGTATAATAATTTTAATTCAATTTTCTGCAAATTCTCTTTTATTTGGCGATGGAAATGTTGAATGAACCTGCAGGAAAATAAACATTATTTGCTTAATCAGATAAAATTTACCGATTAATGGGATTTTTAAGCATTGTGGAATTGATTCTCCTCGTTGACTCGATTCTGAAGCGCCATTTGCTCCTGAACCGATTTGTGCATGATTTCTTTGAAAAGCGGGGAATACATTGTGAGAAAAATGGTTTGTAATTGTTTTTCAAACACTTATATGCTTGGGAAATGCCCATTAAAGTTTTAATGGTATTGCTGTTTTCTGGTATAAAAAGCCAACAATATTTTCGAAAATTTAGTTTCCTTTCACATTTATTAATTTCTTCCCAAAATCAATTTTTCCAGTTATATTATCTTGAATCTCAACGCACGCGATTCAAGAATGAGGATCATCCAAGTACTCTAACATTCTCAAATATTTGGCGAATTGATTCGATTTTCCAGGCGTCGTCTCCAAACGACCTTCTCAATCAGGAGTCGAAGAAGAGCGGATCGTGCCCAGAAGCTCCTTTCCAGCCGTCGCCGGAGCCTTCTCGTCCCATCACGGATCCGAGGCCTTTTCCTGATGCCGGACATCCCCAAGATGAAACATTCACTTGATGAGATCTATAAAGTTTTTAATTGATACTATCTATAAAGTTTTATGCATGAAGTTGTGTTTTGAAACAGAAACATGAAAAGTTTTAAATAAAGTCATAAATATTGGGGGAAGTTGCAAATACTAACAATTTTAGAATAATTAGTATCGTTTATTCAAAAAATGTTCTTTATATGTCGAAAAAATGATAATAGCATGCTAGACTGTTTTGCTTTACGTGGCAAAACTCAAATAGCTGTCTCTTAAAGTGATTCCAACTAATTACAGCATGAAGGTTTATCACGAACATAATTTTCGCCCGCTTGTAGATTCTCTCATTTGCCTAGTTCGCACAAACATGCGAAGCTGAGTAATACCAATAACACCGCGTGGCCAACAGAAAATGAATCTCGTTAGCGTTGCTGTCGGCATGGCAACGAGGCGACCGCTCGAATTTGCTACATTCTCATTTTGATTCGCGGCTTGTCGATAAAATGACGACGCTCGTCGAATTCGTGCCAGAAGAAGATACTCTTGCGGTGATCACCATCAAAGAATCGCAATCGGCGAGTCTTCGCACGACGAATGCTATTTTATTAGGTTTGTTTCAATCAATTTTCGGGATGAGAAATGAATAATGGCAATTTCAGCGCTTCTGCTCATTGCTTCATATTTCCTCAATATCTTGTTTGTCGTCGCAGTACTGATTACGTGAGTTTCGCAAGAAGACTAGCTCTAATGAAATCGATAAAAATTATGTTATGCATTACAACAAAAATAACGAACCCTATCTTTTACGTTGAGCTTGATGGCTATTCATATTTCTGTACACATTAAAATTGTTTAAATTGCAATTTGAATTATTGTCCCAAAATGTACGATGGAAATTCGAGCAGCTCATTCTTTGCGGGGTGAATACAATGAATGTTCTATGCAAGCTTAGTGTGCTTAATCTAATTATTATTCGATTGTTGGAAGTAATTAGTGATTACCAATTTAGAAATGTTTTCTGCTTCCATAACAACCAAACCATGCAATTTTAAGCGTTCTTTCACTATATTATCGGGGTCAAACGACTGAAGGGAGGCGGGGCCTTCAAATTCGCGAAATCAGTTTAGATTTAAATTTTACGTTGACTGAATATTAAATGCGCGTTCACTCTAATGCAATGTACGCAGTCTCGCGTACTTCTCGCTACCTCGAGACACACTGACACTTAGCCAATAATATTTTTCAAATTTCGTCAAGACGTTTGACTCCTGCAATATAGAATCATGTTAAAATAATTCAACTGATTATAAAATAATTACTTTTAGATTTAGTAATATATTGGATTGCATGTTTAAAACTTTATTGAAAATCAATTATTGTGATGCTTATTCTTGTGGATGTCCGGCATCAGGAAAAGGCCTCGGATCCGTGATGGGACGAGAAGGCTCCGGCGACGGCTGGAAAGGAGCTTCTGGGCACGATCCGCTCTTCTTCGACTCCTGATTGAGAAGGCCGTTTGGAGACGACGCCTGGAAAATCGAATCAATTCGCCAAATATTTGAGAATGTTAGAGTACTTGGATGATCCTCATTCTTGAATCGCGTGCGTTGAGATTCAAAATAATAAAACTGGAAAAAATTGATATTGGGAGAAATTAAGAAATATGAAAGGATACTAAGTTTTCGAAAATGTTGTTGGCCTTTTATATCAGAAAACAGCAATACCATCAAAAATTAATTGGTTTTAATGTGTATAAAACGTTAAAAATTATTGTAATAACGATCAAAGTGCAACTCATTAACTGATTCGCTCATTTTTAGAAAATCATTCCGTACATTGATCAATCTAATGTACTGTCATCTAATCCTTGTGAATCTGATTGATCTCTCATTTAACGTCTTGTTTGCTCTTCTCTATGTTGCAAATGGAAATTGGAATATGAGCGATGGTTGGTGCAAGTTCAACGTTGGGGTTCAAATGGTACAAATATAAGAAATGTTTGTTCATGAATTTTTAAAGTTTAGTTTGTCCACACTCACACCTTATTTGTGCTGATGTTGATTGGAGTAGAAAGAGCTATCGGAATGTCGTTCGGCTGGCCTTATATCCCTAATGCTGATAGAGCTGTCAGTACGGTAAAAATGTTCAGTAAGTTATAATTCAGAGTCAAACAATAATGAAATTTTTACAGTTATCAATCTGGTTATCGCGTTTTTCTCATTTGTTTCGGCTTCAATTCTCTTCATGAAAAATATTCCAGTCAAACCATTCCGCAATCGATATGTATGCGGAATCGATAGGTAAACCCGGAATAAATCAAAAATGTGAAATAAAATTTAGTGGCGGCTCGCTAAGCTACGCTGTATTCAAAATCGCAACCTATGTTTTTGCTCTAAGTATTTTGTTTATGTGCATTGGCACAATTCTCAAAAAGCGGGTATGATTCATTTTCCAATTACGATATTAATTAAAATCTATTCATTAGACGGCGGCTTCATTGCCCCAAAGCACCCAAGAGTATGTCGATTTTATTCGCCGAAATCGTGGAATGCAAGAGCACAAATCCAAGGGAAAATTGGTGAGTAATTATAAGAACTTTGTTCGTTAATTTTTTTCCTCTAGCTGGTTCTTCTTCTTTGTGTTTTCATTCTAATTGAAGGTCCCTATATAGCACTCTGTTCGGTTTACGAGGTGAATATAATTTTCGAGAATTTTTTGTTGTAAAAGTCGTATTCAGATTTATAATAGTCAGGAAATGAAAACAGAAGGTATGGACATCCCACAAGACGCCGATACCCTCATTACATGGCTAAAATTTGTGTTCCCGCTTATATGCCCGATAATCGTAAACATTATCTCTCTCGTTATTAATAATGAGTTGACTGTCCAGATGCTATCATGGTGCAACGATATTTGGCTTAAAGTGAAAGAGGTTATGTGCTGCACCTCGTATGATCCGCCGACTATCGGACACTACGTTCCATTCAGAAGTGAGTGAGAAGAATGCAAAAAATATATCAATATCGATTTTCACAGTGACAGATGAAGTTTCGCCGGTTCCCAGTGTTATGACGATTGTGGCCACCGATGATGGTATTAGTATCAATGAAGACTCAAATCCTCGAAGCTATACCAGAAGCAATCTGGCTACAGGAGTTACACATTCAGCAGCGCCAAGAGAAGTTGAAAACCCAAGTAATATTTTTAAATCAAACTTTTTACTAATATAAATTTATGATTAAGTCTCATCAACGAATGGAGCTCCGCGGCCGGCAACACCAAAACCACCATCACAGCCAGCGCCAGTGCAGCAATCGCCGCCGGAAAACCAGGCGACACCAAAGCCCACTAAAAAAAGTTTAATTCCAAAGCCCAAAGCAAAAAGTATTTTTTAAATAATTCACTTAATTTTTAAAAAATGGTTTTTTTTAATTCCAGAACCTTCGAAGATGGTCATAAGGAAAAAGGTTATTGCGACAAAATGAATGAATATCACAATTACTCGGCCCGTTTCGTCTTTTCAATATGTACTCAGATTCTTTTCGAAATCGCGTTTTCTAGAATTTCAATATTTGAGCCCAATGTCTATTTTCTCACGTTTTTCCAAAAAACCAAGTTGTGCGATATTGGTTTTCAGAATCGAGCTAAGAATTATATACTTTGTTGAAAAATGAGTCAACAATTTTTCATAGAAAGAGCTATGATATCGCTAATCCCTTCAAATAATTCTCTACAGTGATAACTTTCATTCAATTTTTTGATTTTTATATTCATTTCATGTTGTTGATGATTCGATAATAAAATATTCAAGCACCACCAATTCATTCAAGCTTTACATGTCATGTTAGAGTCACAACAAAATGTCGATTTATTCGTCGTCGTCCTCATCATCATCATCATCATCATCATCATCATCATCATCATCATCATCATCTCCATCAGAATCGTCGTTTCCGGAATCATTGTCATTCTCATCGAATTCGTCCTCATCATCATCGTCATCGTCTTCGTCTTCATCGGAATCATCACGTTTTCGGCGTATTGGAGCATCGTCATCATCATACTCGTCGCTGTCTTTAAAAATTTCCTCGCTCTCTTCATTGTCGAACAAGTTGGTATTGTCCTGTTGGGCTACATCATCAACCCGCTTACTGAAAAGAAAAAATTTAAACGCGACTACTGAAAACGTGAACTAACAAGACGCCATTTCTTCTTGCATTCATTTGGCTAGGAAAGCTTGCAACAAATGTGCATATGAGAACAAGGAGAAAAATGAAAACTCGCATTATCTGAAAAAAACTTGAAATTTTTTTTCAATGATGGTGCCAAAAATGGAAATAAAAATCGCACGCACCATAATCATTTTTATAGTGAAACTTTTGTTATGCTTCCATTGTTTTCTGTTGATATGAGTCGATGATTAAACATTTCAATTTTGCTGCCAATTGTCTATTCGAAAATCAAAATGACGAATCAAAATGAAACGAATGAACTCATCACTGTCAGCAATGAAATTCGGCAAATTATTGCTTTCAGACTCCGCGATTCCAGAAATGATCTTCAAAAAGAAGATATGCAACATTTTGAAAAACTGGGAAGCTGATCGAAGTAATGTTTTGATTTTCTTCAAAAATCCTCTCACGATTTTTTTCACAAATATTCGGTATATCGATTCTCACGATGTTACGGATTTCAGTCTGGCTCCAAGGGTTCTGCGACAAATTGAAAAGTCTATGGGCAAAATAAAACTTTTCAATATTTTCCAATGATGGGTCATAAACATGATTCTAGTAAGCAGGTGATGTTTTCAAGAAGAATGTTAGAAATACAATTTTTATTACATTCTTCTTATTTCCATCAAGTATATTTTTTTCATCTTCAACATATACCAATCAAATTCATCAAGAAATGCACTTTCTATTTGTTTTCCAATCAAAATGAGAAAAAGGGAAATCAAGAATTCAACACAAAATAGATTCTAGTGTTCTAAAATTCATATCTCGTTCGTTGAATTTGAGGTCGTGTGTGCGGTTTTTTTGGCGAAACAAAAAAACTTTCGCACTAATATTCATCCATTAATCCTCCGCTGTTTGGTACACACGTATTGTGTCATTTTCAGCGGCGGTTGTTAAATATTCAAAAAGTGTCATAACATGGGTATAAAAATAATAAAATTGCATCATTTTTATTGGAAAATTGTAAATTATTTCGCCACGTTCTTGATATGCATCGAAATATGCTGAGGGATTTTTTTCAAACATTTCAGGCTAACCCCTCAACATTTCAAAAATTCGAGATAATTATATCACAAGAATGTTCGGACCCTCAAAATGCCATAACTTTATTTTATTTCTATTTTTGGAATTATCAGATATTATATTACCAGGGAATTCCGATTTTTTGCTATATATTTTTAGTATATTCCTCCACCCTTCCCAATTTTATGCGTTCATGTGCATAAATATAACATATGAATATACATAAAAATTTTAGTGTGCCTTTTTGAAATTCAGTCAGCAATAAATTTTAACGTCCAGAAGCTGGCTAACGTTACACAACGGACCATATATAATTAAATGATGTCATTTCATAACGCGAATCGAAATTTCGAAATCAATATATATTGTTTGGAAGCCGTTTGAATTTCAATGAAGAGAACATTACACTTCGCTGGCGGCGAACACTCTTTTTTTTACCAACCCCAATTTTCTCTTTTCTTCAATACTCGTCGGCTGGCTCCGCTGGCTCACGAGATGAGGCAATTTAGAATAATGAGATGATTTGATTTTTCCACTAAATGAAGATATCAATTGTGGAGATCCTGGTGCCACCTGACGTCGAAAGCGCTCGCCCGTTGAAAAATTTTGTTTTCACGTTGGCTCATGTCATCATCATATACACCTGAGCAAAAACAAGATCACACTTTTGACATTTCTTGGGTCCCATTAGAAAAAACGAAACTAAATTTCAGTTTCATTCTCAATTTAACTAGCTTCATGAATTTAGGAACTCTTGAAAAATTTCAAAATAATGTGATTCTCTTTTCTGACTGTGAACGCCTTCTTCTTGCACTATCCATTGTTTTTATTTTCTAAATCTTTGGTGGCTCATTTTACATTAATTATGATTGCCTATTTGCAGTATTTTTTTTTTTTTGAAATTCGCGTAATTTCAAAATATTATGAATAAGAATTTATGTCAACAGAGGCGTATATCAAAACAATATCGTCTTTTCCGTTGAAAATATAAGGAGAATAATTTGAATTGAAAAAATAATAAAAAATCTCCAATTGAGTTGTGTTGTAAGTCGGAAAACTCGAATTACAATTTAAACTTTATCTAAAGTAAGCGTTAGACAACAATAACGAACGAAGCGCAATTTAATTAGTTAACGGATAATAATAACAATAATGGCTAGTCGGGGGAATGGATAGTATGTGAATACAAATAATAATGAAGCAGCACGGTAGGAAAATATAAACAACAGCGAAAACCAATCAAGTAACTCGGGTCCGGGCCTAAAACAATCCAACAACTCAACTTCGTGTATTTGCGCGCCAACTCTGGTGTGTGTGTAAACACCGTGATATTCACCGTAACCGCAGGATTTAAATTGCTAATATCTTTCTTCATATTTTCTTGCTCCTCGCAACATCTCCCCCGACAAAAGAAATTGGGGCATCCTTGCTTGGTGTTGGCGTTGATGACGTCGATGATATGACGATATAGCGACTGTGCACAATGACCGTTGACTGGTTGCTGACTGATAACTATGGCTGCTGACTGATATAAGTTGGGTCTTCATTGTGGACTGGGATCAAATCGTACGATGGGTTTCCGAACTCTTGCACTGCGTCGTAACCTGACTTCTGGAGCGTCCTGGTTTCGCTTTAGAATGCTTGCGGGTACGTCCTTGGCACGATCCTCAGGGCCTGCCTGGGTGTTCGGTTCAATCTTGGGTTTAACACACACCGTACGCTGGCTACCTAGCGCGTCACATACATTTGACATAGATCTACTATCCTCAGGGGGACCTATACAAGGGGAAATATTTTGTCTCTGACCTTTTGTACGTGTTGATCCTGCTGACTCCTTTGCGATTGCTACTGGTATTTGACTGTGACGATGTTTTGAACTTGAGGGTTGACTTTGTCCATGGCAAGACTTCTGGTTGGAATGTTCGTTTGACTTTGGCTTGTCCGGTGGCGAATGGGTATTGTCGTTGTCACTGCTTGAACTCGACTGATTGGTGCACAGATCATTCACTGGATTTCCTGAAATTATCTCATGTGATACGGGTAACATGAAAATATCAGTCATTGTCTCAAACCACCTCTCTTCTGGACTCTTTACCAATCTATTTGGTCTCATTTGATTGGCGTGGAACTTTTTTATGTGTCCTTCATGATCCACCATGTAGATCACTGGTCCCACCACCTTCGTCACTATACCTTCTTCCCAAGTCCATCGATTTCGACGATAGATTTTTACGAAAACTCGATCATTTACCTGGAAGTGTTTCTCTTTAACCCCCCTCCCGTCAAAATGTTCCTTCATGATCCTTTGTTTGTCCGACAAGTTTTGTTGGGACTTTCCTTGATCATTCCCTGGTAACATTAGTGAGAGCTTAGTCTTTAATTTCCGACCTAAATGTAATTCTGCTGGTGAGATACCTCCAATTGAATCCATCGGTGTTGAGCGATAGTATAATAGAAATTTGTCCAGTGTTTCCTGTGATGTGATCCCTTCACCCTTCAACTTCCTGAGTCCGCGTTTGAGGGTATCCACAAATCTTTCTGCCAAGCCATTACTTTGTGGATGATACGTTGGTGTCTTGATATGTTCTATGCCATTCTCCAGGCACATTCGTGTAAATAATTCTGAAACAAACTGGGTTCCATTGTCTGATACTATTGTATCTGGCAATCCATTTCTAGCAAACATTTGTTTCAACAATGCGACTGTTGTGGAAGCTGCAATCGATTTTGTGATCGATACCTCAGGCCATTTAGACAATGCATCTACTGCTACGAGATACCAAACTCCATTTTCTGGTCCCGCAAAATCGATGTGGATGCGGCTCCACGCTCGATTCGGCTTTGGCCATGGTTCCAACGGAACTTTCACCGACGTCTTCTGGTTTTCTTGGCATTTCCGACATCTGTTTACCGTTTCGGTGCATGCTTCATCGATCTTTGGCCAATATACGCATGTTCGGGCTAATTGCTTCATCCTCTCGATTCCTGGATGATTCTCATGAAGTTGCTTCAATACCTGGTTTCGCAATAATTCTGGGATGACAACTCTATGTTTCCATAACACACATCCTTCAGTGACTGCGATATCATCTTTCCTCGTGATAAACGGTCTTATCGTTTCATCGACTTGATTACTTCTTGGCCAATTATTCGATTTCCAGTATTTGATGACGGTTTTCAACACCTTATCCGTAGCTGTCGCTTCCTGAATATCGGACACTGTTAAT